CCGTAGTTGCCGGTGTGAGCGCGGGAAACCGTTTTCGGAGGTTAATCGACAGTCACATGGCTGCCTTAGCTGCTGCTCCGCCGAAGCATGCAGAAACCTGGAGCGATATTGGGCCCATTAATACATGTACCCTCATGAGCTCAGTTGCAGATAGTGCTTTCAGCACTGTAGAGTCTGAATATGTACACTGATTTGTGGTACAGTAGCTCACAAACACCTCAAAGCCCACATAAAGATTGAATAGCACAGCCACCATGGTGTTTCCGATTTTTCATTCGAGTAAAACACTACATATTGTCCATCGGGCTACAAGAGATGGTGAGGATCCATTGGATGTATATATATATAAATAATCAAGAGGAAAGAGTCAGGCGATGTGGAGAAATTAGCCCGTGTCCAAGGGAGTGGTGCTGTCCAGAGGAACGGTGGATCACTGTAAACGAAGCGTCTCGAGATTTCGATCCCGTTCGAGACATTGCTTTGCTCCTCTTCCGACGTCACCAAGATACTTCCGTGTGGCTCGAGAAATTTCGCTCAACGTCGTGGAAGAGATGCTCTGGACGCATATAAGGGGCCAGTGGTAGCCTGTCCCGCTCAGCAGAAAACACAAACAACAAACAATCATCTACTCAGCGCACTCGATTCTACCTCACTAACCACTTATCCTCATCACCATGTCGCTTTCCACTTTCTGGTACGAGCCCGTCTTCACTCCCTCCGACTTTGATCGTCTCTTCGAGGAGGCGTTCAACGCGCGGACGAGTAACAACGGTGGCCAAGTCCAGCGTTCGCCAGGCGCCGCATCAGGTCCACTCCGGCCAAGGTATGTAATGCTCGCTTCGGCAAGTTTCTAGACCACGATGCTGACAGTGGCTTCTCAGGATGGACTTGCACGAAAACAAAGACTCCAACACCGTCACCGCGACGTTCGAGCTGCCCGGCCTGAAGAAGGAAGATGTCAGCATCGACGTGCACAACAATCGGCTGACGATCTCGGGCGAAAGCAAGGTCTCAAGCGAGCATGACGAGAACGGGTACGCTGTACGGGAGCGGCGGTTCGGAAAGTTCTCGCGTTCGTTGCAGCTGCCGCAGGGCATCAAGGACGGGGAGATCAAGGCGTCGATGGAGAACGGGGTGTTGACGGTGACATTCCCCAAGTCGGCGCCTGAGGCCGCGCCGAAGAAGATTACGATTGCATGAGCTGGCAACACCCGCTCTGGTCTTGTTGACGACATCACCCATTCACCGCATACCCAGTCACTAATATCGGAACCCATCATGTAGCAATAGCATCATAATACATTCTCTTGCATCGGATATCAGCTTCAACATGCAGGCTACGGGAATTGGACCGATGAAACAAGTTGCTAAGGAAATATCCTCCCTTGTCTTTACGGATACAAAGACCGCAAGAGATCGACAACCTTCGGATAAGAAGGATCGTCTTTACCTCCCATCGCTTTCTCGGCAATGCCGGGAACATCAATTGTTGGTACCTTGTAGTACGCCAAGTCCGACTGTAAGCCGAGATCATTCACCAGCCTGTCAATGACCATCAATAATCAGTATGAAGATTCCACGAACAGGCAGCAACGGAGATGGATTTACGTTCTGATCAGTACTGAAAGCCTGCGTATGTCGCCGTCAATGGACCCGGTGGTGGGTTCACGCAGATAGAACAGAGTGTTCGCTAACCACTCCTTGTCCTCTTGCGACGCGGTCTCAGCCTTGAGTGCAACGACCGGCGCGAGGGTGAGGCACTGTTTCGAACATCAGACCAGTGACTTCATGAGGTCAAAAGCCACGCGCACAGAGGTGATGCCGTGTGGGATACCGTACGCAGCGCCCAGCTTATGACCAAGAGCATGTGACAAGCCCAACGCACTAACAGTACTTGACATCAGTCATGGTTCGACAGGGTGCATGCTGGCACCGACCTATACTTCTCCAACTTCAGCGGCCACAAGCTCATCCACGAAGCCAATTGGAGCTTCTGCCGGATCTCCACTGAGCCTGGGTCGGCCTTGGACAGAGGAAGATACTTGAAGAGGTCGGTGAGGGCAGCATAGCAAAGGTACTTGATCGGAGGGGGGACCAGAGGACGATATAAGTTTTCTGCGATCCGCATCAGTCATGACACCGCAATAGAGGGACGGGTGCTTACCAACGGCATGGTCAAGAGCTCTAAGTCCCGTAGAGAGCCTGTGAACGCGTGAGCCAGGTGATATGACGCATCATGATAACGAAGAAGGCTACCATAGGCGCTCTGGAGTAGCTAAAGTAAGCTCGGCATCCAAGACAATCCCAGCGGGTGCGAGTTCCGGCGAGCTCACAGCCGTCTTTACGCCTTCGTCGTTCGTGAAGCCAGCTCCGACAGTATACTCCGCCGCGCTCAGCGTGGTGGGTATGGCTATCTGACGTGCGTAGTTTCCACCGCGCTCTTCCTGGAGCATGTAGATGATCGCCTTCGACGCATCGACAGGGGATCCACCACCGACGGAGACGATGATATCTGCATCAGCTTCCTTGAATGCCTTGATGCCGCCACGAATGCCCGAGATCGGTGCATGCTGTCCAATATCGGAGAACGTAGCGCCATAGGCGTTCCGTTCCTTCAGAATGTTTTCGATCTTGCTGATGACGTCCGTCTGAGTCGAATATATTGAGAAGTGTCAGAGGCCCAAATTCATGCCATACCTTCTCTCTGAGGCTTTTCCCGGTCACAACCAACGCCCGTTTCCCTCCTAGGGTCTCAAGCAACTTGGGGAGCGCGGTGGAGACGGAACCCGGTCCGTAGTATACCCCCTTCAATGTATCTGTCCACCCATAGAAGCCCTGCAAGCTACTGGACGCATGTGTCGTAGTGTCCAAGACAGACATGGTTTCAAATAGAGGATGTGTCCGGTAAGCAGTACTTATACGACATGTGCATGAATCATCCATAGTTGTCATCATGGAAATCTCTGCCTTCTTTCGGTCCGATTTTCACAAGCGCGTCGTATCAGTGCGATAAGTACGATCTCGATGACACCTTGTCGGGCATGAGACTTCCCGCGAGACTTCACGAGCTTGTTCATGACGGCAGTGCATAGGTGTTTTACAATTTGCATCAATTGTGGAGGTGGACGTAGCGACTAGCAAGGCAAGATCTTAAGGACCATCCGGCAGTTCTCTTCCGCGATCACGTCATTCCGGACACATAAATTCATACCATCTCGTCCGATATGAAAATGCAACGATCTGATGGTTTAGGACCATGTACATTGAGATTGTGCGAGTTTCGGGACTTGCTGGCGCGTCCGTTCAATGATACATACACATCATGGAAAATCGGTGGTGGTATAGAACAAACGGGGAGTTGTTGTTTGTGACCGGGCCGTTTCGGAGAAAAAGAAATACATGACAAGATAAAGATAAGCCGTGCACTTGTGGTGTGGTTGATGGAAAGGATGGGGGAGGGACAGTAATGCAGGCGAGGGGGGGTATGAGTGTGAAAGGAGACAAGAGTGATAGGTACAACAGAATGGGATGGGGCGGGCCGAGGATACGAGTCCGTTACAAACGGCGTCATTGCGATATGGAGTCGTGTCAAAAAAAGAACGAAAGTGTTCGTAGCGATCGTAACCGACCGTAGTCGTCGAAATGTGTTGGTGAAGTGGGAGGTCGGGATGCGCGGAAGGTCCACCTATTGCAGGCCCCGCTGCCGGTTGAACGCCCGCGAGGCCGCGGACCGTCTCACCGGTCTACCCAGGCTTTCGCCGTCCTGCGGTTCTCCACCTTCGGCTTCCGCGCGCGTTCGTCTTCCACCACGCCGGGGATCTCCCCGCTCCGTACGAGCTGGTGCCAATACAGCACGTCGCCGTCCATCAAACGCTCCACGCGCTCCACCTCCGCCTTCTCCTGCAGGTGAATCTGCATCTGGAGCTGGTACTGGTCGAGCAGACGGTCCCGATGAGGTTGCGGATACGGGTGGTACTGCGCCGAGGTCGAGGGCGAGACGTAGGAAGGGAGCACGTGTTGTTGCCGCTGCTGAAGTTGATGGTGCACCGAGAGTGCCCCGCGCGGTCTCAGACCGGGAGGAGGCGGCGGAGGCGAGAAGTCGAGCTCCGAGTCGAAGCTCCCGCTCGTGCCCAGCCCATCACGCCCGCCATCCACCTCATCGTCCCATCCGCTCACGAGCTCAGGCACGTCGGACGGAACCATGTCATCGTAGTCTTCCTCTTCGTCCTCTTCGTCCCCATCTTGCGGGGCGCGAACAGGAGGATGGCTGCGCGACGACCGATGGCGCGGCTCGCGGTGGGACGGTACAATCATATGCACGGGGCTCGGAGGCGCATGCATCATCGGCGACGTCGCCATGGACGCCAAGGACGGGTTCGGCGAGCTCTGCGCTGGCTGAGGCGTATAGGCTGGGTGCACGCCCGGCTCGTCCGCGATGTAGTGCCGCTCGCACACGCTGATCTCGGACGAGTGAAAGACGAATCGGTGGCCATTCGTCGCGCGGTTGTTAGCGCCGATGGATTGCGTGCAGCGCGCGCACTGCCAGAGAACACTCTTGCGTCAGCGACCGGTTATCTATGCATATAGATGGTCTTACGGGTACAACGATCATGTAGCCGACGCCAGTGCCGCAGCCATGGCAGTAGAGCGTCTGCGTGAGGCAATCGCACGTTCTGGGCATAGGTGCTGCCTCTTTCGTAGGCGCGGCTGGGCGGCCATGGGAGGACGAGGAAGAGGGAGTCGAGGGCGAAGGGTGGTAAGCCGAACAGTTGATCGGGAGCGCGTCTGTGGAGTAGAGTGCGACGTTCGGACGAAGTAGAAGGACAGCCTGTGGAATAAATAGCACTTGTCAGAGACGGTTTTCCAGGCGCTGCATGCACAGGTGGGAGAAGGCGCATCGTGGCAGACGCGAATGAATGGTGAAGCAAAACAAAGCAAATGTGCTACGATTAAACAGGCAAAATAGTGGCCCATCGGCGTACACCTGCCACGCAACAGTCCATATATGGAATGTCGTATAGCCGAGAATGCCTTTGAGGTAAAAACAAACAAAGCAGGAACATCGCGCTTCGCTCTGGAAATAATACCGACTGTAAGCGCGTCAAAGCGGTCCTTGGCTTGCGCTCGAGCAGGGAAGATGCCGAGATCTGACGAATCTGCCCAGAACCCTACCAAGCCAAAGAGGCACGGCGAGGACAAAAGGGAAAGGCGTGGACGCCGCGTGCCCCGGGCGGCCAGGCGCACGAGCCCGGGCTCCAACGATGGCCCGGATCGCCCGCGCGATGGTGGCGATGACGAGAACGGAGGACACAGGCGCCCGCAGGCGCATCCGGATGACGCGGGCGACGCACCTTCATGCCCCTATTCGTGATGAACGTGCCGCACGTCCTACAGTCGAGGATCCAGACCTTTTGGAGGATCGGCGGCGGCGGCGGTGGCGGCGGCTGCGAGAGCGCGGGGGGCGGAGGGAGCCTGTGAGGAAGGTATCCGCCCGAGGGGTGTCCGTACGCGGCCTGGTGCGGAGGCGGGAGGGACGGATGGAGGGGGTACGCATGGGGGTAGGCGTATGGATGGTAAGGAGCGTGCGGCGGGAGGTGGTCGGGGGCGGCGCGCGGGTCGTCGAGGAGGGCGGGCATCGCGGACGGTGGGGAAGAGGCGGGCGGGGGCGACGCTGGGTCGGGAGGAGAGCGTCGTCTGCTGCCCGTCGTCTTGTGCGTCCGGCCGTGTCTCTCCTGTCCGCGCTTCCCCTTCGAACCGCGCTCGACAGATCGAACCCCCCGGCAAATTCAGATCGAAGCCCGACACGTGATGCCTGCCCATGAGGGGGGCGTTGAGTAGCCGACCGCGCCGACCCCCGCCTTTCGCTCCTGCCGCATTCGGCCGTGTGGGCGCCCGCTTTGGCGAATAGCAGCGAGCGAACTGCCGCGGCAGGGGTCCGCTCGGCAAATAAACCTTGTGAACGCGGCCCAGACCGCGCGGGATGAACGCCGCCTCCGCTGGATTTTTTGTCCTCCACATTTTACGTCTTGCTCCCGCCTCCGATGCCGCCGCCCGCCAACAACCTCGCCGCCCTCACCGCATCCCACCGCGCCATCGCGGCAAAGAAGCGCGCCCGCAAGCACCAGCTCGAGCAGGTCGTCTTCGACGACGACGCACGGAGGTCAGCAATCACCCGCTATCTCATCGGTGGCACTCGGCTTGCCCTTCATATCGCAATCCGCATCCACGGCCTATCCCATCTCGCTTCCCTCCCCACCGCTGCCATCCCTCCTCCCCCATCTGGTCCCCATCATCCGTTTATACCGCAGCTGATGGCGCCCGCGCAGAGAATTCCTCACCGGCTTTCACAAACGCAAGCTCCAGAAGAAGGAGGCGAGCAAGCAGAAGCGCGAGCAGCTCGAAAAGCAGGAGCGTCTCGAGCTCAGGAAAGAAGTGAGCGGAGATCTGGCTTCGGGCTTTCTAACCATCGCTCATTTTCCGTCCCCCTGCGGCCCGGCAGCACCGACGTCAGCTGGCAGAGCGCGCCAAAGCGAACGCGGTCGAGGTAGAGCGGGCTTACGGCGCCACTATCGGTGAGCGGTCCATACTGAGATCCCGCCGCTCCTCGCTCCTTCTTTGCCTCTCCCGAGCGCAAGATCCCATCTCCATCTAACTGGCTACATCATCGCCCGTCTCTCGCCTTCTTTGTTCCGATCTCGCTAACAAAAGTCAGGGGACTCGGAGGAGGAGTGGGGCGGCCTGTCGTCCTCACATCACGGAAATGAGGCAGGGCAGGAAGAGGCGGAATATGAAGACGAAGAGCAGCTCGCGACGGTTACCGTGGTCGAAGACTTTGACCCAGACACACTCATACATGGCCCGCCACGGACAACTCGGCCCCGGTCCGACAACAGCGAGGAGGGCGCGGACGAAGAAGATCAAGATGACCGAAAGCCTCCGCGTCCGGCAGCGAAGTTCGCAGGCGCTGCCCCTTCCAGATCCAACTCTAAACCCGCAGCGCCCAAGAAGGTTCGATACCAGACCAAGGCGGCCCGGAAGACCGAACGCACCAAGCAACGAGCTCGTAAGCTCGAAAAGGCAGATCGAGCTGGAAAGAAGCCCAAAGGCAAGCCACGGCGGCGATAGAGTGCGTCCCTGTACGCCCATGGGTTTACGCCACGTCGTCTCGATCGTGCGCTACCTCACTCCTGTATGATCACACACGCCTACGATCCTACGATTGCTTTGCCGGACATCAGTCGTCGATTGGAGCGCCCAAAAACGTGTGGCTTCGTACGCCAATTTTGCACTCGCGGGAAGGAGATACCGTTGCCGCCCGTTCTCCAAGTCTCGCATGCTCATGCAATCGGAGAGAACTTGCGTTACCGGCATCGGAACGTGCGATGCGGGCTCGCTGGACTGTCGACCCTGAATAACTTGCGTCTTGCACGGGATGAGTTGTGGCCTCGTCATATGTTCGTCATGCTTTCGTAGCTCGCAGAATCATCGCAAGAACTCGCCATGGTCCTGCATTGGCAAGGTGCAACCCTCCATTTGCAGATAGCGCAGTGTCAAGCGTCGTCATCGCAGTGCCTTCGACATTACGGGACTGGCATCATGTCCGGGCCTGGAAGAGGTTCCCGAGTGGCGTGGTGCGGGGCCCCATCCAGCTGCATATTACACTATCGTGCCCGCCACCGGGGCTCCGGACCCTGGTGGAAAACCTGCACCAGACACCGAAGGCTTCTGTCTCCGGCCTGCCAGAAACCAAGCCTTGTGCGGATGCTCCTTGTGGCTTCTCCTGCGGCCGATGTCTGAATTCGGCCGGCCTGGACACCAGTAAACACCTTCGGTCGCCCAATGGTTCGTTCAAAGCTTTGGGGTTTCGACGGGACCGGAGCGATGCTCTACGGAAGGAGATGTTCCCAATTCCTGGACATGGACATGTCGGCGGAGCTGCACATACGGGACTGCTTTCGCCACCTCACGGCCACCCAAAGCGCGCGTTGGCACACATATGCCCGCTCTTCATCCAACATATGTCGTAAGGCGTCTCCGCTCCATAGCCCGCCAAGGCCACGGACCGCAGACTGCCCGCATGCGCCGCGAGGAGCTTCACGATGGCCGCGCCCGTTATACTAAGGCGCATTCTCCGGCAAGCCCAGTTCCAAGTGCAGCGGATTGCCGCTATCTTGCAATACACCATGAGAGCGTCGTCAGATGGATTTATCACAACTTCACGTACAGTATCTCAACGTATATTCAATTGTCTTCCGGAGAGGCTATGGTATCCCACCCATCATCTGGATCGTACTCTTCGACCTCTTCCCATCCGGAGTACGGGCGACGAGCTTGTGCCCATACACGACTCCCCTTCCTCCTCACATCATATTCCCTCTCGCCGTGAGAGAATAGGACCGTTTGCAGATTGGGTGCATGTACGGCGAAGAGCCTCGCAACGGTCGCCCCGGTCTCTTCTTGTTTGAATACACGGTCGCGCTCCGGATTGCTGAATCCGTCATCTCCAGGTAATGTTTCCGGGAAACCAAGCTCCATGTAAAGCAGGTTGAGCGTAGTCGGTTCGTAGTAGGGTATGCGTAAGTTGCACCCGAAATGTTGCAGACGACCGAGCTGAGAGAGCCACGACGCGAGCTCCCATGTCGTACACGGCCAGTTGGCAGGTTTGAGTGTGCGTTGCAACCGGCCATCGCGATAGATGAGAGTCAGCGCCTCAACATTTGGCGTTGAGAGGGCGAGACTTTCAAACAGCTCGGCGCCGATGTAGTCCAAGCCTTCCAGATAAAGAACTTGCAACGGCGCGGAATGCAGAGCGCGAACGAGGTGTAATACCTCGTGGCGATACATTCCTAGAGCTGTCCTGATCTTGACGTGCGTCAGTTGTAAGCCGTTGTATGCTTCCGATTGTAACATTAACCATTCCGCAACCGTCGTGACGTGGTCATTGTCCAACCTCATGAGGCATAGGCGCTGTAAATGTTTGAAGAGAGGAATCCGGAATACGATGGCGGGCTCCGTGACCTGGATCGGGCGCTCCAGAGATCCGCGAACCGAAAGGACTCTGATGTCAGGAAAGTATGCCAATAATTCCCATTGTTCCGATTCGGACATCCCGAGGTAAACGTTCAGGGCGCGACAGCGCTGAATAGGTTGAGACTGCGGTAACAGTATTGGGATGCACGCCCTAAGTTCGACACCCCGGAGCTTTGCGGCGGAAGACAACGAATCCAATGCCTGACCTTGCAGTACTATGCCAGACGCGGAGAACTTCTTCAGCTTCGGACACGCAGTCACCAACTCCGCGACCATCTCCAGCACTGGACGCCAAAATTCTGCAGCTTGATGAATGTCGTCGATCGCTGTTTCGAACATGAGCTCCGCGTCCCAGCCCCGGTGAACGGATATGTGTTCAATGGACTGCAAGATCTGAGGATGGGAAAGAGTGAAAGAGATGTTGTCCATCAGGTGACGGCGGGCTCGGTCGATGATTTCACGACAGCGCGCAGCAGTGAGTGTGACCAAGTCCTCAGGCGCTCCGCGACTCGAGCTAATAGAGGTCAAGGTGAACGTGCGCCACTGGTGACAGTAGTTGTAAGTCTCCATTGCACACAGGGTCAGGCATCCGAACCTTGAATGCATGTGGCAGCGCGATTTGATGGAAGAATGACGACGTCGCACCCAAACGGCGTGCCACGTCCACACCTCCGAGGTACATCACGCGATGTATAAGCTCGGGAGGGAGATGTGCGAGGCATAAACGTTGGAGTTTCGGTCGTGGATTCTCCTTTATCAGGACCATGACTTTCGCTGTACTCGGGGATAAGTACATACATTGACTGAGGATGACAGTGAAGGATCTTTCCTGCTGAACGTAGCAGCCATTCAAGGTCAAAGCTTTCGTTGGGAATCTTCCACTTCTCCAGGAACTTGCTGGCTATATCCGAAGGGGTATCGAAGGTCACTTCGGTGGCCACCTCGTCCTGCCCGAGCATACGTTCCCATGGCTCTGGCTCAACCTGGCGCTCATGTCTGATACTGTGCTTTTCTAAATCCAGCAGATCTACGACCCAGTCTACCCACCGACGCGAAAGGGACGCATAACGATACTCATGTCTGCCGGTAAGATCGAGCACTCCCTGCAACATCAAGTCAGAGCGACGGTAATGAGATCGAGCGATTCGGTCTGCGTACTGTGTGGAAGCCCTGGGGACAGTTCGTTACATGCATCTCCGGTGGGTTATAAGGGAGTTCACATACCAACATGGTAGCACAAAATCTGCGCACGCGCCAAATAAACATGGTGCCGTGCATACGAGCCGTTGTAGCCTCGAAACCGTAATCGCCGCCTTCCATATCCTCGTTCGAATTCATGACATCCATATACAGCTCCTGGGTTGATACCTCCTCATCCACATAGAGCCTGAGATACGGCTCATCATGCCGGCGATAGAACCCTAGCGGTAGAATGGTGCGCAGGTAAGGGATTCCAATCGAGTTCAATACTGGGCTCAAGATGATGGTACGTAAAGCTCCGCACAAGTCTGTTTCTCTCCCCGGCTCAATTCGCGCTCGTCTTCTGAGTCCATGATAGATGCGGTGGGTATGAGAGATGATCTCCTCAAGCAGCTGCGTAATGGTAGTGAAGATATCGGCAGGTTTCGAAAGCAGGATCATCCGGATTGTTGTTACTTTCGGTGTCAGGTGATGATGATGATAATGATGACTTCTTTTAGCCAGTTACGCGACATTACTAAGAACAGAGCCTGGGTACTTTTAGGTACGGGAGTCCGAGTCCGAAACAAAACCAGTTCGCGATGTGAGAAACAATGAGAGCTATGCGTGTACAGTGCGGGTCGGGTGAGTGTGGTGGCACAAGATCTTTGCGGCGTTCTTTGATTCGGGGGTGTGAAGGCGAATCGTAACGAGCATGGACTCCTTGCAATTGATCGATACAAGCCAGATGCAGCAGTACGGGCCAGTTGGCAGCGAGACGAATCCAGCCAGACCGTACGTTGAAGGAGAACTCATTTCCATATTATGCATTGAGGTCCGGGATGATCGCGCTGACCACCCGTCGCCGCTCGGAATGAATCGGATAGTCCGGTACGTGCTAAAGCCTCGCCTTGTCATGACCTACGATACACATCACCATCACCAGCCTTGGTCGTCTTCTCGGTCCATATAATCCAAGAGCTCGGTCGCCGGCTCCTTTGCGGACGCATCGACGAACTCCAGCAAAGTCTCGAACACGTCCATGCGCTGCTTGACTCGATCCCTCTCCTGCTTTGCCGTCTCTGCATCTGTTGCACGGTTATTGACATCGGCCATCTCTTCGTCCTCTCCGGTGGACTGGTCGATAGTGTCGTCCCTGGATCGCTTCCTGCCCGCCGTGGATCTAGGTGGCGACGGCGGCGAAGGAGGAGCTGCGAGAAGGTGCGAGAGCAGCGAGCGAAAGCTTTCAGCCTCCTCGGCATTGCCGTGATCCACGACTGACGACACCTGCGTCTGCAAGAACTGCAGTGCCTTGACCGGGGTCGCATATTGACACATCTCCCGGAACCTGCGGCGCTCGTATAAACCAAAACGTCGCACACACACAAGACGATCTTACTGGTGCTGCCTGATGTGGAATGCTGCTCTCCGCACAATTTCGTCAGGGCCAATCCTGCAAAAGATAGTTAATTGGTTTACAATATGAACGACGAAGACGCAATCAGGACCTCTTCAGATTCATCTCCCATAAATCGTTCAACCTCTTTTCCGCTTCTCTTCCTCCTTCCGGCTTTCCGTCGTCTTCCCGGTCGGCAACACCCGCATTCCCGCCGAACATAAATGTCGTCTTGACCATCTTGTCGTAAACCACCTGATGCGCATACCTCGGGATCGGTAACTGAGTCTCCAACTCGTTCGGGTCCTCCGAGAGCATCTTCGTCCATGTACCAGGTTTGTACGGGTCATCATACCGATAAACCCAGTTCACCCCGATCGTGGGCCTCCCCGACTCAGTTTTAGATAGACCAGGGTAACTGCCACGCGAGTCAGGCCTAGATGTATCGCAAGTTGATATAGAAGACCCACAGATAAATCTCCCGATGCTCCGGATCGATCGTCGCCCGCTGCACCCAGCTTGGATCAGGGCCGCCGACGATCGACATCTTACTGAAGAGCTTCGTGGCCGTATTGCTATTGAGGTCATAAGCATACATATCGGACAAGTACTTCTCGTCTCGCAGGCCCGACAGGATGAAGAGCACGCGATGGTTTGGGTCGAGAACCATCGAATGTCCTGAAGTAGCATATAGTCAGACTTGAAAGTAAAATCGGACAGCCACACATATAGTCACCGTATCGCGCCGAAATGAATGTGCCTGACTCCCTTTCGGAAGATCTGCCTCGCAACCGTTAAAGGGGTAGGGCGCGCCGGGATGAATGGGCACTTACTGCAAAAGACGCCACTCCCCGATCTCAATGTTGTAAGAATAGAATCCCGAATACTTGTCCCAGTCCCCTTCGGCCACCCGACCGCCAAAGACGTAGATCATCTGGCTCCCCGAGTCCAACACCATCTGGTGATCGAAGATCAATGGAGGTCCTGTACAGCTTGACCCCTGTCATAAGTTCGTACTCAGCGAGCCGTGGACATCGTCAAACTCGAACAGTCATACCTCTGCCGCAGCTCCCAAGCGCTCCCACTTTCCCTTCGACTCACCCCTGGTCCAGTACCTATAGAACTCGTTCGTACGCGCCCCCGAGCCTTCCCCAGCCCTATCCGCTCCGGTAGTGTCGTGCCCTACGCTAGATGGCGAAGGCGCCCCTGCCCGCTCGGCTTCTGCTCGCTCCGGCCTCTCCCTCTCCCTCCGCTCTACCCGTCTGTCCTCGTTCGCATCGGTGCCGCGCATGAACCGTGCCAAAGGATCATTCATCAGCTCCGTAGAGTGTGCCAATGCGAGCTGGCCATGAGACCGTCCTCCATCGCGTCCTCCCCCGCTCCCGGCGGCGGCACCGGATACGTCTGAGATGGACGGAACTCGAAAGCGCGAGGCGCCGTCACGCGTAGGGTGACTGCGGCTAGGCATCGAAGACGAAGGCACCGGTCCTGGTGCCGGTGGTGCAACGGAGGTTTCCGCCTCGGACAGCTTGCCGAGAAGGTAGAGACACCCTGATTTCGCTGTGAAGAACATGGCGTGAGCACCCGCCGCACGAGAAAGCGAGATCAAACGAGCTCACAATCATAGCACATCTGCGCGTTGCTCCTGGGTCCAGGGCCGTCAGCCTCTGCGCCGCAATGCTCACAGGCGCGTCTCCAGCGCCCGCAGTTCCAGCCCGCGACGTCCTCGGATTCTCCGGCAGCATTTCCATATTCAAAGCACCAGAGGTCATCTAGGCTCTTCTTACCGTCCCATCCTCCGAACATCCAGATTTTTCGCCCATCGTCGTCGATGCACATCGCATGTCCTCCTCTCCGCGATGGGACCTGCCGCCCCTCGTGACCACCACCGTCGTCGTAGACGGTGATGCTGTCGCATGTCTCGTTTTTGGAGGGCGGTACCAACTCGTTCCATATCGCTCGAGGCGGGCAGTTGCCGGAGCGGAGGAAGTCCTCGAACAGGGAGTAAGGCGGATGGGCGATTCGCGTGAGGATGCGTTCGGCTTCGGCGTAGTCGGCGGAAAGGACCAGTGCGGAGTGGAGGGCGGTGATCTGCGGTGTAATAATATGCGCGTTGGCGATGCCTTGAACGCGGGGAAAAGTGGGGCCAGACGAACCTGGGGATGTTCGAGGAAATCTTGTACGCTGTCCACGCCCGGCGCGGAGGATAGGGATGTCAGAAGAGAGTTGAATGGCGGTAGAAGTTGACGTTGCCGCAAATGTTTAAGAATGTGTCGAAGGGCAAGGGTCTCCCGGTGCTAAACGCGGTGCGAAGTGAATTCATGGCCAGACGTTTGCAGCTCGGCCAGCCATACCGCATCGTACTTGCGCATCACTTCGGCGACGTAAGTTGGATCGGCGATCCCGGAGAATGCAACGTGCCAGATGGAGGGATGGAACGACTGCCCGTGCGCCCTATACGCGCCAATGGCGCTTCGGCATACATTCAAACTCTGGGCAGAATGATGGTGACTCACGAGACGGGTACGATCCGCACGTATCTAGTAGCGAACTCGACTTCATTGGAGCCGTCCCGACTCTCGCCAGCCTTCACGCTCTTGGTATGACGTATTGCGAAAGTCTCCGGAATAGCGTCGTTTCTCAGTGTGCCAGAGAATGCGAGAGAAAGCCGAGAGCGAGAGATGCCGGTGTAGATCTTGAATTCCTTCATATTGCACGGTTGAACTGCGTCGCAAAGAGTTTGTCATTCGGCTGGCGGCAGAGGATCTCGTGGTCATGCTTGCCTTGGTTGAACTTGTAGACCATACGAATGCCAGGAGTTCAGCAACGGAACATTGACGCTAAACCTTATCATCTCACCTTTCCGAACGTTATGCTTGCTGTAAGATCGTCAGTATCCAGCGCAGATTCATCCATATCAACGCGACTGACTCAAGACCGAATCTTTCTCGAGCTTGAGCATCAACCATGGCCCAGTGCCCGCCGAAGATCCTTGCTGTCCGCCGGACCAGCGGGACTCCCGACTGTACGGCTCATCCACGAGCACATTCTCTGGGTAGTAGTTGCCGCTGTGGTCGGAGCAGGCCTCGATTCTGTACGCCAAAGGGCCCGGTACTGGCGGTGGTAGCGTCGGCATCGCGTAGAGATGCGCGTTCGGGTCACGCGACGCATTGCCATCGCGGTCTGATTATTCTCACTCAGGCTGCTCGTCCCTTTTCCTGGGACTTTGGCTGAGAAACTCGTGGGGGCCAGTGATGGACCATCTGATTCCGATAGCACGAATATCCATGCAGCGTGATGGCAGCCTGTGAAGACGCAGCCCATACCGGTCTGCTCGCCATCGCCGGTGGGTATGCAGAGCGACTTGCTTGAACGGAGGCGAGGGCGGAAGTCGCGATGACGCTCGTAGCACGCTAGCGCTGGACGAAGCGCAGCCATCAAGTCGCCATGCGAGCACTGGGCCTGGGCAGGGACCGGTGCACAAGAACAACTCGCCGTCCCTGACGAACGCGTTGGTCGCCCGATTGATCCCCTTTGATCCCCTTCGCCGACCCTTCCTTATCGCCTGCGGGGAAATTCTGATCCAGAACAAGGCTCGTCATGTGTGAAACAGCCATTCAAACAGCTTCGGGCGCTGCTTCTTGCCTAGAATATATGCAGCGACATCTCCACTCGGTCAAGCAGCACAGACCTTGACCATCGTTCAGGCCAAGCCCCATCGCGTTTGCTGTTTCCATCTGCCCATCAACGGGCCCAGGATCTGCACGCTTCGCTACCATTCCAGCCGGCATCCGTTGATAGGGCGCAAAAGAAGCCGACCGCTGCTGCCAAGTGGATGCCCTCTGCGAAAACAGAAGACGGCCATGTGCTTGTGTTAGCTATGTGTGGACCCGCCGACTCCCATATATAACCTCGCGCCCCTCGGGCATGTGTTCCAACCCCGCCATAATCCGCCGTTGGATCGGTATATAAACCGTCTGCCCGTCGTTCCACCGCCGCCAAGGGTCGCGGTCGTCGAACATGAAGGCCCGCTATTTCTCCCCCCTCCTCCTCGCTGGCGCGGCTGTCGCCGTCGTTACGCTCCCGAGCCACCGCACGACCTCGTTGCCCAATAACGCCATCCCGAACAAGTTCATCTTCGAGGTCGCGTCCGTCTCCGAGATACCCCGCGACCTCCAGGGGCGTTCTCCGCATGAGGCCGTTTACGACAGCCTACGCAAGCGTGGCGTCGGTTTCACCGTCGACAGGGAGTTCAACCACGAGGGTCTCTTCGTCGGGGCTAGTGTCACTCTGGATAACGCCGATGTTCGTGCTCCGATTCGTGCCGTGGGATCGCCCTGCTAACCTTTGGTTTCATCTTGTTTTCGTTGAATAGGATGTGAAAACCCTGGTCAGCGACCCGAAGATTCAGGCGCTCCGTCCTGTCATCTCCATCCCCTCTCCGAAGGATCAGCTGAAGAAGCTTGAAATCGTCAAGTCCCGTTCAGATCCCCATGTTCCGGCGGACACGGAGTCCACCCATATTCTCACCGGCGTCGACAAGCTTCACGCAAAAGGTGTCCTCGGCAAGGGAATCAAGATTGGCATCATTGATACAGGTCAGTTTGCGTCCTTCTTTGCATCTTCGGTGTATTTGGAGTCCTGGAGAACGGAGCCCGCGTTTCCCTTCTCTCCAGCACGCGTGGCCCTAATTGCGTATTGCAGTCTTCCATGAGATCATGTGATCGCGTCGCACCGGACTGACACTTGTGCTATCTCTGAATAGGAACCGACTATACGCACCCGAGCCTTGGTGGAGGCTTTGGCCCTGGGTTCAAAGTTGCTGGTGGCTTCGACTTCGTTGGCGACGCTTACGATGGCAGCAACACTCCCGTGCCGGACAATGATCCCCTGGATCAGTAAGTCTCCCCCATTTTGCTTGGTTATCCCACCTCTCATACGAACACAATCAGGTGCAATGGGCACGGAACCCACGTCGCCGGTATCATCGGCGCCAACCCTGGCAACGAGTTCAACATCTCCGGTGTTGCATACGAATCGACCATCTTCTCGTACAGGCTTTTCGGCTGCTCGGGATCCGTCTCTGATGACAGTAAGGCTGCTTGATGTTTCGCCGTGTTCCTTCTCTGATCCTTCTGGTTTTAGTCATCGTCGAGGCCCTTCTCCGCGGTGTCTCTGATGGCATGAACATCCTGACCATGTCCCTCGGCGGCGCCGACGGCTGGACAGAATCCTCCTCCTCTGTCGTCTCTTCTCGCATCTCTGCAACCGGCCGTATTGTCACCATCGCCGCTGGCAATGACGGCGCGTTCGGCTCCTGGTACTCCTCATCCCCCGGCAACGGCATCAACTCCCTCTCTGTCGCGTCCATCGAAAACACTGTCATTCCTTTGCAGAACGCCACCGTCTCCGGAGACGTCACCCACGACCCGATAACCTACTTCGCCACGTTCCCTCTCCCTATCAATGATACCCGTCCCGTCTACGCGACGAGCAACGACACCACCGTGGTGGACGACGCTTGCGACCCGCTACCCGACAGCACTCCGGATCTCTCCAAGTTCATCGTCGTAATCCGTCGTGGAACGTGCACGTTCGTCCAGAAGCTCCAGAACGCAGCCGACAAGGGTATGACCGCCGCCCTCATCTACGACAACGGCAACGGCTTTGCCGCTATCACCGTTGACAACTTCACCGCTACCCTGATCCAGGCTGACGACGGTGCTTTCGTACGTTACAACGTGTCCTGCGACCTCAACACCGGCTGACTTTGCCTGCAGCTCGTCGAACAATTCGCTGCTGGCAAGGAAGTGCTCCTCACCTTCCCGCAGTCGGGAGCGGATACCCAGTTCCCGTCTGACGTCGGAGGCTTGGTATCGACGTTCACCTCGTACGGTCCTACCAACGATATGTTCTGTGAGTAATATTGGCCCCGGTGTTCTACCCTAAACACAGCCTTCTCTGACCAACCTGAACAGTCAAGCCGGCGATTGCCGCGCCCGGCGGCAACATCATCTCGACCTTCCCTGTTCCCCTTGGCTCGTTCGCAGTGCTCTCCGGTACCAGTATGGCCACTCCGTTCATGGTGCGTTTTTGCCTTTCCATGCATTGAACACGTAGTCATGTACTTTATCACAGGCCGGTGTCTCCGCACTCCTCTTCGGCGTGAAGGGAACCTCCCCCGCCGTTGGTATCGCTGCACGGGACCTTTTCCAGACTACAGCGCAGAAGGTTCCTTCTAGCAAGACGGACGGGGACCCACTCCAGACCCTCACCCAACAGGGTGCCGGCCTAGTTGACGCCTTCCATGCGCTCAACACCCACATCATCGTCTCCCCCGGCCAATTCGTCCTCAACGACACCGCCAACTTCAAGCCTCTCCAGACCTTCACTGTCAAGAACACGGGTCGGACTAGCAAATCCTTCAAGCTCTCGCACGTCCCGGCTGGCACAGCCACGACCGTCACGGCCGGCGACATTTTCGCCGCGGACGGACCGGTTCCGCTCACGACGCAGTACGCGTCCGTCAAGTTCAGCGAGTCCTCCTTCACTGTCCGCCCGGGTCAGACTCAGAAGCTCACCGCACACTTCACTGCTCCTAAGGGAGTCGACGCGACGACGTTCCCCGTGTTCTCCGGCTGGATCCAGCTCACGAGCGCGGACGAGCAGCTTCAGGTAGCTTATATGGGTCTCGCCGCCTCCCTCAAGGACAAGCAGATCGTAGACAACACGGACGAGTTCTTCGGCCTACAGCTCCCTGCCATCCTCGACACCGCGGGTGATGTCCAGGTTGCACCCACGAATTACACGTTCAACGGCACTGACGCGCCGACCCTGCTCTTCCGGTACGCATTTCCGTACGATTATCCACAAGGTCTCGTAAACTAACGATGCGTTCGTGCAGCTTGGCCTTCGGTACGCCCTTGATCCTTGTCGATCTCGTTCCGTCCAACGCGAAGATCTCTACGACACTGAACCGCCGGGAGGAGCTCGATCTCCTCCCGAGGAAGTCTTCTTCGTCGATCAAGACGCTCGGCAACGTGTTCGAATTCGACTACAGCCCAAGGAACTCCGACGCTTCCGTGAGTAGACGCTCACCAAGTCTGTTCTTGACGAGTGACTGATTTCCGATTTGTAGGATGCCGCGGACAACGGCTGGAGCGAGATCACGCTGACCAACACCTTCGCCAACGGCACGACCATCCCCAACGGCTCCTACAAGCTACTTTTCCGCGCTCTCAAGGTTACCGGAAGCCCCAAGAATGAGGCGGACTTTGAGTCGTGGCTGTCGCCAGTCATCGGTGTCGCCGCATAATGCTGACAACCCGTTGTAAAAACCGATGTATACCATCTGTAAACCCAGATATATATTGATACTGCACCATACCGATTCGCATGCCGGTTGGCACTGCCGAAAGTCATCAAGGACACTAATTCGTTTAGTATTAAGCTTGGATATTCATATAACTTTTCCCGTAAGCATCAAGCTATCAATCCAGCATACTGTGTTATGATCAATGCGGCTGGCTACACGCGGAACTGGCATACGCCAATGGCAAGGGCAACCAATGCGTTTGCCTTTTCGTTCGTCGAGTGCAGCCCATCTGCGGAGAAGCGAACACGTGGTGGCCATGTCACCCGCAAAAACAGACATGCTGGTTTGCCTACTGGCACTGCAAAGCAGTTCCGAACGCTTCGCGATCTGCAGGAAAGGGATGTCGGTAGCAGTCTGCGACCTGGTGCTACTTCCGACCAGAACGGAGCCAAGTGCCTTGGGTGTCGTCGTCGCCCCGCTCGCAGGCAGCCTTCTTCCCATTGCCAGCGAAGACTATTGTCTATGGGGCGAAGATCCGCGGAACACATTTGATTACAACGTTGTCAAAGAGAGCGTACCTGCGTCACTGTCGAAGAATAGCGCGATAAGGGCCAACGATGATGCTATGATACTGTATTGTTGCTGCCATGTAAAGTGTTCGCGATGGAGGCAGTCGTTCCCAATCTTGGTGAGCTACAATCCGACAACTATTGGGGGTGTGCCTATGCGTGGCCATGACTGCGTCACTGCGACGCGTAAACGGCTACAAGACAGGTGTTGTGAGCATCGCACAGTGAGGTCCATCGCGGAGTCATGGTAGAGCGGCGCGGTGGGATCCGAGCATGGTATGCATGTCCGTTGGTGCCGCTTTTGATGGCAAATTGAACCACCGTAGTCGGGTTAGCAAGCCCACTGCGAGTTCCGGGCTTGAGCGCACAGATCGCGAGAGCACTTGCGTTGCAGAGATACGCTGGTCAAGCTATGAATGCGTCGCGTCCTGTCGCGTCGCGCCGCCGCGCGCTCACGTGCCCGGCATGTCGGCAATGCAGGATTGCAACCTTGGATTGGACATGTACCCACTGCTCTCGCTATTCTTATCACAGGCCTCATCGTCTTGCATGAGGTGGAAGCAAGGTATAAATACCGTCAAGCTGTCGGAGAAGATGAACCTTGAACATCCAACTCCGAGTCATAATGGCCACCACCCCGAAGAGCGCGCTCAACATTGTCATGGTGAGTCAACGTTTCATCAGCCACGATTGATTGCTATGCTTCACGGCTACTCAGGGCTGCATGACATTTGGAGATCCCGGTACTGAGGCCGCTCGGGTCTCGGATTTGAAAGGTCTGTTCATGCTTGCCGTTCATGATACCTATAAAGTCTGAATGGTGATAGAAATCGCGGCAATCATCGATGCATTTGCGGCTCATGGCCATACTGAGGTAAGCTATCTCCACTTGAGCATTCTAACACATCTGAATTTGTCACGCTGCAAGCTGGACACCGCTCGAGCTTATGGAGGGGGCAGCGCGGAGTCCTACCTCGCCCGGATCGATTATGCCAAGAAAGGTCTGAAAGTTGCGACAAAGCTGTTTCCCACCACATACCGGTAGCCTTTAGGAACGGAAGTACGTGCTTTCGGCGACCTCATTGGCTTCCTTTGACCAGTTGGCGACAGTGGTCGGGACAGAGACTATTTCTCACGGGCCGGAGGATCTCCGTAAATGGCTCGATGTCTCCCTGAAGGAGCTGAACACCGAGTACGTGCCTTCCGGTTGTTTTGGCTGATCATGTTGCCGATGCTCCGTTCCGACCTAGCTGTATTGACCTGTGGTACTTACACTCTCCCGACCGCACGACTCCTTACGAGGTTACCATGAAGGCCGTGAATGAACTTTACAAGGAGGGAAAGTTCAAACGCTTCGGCCTCAGCAACTACATGGCGTAGGTTCAGAACAACTCTCACCCTCGGACCCGCACTGATACGAGAGTGCTCCATGCCCAGCTGGGAAGTCGCGCAGATCTGCGAATTTGCAAGGCCAATGATTACGTCCAGCCGACTGTTTATCAAGGGCTCTACAACGCCGTTCGACGGTGTGTTCATTGCGAACATTTCGTGGTTCCCAGCTGACAGTGTATGTTTTCGGCAGCGGCGTGGAACCTGAATTGTTCCCTTGCTTGCGCAAGTATGGCATCAGCTTTTACGCGTATAACCCCCGTGCGCCTCTTCGCCAACTGCTATATCACGATATGCGTGCTCACCACTATCACAATGCAGTGGGCGGAGGTTTCTTCACCGGCAAATATCTGAGCAAGGATGCCAAGGTCGAACCAGGTTCACGCTTCGACACTAACAAGTGGCTAGGAAAGGTACGGATATTTCGGAGAACGGACTCGGTTGCCTTGTTTACCTTGTTCGGCAATTCTGTAGTTTGCGAGCACCGTCTACTGGACCGACGCCTACTTCGACACCGTCACGAATATCAAGAAGGTCGCAGACAAGCACGGCCTCACCATGGCTGAAGTCGGTAAGTGGTAAGTCGGCTTCTCACACCGACCGTACCAATTCTAGCTCACTTATGAGTCCGTCGCTCTTGCAGCGCTTCGATGGATTTCGCATCACAGCGCCATGAAGTGAGAGTTCGGGGATTCGGTTATTATCGGCGCATCCAGCCTGAAGCACATCGAACAGGTGCGTTTACCCGGTCTTGCTCCTCTCGAATGCCGGCGTTGATCAATTTGACGCTAGAACCTTGTTGATCTGGAGAAAGGACCTCTCCGTGCGTGCACTATTCGTCCTTTCCCTGCGCTTCTACTAACGCCCGTTACGAACAGACGACGAGGTTGTCAAGACTTTGGACGAGGCTTGGAGCGGGGTTAAGGGGAGTGGTCCGTCCTACTACCGTTAAACTGAGACGACGTTGGGCGATATCCCGCCGTAGACGTCTATATGCCGGCGTCGGAATCATGTCACTTTTGCACGTATCGTGGTACCCACCGCGTGTGCTGGCGGTACGGCAATAGCCGTGTATGGATCGTAGTGGATTGTAGTCAGAGGCTGTGGCTGAGAATCTGATTGAGCTCTTTGACCACAGCGTCAACTATTAATACGGAACCACTGACTTCTCCGATTCGCTGGTATATGCACTTGTCGCAACTGTCGTGACATTGACGACACACAAATCATACAAAGATTCTGAACAGGGCTGCCTGTCATTCAATGATGGCGGGGCCGACTTACACAACTCCATGCGCTTGACTCAAAGGCTCTTACTCTCTTGGGAAATGATACTACGCTGACGCTCTCACAGACGTTCCTTTCCTGTTCATGCCATTGGGTAGCACAAACTTCCATCCATCAAGTCTGGTTCAGACCGTTGCTTCTGCCTTCCCTCGCCTTCACAGTGGGCGGGCGCATCAGCATCGCCGTCAGACATGTTTTCAAGTTCCAACGCCGCGTGTCCCGGTCTCGATCATCCTGAGGATCCTAGCGCAAATTGCCTCCTGTTCTATTAGGCTTCAAGGTGTGCTGTGGACATCAACACCGGGACTTGGTCGTCGTATCGGCATTGTTCGTGCCCCGCACATACTTCAAGTCGCACAACGATAGCTTTCGCAGGTCAGGCCCATCAAAGTCAATGCGCGGTATTTTTGGCCTCCACGGTTTCAACACCGTCTTCCGCACGTCCGTGAGCCGCCCAATCCTTTGGAAACCATCCGTCGCTGCCATTGCACCGCCTGAAGCGCCCATTCTCGCCGGAGCATTACTCCCCATTGGACGATATGCTCAGTTTGGGTGGCGATGGGCTTGGCACGCGCAGTTTTCCATAAGTATAAAACCTACACCCTACGACTGCTATCCTCATCCCAGCTTCCTTCGTTCTTTCCAGGTACCGGTTTACCTTTCGTTCCCCTTCATCTTCAACTTCCCGGTGCCGTCACTTAACGCTCTTTGCACTCCGCCCCCGCTCTCTATTAAATTTTCTGCTGCCATGGTTCGCATCTTTACCGCCGCTTTCCTTGCTGCTTCTTTGGTTGCCCCTATCCTCGCGGCACCTGTCATGCAAGAACTTTTCCCAATTTATATCGAGTAGCCTATATTAATCCTTCAATATTCCTTGCAGGATCTCGAGGACGCTCTCTCACAACATGTCGGGTTACTTCCACAACATCGGTAGCCACATTTCCTCTTCGTGGTTCGTACTATGGTTGTTCCTATGATTGCAACAGCATCTTAAATTTTCTATCACACTCAGGCGCTCGAGCTCGTCCGAGACCATCATCGTCCAGTCCATGGTGGAGTCTCTGGTCCTGTCCACGGTCACTACCAACGTGGTGTAGGCATTGAACATTCTGGTTCGAAGTGGTGGTACTCAACACTGCTTTCAGGAGGGAAAGCGACATTCAGGAAATCATCGAAGAGATGCAATCTTTCGGCGTATCTATGTGAGCAACTTTCTCCTCGCCGTTTATTTGAGCCCTTTCTGAGGGCGTCATCGCAGCGAGCAATCTGACGTTGTCAACGTCATCGAGAGCCACATGGTCAACATCAGCGAGCAGGAGGTGGTTATCCAGATGCTCGAGTCGATCATGAGCGTCGTCTCCGTCAACGCGGAGTCTATCTCGAGCTCTTCGGAATCTGTCTCGAGCTCCTCCGAGTCCATTTCGAGCTCCTCGGAGAGCTCCGGCTCGTACGGTAGCTACTAAGAGCTTTCCTTTGACGCTGCGAATACGTTAGGCATCCGCTGATCTATTTTACGGGTTGATCTTGTTTTCTGGGTTTTCGTAGTCTCTTAATGATATAGCTTATGGCTTACCGCCTTCCGCGTCGTTCCGCGGGTTGATCAACGGGGAAGGGCTAACGGACGATAATAATGCCGAGCTTCGGTCGGCACAATATTGGTAAAGATAGTTTACATTGGCAGAGCATGCACCCTCCCGCGCAAACTTGTTCTCTATCTGATTGTCACGCTACTTGGGCCGTGGTCCAAATTTCACAACCCACGTCTGCGCACAAACCTCTTCTCCTGGAAGCAGGATACGTTGTTCGAGCTCCTCGTTCTTCTTCAATCCCCTGAACATGGTGTGTCCTCTAAGATAATCGATACGTTTGATATGTTGGTCCCCATCGCGCGTCGCCCGTTCCGCTGCGGCCTCCTTGATGGCCGTCGCCTTCTCCTCGTCTTCGGATATCAGCGCCCACTCGCCTGCTTCCAGTGGTGATTGCAAGGCTTGATAGAGCTTCTCCCACATATATGCACAGCTGACAGGCTCCGGAGATGGCAAGTATATCTTCTTGCTGTGCACGATGTCGATCGTCCAAGGAAAATTCTTGGATATCAATCGGATATGTGTTGGTTGGCTCTGGGGAATGACGGGGAATCGCCCAAGATGATTGTAGTCGTTCGGAGGAATGTTACTATTTGGAGGATGGCGGACGTCCCATTGAACGACGAGAGAATCCGTCGCTAGACCGTAGCAAAGCTCGGGATGAGTCAGGGACGCGGGCGGCGACCATGCGGGAGATCCTGCGATCAGGCCGGTCAGAATATGTGGCGTGGACAGCGACGCAGAGATACTTACTACGTCTGCGGTCCGATGAGCGGGCATGGGTAGGCCAATGTGGATGCGGGGCATTCGGGGTAACGAACATCGGTACAGTTTGCTGAACCGCCTGAGGCACCCATAATACATGTTGGCCCTGTCCGTGAGCCGGGTACTGCTGGCCCCAGCCGCCCAAATAATTCGTCGGGATGGTCATTGTGTAGGATGATGGCTTATGATGAGACGAGAACCGGCACGGCCTAGGCAGTTTAAGTACCTCTGTAGAGCTATAGTGAGGCGATGAACAACCAAATTATTAGAGTTTTCAGCCGTAATTTGGCGCAGCGAACGCGTACGGAACCATGCGTCAGATGGCCGAGAAGCATGCCCTGAATAACTAGACGCCCGCGCCATTCAGTTACCCAGAATAAAGACGCAGCGCATTACCAAATCTTGCACATCTTGTTCCGAAGGGGGGTCAAGCTGTAGAGCGCTTTCGTGGTCCCTGTCCTCTGAACAGCAAGTCTTGCCGCAGCATACATGGCATATCCCAAACGAACACAGCAACCATATCTTGGACCACTTCGACCTCGAACGGAGAAGAACCAATCAAAACCACAAGTCTGACGAAAATGGCTGACGCAGACGATGCCAGTGGTCCCAGTGATCTAGTGGGTGGGGCACGATGGTCCGCCATGCGACCATCGGTAATACGTTTGAGTTCGACCTGTGAAATCATCCATGCTGACAAGGCCCAGGATATTGTTATTGCGCCCAAATCGATAAGAACTTCGCCGCGCCACGCTCCTGTCCGTTGTTAGCGCTTGAGAGCATGTGCCATGTGCGAATTCCAGTAAGCTGCCATCAACCCTATGGAAGAGAGTTCATTTCACGAGATCGTAGCATTAGCGAGACCGGGAGTCTTGATTGACCGCCCCATTGTACTTAGCACAGGACGTACTGGTATAGCAGTGATTGCGCCATGAGCGGGCCGTCGTTCACCATAAAAGCGGAAGAAGGAGCTTCAGGAATCATCACTTCACACGGCTTGGCGCTTACAGTCTGAGTGGTACTCTCGCCGTTAGAATTTCCTCGAGCGTTTCCCATGGCACCATATAATGGTGATTATTTGGACCTTTCCCTTAATCGATACCGTCCGTAGCCTCTAGGCGTGTTGTCCATGGGTTAGCAATTTGCTTATGGGCTTCGCTGGACCCAGGGAGACGATTCAACAGACGTCGCCGCGAGCTACAGACCTGAGATCCAAACCGAGGCAAGCTTTCTACAGCTTCCAGCGTGCTGTACTGACTGGTACTGTCTATACACAGGCGTGTATCGCATTGATCTAAAAGCGCTCACTGGTAAGTAAGGTCTTCAGACCCAATTGGTAGTTCATTGACGATGACGTCACTGATACACAACGTCTCGACTCCACCAAGCGCGGGACACGGATGCCTTCACATCGCGCAACATGCACACCCGGTGTCTGTAGTCAGCCCATGACGAAAACAATGGCCGGTCGCATTCACAAGTGTGCTCCATGATCTCCGTGCTACATAAGGACGAGTGGTTATGCCCAGGTAAGGTATGATGACACACCTACCTATATCTACACTCTTGTACTAATAACCTCTTTCACGATCTCACGAAATAGTTCAATAAAGCCGTCATGCTTTCATGGAAATCAAGGACCTGGGCCACCCATGCTTGCTTCATATGCCTCGTCATCTTCAACCAAGTCGAGCCTTGCACCGCCGCACCGCAATCGTTGCCTGTACACGATTTCCCCGACCGTTCTGTCACCAGCTCCTCCAAGGCGGGTCTGGCCTGGCCAAATGGTCAGTCTGTCGACATTACGCAATATCAGACAACAGGCAAAGTGTCCTGGTGAGTGCACAGGTCTCTCCGGTGATCGCGTTACAAACTCGATGATACAGGTATTATTCCTGGGGGCCGAGCCCTACGAACACGAAGCTTGAGTTCGTCCCAATGTTGTGGGGTCAATCCCAAGTCGACCAGTTTTCCACGACCATCAACAATACCATCGAAGCCGGTGGTATAACTGCAGTCCTTGGCATGAACGAGTTGGTGGTCCTATTGACAGTAAGGAAATCGTGCTGACATATTAATGCAGGCCACAGGAGGCAGGCCAATCAAATCTAACACCAGAAGAAGGGGCAGCAATGTGGAAAACGTATCTCGAGCCATTGCGTTCGCGGGGAGTTCGACTGGGCAGTCCTGCGCCTTCCAGCGCACCGTCAGGGAAGACTTGGATCCAGGACTTCCTGACCATTTGCGATGGTGGCTGCACCATTGACTTCATAGCCCTGCGTGTGTTTGTACCTAAACCTCTGCCTATCGCTGCTCACCCCCAGGTGCTTCCTCTCTTTCCAATAACTAGACTATTACGACGTAAACGCGACTGCAATGATCGAATATCTGGAAGATTTCCGCAATACGTTCCAACGTCCCATCTGGGTCACAGAATGGGCCTGCCAGAACTACAACGGCGGTAGCCAATGTTCCATGGACGACATTGAGTTGTTCCTCAACAAGACGCAGTCGTTCATGGACCAATCGGACTTCGTAGAACGCTATGCGTGGTTTGGTGCGATGGAAAATATGCAAGGCGTCAATTCCGTGAGTGACTGACGACGCTCCAGGCTCTATCGTATCGGTGACGCGGTGCCCTTACAGAAAGATGCGCTGATGACCTCGAAGGGCAAAATCAACGACCTGGGCAAGCAATACATCGGAGAAAGTAGCCCCGACACCAACGGCAGCGGCGGTGCTGACGGTCCGTCGGTTTCCGCTGCGCCCACGACGGCGACGGCGCCGATCCCGCTCGCAGTGCTATTCGCTGGCACTGCTGCGATCATCGCCCAACTCGCTCGATGATGGCAAACGGAAGAATCGAAGCGACGATGTTTCAGGATGAAACGCAATATACCCCGATGAAGCGTGCTGCATAGACAGTCCTCTCCTTTGTATTGTTCCGACGACAAGCTTCGATACCCTGCTATTGATAGACGCGATGCAGGGCGGTGTCTCGCGCCCCTGCAACATTTCCGGATGGGTGCGTAAGGCGATGTCCCGTTTTATGGGTCCCGGCTCATGTCCCACCCCGATTCAATCAGCGGAGGTGCGGTGATGAGACGCCTTCCTGCGCACTATGGCGATAGGTTCCTGTTCCCGGCTCCCTTTATCATAGTGCCTAAGCGTATAAACAAATACATGAGTGGAGGTCCATTCATCCGCAAGAAGCGCACTCACCGGGTGTGCCGGCGAGGCTCATTCGTCCAAGTTGATCGCCTTTCCGAACTTCGCATACAGAATGACCTTAAGCTCTTTCATCCCCTTTTCGCATACTTCAGCCTTGTCTGCCAATTCCGAGAGCTGGGAGTCGATCGACCCTTGATCTCGTTCCAATCGCTTCAGGGCGCGGTTGAGTGGGACGTGGACGAACGTCTCGCCGATCCGGTACCTATATGCGGCATCAGCGCAGGTTTGGACGAGTTGACAGTGAACGGCGAACATTACAGGCTCGTCCTCGTCCGCAAGCTCGAGTTCCGTCGACAGATCGTCGAGCGCTTCCTTCTCTTGCTGATGATGTGCTCCGTGAGGGCATATATGCGGGACCGCGAGATATGCGCCTACCTTCAACTCCGCGAGCTTCCCCTCGATATTCTTCAGTCGCGTATTGAGTTTGGAGAACTCGTTGATCCGTTGCTGGTCCTCTGAAATGCGCCGTTGAGCTGAGATCCGTCGCCCGCAGTCGCGATTCAAGTACCCCACGTAACCTCGGCGTTGTTCTCATCCTCCTCTTCCTGCGGCATCTACAAAGTCAATAATGCATGAGCCATGGCCTGGCCATCGAAACGAGGTCGAACCATGTACCAATCTCATGCTACTCATCCTGATCGACCAAGAGAGTACGCGGTATGGTGACCTTTTCCGCAAAGGTGAGGCTGATGTGGCTGTGCGCGATTTGACATTGGTGGACCAGCGCTAGCGTTCACCGTTCTGAACTCTCAATAATCGATAGCTACGCAAGGGGAGTGTGGAGTTATTAGATTCCAGCAGCTACAGAGTCTAAGAGTACAGTTGATTGCGCGACCACGGCCAAAGCACCATAGATAATAGCAGCGGTGATGAGATGGAGATAGAAAAAGCAGGATTGCGAGCCCCGAACCAATCGAGTCCACGGCATCCGCCTGATTGTCCGTGGAATACCCAATACACATACCCAGACGACGACGACGACGACGACAACGCACACACCGGAGAAAAAGAATCCGAGGGAGTACCCGCACGGGAAAAGGAGGGCAAGTCCTAAGGATACATCGTCGACGACGGGAACACGACACCGTCGTGCCGCACGAGGATGATCGGCCTGCGCTGGGTGATCTGCGACTCCGGGGGGAGGCAGCCCAGAACCTCCATGCACCTTATCTCGACGTACGGCGACGGCTCCGATCCAAAGAACACGCTCAGCGGCTCCGTCTTCGAAAAGTTTTCGCCGTAGACGGTGAGCATCTTGCTCGCATGGGGGTTGGGCTTGACCATCGCGCCACCGCGCGAGGTCGGGCACTTGGGCACCTCCGCCGCGCGGTCAGGCGGGAGGTACTTGACCACGCCCGGGAACGGCGTCACGGGCTTGCTCGGGATCGGGAACGAGCCCGTCTGGGGCGCGTTCTGGTTGTCGAACAGTACCGGCGGCACGTAGAAGTTGTACCGGACCTGGTCCGTGCCGACGATCGTCCACACGCTGCTCTCGCCGATGTCGACCTGCCAGAGCGCACCCGAGGACGCGAGGGCGTCGCCGCCGCGGCCGGACGATGCTCCGGAGCCTGCCGACGTCGGCCGCCGGCGGCCCTTGGCGCTCGCCGTCTTGGAGATGCCGCCCGCGCTCGAGCTCCCGCGCTTCTTCTTGACGCGTCCGCCGTCGTTGGACGGGAACTCCATCGTCGGCGAGGCTGGCATACCGTCGCTGGCCGTCATGCCGGGGAAGTAGTCCATTGCGGATGCGGCGGAGGAGGCGGGCGTGCCAAGAGGTGATGCGGTCTGCACGATCGGCGATTGCGCCGGGGAGTCGGAACCGCGCACGGAGGCCGCCCACTGACGACCCTCGACAGGGCGATAAGTGTTGACCTTTTCGCCCATGCAGGACAGGAACGGCCCAGATACGCCTGGATGACCTTGCTCAGGCATCCCCTTGGTCGCATCGTAGACCTCGAAGGCGACCTTGTGCAGCTGCGACACGGGGTCTCCGCAGACCTCGCCCGGCACACAGTACGACTCGGCGACGTTCTTCGCTCCCTCCTGGAGGCCTCCGCCGACGACGGTGGTGCCGTGGTCAACCTTGCGGATGATGAGGACGGGGCTGACGACGCCTGATGTCAGGCACTGCAGAACGACCGTCTGGTTGTAGTAGATGGGGATCTGCGACCCATTGTTGGTGAAGGGAATAGCGTTGGGCGGTGGCGAGGGGTACTCGGGCTGCGGCGGAGGCGGCGGAGGGGTGTCCATGCTCGGTGCGGGCTTGTTGACGTCGACGATGTACATGACGAAGGGGTCCCAGCTTGAGGTGCGGGCGATGAACGACGGCGTCTGCGCGCGGGTGCGCTGGTCGAGGCCCATGAGCGGTGCACCATCGGATCCCTTGAACGACGAGCCGGAGCCCGAGACGCAAAGGTACTTGGTCGACACCGTCTGCGAGCGCAGGCGATGGAACAAGGAGATGGTTGAGCCATGGTTGATGCAGACTGTACGCACATTAGTGAGCATGCATCATATGTCAAGCAATGGAACACGCACGTTCGAGGTTCTTGGCACTTTGTCGCTTCTTGCTGGGCTTGGAGATGACCTTGATCGGGCGCGAGGGGAAGGTGCCGATCACGCGCTCGGGCTCATCGTCGGACGCGGGCGCAATGACCTTGACGAGTGCCTCGACCTTCTTCTTCTTCTCGTCGACGTCGGATATGAACAGTTGCTTGCCAACGCAGCGGCCAATGTAGGTCGTACCGGTCGGCGGGTCGTTGATGTCAAACGACTTGCCGGAGGTGCCCGTCCACTCGATCGTGCCCTCGGACGGCGCGGGCTCGCCCGAGATGGAGACGACGACGCGGGGCGGGCACAGCTTGGGCTCCTCGCCACGGCGCAGCGTGTCCGACCACCACGAGTTACCGATCATAATCGCCGTCGGCGGCGGACAGAGGAAACTGCGGAGGTCCCCGTGTCAGCGCCCATCAATGATCAAAGTCGGGTCTCGTGACGACTCACCGTTTCTCAGTCCCGTAAGATTTTTGTGCGACCTTGGAGGACATCACGATGATGGTGCGCTCGCCAAACGCTAGGCGGTTCGGCGTCCGTACGTATTGATCCAAGAACGGACTGTAATATGCGGAGGATCAGCGCGATAGCGGAGGTAAAAGCGGGGGCCGACCACGTACCGCATAAACGTCTCGAGATCACTGGCTGAACCCATCGCTTGCATCCTCATGCTTCGGGTGATGTCGTCGACGTTTGGCATCAGGCCGAGATCCGCCTGCGGGTCGGACATGAAGTGTTGTCCGTATCCCTGCATACCACCGGGGCGGAAGGCTTGGGGGGAAACGCCCGGGATGAGGTCGGAGCCATGATGACCCATCGGGCCCATCATTTGCTGGTGCGACATACGCGAATCGGGATGGAACGATCCCGAGTGCTGAACGCCCCCGTTGAAGCCCATGCCCATCGACGGGTTGACGCCCATCGAAAAGTCATCGTGGTAATCCGACTGCCCGAAGCCGTTCTGGCCGACGTGACCGGACATGCGGCGGTCGAGTCCGAGATCAGGGAAGTTGGGTTGGGAGGGGTAGTCCTTCATGGGGTGGTTGATGCCCATCGGAGTGCCGGGGAAGCCCGAGGAGTGCATGCCCGGAACGGGGTCGTTGGGCGTCAGGGGCGAAACCTTGCCGCTGCTGTACGACGACGAAAGGCTGTGTGCACCGTCGTAGCTGGAGCCGGACGGATGGAAGGACGACATCGAGTCGCTGAAGGACCCGTGCGAGTAGACCGAGTCGTTCGGGAGGGGGTAGTTTTGGCCAAGGGACGACGATGAGGAGGCGTTGGTGCGGTACCTGCCCGTGCTGAACGCGCTGGGGCCGGATGCGGAGAAGAGGTCGTAGTTGGCGTGCTCGCTCACGTGCATGGGCCCGTCAGGGTGGGGGAAGCCCGCGCTGGGCGGCGGATGACGGGGATCGTTGTGGATGGCGCCGAGGGCACCGTCCATGTCCTGGGGCGGGTACGGCGAGTTCTGGAACTCGACCGAGGACATCTTGCGCGGACGGGAGCTGTTGTTGAGGAGGTCGGCGAGGTCCCAGCGGGCGAGCTCGGACGGTGGTGGTAGAGGACGAGGGGCGGAGGGAGCGTCGACGTTCATGCGGAAGTCGGGGCGGCGATCAGTTCCGGGAGTTAGCCAGGCAGCCTGGGCCATGCGGCGTCGAGGAGCGGGATGGGCGACGCGGGGAAGACCTGGGTGTACCGATCAGCCGCTGATGATGGTCGCGGTGCTGTGTGGATGGTGTTGGTCGCCGGGTCGGAGGCCGGGGTCGGGTGGGGCGGTGGGGACGGAGCGTCGGCGTCGAGGGCGGCGTCGGCGGCGTCGAGCGGGCGGGGATGCTGGCGGGGCGGGGGGAGACTTGTGTTGGCGGGGATTGTTTTATAACTTGGGTCGTCCGGGGAGGTATGCCATAATACGGCAGAGGCTGTCCCACTCAATTGCCCTTCCTGGCCGCTGCATCAATCAACGCGTCCAGCGGCGAAAAGGGTCCGAGGCACCAGCGTCACGCGTCACGCGTCACGCCTTCTCCCGCTCACACTCGGACGCGCGCCCCCATTGGCCCCTGCACCGTCTATCGCGACCTTGTGATGCCCTGAGTCTGCCGGCGGAAATAGCCAGCCCATCTCAGATGCCACCACTTCCTTCGCCTCGGCCTCTACCGAGCGACTAGGTCGCCGGCGCCACCCCCCGGCACGCCACCGTCCACCGACCGTCTGACCTATCCTCACCATGATGTCAGATCGACGGCTCGTCCAGCCCAGAGCGCCGTTGGCACCGACACCCGTCCGCGGATCCCATTCGGCCCATGCACAAACCCAGCCTAGCAGCGGCAACGACAGTCTCCAGCCGTGACCGCAACAGCGAGCATCACCCAACATATCGCCCCCGTAGTACGCACGCCGTAACCCAACCCGCGCACGCAACTTCGGCCCACATGCTCACTCGCCCCGGGTGCTTTCTCCTCTCGCACCCGTCCGAACGCGGCTGGTGCCTCCTAAGCCTGCTGCGGAGCGCGCACCACGAGCCAGTCAGGCGCCCTCCGAACGGCCAGCCAGCCAGAAACTGGCATTACGGCACGTTGCCAGCCCGCCGACGCGACACTCCGTCCCAATCCGTCTCTCGACGGAGCCTTCCTGAGAATCTGCCTCCAAATAACCGGAGGCGCGCTCCCAGCCGCTCCGCGGGCCAGCCCTTCTCCCGACCCCCGACGTCGGATACGCGAGAGAATGCCCGTGGTATGCCAGGCCAACCAGCCGCCCCGCCCGCGCCCCGCCGCAGACGACGGGGCGTCACGACCCCCTTTTGTCTCCTCCAATGACCGCGTGCGGGTCGTGCTAATCGGCCGCGTTCGCGTTGCCAATTGACCTCGCCCCCCCTCTCGCGGTGGGAAGGATCCTCCTCCTTTCCCTCTCGCAGGCCATACCGGAGTTATCCAACGTCTGCCACGCGACTCGAGATTAAACTTCGTCGCTGCTCTTCTCTACCCCAGACCCGACTATTCTTACAAACGCACGACCTTCTCGCTCTCGTCCGTTATTTCTGGGATCGTGAGTGTGTCGTGCGCGGGCGCATGCGTAAGCGCGTCCCAAATGTCGATCCGGTTTCGTCATGTCGCTACGTAAACCAAAACGCACCGAGGTTGCTGCTGGGCGATTGAGCAGTGCAGCGCGTCCAAATCGCGGTTTAGCTTCCCCTTCGTCTAGCTAATCGCTGCCGCCCCGTGCAGCTCTCCAACATATATACGCGGTCGTAGTCCCTGCACCCAACCGTGTCGAGAGTAGTCATACCTCTCCATACTTTGGCGCACAACTGCGCAGCACGCCGTCTAAGCAAGAACGTAGCGCGACAACAAAGTTTGCTTCCGCAAAACCATCACGATAACGCCATTTCAAATTCAAGCACCGACGCGGGTGGCTTGGCATTCCTCAACTTCCATAATTGGCCATGAGTTTTTGTAGCCGAATCGGCCACTTAATGCGGTAAGCACGCTCCTGATCTCAGATTACTAACTCAGGCACGCGAGAGCGCAGTGCGTCAGCGATTGCTGTCACTGAAGCTGCCTGTACCAATACAGCGTACACTCCGAGTCCAAGTATACAATGACGCTCGAATCAAGAGATGGGCCGCGGTACCACCGCAGCGACAGATGAAAAAACAAATGTGAAACCGCCCTCGACCCGATGCAAATCGTGCGCATCCACCGCGCTACGACGTAAAATACGAGCTCCCCAATAATTATCGAGCAGATGATCTACGCAGGATCTGCCCCTCATCAGTCGTCCTACATTGGCATCAGAGGACCTCTATATCAAGCCGAACACCGACGCACAAAGCGCTCGTCCGGCGATCGCACTCTCGCTCGAGCGCGCAATGGCGCAGCCACGCGCTCGCCTCCACGTCACCACCGACGCGCGAAGCGACAAAGACCCACCACCGCTAAGCGGTACGAATCCACTTAACCTCTTTCGGTGAGGACTTTGTTGCGCAGCAGCAGCGATAGCAATGACCAGGACCAGCTGGACCTTAACCAGACCCGGAAGTTGCGAGCCGCCGGCCGGGAAGCGACGGTATATCCGAGCGACGGATATCAGGCAAATAGAAATTAATCGGGACGATGGGCCCAGGAGGGGTGTCGAACGCGATGTAGCATCCCTCGGGCGCTCAGAGGGGTTCAGAGACGACTGCGGACGTGCCACTGGCCGCACGACGGTGAGATATAAACAGCTGCGTACCGGAATACCCGTCGCGACGTGGGCGTATATAGGAGGAGCGCAGCGCCTCACAGCATACGTCGGGTCGGTGGATCGATCGGCCGAACCGCCGGACGTGTCAAGATAATCGTAGCGTACACAGTCCATCATCGCGGAGTAATAAATGTGCGCACACTTCTGAAACGCGATAGAAATATACCGAGCTTAGGGCCATGTGTCATGTAGCACCATGGGTGCCGTTGCGTTTCCTCAAGTGGGATAGCGCCAGGACAAACCAGGTCGCGAACGTGAACCAACTCCGGTCCGGGAGCGCGTCGTGAGCGCTTCGAGCTTCGCAACTCGTAGAGATATGATGTAGCGCTTTGGCTCCCCGTTGATCATTGGTACGAAGCGTGCGCTACGCATGTCCAGGACCTGAATGTACGCGGATACCGACATAATGGAGTGGCGTTTGGTGTACGGAACGATCCTGGACGATCGCCGGAGGTATTCTCGGCGGTCATCTATCATGAAATGAGCCTTGTCAGTTGTTCCTGAACAGAACCGATCAATGCCTTTAGCACCAGTCCCGGACGTATACCAGAACGGTTAGTCTATTTAGATGCGGCGCAATATCGCCAGTAGAGTCAGTGCTGAAAGGGAGCGGTTCCTTGCTGCAAGACCGATTCACCGAAGGCAAAGTCCTCTATATGCGGGTCCGTGTTGAACGCGCTTGAGGGCGATCATGCGGGGTAGATCCTTATTCAGTATGTTGGTCTAGTACCCATGACGTCGACACTCTTCTGCCAACCTGCCGAACGCAAGAAGAGAAAGAGGCATCGGCAACCCAATGTCTACACAGCGTAAGAGCGGCAGGCAGCAGCGCGGGCGTAGAGAGGGTTGAGAATCGAGCATGCACCCGATTTCTGTCGACGGTGTGACGGGAGATCACGCCGACGCGAACCCCAGCCATAAACTCTATCGGATTCTTAAACCAGCGTGACACCTGACACCTGCCAGAAGCACCTTCGAGTGTTCGTCAGGCACGAAGCCACCCGCGCAGCAAAGGCTTGCAGCAGTCGTCCCCAGATCCGAGGCCGCGCGTTGGGGCGAAATTCCGGCGGCGGGTATCGAGGGCGGGATCCGTGGCCACCGCCGCCGCCGCTGCGACGCGGGTGTGGCGACGGTCGCAGCGCCGCCCGACGCGGGATTGGCGCCCTTGGGTCCCTCCAGCACCGCCGCACCCGCGTCGTATCGGTGCGACGAAGGGATGAGACGATAATGCAGGTATAGGCGGCAATCACTGCGCGCCGGTGCCATCGGCAGACTCGGTCGAGGGATGACAGGAGCCTCCATGTAATGAATCACGACAACTGTGATCACAGTCGACGCTCGCCGTTCTCAGGGGCTAGATCCGTAAACGAGTCAGGCGCCGTTGCGGCGCGATAATGCGAACGGAACAGAGGCCCTGTCTCCAAAGAAAACTCACGTCGCAGATCGCGCTGGATGTGTGCCCTCGCGCGGAGCTCCGAAAGTCCGTGGACGTCGTACGCTATTCTTCGCCCCGTGGATGAGCTGCGCATGATGAAGCAGGTCGACGTGCCGAGTCGCGGAAGCGCCTTGAATACCCAGCGTCGTGATCTCCGGCTGGAGAAAAAAGCTGGAGAAACTGGAATGTGCGAGGCCAGACCCGTCAACGGGGCCGATGCATCGGATGCAATCTATGAATGCCCTTGCGATCAGGCGCCTTGGAAGAAGCGATTCGACCCTCCGTTCAGCGAATCGGGGCCATATGCGCGGCTAGCTGCAGGAGAAGAACGTACGAACAACACCCGGACATGTTCCAGAAGGTGTGCGGTCTCGTGAACTGGCCGAAGTAGCAAAGTTCCATCAGCATTCACTCTGCGGAAGGGTGCAAACGTCCCCAATCGACGCGACGAAAGGAAAATTCCGCGATGGTCGTCCGATCGTGGCAGTGTCAATGTTCAGTGCAATGGCTGCATCGCACCCATACCGCGAAGTTGCATGCACTTGACGATCGCTAGGTATCGACCTTGGAGACTACTGCAGGCTGTCGAGACCATCTTACGCTGGACGTGTTTCATTGAATCGCCTGTTCGATCCAGAATCGCGCACCGTCGTCGTCCGTTATCGCGTCAGTACTGGGCGAACGGCCGGCTGGCCGGCGTCGTGACCGCTCGTCCTTCTGTTGTTCTATGGAGTAAACGAAGCTTGACTGTCTGATAACCGGCAACATGACCGCTCTCTGCGCACACCGTGATGAAGTGGCACCCCTCTGGCGACCCAGAGGACAATCTTCCGTAACGTAAGGAAAAGGCCAGCGGCTCGACTTTCCAAATCCCTCCTATTCCGCAGTGCAAGGTTTAGCGCAACTCAAATGTCGCCGCTCGCAATAATACTGTATGCAGAAATCTACTACTCAGGTCCGAGTCGCGTGCCCTGACCCTTTCATATCCTTAGATTGAGCAATGCCACACCTCCGTGCATCCCGTGCAGTGCACGATTCGAGGTCGAAGACTGACTCGACAGCATGGGAAATGCCCGCGACTCATCCTGTAGCTACCCGCGGAGATACTGGATGTGCACAGTACGATCTGTGGTTCTTACGGCGTGGCGGAGGACTTGACAGCACTTGCACAATCACCACCACCGTGTGAGCCGCATCCATGAACATCGATCGGTCCCAGTACGTCCTCGAACAAGGTATATTACAGAGGCTTATGACATGATAGCACAACTCGTGAATGAGTAGGAGTGATCTTTGCGTCCGTTTCTTTGATTTCAAAGAGTCCCATTCGACAGTTTGGCTAGGGATGCACTTGGATGTGAAGAACGGCGGCGATGTTTCTCGACCCTTCCGGACAAGGCCTTTCATCTCAGATCTCGAGAACTTTCCCATGTTCATTAAACCATATGTTATGGGAGCATGGTGATGCCACAGGCTGACCTGACTACGGAAGCCACAAGGGCCATCGACGGTGCGCCACGACCCCAATGATAATACACGTCCGCCGGGGATGTTGACTGACGGAGATCGTAGAGACCGCATGGTTGGCTCGACTGCGCAGCTCGCGCGCCGATGGCGAGAGAGGGGCCAATATTGCTATCTGCTTACGAGCAGATAGTGAGTATGGGAGCACCCCCGACGGAAGATGTTGCTACGCCATGCGCACCTAGCAACGAAGGACCATCCTCACATTCGGCACGCGATTGCGAAGCGCACCGCATGCTCTTTCAGGGAGGCCCGCTCGCAGGTAGTCCTTGTTCGCGTTCGCCCGATGACCTTCGCGTCACGCCCGTTATCTTAGATCGACGACGATGGCGTATACGCGATTGGAGCGACAAGGCGTCGCGAAGGGCCCTCGTGCGAGGATAACGAGGAGGACGCGACAGGCGGCGAACGGGGGCGGCAGGCACCGACGCCTCGCCCATAAGGTGCAAATAGGCTTTGACACCAAACTGCTGCGCCATGGGAAGCCGTAACGCGACCCGACTACCGATCCTGGAAAAGGGCTCCTCACAGCTTCCTATTGGTGGGAGTTCTCATCCCGGGCCGGCGTGAGCCTATTTGGGCCACGCCTTTTCGAAGCCGGGATACTACAACAACGCTCTGGGGACGTCACGCGAGGGTCGGTAAGATGTTCATATCCTCCTGAAACTGTTCAGCAGAAGGTGTCTCGTTACCGTATTGTGGCGGTAATTATTTCGAACACTATCCTCGATCACTGATCTCGAGGATCCGCGAACGCAGGGTCGACCGCCGAGGCAGCTTTCTCCGGGTCGATCCAGGCTCAGATGCGAAGCAAAACATGAAGGAGCGCCGGACAGGATTTGGTGCCACGATATAACTTGACCGCGATCTACGCGATCCTGCAACAGGGACATCATTTCTTTCGAATCGAATGGCATTCCCGATTTCGGGCAGGATCCGAGGGCGGAAATGCCGTCGTTACGTCGCGTCGCAGCATCGAATCAACGACCATAACCGAGTCTCGATGAGGGTCATCTTCTACCGCAGTGATACTGCGCGTCCGACAAGCCCGCCCGACTCGGTGTACACCGTGTAACGGCTGATGCTCGCGCTTGGCCTGCGAGTTTCGAACGGTAGCGCGCATAATCCGGAGACGCAGAACACGTGTTGATGATGCGACGGGGATGACCAAATTCGTGATTCGGGCAGGTAGCAGACGCAAGCCTGCCGGCTCGACGACATCTATTGCACCGAAGTCAGTCAATACACCGATACGGAGCGGCGATTCTGTCGTCCGATACCTCAATTCATGCCTGGAACGCGGCATAAGCATGTCTCCGCGGTTGTTAATCACACGATTTTCCCCGGACAAACTGAGACATGACTTCGATTCGGATGTAGTGAGCAAGCACCGACGGTCTCTTAGAGTCATACGGCTTACGATCGCAATCAGGATCACTCTTCTGCCGCATTACTTGAAGTCTTTACGACCAGAAGATAGGATTGACGCGTAGTCGCTGCCTTCAGCTGTCTTCGTCCAGAGAACAGCCCACATCCTCTCGAATTGACTATTATTCGGAGCTAGGAAAGGCGCGATGAGCCCGCACGGCGAGTTCGCCAGGCACTAGTAGCGGTAACAACCAACTGCGTTCATTCACTTTGCATCAACGCGCACGACGTGGCCTAAACGGCGACAGACTCTTGGTAATTATGGCTCAAACTCTGAAGACATCCCCGCCCTCGCTTACTGCGGAGCCAACGGCTATAAGGTACATGATTGCCTCGACCGTCGCCATATGAAGGTGGAGCTACGCCTCCGTATGTAGGCGCTCAACGTTCAACCACCGCCGCGCTCATCCGTCAACTCGGTTCACCAATTCTACAGAGGTCATCGATTTATAACTATGTGCATTTACAACGATGCACGGCTGCACCCGTCGACCGGATCATTGGGACACGCCGCAACGTTGGGAGCGACACCAAACCCAGTAAACGGGTCCACAATCGACCGTTATAGAAGCTGTAGCTCCGAAACTCCGGTTCGTCACTAGAACGCAAGGCCGTCAGAGCGAGATACATGCTTTGACGACACAACGAGTACGCTGGTTGGGTCATGTTGCTGTCTACTGGCCCCGCTAGCATGTTCAACGCTACATCATTGGCGGAGCGAAACTATTGGAACGTGATTACTTTCGGATTGTAGTGTCGTGGCTCTGGCGAGGCTATCGCACGTACCGTGAGAGCGGGTCAGCGAGGCATTGACATCCTCACTTTCGGGTGGTCCCAAGCCACGGACACCGGACCGCAACACTGGCACCGAGTAAACGTCGAACCACAGAATACGAGCTACATTGCTGAGGACGCTTATCCCGGCCTGCAACATCTACGAAGGTAGGTGCAGGGAAGACACGGTCTGCCACTTGCAAGGAACAGAACAACAAGTGGCTCCGAGACTTTGGTAAAGGCAGATGGCAGTACTCAGGGTGCCGGAAGCATACATCGAGCCCCGAATAGCAGCGAAGTCGATTGAAATTACCCATAGGTCAGATTCGCTCGCGTGGAGAAGGGTCCTTCTTGATAATGACGGCGTGCGGTCGGGGTTGAAGGTTGTTCGAGGCGGCGTCCCGTTCCTGAGCGACCTGTTCTAGGTGTCACCATCTGGACGACTCCAGCAAGATCCGGCACCTGTCATATAATACGGATATAATGCTGTTCCTTGCATTTACCAGCTTGAGCCGTGCAGCAATCCCATTCAAAAGCACGTTTGCTGCGTACATGCCGATCTTGCCTTTCGGACTGTAGTTCTACCGGTAATCCTACACCCACACAATAGAAGCTTGAGGACAGATGACCTCGACATCAAGCAACGGCACACCGAGATCGATACGCACGCTTGTGGAGTCCCTGCGGCAACACTACCAATGGGAGCGGTCGGCGGAACCTTACTCATGGGCGTTGCCGCAAAACGAGAAGATTTGCGCATTCCCTGAAAACCCCTGAAAACAGTGCGTCCGAACGCGAGTGTCACCGCATAATGAAAGGGAGCCAAAGGCCCCGAGCAACGTCGATCAAAACAGTCGTCGTACATCTCGATATGTTTGGGAGATACCTTCTACCAAGCGGATGTTTTGACAGAGGACGTCGAGTACCTTCGTAACTTACGCCCATGACTGACCCCGAACTCCATATCTTGTTTCTCATGCGAGGACGCGCGACCTTCGATTTCCTCTGGCGGTCGCTAGTAGCTGATAGAGCTTGTTCATGAGCGGGAACCGACGATGTTCGGTCGCCTGCCGAACAACGCAGATGTATTCCATTTCTCGACACTATCTCCTATCTAGTTGTCACAGTTGAGCGGGCGTGTGCGTCATACAGGCCACATATTGCTCTGCGGTCCAAAGGACGGACATTGGATGGGTGTGATTGCAGCGCCCAGGTCCTGAATGCTACCGCTCTAGTCCTCACCTCGCTTCACCAACACTGACACCGACGGCTTCATGAGACATAACCTCGATCAACCAGCATTTCACCCTTCCTCCAGGAGTAGCGAGGCATCTGCGACAGGTAGAGCAGGAGCTGACGATGGCCCAGCGTGAAGACGCGTGCGAACCGTCGGCCTGCAGAAAGGGATATACCGAGCTCGTCTTGCTCAGCAACCCGCGGACGGAGGTCTCCGGCACCGAGGGCCAACGAGACACACTGTTCGCTAGGACTGACGACAGCCGCCTGGGACTCCTGAGATTGTCACAGCGAAACTGCCCGATGGACTATTCGTGCACAGTCTGTGGTACAATCACGTTCGCGTCTGTGTCACAGTAATACGCCATATGTGCAGGATCTTGCGCGAGCGATCGCCCCCGCCCTTCGAGATTGCGTGCCCAACGTACAATAGGGCCACTCGAGATCAACCTCGGGGATTTTTGCATGTACCGAGTTTGTCGCACCGAAGGCAGAGAGGGGGGAGCAACGCGATGCTGGTACCCACGATCTAGATTTGATAAGACAGGCCTCCTCAGATCGGGCTTCGCGAGGCACATGGAGAGGGAAGCCTCGAGTTTCGAGAGAACGAAGAAGCTTGTCGGTTCCAGTCCCGTGCAGGCACAAGTGATCCACTGTACTGTAGCGATGCGATACCACCGCCCGCTGCACCGAAACGCCTCCTCTCGAGGGTATCTCAAGTTCGGCTGGACGGGCGTTCCGGTCGAAACGTCGCACGACCACCGAGATCAGAAGGACTTGCCGGTCATTGACACCATGGGACTTGCAAGCTAAAATAGCACGATTAAGATTCCAGCCCCGCCGCTGGGGAGTCGTGGCAAGGCTGGCCTCTCCGATGATTGTGGTACATCTCGGAGGGACAGAAGTTTGTGCAAGGCAACGAAGCCTTGTGGAAGGATATTGGCAATGTAACAGGGTTGTCCACCGAGCGGCGCAGCACATTTTTGCTGACTTCCGAAGGAGACAGAGTCCGAAGTTCATCTTGCCAAAGCAGGTCTGAGTCGATCGTGCGAGCATAACCTGCTCTCCATGTTAGGATATACTGCGCTTCTCCGTCCTCAGCGTGCATATGGATGGTGTACAGCATCATTCGGGGAACCCCCTCCGGATGGACGAGTAGACGATAACAATGTAGCGCAACGATGGCGTCGAGCCGTCGGGCTCTCCGGGTCGGCGTCCTAGGTAGCCTATCTGGGCGATTTAGCTCCGCGTTCGTTCTCATAGGCACGAGGGAGATCGGTGAAGTCGAGGGTGAGGAGGGGGCTCCGCTACCACCTGCGCCCGAAGAGTGAACCTGATACGTGGGTGGGGAACGCAGCGCGAGCCAGAAAGTGAGGCCCAACGGAGAGTACTCTTCGCGTCCGATATCGTGAGGGTGGTGCCGCAATGCGTAGTGATTGGGTGCGAACGGCTAACTCCGCCGCGGGCAGGATTTGCTAAGGCCTGGACACGGTGTGTGATTGGAGATGTAGGACGATGAACGCTGGCCTATCCGCTGGAAACGATATGTAGTCTGACCGCAGCTCTTCAGATCCCGCGTACTTTGTTATCGATGGACAAACTGTCATTGGCCAGCGGGCTCTTCCCGTTGGAAAACCGAGACTTTCGCGGTCCTTTGAGCCCGAGAATACGCACGCACCTCGCACGCCCTGCCGAACCGAGACATCCTGCACATTTGTCAAGGCGTCGCAAGGTTGTTACATAGCCATGAAGAGAGGACCCGTCCACGCAGGGGAATATATCAGCAGTCCCGTTTACCCGTTGCCGAGATCTTGACACGTCATCGCAGTGCACGATACTTGAGTACCAGGCTAGCAAACATCAGTAGACCACCAAGACCGATAACCAGCAACCCTGCTCATGCACCATACTTATTGGACAAGACAGCGGGCAGTACAGGACGCAAGGAAGGACGAAACCGGCAAATGACGGCGATCTCGTGTTGATTGACGCTTTGGAGGCTGTGTTCGTATATTGTCGCCGCTGATTAGCGCTCGTTTCCATTGATGCAACCCGCTGGAGGTATCGTCGAGCAAAATATTCGCTTCATCTTGCTCTGCGCGAGACGAACGAAAGATATCCCTGCGCGACGTTCGGCAAGGAATATATATTATTGTTTTGCGAACATCGGATATCAGATAGATTAGCTACCGTCTACAGCCTCGCTAATGCAGTCCTCTGATATGATACTCTCACGTGCTGCGTATGTTCGGAGAGGTGACGATGCTGGCCTCATCCATCTTACGCCGCGCCGCCTCGCTTGCTCGTCGTCCTCCATCGTCGTCCTCGTCGTCCTCGGCATTCCCGAGACACAGTCCCTCTCTGACTCCGCCTATCAAGTCGTTCATTTTCCGCCCCCGACCCTCTTATCTTGCATGATCGCCTCTTCATATCGCCTCGAGGCGCCTCGGCCTCGCCCGCCTCCGCCCCCACTCCGTACGAACTCACCTGGCGTGCGCTCGTCGTGGAGGTCGGCGGACTACAGTCCCGGGGACACTCAGACCCTGCTGCGCTATGAAATACCGTCCCCCGTCACTTCGCCCCCTCCGCGATCCGGTCTCGGATCACCGACATCGCCTCGTGCCATGTCGCGAGCGGAAGCACGACGGGCGCGCACAAAGAGCCCCCCCGCGAACCGCGCTATGAACGCTAGCATGAACCAACCTGCGAAGGACGAGATCGAGCAGTTCGCGGCACACTGCCGAGCATGGTATGTCATAAGTCTAATCTGAGCTTAACCTTCCTATGATTGACACATGAATGGGCGCTTCGCTTTGCTCAGGTACTTCCACCAAGACGACAATGCGGGCCGTCTCATGACGCAAACACTAGCAACCCTCCCGTCTGCTCAACGCGCCCCCTTCGCGAAACTCCAGGCCTCCATTCGGTCTCAGTATCACGCCCACGTCCAGATACAACGGCAGGCCGAGTACGCTGCCCACCTCTCCTCCGTGTCACCTGGTCAGTCCATATCTGCTGCTGCGCGGTCCGATCCGCACGGTTTGGAAGCGCAGAAGGAGCGACTGGACAAGTTCGAGCGGTTCGTGCAGAGGTGGTGCACGCCGGGAATGCCGGGGACTAAGCCCTTCTTCGAGGGCTTATGGGCGCTGATGAGGCTAGAGGTGATACCGGAGCACCTGGGTGGCGCCGGCCGGCGGAGAATAGAATGGGAGATCGACGATGCCGTGTTCAAGGAAGCTTCGTGAGTCGTCACATCATCCTCTTTTCACGTTGGTTCGAGGAGTGCCGCAGCAATTCTCTGGCGGCTTATCCGCTGCTGGGCTTTCTTCCTTCACGTTTTTGGCACCCGTTGTGACAATCGCCATGCGGAGACAACTGGATGGGTCTATTCTCGTTCACATTGGCGGGAACACATCGCATGAACGTTTTCGATCGTTGGAGCAGGCAATTTCTGATGGACGGATGGATGGACGGAGATGGCAATGCCACCCTTCGTGTCAGGGTCCTAGCCCTCCTAGGCGCTCTCCACCTACGATGGTCGGCTGTCCGTATTGCCCCCGCCACGTATCCTTGTGCTTCTCGCCTAGAGCCCCGGAGCTCGCAGTCTGTTCGCGTTCTAGGACTCTCGCGATACGTCCCTACCTACTCCGCTGGTTGGACTGTATGGGCGGGGCGTGCTGCGGTGTGGCGTTCTTGCCGCAGGATTGGGTTTTTCGCCCTTCGTTGCTGTCATTCATCACTTGATTCGAGTACCGTTCACGTTTATTTCTGCTATTTGTTCCCAGAGGAGCAGCGCGAGGTTTACCTCTAGTTCGCTTTTTTCGGGCCCCTTCGGGGCCGATGGGTGTACGCCTGCGCCTCACACGAGGCCCGGTTCGATCCAGCCCATTCGTCCAGGCTGCGGCACCTCGGCGCAAATAACCCTCTGGTAGCGTTCCTGCCGCCCTTTGCTTTGGTCGCCTTGTGACAGTGAGCGAGCGAGCATTTGCTGACAAACTGCTACTATCACCGCATCCCGGACCTTCCATCCATGACCCGCCGTATCCGTTACCTGACGCGCAAAACCGCCTCACTGGCTCGTCTCTCCCACCTCAAACTCGCGCTCTCACCCTCTGGATCCATTCCATGTCTTATCCGGTGCCCACAGTGGGAAGGATTTTATGTTCGAAGCCATCGACGTCCTCAAAGGGGTGAGTACCGCTCTTCTTTCTTTGCAGGCTCGCAGGTCTCCGCCTACTCCGCTCGTGTCTTCCGCTCCCAGAGCGTCCCACCGCCGCTCGCATGACGCCGTACCCGGTATTTAATGTTCTTTAGGCTGCGCAGTTGCCGCGTTTGCGGGGCCTGACGAGGATCATGCGTGTTCTCGGAACCTCTCGTTCCATTTCGTCTCTTGTTTCGAATCCTGTGCGGCGTGCGGGTCTTTCTTTAGGGCGTCGTCACAGCGCGCGCATTAACCTATGATGAGTGGCGAGTGGCGAATCGCCTAAGTCCGCCGCACCCCCGTTCCTGGGTCTTGCCTTCTTCCGTGTTCTATCCATTCCTACGAAAGCATGTTGATCTTTGTTTTGCCAGGTACTCGCTTTCGAAGACACCCCCGCATCGAAGCGGGGCCCGACGTGGAGTCGTCCCGGCTCATTGTACGAGCAGCCCGTGCCGCATTCGCGCTCGCAGTCCCAGCCGTTGGCACTCGCCCCCCAGCGGCAGCTCGCGAACAAGCCGGGCGGCATTTCCGCCGAGGTGTTCGCTAAGCGCGCCCGCGCCCCGTCGGACCCTTTCCTCGACACGCACCGTACCCTGCCTCCATCTCATACCGATGCGCAACCACGATCGTTGGGCGAGCCCCCTACGCTCACGCCATCCTCCGAGGTGTCGCAAGAAGAGCTTGAGGAACTACGTACACCTGGTACAACTCCTTCGGAGCACGCCAATGCCGCCGCAGCGGCTGCAGGCGCTTTGCTAGGCGAAGCTGAAGAAGGCGACGCGGATGGATATATGCGCGTTTGGACGGCGCCCGACCTTACGAACCCGGAATATTTGACACTCCTCAAGGTCTTCCCCACCTTCATTACCCAACGACCTCTACCTCGTTTTCCCACCGCAGGCTCCCGGAAGTCCGCCTCGGCGACCTCTTCCAGAAGATCACGTATCGCGGACGAGGAAGAAGGCATCGCGTCGGCCGAAGACGATGAGTTGAGGATCAAGTTCGGAACCGGCGAGATGTGGGCCGGTTCGCGGATGCGCAGCGCCGACTATGAGGGCGGCTGGTGGACACGTTTGAAGCTTTGGTTCAGAAGAGTATTCTGTTGAAGCCTGTTGCCATTGTCCCGACCCACCCACCGCTCATCCGGACTCTTTGTTTGTACGCCGAACTTGGCTTGCACGGACACCTTCATCATTCATACCACACTTAGTGCTTGCTATCCTTTTACCCCTGTTCCCCTCCCGCACTCACTATCCACTGCAGATTTAAATTGGTGCATATACACAATCATACAGTCACTCATGTACTCTTTTTTTCGGGCACCCAGGTTGACTTATCATTTGTGGACTCTCTTTCTTGATAGTCAGAATGTCACAGTACAATCCCATTGTAGAACTCAAATGCATTGTACATGACCACCAGAGACCGAAGTGGGTCGCGACACACAGGGTAGATATGACATATGGAAACATCCCTCAATGTAGAGGCGAAAGATAGCAGTCATCCTCACGTGTGTGTATGACCGTTATAGCAAAGTTGCCAGATGTCATTGTCCGTTGTGATAGTAATAGATCTTTTTACAGCTTGCGGATGGTGCAATGTCAGACTAAAACGATGTATGGGTGAACTACGGTGAATTTACACTAATCGATGTGTACCGGGAAAGCGATGGTAACGTGGGTTTGTTCTACATGTGATCACCTCCAAAGGGATCAAGAATCGTACACTACCGTCCTGTCTTAGCTTGTCTAGTCCGATGGAATGCCAGCGCATGGTTGACAGCGTTAAGAACAGGGTTCATAGCCTGTGACGTCGATTACAATGAGTCTTTGGCGACCTCCCACCATCGCGGATGTCAGACACGCACGATTTCAACCTTGGAGGGGTCAACACCTTCTGCCGTCGCCATCCTGACGAGGGCGTCGACCTTCTCCTGCGTTTTGGATAGATATCCCGCCATTTTAGCCGCCTTAGCCGCCTTCTGCGCCGGCGTCGATGCAGAGAGCACCGGCGCGTCTGACGGCGGCGGATAGATCGCCGACCAGAATTGCCGTAGGAACTCATTCGCCGCCGTCTGGCAGGTCGTCAACTGGCGAAAGAGGTGCTCAGGTATGTCATCTGAGAACCGAACGTGTATCAGCGGCACTGAATAGGTGGGAGAAAAACGAAGATTCGGGTGCACTTTTTCGAGTCTTCGTGTCCAATCGCGCGGCCACGTTCTGCGTCATCGCCGCGAGTGCTGCTTCGCCCGATTTCTTGTCGAATCGCAGCTATGGCATTTTGTCAGCCGAGGATCGTCATGGATATTGAATGGGGTTCAGTATCCCCGAAGACAGTCTCACCTCAGTCAGGTTTCTCGCCCAGTCGTCCAACGAAACCTTAGACTCTCTTAGCGCGGTTTGAATATCTACTTCTTCGGATTCTTTGCCGTCCGCGCCGGCCATCTTCGCCTCAAAGTAGCGTTGCCGATCCTGCATCTCGAGCGCGATACCGCTCGCTGACTCTGGATCGTGCAAATCCTCGAGATCAATCTGGGCGTAGTAGTCTTCCAGTCCGGCGTTGTCGGGGTCTGGAGCTAACCTGCGTTTCTTCGAGGGAGGCTCGTCCCCGCTGTGACCAGGGTCCACATTCAGTCTCGACGCCGAGATAGCCTGTGACGAAGGTAAAAAGAAGCGCGTTTGACGTACAGAGCGGACTTGAGCAAGCGCTCGGAATGCTCGTTAAACTTGCGTATGAGAGGGAGCGTCGCGCGCTGCCGGCCTGCTTGCATCGTGACATCGCGTTCGTTGCCGGTCTAGGCGATCCGGGAGCACGATGACAGGCATCGTGTGCGTTCAGGAAGCAGGCAAAGTTGATTGGCCCGGATGCCGGTGGCAGTCGAAGGGTCAGACAGCGTATCCCGGCCACGAAGGTGAAATTGTTTCCGAACGAGAGGAGGTTATTGCCAGAGAAGGGCAAGTGAGATCGAGACCGACAAAATTATCGGTGCGTCACAAGCGACGATGCACGATGGATGAAATGGAATAAATTGAGATCAGTAAGGTTTTAAGGTTGCAGTTGCTTGGCATACCTCGCCATGATCTTCTTGGGTCGCACCGAGGTCGATGAATGCGTCGACGCGCTCGTCACGCAGCCGACGAGGCTCGAGGTCTGATGGAGACGTAAATAGAAGCAGGTTAGTTCAATCGAAGTTGAACGTCGGCAAGTAGCGAGAAGGTGCGCAATAGTCACGCAAAGAGGGAAACGTGTATCAGAAACAACACTCATTCGAGGGAGTAAGAGTGGGAGGGAATGAACAGAGAGAGACGGATGATGACTGAAGATGAATGGAAGGACTGCGCCTGTATGTCCCTATGACCTCTGCGAATCGGTGCTCGGTCAATAACAAGACGATGGTCGAATCCAATCAATGAACATAGAGCAGACATTCAAACGCAAAAGGTATGCAACGCAGAACGTGGCAAATGACGCCGAGGGACAGGAGGTATCCAATCAGCACGTGAGAAGGCGCAACTCAATGGCCAGAGGCACACGAAGCACGTCCATCCCGAGAGAATCCGCGGTTGAGCAGGTGCCGTGCAGGGCGCGTCAATTGAACGCGCGCGCACGTTATCCGATCGACGTAGGAAAATCTGGCCTTATGAACACCAGTACGGTTCCGTGGTCCAGAAGTGTCGATTGTTTCCCGGAGGAAGAGGTTGAAAGCATGATAGACGTGGGCTAGATCAAGAAACGAAGGGCAACGTGGACAGAATGCGGGGAAATAGACTATCTGTTCAGATAGTCTTTTGGGCCTCTGGGATGGTCCGGGTGGGAGTGCAGAAGAAGCAGCACTCCTCCGGAGATCCGGTTGAATACTCGGTGGCCAAGAATGAACGGGCACGCAGGAAAAATTCCGTTCAAAAGAGTTGGGAGCTTCGGGTGACGCAGCAAATGATAACTGAACGGAACGATGGCGAAAAACTGAACTGCCACGCGAGAGAAAAGATATGTGGAAAGGCGATTGGACGACACAGAGGACACAGCAAGGGTGCAGCCGTGACAGACGGGTGCATGAGATACCAAATGGGTCGCGGCACCTATCCAGATGAAGCGGTACCGATGCATGTTACTCGAAAGTAGCCGCAGGTAATCCGGGGAACGGAGGCGTCGGTCCGTTGGAATCAAGCCGGATCGCTCTAAGAGATGGAGTGTTGCATGGCCAAGCGGACGGTGGACGAAGGCAAGCTCCACCGCAGAATGTATGGGGGAACAACGGGTCCAAAGGCTTCTCAGGGACTAAAGAAGAAAACCCTCTTCGAGGCACATTGCTTGAGCGCAAGGCGGCTCTCATGCAGGTAGGAAAGAACGGGCAAACTCTGGGTTGGCCGTATGCAAAGAGCAAGTGAGGCAGACGAGCGACGAATCCGAAGAGCACGACCTTATATGCGCGCAGCCAATAATGCAGCGGGCGTCGGCAGCACCGGCCACATGTCATGGTCCGGCGTGCAGAACACGAAATTTCACAGCCGCCAGCGCGGATGTCCGGTTGACCATCTCGCCGCCAAGAACTTCATGGCACCGAGCGCGTGCGGAGGCGAATGTGAGAAGCGCCAGCCGAGCAAGAAACACGCAAGCACAAGCGAAAAGAACGAGAGAAAGAAAGTGACGAGCAGAACTGGACATACCGTCATCGTCCTTCTCGAGGTACTTATCAAAGATCGGATCGTCCTTGACGACGTGTTGTGCCGCTGAGGAGCGGATCGAGGCGCGGTGTGCGTTGAAGAGCTTGGACTGAAAGTAGCGTTTCCAAAACTCCGCCTCAGTCAACTACACGTGTAGCAGCACAAGCATGGGCGAGATGAATGGTAATAAGCGATGGTAAGGAGATAAGGCAGAGAGCAGCTGTGAGCGCACCTTCTGTGGCACGTTCTCGCTATATGCACGAGCGACGACGGGATACTCTTCAAAGATGTCGTGCACGAGCTGAGGAGTAATGACAATCTTGATATCGCCGTCAACCGTCTCCGGGCGGGGATCAACGATAGTGCCCGGCCGGCCGCGTTTTTGCGAGGAGGATAGCTGGTAGGATGCGAGGAGGTGCTGTGAAATGGCAGGTTAGCAAAGAGCGAGCTGATATAAATCGCATAGGCAGACACATCGTGAGGCTTACCTGTCTTCCTTCCCAAAACTCAGCCTCCGAAATTTGCCCAGTCATGACCAGCTCGCGATGCAAAGTGGCGAGCTCTGGATGGGCCAGGAGCACCTTCTTCCTCAACCTGAAATCTTCCTGGCTAAGACCCGGGCCGGGTGCGGGGGTCGGGCTTCCTCTCGCACTCGGTACGACACTCTCGCTGCGCTGCAGGCTCGCCGTGCGCGTGTCAGGCACCTTGGCAGGTATAACCATCGGTTTTGGTGTCGGTGCATTGCTGGCCGACGCAGTCAACGGCGTCCCAGACCCAGGCAGCGCAAGAGATGGAACCGCAGAGGTCGCCAGCGACTTGTTGCGCGCGATTATGTTTGTGAGCTCCCGCTTGAATGACTCCCGCTCGGTGAGCGCCACAGTCTGCGGGGTCGATGTGAACGTGAAGTTGTGCCCTGCATCGTTGCCGACCAGTCCAACTTTGAGCTTCACTTGCGCAGCGGCCTCCCTACTGACTGATAAGGCTGATCGGAAAACTCGTCAGTCTGTGGAACACGCGGAAGACCGAGAGGCACTCACTGGCGCACTCGACGCAGGGTACCCTCACCGCGGGCGCCTTCTTGCCGCGCTGAGTCCATTGGAGATGAGACGCAGTGAGCTCGAGGACGCCGTCGAGTTTCCGATAGGCGGCGTTGGCCTTGCAGAGCGGTGGAGGCATCCCCGGACGCGCATCGCCAGCGCCAACCCGTGCCCGCCGCCTTTCAGCCACCTCCTCCTTCCTCTTTCGGACATTTTCTGCCTTGCTCATGAACGTCCTCCGCGCCCTGCACCCCCCGCCGCTGCGCCCGGCGGCGTCCGCGGCGCCCTCTGCTCTGCGCGTTGCGGCGTGCAGGCGCGTCGCACCCGCTCGCTCCTATGCTGCTGAGCGCACACCCTTCGTACCCCCGGCCGCGGCCGACGAGCTCGGCGAGGACCTCGCGGGCATCACCGACACCGTCTTCTACCCGCCGACGCCGACGTTCTACACCGGGCGCTCGCATCTGTATGACCAGCTAGCCGAACTCCAGCGCGCGACGAGCCTGGTCAACGCCGGTCTGCGCCAATTACACCTCTTCCCGCTACCACCGTTCGCGCTCGCGTCACTGCCCTCCATCCAGACCTTCTGGCTCCCGCATGCCGAGATGTCGGCCGCATTCGAGACGAAGCTCTCGATCTCGCGTTACCGCCAGATTGTCAGCCTGCTGAACGAGCTCGACCGGTACCGCAGCATCGCCGAGGTCGCCGGCCACGCTGAATATGCGGACAAGATCGGGGACCTGCTCTCGCTGTACGAGTCGACGAACAAGAGCCAGAAGTTGCGTCAGAACCGCGGGAGGAAACCCAAATTCGACGAGTGGGGACGGAGCTATACACTCGGCAAGAGAAAGGAGAGCGCGGCCAGGGTTTGGATGATACCCGTGCAAGGTCGGCTGCAGGGCGGTGCTGCCGTCAAACACGCGGTGAACGCTCTAGAGGAGGGAGAGCGACAATATCTGGATGCGGAGGAGGAAGCGGACTTCGTCGCGTCCGGGGCAAAGGACGCCATAGAAGCCGAGGCAGTTGGCGACTCGGAGGTTTGTCTCTCTCCTTTCGCGGAGGAGTACTCCCTAAGATCAAACCTCTGACGACAGAGTTCAACCTCATTAACTCAATTGTCACCTCGCCCTGAATCCATCTCGACCACCACTATCCTCATCAACAATGTGCCTCTTGCTCAATATTTCCCAATCCCAGCAGACCGTGAACGGATAGTGCGGCCCTTGAAGCTCGCCGGTGTCCTCGGTGAGCGATACGCTGCAATCATCCCGTGTCTTCACGCCTGGCCCGTGTCTGATTCTTCGATGTCGCATAGGCGCATATAACGTCTTCGCCCTTGTTCGCGGTGGCGGCACCTCGGGCCAATCCGGCGCTGTCGCCCACGGAGTTGCACTAGGCATTGCTGCTCATGAGCCAGATCAGTTACCTATGCTCAGGAAATGTGCGTGGGGTTCTGTGCCCTTCATAAAAGTCTGTGTTAACGCCTTCCACCTTAGCAAAGGTTGCCGTACGCGATCCTCGACAAGTCGAACGAAAGAAGACGGGTTTGCTCAAGGCTCGCAAGGCGGTACGTCATACTCGGCTCTCTCGAACATGCTTTCACGCAATTAAATCTCTCTCATTTCGCTATTCGATGAACATTTCGGATCAAATACTGACTTATTTCTTACTTTCGCCCTATGCAGCGCACTTGGGTCAAGCGGTGAATCTTCCATCTTTCCATCGTCGATTCATATATCCGTGTCCAGAGAGAGGGCCAGACGATTCCACTGCACAGATGACACATTCCATCGCATCCGGCAGGAATGCAAGCACGTACACGTTATCTGTATGTCACGGTTGCTACATATTGAATATCAACTCTACAATTTGCGAGACGTCGTCCAAATACCCTACAGTGTCGATGGGATTTCTGCCGTCGTCAGAATAGATGAAGGGTATCGAACACATTATCGCCGTGAGCTCAGAAGAATGATCACTGAGCATATCGCTTCGCAATGGCGGTCACGTCATAGTCGAGATGAACTCGAGTCAGTAAGAATCGGTAGTCGTAACTTGGCTGCGTGGAGCGAACAAGATAATGCAATCAGTTTATTATGTCCTACTGCTGTTGAATACTCACTTGTCCTCTGGCCGATCATCAACTTAACGTCGAAGTCCTTGCTTTATCCCCGCGTCCCCGCGCATACCTGAACGAACGCGATGATGCGCAATCGCGTTTATGAGGGACGCTGGATCGTCGTCTTCGTCCCACAGCGAGGTTACCTCGACCGTGTACGCGTAATCTCTACCGCGGTCAGGCAGCAAGTGTCGCAGATCTAGTAGAGTGGGCGTCAAAACGACATAGGGATCCGCAGGAAACGCCTAGCCACATACCCACGTGAACTGTCGTGAGCTTCAAGCTTCTGTGTGGTCGCGATTGACTTGGTGCACTCCGTGTGCGCGCAAGTGAAGGATTTGGTGCCTTCCGGTGCATGAATCGTGGTGAAGTGGCTCCGAAGCTGGTGCTGTTTACTGAAGGATTGTTAACGGTCCGGTACGGATGGTGAACAGCCATCGTGCAGTTCATGCAACGCATCTTAAACGGGTTCTCCCCGTTGTGCCAGTCTAGATGATTCGTCAGGTCTTGAGCGGTCTAGAAGAGTGTCGCGCATCCGTTCATCTCGCGAATGAAAGTCGGAATTCGGAACATGGGTGCGCTCGTGCACTTGGAGGTGGATCTCGCAGATATATGGGCGCTGTAATCACACAATATGAGTAAGGATAGATGGAGGTGGGAGGAATTAGAGACGTACCTCGCCAGTATGGATCCGTTCATGCTGAGTCATATGGGCAGGTTTGGTGTAGGCATTGGTGCACCCAACGTAGGTGCACGCGTATCTCCTCCTGGTTCTAACGGGGCCAGGCCAGACACGAGGAGACACTGAGCAGAGGTAGAGGGACCAGTGACAGGTGCATCTTCTTCCGATTCAGCATTGGCTCCTACAAAGGTGTTCTCAATGACTACGACCTCTGCAGGTTGGCTGATGATAAGCCCGACCGGCGCCGCAACAACGAGCGCACGGGAACGATGCCCTTCATGGCCCTTGAGCTCCTGACCGAGTGTGGCTGGTCGGGTCATGTTGAGCACCTGTACCGTCACGATGCTGAGTCGTTCCTTTGGGTTGCCGTCTACCTGATCTGTTGCCATACGGCGCATGGTACTCTGATCCCTGGATCCTACATCTTCCGTGAATGGCGCGTCAACAATTTTAACCAATGCAGGAAAAACAAGAGCAGCTGGCTCAATGCACCACAAACATGGTCAAGCCTTTACCTTCCAGGGATTCGTGCCGTGGAGGACCGTGAATGGCTTGAACAGCTGGCATACTTTTCCTACGAGCAGAACATCGCCCGAAACAAGGAGCAGTACGCAGCATCCCGCGGAGCCCTGACGCCACGGTCCAAAACAGATCTTGAGGAGTTCAGAATGTTTTTCGAGCTTTTCCCTGAAGACGACGGGCCTCGTTTGCTAGAGTATTCTGATCAGCAGGCTCAGGAGGGGTTGGCGGAATAAATCAAGCCTGCTTTTTCAATATGGCTTACTCTCTGTATCTTCATCCTGTACATACCAGTCCCACATAAAGCGAACGCGGACGAGCCGTCTGATACTTTTGTTTCTTAATGGTGTTCTTCCAAACGCCTGCCACGGGCGTTCATAACTACCGGTAAGACCGCGAATCACGTGAAAGCTAGCGCTGGTCTCAGTTCCAGCTGCGAGCTCGCTGCCTGTCATTCCGTTCGGCGCTGGTCATATCTTCGGATTGGGTTCTTCATACGATCACCACGAGCCTCCAGCACTACGTGTACGACTATTCACGAATATACCGTCTGGCGTGTTATCCGTTCTCTGGACTTCCTTGCGTACAAACCGCATATTCTAATCCACGCTAATGGAGACCGTGACCTACCCAGCATCACACGACTTGAATGCCCTGTCGGGCCCAGAAAGGGCTCTGAAGATAGCCCGCCACCACCCGTGCACTTCCTGCGAGACATGTCGCGGTCTGCACCCCCCACCCGGCGTGAAGGTCGTCTTAAGACCCAGCTCGCGGGACTCTCCTCTGGGCGGTCTCGCGGCATACGGCTCAGACGACTCGGACGAACCCGACGACAATCACCCGGATATGCAGAGTTGCGGGTGCGGGCATGACCGGGCGGAGCACGGCGCGGACGAGCAGGAGCTCGGTCCGGAGGAGTTCACTCGCCGGGCCAAGGTCGGGGCCCGGATAGACGAATTGTTGCAGGTTAGATGTGCAGACCGCGTCTGCCGGTGGTCGATCCACTAACCCATGGCTAGGTGCGAACCGGTCGTCAACCGAGTTTCGGTCGATTCATAGTAACGCTTTCAGGACGCTGGGCGATTGCTGGACTTCTTCTATGTGGACGAAGACATCGAGTCGTTGCGCAAACAGATGGAGATACCTGATGACCAAATGTTCGCCAATGCAACTCAGCCACTTTCACCCAGTGGGTCCCATTTCATGTCGAAGCCATATAATCTGTGTCTCACCAGTCCATAATGCAGCTCTATCAGCGTCCTCATTGGAAAAGGAGATACTGTCACCCGGTTCATCCTTGACCGACCTCTCGCCGCCCTCGAAGAAGCGGCGGATATCCTTTTCTTCCTCAAGCGGCGACGACTCCGACGAGGAAGACAAGCCATTGGCCAGCCTTGCGCAACGACAAAGCCAATCGAATGGTGCAACAAACGGAAAGCGGCGTGGCACGAAACAAAGGAGTGGCAAGGGCAACAAAAAGTCGAAGGCCACCACCGCGCCCGTCTCACTCCCGCCCCCAACCGAAGAGGAGCAGCACGCGATGAACGACCGGTCGACCGCGGTGAATGGACACGAGCACAAGGTCAAGGTTGAGGACGCCATGGACGGAAGCCAGCTCGACAGATTAGCCACAGGTGTTACGGTTGACACTGCTGGATCAACCTCCCTAGCAGTATGCGGTCGCCTTCGTGTCAGGACTTCGTGTACTTACGAGCCCTTGGTAGCCTCCCATCAAACCGGAGAAGGCGGCACACGCCGAACTACGGAAGGGCGTGATAAAGATAGTACCCGTGGAAGTGAGCACTCCCGGTCCAGACACGGAGCCGCCTTATTGACAATGCCTGCTGCATCAGAACGACGGCGAACCTCGATCCTATGTTATATTGACTGGTCTCAAAACACTCTTTCAGAAGCAGCTGCCGAAGATGCCACGAGAATACATTGCCCGTCTTGTTTTCGACGACAATTCTAAGTGTCTTGCAATCATCAAGCGAGGGTACAAAGTCGTTGGTGGCATCTGTTACCGCCCTTTCCCGCATCGCGGATTTGCGGAAATCGTCTTTTTTGCTACCAATAGTGCAGACCAGGTTAAGGTCGGTTCCGTTCTTCCATCGCGAATTCGAGGCTGGGTCTGAAGCTCCCGTGTGCTAGGGCTACGGTGGCATGCTCATGGACCATTTCAAAACGCATATCAAAGCGACCTATCCCTCCATGATGCACTTTCTCACCTACGCTGACAATTACGCCGTTGGCTACTTCAAAAAGCAGGGCTTCTCGAAGGACATCACGCTCGACCGCTCCGTTTGGGCGGGCTACATCAAAGACTACGAGGGCGGCACGATCATGCAGTGCACGATGCTACCCAAGGTGGACTACCTCGCCGTACGCGACATCCTCGCAAAGCAGCGCGGGGCGATCCTCGAGAAGATACGAGAAAAGAGCCGGAGCCACATCATATACCCCGGGCTACCCCAGTTCATGCCCGACAAGTACGAGCCGGGGATGACGGTGAGGCCGGAGGACGTTCCTGGACTGAGTGAGATCTTCCCCCCGACGGACGACGCTTGGTTGCCTGCGACTGACCCGTCCGGATCCAGGCGAAAGCGGATGGACGCCATCAATGACGGCGGTACACCGGGCACCCGCAAAGACCTCGGACTACAACAGCATGCGTCGCCTGCTAACCGATCTGCAAAGCCACGCACAGGCGTGGCCATTTCTGCATCCCGTCAACGCTGAAGAAGTTGCGGATTACTACGACGTCATCACGAATCCCATGGGTGGGAGCTGTCTGCGATCGGCGAATGATCATGTAGATTGACTCCGTACTTTTCAGACTTCAGCACCATGGAGCACAAGCTCGAGAACAACAAGTACTCGTCTATGGACCAGTTCGTCGCAGACGCGCAACTGGTGTTCGATAACTGCAAGGCATACAACCCGGAAGGTACTGTATATCACAAGGCTGCGAAGACGCTCGAGAAGTTTGTGAAACAATGGGTCGCAGACAGGATCAAGAAAGAATCGTGACCGCTCTCTGACTCCCCTGATTTATCGCTCGCTAAGGACCCGTTCTTTGCAATGACTTATTGAGTTCGCGTTCGCCGCTTTGTATAAATACAACATGATGGGGTAGTGGTGGTGGTATGATATGACGCAAATCGTTGTTTGTCAAGGTCGGCAATCAGCCCTCGAGCTCAACGTTGGCCGTCTGTGGGGAACATGTCGGTAGCAGGCCAGATAACGTAAATGTAATGATACTCACAAGCCTTGGTCTCGAAGCCCTTGCGGCCGACGATGATGTTCGCGGGCTCCTGCGGCTTGCCGGTGAGATAGTTCTCGAGGATGCTCTTCGTGCCCGCCGCGTAGCGGGCCTGCGCGTCGAGGGTGGTGCCCGAGTAGTGCGGGACCATGCCGTTACCGCCGCCAAGCGGGTTCTTCATGGTGCGCCATGGGTGATCGCGGGGCGCGGGCTGGACGTTCCACACGTCACCGGCATAGCCGTTGATGTGGCCGCTCTTGACGGCCTCGGCGATGGCGTCCTTGTCGCAAATGGCGCCGCGAGCGGTGTTGACGATCCAGGCACCCTTCTTGAAGTGCTTAAGGAGGTCGGCGTTGACGAGCCCACGGGTTCCCTCGTGCAGCGGGCAGTTGACGGTGACGAGGTCGCACTGGGATACGAAATCCTTCAGGTCCTCGACGCGGCGAGCATTCACCTCCTTGGCGGCGTCTGAAAGAGGACGAAGGTGTATAAGCTAACAGATCTATCCAAACATTGTAGTAGCACGCACGATCGGGGAGCGCGGCGTAGTCGTAGTAGAGGAGCTCCTTGCAGTTGAAGGGCTTCAGACGCTGCAGGACACGGAAACCGATGCGGCCAGCTCCGATGGTGCCAACAACTTTGCCCTCGAGATCATAGGCGTTGCGGGCCACGTCAGATACTTGCCAATCCCTAACATGGAAGAAATCTGTGAGCGAGTGCCGCAGCTGAACATACAAAGCATGCTTACCCGCGCTCGATCATCTCATGGGCGGGGACAAAGTTGCGGACGAGGAGGAGGATGGACATGACGACGTGCTCGGCAACGGAGACGACGTTAGAGCCAGTAACCTCGAGCACTACAAAAAATATGGTCATCATCTGCCGGCATATCTCCCGCATGCGGACCTACCCTCAATGCCCTTCTCCACGGCGGCATTGAGATCGATGTGGTCAGAGCCAACGCCAGCGGTGATGCAGATCTTCAGGTTCTTCGCCTTGGAGATCAAGTCGGCAGTCAAGTAGCCAGGGTGGAAGGGGGTGGTGATCAAAACCTCAGCCTAAAGGAGATACATAAGTTGGGTTATGGAGATGCAAGATGGGGATAGATGAACATACGTCGGCAATGTTCTTCTGGAAGACGCTGTCGGGACCTTCCTTATCGCTCGTCACGACGAGTTCGTGGCCCTGCGACTCAAGGAATTGGCGCAGGCCGAGTTCGTTCTCGACAGCACCGAGCAGACGAGGCTCCTCCTTGGCAGCCTGGAAGCCGTTGTAGAGAACAGCAAGGACCTATGAAGAGATGAGATCATACGACCCAACAACAGTCCGGTATCTTGAATAAACCTTCATGTTGTTGGCGCGAGTAGATGAGAAGTTGCGAGCGGTTGCGCGTAGAGGTGAGAAGGTCGCAGAGCGTAAAGAACCGCGTAGTGCAGTGGCCAAGACCATGGTATGCTCGAGTTTATATAGCGCAAGGGTAGCGTCCCGGTATTGAAGTTTAGCAGTGAGATGTCCCCTGGGAGCTGCTGGAAAGAGAGTTTATGAGGCCCGGGTCATGAGACGACGAATTGCATCGCTCAGCGTTTCTCTGTCGGGTTATCTTTGGCCATGGACGGCACGCCTCGGAGGTGTCGCCAGGATTGAACAGAGATGGACGTGTTCAAACCTTATGACGCGCTTCCGTGTGCACGTGCCTTGACTCTGCTTCGGATGACCCATCGGCTGAAGGAACCAATCGACTCGCAGCGGCGGCATCGGACGCAACAAGTTAGTAGCGCACATCACTGCTCGGTAATCAGTTCAGGATCATGCACAACAATAGCGCAGCAGCCGTGCGTACTTCTCCTGAACGTGGCGGCAACCGGACGCTCATGCTGCATATCCTGAATGAAATTTCCCATGGCACAAACTTGGACCCCGGACCGCCGTGCTGCCGGATGCGGGGTAATCTGTAATTCCGTTGGTTTATTTCCGTCCACAACGTCTCGAATATAGTTGCACGCAGAGGCTGCTCATAGACGATGCTCTACGGGGATGTGCGTATCTGCAAGCCACTTCAGAGACCTGCTCCGGGTCAAACAATCGGACTCACAAAAGCCCCTTACCCCGAGTACCACCCACCACCGATTGTTGCGTCAGCTGCCCAATAACGCCGGACAATCGGGACCTAAAAGGCGTAGTGTGATATGCAGCCAAGACAAGTGAAGCCAATTTAAGTGGGACCTGAGGGCACGAGAAGCATCACACAGGATCGTGGTCGCCCTTCTTCTGAGTCCAAACCCGTCCCAACCGTCCCAACCGGCATCTCGCACCAATCGCGCCCGACTGAACACAAACTATGAGCCTGGTATCCCGTGTCCGTGTGATTACAAATCTAGCCAGTGGTCATATGTTCAGCCATCGCACAGTGTGAATCGAAGACGTGGGCGGTACTCACCTATGTACTCTAGTGAATGCTTTACGAATGCGCGTCGCGCGCCTCTACAGCTTCCCGGCCATCCACCAACTCATAATCCTCAGCCTCGAAGTCGACGGCGGTCCGGGGGCTCTCCGCGCCCCTGCTCGCGAGCCCTTCGCTTTTCTTGATCACCTCCCACTCTATCCTCAGGAACACCCACATCCACCGCCTGAAGATCTCGGCCACCTCGATCCAGAATATGACAACGCTTCCTTCAGAACTGCTATGGAGATGACTTGATAGCTTCATCGACCATGTCATCCTGAGGATGAGGTTGAAGAACACCACCAAGGGGTATACGGGAAGGGGATATAGGAGCGTTCGCCGAAGACCCCAGGGATAGGAAGGCACGTGCCCGTTTGTATGAGCTTGCGCAAGCGAAGGTTTCTCTCCAGAAAGGGTGGAATCGAGCGAGCCGGATGCTCTACCTGAATGTAAGGTCGGGAGAAGGAGGGAGCGAGGGAGCGATATACGCCTCTCGTGCAGGGATGACTTCGGCTTCAGCAGATCCAGGCCCCAATCGTTCGTCAAGTCCCACCAGAACGAGTATAGCGAGTTCACGGCCGCACTCAACAACCTTCATGCAAACGAACAATCAGTTCGTCTGGCCCCTCCAGCGAAGCGGGCTGATCACACACCATAGTCGGAATAGCTGGTGCTCTCCATGCCACGGCTCTCGCATTGCAACATCCCCTTTCTCAGCCACCAACTCCGACACAACGATGCGTTGCGCCGCGGACAAGAAAATAAGCGGAAACGCTGTGGCATACTTGATCGCATTATAGAGCGGCCGACGGCTTTCGTTGATCGGGCACATGTAGTCTATCATGCACTGCCGGAATCGTATAACATACGGTAGGCTAAAGATCCAATGCGATTGAGTGGACGTAGCAAGCATATACGAGGCAGACTCACCTCATTAATGTGGGCAATATCAGCCATTCCAGACCGTCCATCGACGGCATACGGAGTAGGCTTCCACCGGGTAATAACATGCACACCGATAGCCAGACGTCTCCAATAACCTTCGCGTATGACGTGAAGATATCGGCCAGAACAACGTCGCAGAAGTGTGTCATTCGGTTGGGTTGGGGGAATATACATCGGCGGATGGCTCTACGCAAGTCAGCTCTCGTGCGCTAGTATCATATATGGCGCATACATACAGTAGAAATGCGTCCCTCTCCCGCTTGTACAGTACATTGAAAGGCGACACCAACACGCCTATCACCCCGAGGCACGCGACGGCAGGGATGTACTTGAAGCGGTCGACAGACTCGATTTCCCCTCGTGTAGCCACCCGAAAAAGAAGCCACGTCGCCGTACACCATGTCGCATAGGATACAAAGAGCCGATATGGTGCTTTGTACGTCCCAGTAGCGTACCGGTCGTGCACCCGAGAATGGACATGAGTGCGGTCGGTGGGCAGCGGTGTGCGTAGCCCGCCTGCCCCCCCGAGCGCGAGGTCGAGGATGCTCGCCGCGTCTATTCCGAGAAGATGCGTGACGTGTAAGTTGGTGGCCCATCCAAGGATGCCGATGCCTATGAGCGAGAGTGCGCGGAAGGGTAGAGGGAAGGAAGCGGCCAAAGGCGTTTCTTTTCCGAGGCGAAGGTCAACATCGTTGTTCATCGTCCGGAGTACGTAGCCGGGAAAGTCGTATATAGTGTCAAGCGTCCTGTGTCGTTTGGTGTCTGTATTAGCAAGGCATCGGCGGCCTGCGCAGCGATACTACGCGTGGGGCAGTACCAGCAGATGAGCGAGGATGAGCGGGCTCCAAAGTTGCGAGGAAGGATTCAGCACCGCCACCAGTTCCCGTTGCCCATTCTTTCACTCGGCATATATAAGGCCACCGTCTGATCCCCTTCGTTCTACACGTAGGCCATGGCTGCCATGGCGCGGCCATGCACCCTCCCCTATAAGTGGGGCCGATCCAGTCGGGGAAGATGGAGGATCACAATTCATACCACAAACCCAACCTACACCCCGAAGCTCGCGACGGGGTTGAGCATATTATGCATTTATGGCCATCATCGTTGGCGTTGCGATTCATCAACGCTCGTCACGTCTTCGGCAATGATTCGGGCCTACTGCGTCTCACGGATCTCGAGGATACATAGTATGGGTATTGATCAGCTAGCTGGATTGTACTCGTATAAATCACCTACACATCTATCTGTTTCATGACTCGCAAAACCTGATCGCAAAACATTTCTCGCGTATCGCGTTCGTCCTTTTGCTGAACTGCCGCATCCTGCAAGCAACATAGGACCGCGCTGGTATACTTCATGCCCGCCAACCCGTCGAAAGACTGCTTGACCATGATCGCCAGTTTGACCTGCAGGCGGCAGGATCAAAGGCCTGCCCGCTCGCGCCTAAGCTTCGAAGTCGTCAAATACTGCAGTCAACCCATTAACCGAATTCTACGACGCCTTCCCAAACGGTTCTGACCCAACATGTGCATCCCCTGATTTTCGACAACGCCTGCGCAATCTCTCTCGCCAACATCGGATCCTCGAAACCCTTCACCACCAGCAGCTTCGCCTCTCGCTCGCCCTTCTCCGTATGAAATACCTGCGCCGCCTGCATCCCGACCCGTGGCCTCTTCCCCGGCCGCTCTGCACCCAAGCCGCTCTGCATCCGCTCCGGCACCACTGGGTCCGGACTCCGGTCGTCTTCCTCCTCCAACCTCCTACTGAGCGCCTCCGCCAACCGCTTCTGCAGGAGCAGGAACACCGGGTCGTTTGGCCTGAGTGTCCTGTCAACAGCATCGCGCAGCTTCGATTCCGCGTCAGCGTCCAAGGTCGGCTCGACGGATTTCCTCGCGCGGTAGACTTCATCAGCTAGGTTGATGAGCTTGGTTCCTTCCGCCTGGGGCTCGCCATCGATCTCAGCTTTCAGAAGGGCCCAGATGCGCTGCATGAACTCGCTGCCCGTGTCGGCTGACAGGCGAGTGAGGGCACGCAGGGATGCGGCTATGACCAGTGCCTGAAGAAAATTCTGGACGTAGAGAAGGGATGGTGTGTCGAAGAAGAAGGGAGGCGGGAGTTCGTTCGTGTGGCCTTGCTCTGGGCTGGTTGAAGTGGACAACGGCGAGATGGTACCAGGAAATACGCAGGAGACAGGCACGTTAGCGAGCAACGCCTGGACCAATTTCCGAATCCAGCGCTTGCCCTCGGGTCCGTCTGTTTCGCTCATCAGCCAGTCGTTCCATCGTGTCCGAGTCGTCTCAATAGGCCAGTGGTCTAGGACAAAATTCCTCTCCCGCATCTTCGCCTGGGTGGTGATGATCGCAGATAGATCACTCTCTGACATGGTTCCGAGGACGAACTGCGATAAGTCGTCTTTCATGACGTCCGCCAGTTTCAGTATATCGCGCGTGGTATTCACGATGGCATCCGCTAACGCAGAAAGGTCTGATGGGGGAGGTAGGTTGTCCAAGGTATCGAGGAGGGCATCGATGGAGGCGTCCCGCGCCGGCGCACATCGCCCGCGGAGGGCGAGAAGAACCTCGCGTAGGTGCATGGCCGTGCTCGTGAGCGGTGACGAGGTGGGAGAAGGCGGGAAGCTGAGCGTGGTGAGAACTGGGTGGTTTGGAGGAACGAGGGGATTGATGGTGTCGTGTACGTCTTTGTACAATCCTCGTATCCGTGCCAACTGGATAGAAGGTAGAGGATCGGATAACGCAGCGCGTGCCTGATAGTGCGTAAGATGCTGATATGCGCTACGAAACATGGGGGAAGTCTTACCTCGTCCCAGAACGCCTTGTGCGCGGCGACTGTGACTCGATCCTCCAGCGTGGGCTCCTCCTCGTTTGTATGCTGCGTTCGTGGCCGGGACAGAACCGAGAGTAACGATTTCCCGGGAGGTAGCACTTTAGAGGGATCGGTGGCAAGTAGGTGCAGGAAGAAAACTTGATTCGCAGAGTCAACGAGCTCCAGTGGAAGAACTGTTTTGTTTACCAGATGCTGCGTTGCAGCAAGAGAGGAAGAAGCAGCTGGAGGGTGAACAATTGTATAGCGAGAGCCATCCACTGGAGATGCCTTAGAGGTCAGCATCGCTTCCAGCTGTCCTAGGAGTTTTTCTCTATCCTCCGTCTCTTTCCATAGTCCCCTTTGCTTGAGCACTTCGAGATCGTCGCGGAACGACGGCCAATCAGCACGTCCGCCCTGCTGTATCTCGTCCAGCTTGTTGAGTATCCGGGTCACAACTGGGTCACCGTCGCCGAGTCCCTTCAGTGTTTGCCTGAGAGATTGAAGTATATCCATGGATCTCCGTAGGTCAGACAGTGCTCGGAATCAAAGCAAACAAATTAGCCATTCCTCTGAACGGACATGACGCAATGACAAAGCCATAGTATTGTGGCTGTGACCCCATCCGCCGGAAATGGTCGCCTCCGCCGCCGTTTCCTGATGATATTCGCCTCAAACAACCGGGCTCGGTCTGTGCCCGTGTTGCCCGAGTAACCCAGCAATACCTTCTTACATATGCACGCGCTACGGATGCTTCGAGCGTTTGATCTTGGTTCACGTATATACTCCGATCGCAGGCTACCATCCTTTGGCTACAGACGATGACGACCATACCTGGTGCGTAGTCTTTCGCGTACTATCGAAGATGTACCCACGCTGTATTTGGCCATAGACGAGAAACTGTATGCCTTTGCGGACCGCGTTAAAGGAGTTGTCGTCCTGATTACTGGTATGTACTCATCCCGTGCTAGGTGACAGGCTTCGTGATGATTTGGCCTCGCAGGTGCCGGGAACGGTATAGGCAAAGCTGCCGCAGTGGAATTCGCGAAGCGGGGGTTCGTCAACTGATTTGACATGTGCAAGATCTGAGATCCTAATTTTTGTTCTCAAAGCGCGAAAGTGGCCATTGGAGACATCAACGCCCAAACCGCCAAGAGTGCTGCAGAGGAGATCGTACAAGCAGGCGGGTACGTTGACACGCACTCCGCTCGCAGGTGTAGTGTTGACATACCATATGCTTGTGCCGCAGCGAAGCCATAGGGCAACCATGCGACGTCACACAATGGGGCGACCAGGTTGCGCTGTTCCAGGCTGCGCACCGACAATTCGGTTCTGTGGACATCGTCGTTCGTCTAACTTTCGCGTTCTTCTCCGCGTCCTTGACAATGACATACAATTCTCAGATTGCGAATGCGGGCATCAGCGAGGTCGGCACACTCGGCCAGCTCGAGTTTGACTCGGATGGACGTCCCCTACCGCCAAATACCAAGACTCTCGACGTGAATATCACCGGTGTAGCTTATAGTACGTTTGCTCTCGTCTTGAATGGATAAAATCATATATAATGTTCGTTCTAGCGACGCACCTAGGACTCTATTACATGAAGCAGTCCAAGAGCCAAGTCAAGGCTCTGGTTCTCATCGGCTCCATGGGTACGCCAGCCGATTGAGCTCAATAATGTAGTAGTTCACTGTCGTTCAGCTTCGTGGCAAGCCGTCTCGGGCGGCCCGCTGTACAGCGCATCAAAACATGGAGTTCTCGGCCTGGCACGCTCGCTTTACCCGGACGCCCGGAGTGCTGGCATCCGGACCGCCATTATTCACCCTTGGTTCGCAGGTTAGCCCCTCTTCCTCGCCTCTGGTATACCTGCAACTGTTAAATATGATTGTTTCGTGATAGCGACGGGCATTATCCAAGGGCAAGATGATCTCCTATCCGGCCTGCCTCTCACGCCGGTCAGCCGCATCGCCGGCGCGATATTCTACGCCTCTACGGACCGCGATTGGCGGACGAGCGGGTGCGTGTGGATGCTCCCGGACGAGCGGATGCTGCTGCTGCTCGAGCGCGAGCGGTTGACGGAGGGCGTGTACCGGCTTATCGACGAGAAGATCAAGCGGCAATTGAGGTGCGTCGTGCCCTAGCCTGCTGTTTGTATCCTTGGACTGAACAAGAGTTTGGATGCGTAGGGAGCAGAGTGCGAAGAGCAAGTTGTGAGCTGGCTGCGTCGGGAGAAGGCCGACGCATATACGCATCCCACATTCGCGCCGTCGTCCTTGCACTTCAGAGGACCAGGACTCCTCCTTGTGCTTCAGAAGATTGAGACTCCTGACATTTTTGTTTGTTTGTGTAATAGGTGATAGCCAGGGCTTTATGAATGGCTTTGCCCGACGTTAAGACGGGGGTGATGTTGAGAACACAGCGTACGAGGTCTTGCGGTCCATTGCATATGATTATTGCAGTACGTAAGTCCATGAACGGTCTTCGATACCCGGTACACCGTTTGTCTATGGGAAACTGAGGGTACATCTATAAATGCCGTCTATGTGTGAGCACAACTCGTGACAGAGCGTGGAAATAATATCTAAGGAGGGGTGATCATGGGTGTGCAGATATAGATAAAGGCAAGCGCGCCGCCGGTATATATTACTGTCCGGTTCGGCAGGGTGAATGCAAGATAGCTGAGAGGTCGGGTTGCTGGCGTCGTTGAATACATATATTCGGTACACGTGTAGAAACCGAGGACGAGAGAAACCCGTCCTCGCTCGCTCGCTCAGGGCAGTCGGTGTCGTTCTTTCTTTTTTTTTACACGCTCAATAATGGTTCACCTCCCCGCGCCGGCCCGTCCATCCTGGAACCGCACGCGCGCCTGCGCCGCCGCGCCGTGCTGGCCCCTCGCGGCAAGGTCCACGTCGCTGCTGCTGCGCGTGATCGATTCCGAGTTCGAGCCGCTGCCGGGGCGAGAGTGCGCCTGCTGCGCCTCCGAGTCGTCGTAGCTCGGCAGGCCCGTCATGCTGCTCAGCGGGGGTACGCCGCCGAGGAACCCGCGCGAGGCCGTCGCGTAATCGGGCACGGTCGTGTACGACTGCATCCCGAGGCTGTCGCGCTCGACCTCGGGCGAGGGCGTCGCCGGCGCGGACGTCGAGTGGTGCGCGCCGGGCGGGGGGTGCGGCGGGTAGGGCGCGGCGGGGTAGTGCCCGTGCGAGACGGTGTGGGTGAGCGCGTGCTGGCCTGCGCTCGCCCGGCCGGGCCAGAAGTGGTCGGCGAGGTTGGAGTGGCTCCGGCTGCTGCCGAGACCGAGCCCGCTCGCGAGGCTCGTGAGCGGCTTCATCGACGCCTGGAAGAGGCCGTGGTTCGACCGGCTCGCGAACGAGGAGTGGACGTAGGTGTCGTGCTGCGCGGGCGCGTGGTGGTGCCGCTCCGGCGACGAGTTTCGGGACGGGTTGCGCGAAGGTCGGCGCGAGGCACGGCGCGAGGCCCCGGACGAGTCGGGCGGGGAGGGGTCATGCGCGTGCGCGTGCGAGAGCGAGGAGGAGGCGCCGATGATGGAGCCGAGAAGGGAGGCAACGGGGCCATGTGGAGCATGCGAGCTGCTAGAGGTAGGGCGCGACCACGCTTGGGGAGGAGGCGGCGGCGTCATCTGAGCGGGTAAGGAAGACGGGCCGGCGGCGGCAGGCGTCTGGCCCTGAGAGCGATCTTGCAGCATGAGCAGCTCCGAGTTGACCCAGTCGAGAGGCGCATACCCGCCGGGACCGGACGGCGGGTGTGAGGGCAGGTGCGTGCGGTCCTCGTTGGGGCCGTCGGGCACGAGCTGCGGGGAGTGCAGCCCTGAGCTAGGGGTGCGGGTACCGCTAGTGGCGGGATAGCCCGGGGTGCGCATCCCGGATGGAACCTGGCTCGCGTTGATGCGCACGGTGGCCGTGTCGGGAACGTACATGTTCGCGATGCGGTCGCGGACGTGAGAGTTGTACGAGGGGAGCTCGAAGTCGACTTCGGCGTCGCGATCGCCGTCCGCGCCGTAGATGCCCCCGGCGGGGTCGCCGTCGCCGCCGAGAAGGAGCTGGCGGGTGACGCGCGTGGCGGCGCGGGCCTCGTCGAGCAGGCGGTGGTCGAGGATGTGGAGCGGGAGCGAGCAGCGGAGCTCGGACGTGTGCCCATCGGCGTTGCCGATGAGGATGCTCCAGCGGATGCGGTGCGAGACGACGATTGGCTCGAGGTGGTGCGTGGGCGTGATGAGCGCCTGAGGCGGGAGCGGGAACGACATCGTCACGATGATCTCGTTCTCGGCCGGCTCGAGGTCGTCGGGGAGCTGAATGTCGAGAGGGAGCGGCGGCGTGCTGGGGCGGTTGGAGGGCCCCGCGGCGGCGGAGGAAGAGGAGGCGGCGGCGGCGGATGAGCCTGCAGGAGGGAAGTACGAGCCCGGCGCCGCGTTGGCGTGCGGATGGTACGGCGTGCCAGGAGAGGAGCCGTTGGTGTGGAGGTGGTGCGGCGTTTGCGCACCGGTGCCGTGCGGCGTGTGGCCATGGTGCCGGTGCCGCTGAGAATACTCGTCGACGCAGACCGCCTTGCCCTGCCGAATCTCGTGCTTGGTGGTCATCATCACCCGCGTCGTCTCCTGCGTCGACGTCGTCCGGCCAGACGCGGCACCTCCGAGCTTGACGGTCTCGTTCAGAGTCGTGACTATGTTCATCACCCGGGCACCTTTTGCGATCGGCTCGAACTTCATGAGCGCGGTGATCGTGTCGCCGATCGCCCACGCCTTGTGCGGGACCATGATGCTGTACATGAGCTTTTCCGGCCAGGTGTTCTCGATCTCGAGCGTCTGCTGGTACTCGAGAGCCTCGGGCGTGAACGCACGCAGGACGGTGATGCGCGTGATGTTGGTGAGGTTGGAGGCGAGCCCGGGCCGGACGGCGGTTGCGCGGAGCTTGTAGGTGACGGATGCGGATCCGAGGGCGGAGGTGTAGATGGAGGAGGGGAGCGAGCCGCCGATTTGCATCTGGAACGGGAAGACGTGTCGGCCGGCCTTGAGGGTGTGCGAGTGCGACTTGGTGCCTTCGAGGAAAGACCAGTCTTGGTTGCAGATGACGTAGGTGACGCCGGAGGCGTTGAGGGATATGCTGCACAGGGGTACGTTAGCGTCGAGCGTGCAGGCTCTGGGAGATGATGACCCACGAATCGGAGGAGGGCGTCGGTAGCCGGGCCTTGCCTCGGAAGGTGAGGGTGATCTCCCGGATCGAGGTCGGCTCGGACAGGTGGAGGACGACGTTGCCGGAGAGGAGGGCGGGCTCGACGTCGACGCCGGTGCCCTTGAGGGTGAGCACGTCCTGGGAGACGGAGATCTCGAGCGTGGGCTGGAAGCGGTCGTGCTTGTCGTGTTTCACATGGTCGGCGTCGTGCGCGTAGGGCTGGAGGGCGGCGTGCAGGGCGTCGGAGAGCTCGTCGATCTGGCCCGACGTCGGACGCTCGCCGCGGCCGGGGGATGGGGGCCGGGTGGGCGGGCGCGTCGGGGGTCGCGTGCGGTTGGGCATGGAGGGCGGCGGCGGCGGCGATGTCGACGTCGACGTCGCTGGCAGGTGGAGGGACGACGGCTGCAGCAGTGGCTGCGCGCAACTGGTTATCTCAGCGGCGGTCTGGACAAAAAATGCATCCGCGCGACAATTTGCGCAATCGACCGGGTCCGGGCCTGGGCGAAAGGATCAGGCACGGGTGCGTCGGATCGACGATGGCCGGGATCGAGCGAGGTTGCGGCGGCGTCGTGCGGCGCGTCGTCGGGATCGGGGTCGGGGTCGGGGGGCGGCGGAGGGAGCGGGAGGGCGAGCGTCGGGGAGCGTGCCGGGATATATGCCGGGCGAGCGGACATCAGGGAGCGGCGCGACGATGAGACTCGGCTGCACGAAGCATTAACCTGATCATGCTCACCGGACGTCCGGGCCAGAAGTCTCTTGGCCACGTGCGTTATAATCATGTCCGGACGCAACTCCGCTTGATGCCAGCGGGAGATATCTAGAGGGGCAGGTACAGAAACCCATTCCGAGGATGCAGCCCGTCGTCGTTATATACGGCCTCCATCAGCATACATCCCGAGATGGACGAGAACAGCCTCGACGACGATTGTACAACATGTTCGCTTTGGTCTTCGCGGCGTTCCATTCCGAGCCTAGGTGCGCCAGCTTCCCCTGTTGGGAACAGCCCGCGGCAGCAAGCACCACCCCTCTCCGCGCGAAGACATCAGAAACAATCCCCTGTGCGACGTCGGTGGCACAGGGTTGCGCCCCGAAATGTCGCCGTCCTTGATCTATCACCCAATATCATCCTCGCCGTCGTCGAAATAGCACGCAAGGATCAACGCTTCCTGTTCCGATACGGGGATAGCCCAGCGCCCATGGAATTAGACGTGCCCATCGCGTCCCTGGCGCGCAGGCGCGGCCCGTTCGACCGCCGCCGCGCCACCGACGTCCTCCGGTAAACCTCCGCTGTCCCGTCGTCGACCTGCCTGTTCCTGCCCTCTTCTGCCCACGCCACGCCCTCGGCGCCTTTTCCCATACCACTAGCCTTGACATTCGAACACCTTCGTCGACTGCTGCCGGAGGTCACTCGGTCATCTCAGCTCGATGCTCGTCGTTCTACTGTTCCCCATCTGTCGCTGTTTTGAGAAACGTCGGCGTAATCTCTCGTGATGCATTTGATGAGTCGCATGCCGCGCGCCCGTCGGACCTTGTTGCCTACGGCAGACGCGTCAAGAAGACCTGCAAGATTTGCATCCGACAAAAGGGCTGTCAAGTACTCCATCCTGCGAGTCGTCATGCACTGTCTCAGCTCTCTAGGCTTCGCCCTTGCAACCCCCTTCAACGTCAGCGCCCCACCGACGCTTCCATATCTCCTCGCAACCACCAATCTAGGCCCGCATGTCTCCAAAGCGACTCACTCCCACCATCGACGATAGGCAAAGCCGTCGTTCGGACAAAAAATGAAGGCAAAAATAGCTCAACAGCACCGACGCGCTTCTGTCTCCGGCGCTGGCAGGACCCTCGGGAGCGGTGCCTTGATCATCGATATACCGCTTCCGACCCTCCTTTGTGGCGCCAGAACACGAATTCAGAGCGAAGGGCGAAGTTTCTCCAGCGACCCGCGCGATTTAGATAGCACGCCGTCTCTCACTATATCTCTCGTCTTCCCAGGCCGCCGACGCGCGCGGTCATCATAATCGCTGCAGCAGGGACACAACCCACCTCTCAACAACCACCGGCAGTCGACTTGTCGCAAGCCGTGGTCATACTCAACTCATCTGTTCATGCAACATCCCCCCTCTGGTCTCTCTATTCGACCCTCGACATGAAACCTTCGTCTCCACCCAAATACATGGCTACTCCAACCGCGCGAGAAGGCGCGCCCTGACGACCCGCAGACCTGGCACCTCGCCCACCGCGGGTCGGCCACTAACCGCACAAGCACACCTTCTGCCGCACGACGCCCATCTGGCCGCCTTTGTGAGAATAACGCGAGATTGGCGCGTAGGGTCGCGGTTCTTCGAAGACTGCACATGTTTTTATTTTCTTCGTTCTTCCGGCTGCCGACTTGAACGAGGCTGCAAATAATAACCTTTTTCCTCGTTGCTTGGCCGCTTCATCAGGATCTCGGACCTTGACGGACTTCCACGAGGCAGCCATCAACTCGGAGACGATGTGCGTTGGTGCCCTCAGGACTCGAGTCGGGCTTCAGCAACTCTCCATATCTGCCGCTATTAGAGTCTATCTGCAGGTGGTGAAAGTTCTCCGCAGTGGTCAAAGATGTCCGCGGGGAGCCCCGCCAAAAAATGCAGTCCCACTTCGCCGTGCTGCAGATACACTCTATTGCTCCAAGTCGCGGTGTTCGGCTGCAAGATCCCAAGCTATCCCATGGCGGTGGTCTTCTGTCCCGTGACCACAGCCGCTCTCAGAGGCGACCAAACACCATGCAGGTCAACAAGCAGAAACATATCTGCTATCTCCCAGGATCACCAACTCGATCTCGTCCCCCGTCCGCGAACGCCATGGACCCATCGCTGTACCGAAACTTCAAGACTGCGCGCGGGATCAACTACCACTACTACTTCTCCGCGCCCTCTGACGCCGGATCGAAACCGACGTTGCTGTTCCTCCACGGTTTCCCATCCACGTCCTACGACTGGCGCCACCAGGTCGCGTTTTTCGGCGCGAAGGAGGGGTTCGGTCTCGTCGTGCCCGACATGCTCGGATACGCTGGAACCGACAAGCCCACGGACGGTGCGGCGTACAGCGCGGTCGCGATCGCTAAGGACATGGTCGAGATCCTCGAGCACGAGCGTGTCGGGGAGTGCATCGCGATCGGACACGATTGGTGAGAGGACAAGGATCCAGGGATGAGCTGCGATGGGGAGGCTCACGCTGGATTCGCAGGGGCACCGCGCCGCTCTCTCGCTTGGCTATGCAGTTCTCCGAGCGCTTCATGGGTTTCGCCTGGCTCGCGGTACACCACATCAAGCCAGCCAGACTGGATTACGAGGACATGATCGCCAAGCTGAGGCAGGCTTTCGGCTACGACGTCTTTGGCTACTGGCAGTTCTTCGACTCTCCAGATGCCGCGGGTATCATCGAGAAACATGTTGGCGGTGTTTCTGATCTGTCTTTTGCGATCGCTGACGACCCGCGGACACAGATCGACTCCTTCCTTGAACTGTTGTATCCGGAAGATCCGGCGCTGTGGAAGACGCACGTGGCGAACACGGGGAAACTGAGGGAATGGGTTGAGAGCGACTCGCATACGCAGCGAGCGTCCTACTTGACGGACGAGGTATTGTATCGGTCTCCTCCTAATACGCCGCGAGGCTGACGGAGGCGACGCATACAGGACTACCAGCACATGCGCTCTACTTTGCTTTCAGGTGGCATGAAGGCGCCGCTGCTGTGGTACACGAATCACGTCCGCAATCTTTCCCGCGACGCGGACCTCGGTGAGCCGCTCACCGGCGTAGGGAATAACCGAATTTACGCTGAAATGTTGATTCTCCCCCTCATCGTATCGTGCCGGGCAGCGATACCACTGGACAAATGGAAGATCGCGAAGCCGGTTTTCTTCGGCGCGGCGTTGAAGGACTACGTTTGCCTCGCACCCGTCGGCAAGGCGGGCATGCGGCAGGCCGCGACGCGGGAAGAGCTGGTCACCGTCATCGACTTTGACACCTCGCACTGGATCCAGCTCGAGGCTCCGGAGGAGCTCAATGCGCGATTATTGGAGTGGATCGATGGCGTTGTGAAACGCGATGAACGAGTATGACCTACCTTGGGCATGACCGCGCTGCTTCAGAAATAAGTACACGTAGCTTCTGGATACGAAGAATCGTTGCCGGCTTCGGACAAGAAGTTTGAACATCTACGGATTTGGAGCGGACTCGCTATCCCTTTGCCTCTCAAACCATCAAGGCTGGCTATGGACCACAACAGTATCGACATGCTCGCGCGCGATGTTTGTTTCTCAGACGACCGCAGAAAGACAATATGGGGCTAGCAATCGTATTTGGAGAAGGTTGTCATTGCGAAATCTCACGCCTGCGGTCGGCTATCCATAGCAGCATGACCGGAGAGCGGCATGGCGTAGACGTCACACTGAGACATGATACAGCTCCTTCTTCCCTTCTGATCTAACTATCTCGAAGACAGTGTGTCGCCGTGCAAGAACGCGCTGCTCCGCCGAGTTCTTCTCCAGACCATCGCGCGATTCGCGCCCGACTCCCGACCGTTGGTCTTGGATTAATCACCGCGGCGCGGTGTTGTCCACACGAACATGCACGCTTGCTTGCTCCGAGGCGAACATGCATGAACCCAGAAGGCGGCGAACAACCTCGACGCCCCGCAGCCAGCAAGGCCCCTTTCTGAGCCTAGACCCCGTCTCGGTAATTCCCGACGATCATGATGCGTTGCGACTGCCTTCGCGGTGCAGCGCTGACACTGTCTGTGAGAGATGAATAACATTGAACAGCCCCTGCACAGCCCAGCGAGCAACGAGGCAAGGCGATCCCGTCTCACTGTCGCGATATCGAATCAGACGCAGCGTCCAAGGGCCAAGGCGATGCTTGTTCGATAGTCAGGATCAGGATGCGCATTGCGCCCGCGGTGGTCCGCCCCCAGCGGAAGATAAGCTATAGAACGTTGGAGACATATCACCCCGAGCTCGTCCCACATTTTCTCTGGCCGCGCCGCCCTCCTCTGGATCGACGCTAACGACCCATTCAAAACACCATCAATGGCAAATCCTTGGGCACATTGGGACCAGCACTGGCAGCCATCAACACCGGCAGGTTATGTGCCTGCAGTCCCCGTGTCCCCGGCGGCGGGCGCTTATGCTTACTGGGCGCAACCTGCTTGGGTACAATACGCCCAGCCCGCGCAAGCTGCGGGAGGCTACTTCCCGGGTACGCCGTGTCCTCATCCCCGTACCCCTACTTACCGCCGCGTACTCACCGATGGCATTCTGGTGGCCCCCTCGTCCATTTGCAGCCCCGCCTGGCTTCGCTGCCGAGCCCCGACGCTATCCCGAGCTCGCGCCGATCCTCGCGGGCGACCTGAAGCCGCCCGCGTTCGACGTGCGCACCAAGCCGCGCGACTCGATCCCGTCCGACATCTTTCGCGCGCACCGATACATGTACGCCGTCGCGCGCGCCCAGCCACCGCGGCACATGCGGCTCATCTCACCCGAATTCCCGTGGTCGGTCGACATCAAGGTGCAAGGGGGCGGGCAGGTGATCACGGTCGAGGCCGTGTGGGAGGCGTTGTACAAGGCGCTGCAGGAGCCGCTGGCGGACTCGGAGTGGGGTATGATCGTGCTCGACGAGAATAACCTGGAGCGGATGGAGTTCGCGGCGCGCAAGAGGCGGGATAAGGAGGGCTCGAACGCGCCGCGGTACAAGCGCGTCGATTGGCTGGGCGACGGCGTGCTGTTCAAGGGCCTCGTGCGCGACGAGGGGTTCGAGCGCAGACGGCTGCTGCCGGGCAGCGAGAAGTGCGCGGAGACGTGGGTGGTCAAGTTCGGGGTCGTATGAGCGGCGGGCGGAGGCATCACGCCACGCGCGTATTAATTTGGGGTGCGGGTGATGCAAAGGGGAGGTGGGTACGAGGGAGGGTGTTGGTTTCCATGTCGAAGGCGCAGATGATCAAGACATAGGCATGTTCATCTCATGGCTGTCTGTGGCACTGGCGTTGAGCAAGATGTATCCCCAGTACTCTATCACGAGCATTCAGTAATGCATATTTTGCATGATCTAGGGACGCCGATAAGTAAGATAGGGCTCATTCAGTTTCAACAGGTCCCACGGGTCTTGCTAGTCGAATAAAATAATCTACGCTCAAAATTCACAGAAATCGCCGCCACAGATTTCAAGATAATGTACATCCAAAGAGAATTGTGGTTTTATATTTAGAGAGTGTGCCCCGTAGCGAGTGGAATTCGCTGCGCAGCACGTATCACACCTGTTGAAACTGAATGAGCCCTATCTTACTGATCCTCGAGCACCGCCACTTTCATTTGCGATCAAGCGGAGGGGCAATCATTCCCAGGTACCGCAAGCCAAGAGCGGAGGCTCATAGTCTCAGAGCGGGACTGCCGGGATCAACTGCGGCACCGCATTCCGCGCTTGTGCACCCGTCCCCCGTCAGGTCCGTAACCACAGCGGCGCGCGCAGAGAACATGCTAGTGTGCCTGATCCTGGCCGCGTGGATGCCCCTGGCTCCACCTCACCACCAGGTGCCGATGCAATCTATCTCTCATTTACGCTCTCTTACTCTTACGACGACGCGTGCCGACGGTCTGAAGCGCCGTCACAACAGCGCGTTGCGACTGGGAGGCGGCTTCTTCTACAGCGCCCGTGATTCGCGGACTCGGGGTCCAGCCTGGATTGCATATACCGCTCTGTACACATATATAGCCCTGTCCCAGTCCGGACCTGATCTCCCTTTCTTCCCCTGAACCGCAACCACGACCGATGGCGTTGCGACGGAATGTGTTCGTGTTAATTACGAGGTCAGTCATCCTGATGAACCCATCGTAATCATCATGCGTGCTGACGACTGTGGCGGGCGATTAGTGACGAGCTCAGCCCGGCCGTTCGTGCTTTCTTGGACATTCTCAAAGAGGACCCCAAGATCGCCCTCACATATGTCATCGTAACTGACATCAACCTCAAATGCAGCTGCGGGGGGAGCGATGTTATTGAAGTAGGCAGTTTCCTTGACCGAGATCTCGACTCTCAGCCAAGGTACGCGTGTCTTCGCGCGCCGTGCTTGCTCTCTGGCATTGACGTACCTAACAAGCTACGAGGTCCTCTGCATCTTGCAGGAGGTGCCCCCTATAATTGGGAAATGGGATACCGAGAAGCTTCTGCGGCGGCTAGTAAGTCCCAATTGAAAGTTACTCGTTACTGCCTTTCTGAAGGAGTTGCGGTTGACAGTGCGAGAAACCGAGAGATATAGTCACATCCGGTAGTGCACGCGAAGGTGATTGTAATCACGGCCGAAATAACTCATGTCTGACCTGCAAACTGCAGTCATGGCCTCCCTTGGAATCTTCGACGGTCGGACGGTATCATCCGGGAACTTACCAGTGGGCGTGGTGTCAAGCTGTACGTGGAATCGTTTGCAGTCGACTTGTGCAATTATTGATACGCCCACTTTGGGTTATCGTGGCAGTCCCGCAAATCCATTGGGAGTCGGACGAGTTCATACGCGACAGTATGTTCTTGCCGCCTTTGAGTTCCGGCATGCCAATCTTATACCTCCGCAGTGCATATATGGACTTCCGACGGTTCCCCGAAGTCCTTGCGGAATATTGCTCTGCTTCTTCCATACGCGGACGATCTGCGGGGGCAGTTGCCGGTATCAGCCTTCAACGAACCGCCCTTCTGGATACAGAGCCCAGGTCCGCAGACGAGGAGGACGGAGTCTCCGGGCGACCGACTCGCCGGGCTGATTTCCACCTCTCCACCCTCGAAGCAGAACCAAGTGATCCTCGACGCCGTCCAGTTTGCCATCCGCCTGGCCGTGGAGGGCTCCATCGACGCATGCAATGAGATCATCGGCTGCTTGCTTCGTGTCTTCCCCGGCGCACCCGAGCTCCTCCTAGACCGGTTCAACGTGCGGAGACCGCTCGAGTTCCTTTGGGACGCCACCTCTCAGCGGCCCGCGTTCGTGCCCTGGCAAGCGCCGTCCGCGGCGGAGCTCGACGGTTGGGACGCGGCCAAGCGCGACGGTCACAAGCTGCCTCCACGGGAGGAGTATGAGAAGGTTCTGGAGTCGGTCGCGCTTCGGATCCGGTACGGCGATGCATACCTTCGGCCGTACACTCTCGCCGGCGCGGTTGCCATGGCCGCGGACTCCGGAGATGACACGCACGCGCTCCAGTGGATGGACATGTTGTAAGCCCGCGTTTGACGTATGCGCTCGCCTCACTAAATCCGGATCAAACACAGAGTGCACCAGGAATATCGTGACGAAGATATCGAGTTTCAACACGCCCTCGCAGAATGGCGAGCCTTGAGCCCATTTTTCGTGTCCGGCTTTGTCGGACGTACCGTGGGCCGCGCTCCAGAGCAGGTCGAAGCGGACGCCAAAATTGTGGTGGACGCCCTTAACAGCTTCCGTGAGACGTCGGAAGACATCGCAAGGCAGAAGCAGATCACAAAGGACTCGATTTCCAAGATCTCATGGAAGGAGCTAGTGCTGATGCTCGAGACCCTCAAGTGGGAGGAACACGAGGTGCTCCGTCGGTTGCCCGCCGCTTCAGGGTCCATCTCTGAGGTGGAGCACCATCTGGGTGTCGCACTACCCGGCGACTACGCGGGCTTCTTACTCGCTTCCAACGGTGTCGAGTTCATGCCATCGGTCTCTGCGCCGGGATTCAGGCACGTCGACGAACTTGCGTGGCAGACTGGAGAGGAGCTCGGCCTAGACGGTTACCGCATCGACCTGGGATGTGCCGTGACTGGTGCGACGCAAGATAGGCTGCCGAAGATGGATCGTGTTTTGATGATATCGGAGGACGATAGCGAAGAGATGGTCTGGTATATACACCCGCACGATGTCGAGAGGGCGATAGAGATCCTCAAAGACAATGGAAAGACACAGGAGGAATTTGGTGAGCCTGGATGGAGGTGAGTGCGCATCGCCTTGCAGGCCGTCCAGTGCCCCATTGATGAATCATTTTCGTGAACAGGGCTATCTATTGGGCGCCTTGGATGTCTGACCTCAAGTGGCTGAAGAGCTTCCGCGCATATATGGAGTCACTGGCATACAAAGCCCACAAAGCTGGCGCTCAGCTCGAATCGGACGGTACCAAACCTAAGTCCCTCAAGCTCATCATCTAACATATTTAACGCGTATATTCCGCTTCGCCGACCTCCTTCGTTCACGATCACCTACATATCTATTCCAATCTTGCGCCTCGTAACTTATTGCATTCGTCTTCCCTGCTGCGTCGTATACTTACCGGCGTTCTTTGCTCTTCGTCGCATACGTAGATCTCCATGTCCGTTATAATGCGTGTTTGCATAGATATCGTGTACATCGTAATCATTAATTCTATAACACAAGGGGTCATCGCAGGTTCATCCGCATAGGAACCTGGACCTTTGATACATCGGGTATAGTCACACATTCTACAGTCCTCCCCAAATTGTTCGCCGATCGTTCGTGTGCGAAAAAATTAGAACGCGGTCGTCGAGTCGACCTCGATCGTGGGCACAATACTAGCGATGAACTTGAGGAAAACAACGAGGTAGAAGTCGACCCGCATGCCCTCCACTTCCTCGCCGCCTTCGTCTTTTTCGCCTTGGCCCCCGCTAGTTCGCCTGCCAAACCACTTGCGCTTCTCCTTGCCCGCATTGATGCTCTTGCCTACATGCAGTGTTCAGAATTTTTACACTGAGAGGATGAAATGAGTTCTTCTTACTTGAGCTGCTTGTCCCGGTTTGTTGCGCAAGTTGCGAAGCAATCACAGAATTATTCATCCTCTCGATGACTTTCTTCATAACATTGGCATGTTTGCAAGGATGTACGGACGCGGCTTGAAGGGACGCTGAGTGCGGGAATGGCTCAATGGTCACGGTCTTGAAGGCGTGCTCGGCGGAGACGTCTTGGAATATTTGCGGAGGGGTCAGCGGTGACCGATTCTGGCAAAGGGAAAGCAAGCGTGAAGAAGAATAGACAGATTGACAATACATAGATCCCATACCTCATCGTACCCGACCAACCAAATACGAGGCGTCTGATAGTACTTGTCGTACGTGATCATCACATCGTACGTCCGGACCTGCAGAAGGTTGCCCTTCGCCACCTCTACCTCCGCCCCGTCAACGACCTTCCCATCCGCTGGTGAAGTAGCGGGCTTCTTGACGGCCTCATCCTCCGCTTCTTCAAAGTCCTCTTCCATGTCCGGAATCTCGTCCATGTCCGGAATATCTCCTACCGCCGTTCCGCCACTGTCAGCACCGTGCTTCCCCAGGCCCAAGTTCGCCATCTTCCCGCTTATCTCGTGTTCTTCGTCGTCGGCATCGGGTATGTCGTCGATCTGGGACGGGTTACCCTCGGAAATGCGACCAGTATGCGTCTCGACCCATTCGTCGCCTTCGACTGCGGGGCCATCGCCGATATTTAGGAGACGTTCCGCATCCTCGTCTGCATCGGTATATGCGAGAGATGTGGCGCGTCGAAGACAGGGCACGCCGCGTGTGACCAAATATTGTTTATCGGCGGGCAAATAATCGCGAGCCTTGGAGGCATCACCCTTCTCCCTGTACCAGAAACGGATCATTAGCATCCACACGCAATAAATACAGCATTCGATAAGTAAAGCGCGCACCATGTCCATACCGGGAACTTGTACGTAAGGAAATCGCCCGCCGCAACGAACTCCTCTAGTGACAGCAGGGACTTCAGCGAAACCGAGCGCTCGAAAGCGAACGACAGTTGCTCACCAGGCGTGATACGACCGTGCTCCTTGAACTTGGATTCTTTGAGAACCTAGCGATGGAGGGTCAGCGCGATGTTATCGACGCCGTGATTACCGGCCGGTGACTTGAAGATCGCGCTCACGGGGCTCAGGTAATCGCGGACAGCCCAGTATTGTTGCTACGAATGCGCAGAGTCAGAATCATCATCGTACGTCGGGATCGTTGTGCTCGCCTGTATAGCGTGCATGATGACGACGACCGACGAGGATGGGGAGGGTATGAAGCCAACCGTATTATGCGCCGCGCTTCACCGCGAGTATGATCGATGCGCGGGCACGTGTACGAGTCTATCGAGGTTTGCGGTGCCCGTCACTTCGCCCAAGTTTCTCCGGATATGTTCGCCACGGGCAGCAGGCATTCCTACTCCTCGCCCTCTGTCGAGATGGAGAAGGGACACCATAGAATGTACCCGCCGGAAACGCCGACCCGACCTCGCAAGTCGGGCTTGGTGGTGAAGACCAAGTCAGAGGAGGCCGCCGCGGCGGCGATGGCCAGCTTGCCGCCACGTCCAGGACCGCGAAGGCGAACCCAGAAGATGGTCTACGAGCAACGCCTGACCCTACTGGTGTTTCTTCTGGCGACTGCCAGCATCAGCTCGTTTTGTGCAGCATGGTACCTCTACACCTCCAGGTACCGTCCCGCCAGCACACCTCTCCTTCGCCCAGGAGCTCACGAACCCGACTCTCAAGCGCAAGGGCATTATTCATTCAATGACCCCTTTCCTTCGCTCGAACAAGACGAAGACCTGTCTCGACGGATCTTCGACGGCGAGAGGTTCCTTACGTACCTACCGCACAGTGGCTTGCACAACCAACGCATAGCCCTCGAAAACGCGCTCGTGTTGGCGCAAATCCTGAATCGCACTCTGCTTATACCTCCTGCGCGTCTTGGCTCCAAGCCGCTACGTTACTTGCCGTATTCCAAACTTCTGCGTTCCCTTTTGCATGCCACCAAGGACGGTCTCTTGCATTGCTCTAAGGTGCCGGATGGCATCATAATACCCCCGGAGTGCGAAGGATATTCCGACTGGACCGAGATCCCGTGGCATTGGATCGTCGACATGGACAGCATACGATACCAAGTCCGCGTTTCCTCATTGCGAGAGACGTCCGACCTTGTGGTGGGCGACAACCTCGAGGCTCTCCTCCGCGATTCGAGACTTGGGGACGCTATAACCTTCGAAGATACCTCTGCATATCACTACCGCATCGTTGACTTCATCCCTTCAGGAAAGGATCTCAGCTCAGGGCACAAATACCAACAGTGTATGCCCATTGCCTCCCTCCAACAATACCCGGAAGCCATCATGCGCTTTGGATCTTTGTTCGGCTCCTCGCGTCTTTGGCTCCGTGACTCTCGTCATCGGGATATACGAACGCGAATCCGGAGGGCGATGACCTTTACCAACCCTCTCCTAAACGACATATCCAGTTCCATTGCTAGTATCTTGACAGAAGACACCCGTTTTCTGGGCGCGCACGTTCGCGTCGGGGATGGCGAATTCAAGGAGAAGGCACAACGCAATGTTCGTCATGTATGGCAATCGCTCGTTCAAGACATCGCACTACTCGAGCAGGAGGTGGTCAAAGAGCTGGATGAGCTGGTTTGGAACTTCCACGATCAGTCGCGGCAGCCATTGAGTGGCCATCGATGGGACGAACGGAGGGACAACGTTCGCTGTCGACGCCCATCGCACCGAGATCCCCGACTTCAAGCACTCAATACACCGCTGTTCATCGCCACGGATGTCGCGAACCCCTCGTCTTCCCCGTTCATTGAACCCGTGCTTCGCACCTTCCCTTGTACATTCTTTCTCTCAGACTTCCTTACCACCTCCGGCATCCCCGAAACCTCCGATGCTGCATCACCATTCGAGGTTGCTACGACACATCCCGAACTTTCCGCTCTTGCCTCTCGACTGCGCATATTGCGTAATCCGAGAGATAACCTCCTGCTTCTCCCTTTCCTAATTCCCCTCATCGACGCGTTTGTCATTTCCAGGGCGAATGGAGTGGTCGGCACACCTGGCAGCACTTTCAGTGCGTACGTAGAAGATGTCCTGTGGAGAGTTCAGCAAGGACTTAGTATCGCCGAGAGGGGCTGAGTAGACCAGAGTATTATTGTCAGACATCCAAGGTATCGTTATAAATGTAAATTATCTTCTGTGTTGTTGGAGGAGGGCTCGGAGATCCAGCCAGATCGGGTGCCGTGAATTGAAGTGCCGGCCACGCGATTACTCGGACCATGGCCACCCGGAAGCGAGCAATTGAAGCGCATTCGGCAGCGCTGACGGTCTAGGACTGACCTTTGCCCGCGAGGACCTGCATATATATCAGGCCGCGCGCCATCTTACGGAGGACTGCCAGGTCCCGGATCTCAGGTCTGACTCCCCCACTTAACCCTCTCCGCAAGTCGCCATGACTGGGATTCCAAGCGCCTCCACCGCGCGCGCGGTCGTTCGCGCTAATCTGAACCTGGATACCCTCAAGACAGCTCTGTTCTACTATGTGCTCCTCAACCAATTCGTGAAGGCGCAGCGCCATGTACGCGCGCGGGGACTCTCGCAAACTGTTGTCGACTTCGTGCGCTGGGTGACGCAGCGCGTGATTCTACTTGCGCTTCGCCTGCCCGCGGCGCGGAAGAAGGTCGAGGCGGAGATGGGCAAGGCGAAGCTTGACATCGAGAACAAGCTCGTGCCCAAGGGAGCAGACGTGACCAGGCATCTGTCGTTGCCCGACGAGGGCAAGACGCTCGGATGGATACAGGGCGAGATGGAGAAGATGGACGCGGAGATGGGGCAGGGCACGGATTGGCGGCACGGAAAGCTATCTGGCGCCGTCTATCGTACGTGGGGTATTCATCTCGGCCCCGGATCGCTGTGTTCATGCTGTCGTTTAGATGGAGGAGAAGATATGGAGAAGGTTATCGTCGCTGCCTTTGCGCGGTACTGCGTCTCGAACCCGCTGCACCCCGACGTATTCCCCGCGATACGCAAAATGGACGCCGAGATCGTCTCCATGTGTCTGCGGATGTACAACAACCCCAATGGTGCCGGAACTACTACCTCTGGTGGCACGGAATCCATCCTCATGTCCGTGAAAACGCATCGCGACTGGGCAAGAGCAGTGAGGGGCATAACTGAACCGGAAATGTGAGGTTGACGCCTCTGCCTCTGGATCTGCTCGCTGACGGGACGCAGGATCGTGCCGATCACCGCCCATGCGGCGTTCAACAAGGCAGCGGCGTACTTCAAGATCAAGCTCCATCCTATGCCCGTGAACCAGGAAACACGGCAAGTGGACATCAAACGAGTTCGGCGCGCGATGTAAGGGTGCTTTCATGTCTCCGCGCGTCCTCCTTGCTGACCAAATATCAGAAACCGCAACACGATAATGGTATATAGATCCGCTTGCTCCACGGTCAACATCCTGAGTCTGACTGTTCTGCAAGCTCGTCAGCTCTGCGATCAACTTCCCTGATGGCTGCCAAGACGACATCGTCTCTCTCGGCGCGTTGGCGAAAAAGCATAACATTGGCCTTCACGTCGACTGCTGTCTGGGCAGTTTTATCATGCCTTTCCTCGAAGAGGCCGGCTTCCCGGTCGAGCCGTTTGACTTCCGAGTCGAGGGTGTCACCGCCATCAGCTGCGACACTCACAAGTATGGCTTCGCTCCCAAGGTGTGTTCTTGCGCCGTGACGTTCCTGAAACGCCGGATCTCTTACGAACTCATTCATGCAGGGTTCGTCGGTGATTATGTACCGCGATGCTGAACTGCGAAGACACCAATACTACGTGCAACCCGACTGGATTGGCGGCGTCTACGGTAGCCCCAGTATTTCAGGCTCAAGGTGATCACATATCTTTCTATCCTTTGCGACGCCCGCCTCACCGTACTTACATAGACCCGGGGCATTGATTGCTGGAACGTGGGCGGCGATGAACTACATGGGACACAACGGTTACCTCGAGTCCTGCCGGTCCATCGTCTCCTGTGCGAAGAAGATCCAGAAGGCGATCACGACCGAGATCTCTGAGCTGTACGTGCTCGGCAACCCGCCGGCGTCGGTCGTCGCTTTCGCCTCGCGCTCGCCTGTCGTCAACGTGCTCGAGGTCGGCGACGCGATGTCGAAGCGCGGCTGGCATCTGAACGGGATCTCGAACCCACCTGCGGTTCACATCGCGTGCACGGTGAGTTGCTCCTCCCCGCGTACTGCTGACGAGGTGGTTTGGCTGACGCGTGTCGTGATAGCGGTTGACCACGGCGATCGTGGATACGTTCATCGCCGACCTGAAGGATGCCGTTAAGGAGGCGAAGCTGCAACCCGGTGGCAAGGGAAACATGGTCGCCGTTTACGGTACGTTACACCTTGCGGTTATGCGTGTTGTCACCCCCACTCATCGTTTCGTCGCTGGCAGGTCTTGGCAACTCGAGTCCCGTGGGACCATCGATGGTCGGGGAACTGGCATCGGCTTTCCTGGACGCTATGTACAAGGCGTGATGTGTGTTTTATACACGATCGCGCTCTTCCGCGGACCACACCCACGAGGCGTGCTTGAATTCAGTCTACAACAGCTGTCTCTCAACGACCCTGTTTCCGTGTACATAGCTGATCCAGTGAGCGACACACGACGCGTTGTATCATGTTTTCCTGCTTCAGAATACGGCGTACGTGCTCCGAGGGTTCCGGCCATACACGGCCTATGAACTACCGCGGACCGAACTTGATACATTTTCGTTCTGATAATCAAAGGGTGCCCTGACAGCGAGGGTTTGTACCCTTTCGGCACCGCCCGCTTTGCTGATTCGTGGTCCAGCGCGCCGGGTTGATATAAGTACCTACTTATTGCTTGTGACTGGGTGATCATAGTGGGTGGGTGCGGGGGTGGAACACGGGATCATCGACGGCGGAGGGTCCTTTGCCTTTCTTTCAACACGCGCCCGGTGAGAGCAGGGTGAGAGCGCCTTCTGCCCACGAGCGAACAAAGGAGGCGTGTCACAAGGTGGTGAAGGATGCCCGGGTGGATGCGAACACGGGTTGTTGATCGGGAGATTATTTGCTTCCGCAACGCCATGTACCTGGTACAGGGTCATCCCTCTGCGTATGAGGGGTAAAACACGAGTTGTGATAAGTACGAAGAAGCCAACGTTTGCAGTACAAGTACTTGAGCTTGAGTGACGTCAAGGTGTGTGTTGCCACAAATCGTCTCCGGTGGGCGTGGATTGGCTCAGCTCTGCACGTTAACTCAAACCAGTTGAACGCGAGCTCGGTTCAGAGATATGGCATGCCTGCGCACTTGCATACATACCAAAGGTATATTGCAGTTGGAATGGAACAACGCGGACTTTGAGCAACCTGAAGGGTATGGGGGCGTGATAAGATAGCAAAGGCACCGAGACAGGGTTCCAGGACAAGCTCTGGCAGATGGTGCTCGTACTCCGACAAGCCCTGAACGCAACACACTACGGCGGGAAGTGGGAGTTCCTAGTTGGTGGCCAGGAATGCGTGAATATGGCGTCTTGGGGCGGCTTCGCTGGATCCGCGCCGCCCGCGATGCGAGTTGCAAGCTGCAACTTGCAAATTTCGGTCTGAATGGCAACGACAGCCTTGAATGGCAACACGGATCCCTAGGTGAGAAAGCTTCGAACATCATGCATGCCAAAAACGCCAAGGCACCCGGGCGGGCTGCGGAAACTGGCATTCGGAGCACCTAATCTTCCGAGTACCGGACCTAAGCATGCCAAATGACGACGTTGATGGCGAGGAAGACGCGAGCGCTGTACTAGAGTTTGACATACATCGAACCTGCAAACTTCCGAGTGCACTGAGGTACTTACGGGCACGCACGAGGCGAGCGGCCAGTACGTCACTGGCCCACGACGCGGGTGCGTCAACTCGCCACCGAACGCATTCCCGGGAGGTGTTTTGCGCGTCACTCGGTAGATCCATAGCCATAGTAGCGCCAGGAGCGCGGGTAGGGTACCGCTTTCTTGTTCTTGAACCATGGACGCGGCGGCGGGGCCAAGTTCAAGGGTGGGTTTTGGTGTGGGCAATCACGAACCCTGTTATCGAGTGGGTGTCCTGTACCAAAGGGTGAGGCTGCATTGAGAAGCGGAGCTGTCACTCGAAATAGGCTGTCGCCGTTATGAGAGTCGGTCATGGCAGGAGCAAGCGCGTCGCTGATGTCATGGCATTGATACTTCCTCGTTTGATGCGGAGAGCAGAGTGGATTTGCGTCTTGGTTGGCTCTCTGGAGACACTGACGTTTGTCCTGGCAATTGCAAGGCCGGTGCCGTAGGATCCGCGCCCGCCAAGTTCCTGGCACCGTACGGCCGCATCCACCCCCGGCCTGGCGAGACATATCGATCGAGCTGCAGGTTCCTTTGTGAGCCGGCGCGAGAAGATACCACCATCGTGCGCGGCTAGGACGCGTAGTACGCATGAGCTCGCCGCCGGGATGCGGACGCCTTCCGAATGCGCAGTTGCTCGAATACGAAATGAAGGCCGTTGAGCTGTGCTGCATATATCCGCGACTACCCGCGGCTCATGATAAGCGTACAAATCGAGGGTGGCGATTATAAACAGGTCCAGCGTGAAGGTGATTATTTAGAGCGTCGTCGCTCGGGCGCAGTGAGGTTTCCTCGAGGGTATGACGTCGCTTCCCTGCGAAACCCTTTACTCTCCTTTCATCCGACGCGCATCTTCCATCTTCACCATCTCGACGACTCCCTGCCACCACCATGCCCGACCCCTCCTCATCCACCACCGATGCCCCCCGCCCGCCTCCCCGCGCCGCGCCCAGGACGGCCCCGGGAAGTAGACTGCTCGCCACCCGCGCCGGCGCGACCCCGATCCCGCCCTCGCTCCAGGCGAAGATGGCCGCGATGGCCAACCGGGGACAGCGCCCGCCCGTCGATCCGAACGGTGCCGGCAACTCTCGCAGCGCCCCCGCCGGGCCTCAGCTGGGCAAGCCCGGGGCAGGCCTCGCGGGCAGGAGAAAGGGGCCCGGGCTCAAGCTCGAAAACGTCCTGGACGGCGCACCGGGAGGGGGCGCGCTGGGCGCCGGATTGGGCGCGGGTGCCCCGTCGTTGGCTCCCGATGATCCCCCGATAAAGCGACCGGCCGTCTCAGGCTCGCCATTTGCTAATTTCGGGAAGATTGTGTAAGTGACCCTTCGTTCATCTCCGTTCGCTGATCTCGGGTGGCGGACTGCATCGCGTCTATTCTTTCGAACCGCTTCTTCGACCGCGATATGCTGCCGTGTCTGACATGTGTATCTGCCGCAGTGACCCTTCTGGCCGACTAAGTTTCGAGGGCAAGCTGGTTATACATGCGACCGGCGTAGACTTCTCGAGCGGGCAATCTTTCGCGATAAATATGGACCAATTGGAACTCTACGAAGACCTCGGAAAGGGCAACTATGGCACCGTCAAGCGGGTACTGCACAAACCGACCAAGGTTCTCATGGCGATGAAGGAGATTCGGCTAGAACTGGAGCAGTCGAAACTCAACGCGATCCTCATGGAGCTTGATATCCTACATCGAGCGGTCGCTCCGGAGATCGTCGAGTTTTACGGCGCCTTCTTCATCGAGAGCTGCGTGTACTTCTGCATGGAATTCATGGACGCGGGCAGCATGGACAAGCTTCAGGCGGGAGGCGTACCAGAAGAAGTCTTGGCACGGATCCTTGCGAGCATGTGCCGTGGGCTCAAGTTCTTGAAGGACGAGTTACAAATCATGCATCGAGGTAAGTTTGCTTGTGATTGACGTCAAATCACATAACCAACTTCGTCCTAGACGTCAAGCCCACGAACGTACTCGTGAACCGCAAGGGTCAAATCAAGCTTTGCGATTTCGGGGTTTCAGGTCAACTCGAGAAGTCACTAGCCAGGACAAATATCGGGTGTCAATCCTACATGGCCCCTGAACGGATAAAGGGCGAATCGGTCGGCAGTCTCGGCGCATACACGGTATCCTCCGACATTTGGTCCGTTGGCCTGACCGCAATAGAAATGGGCATTGGGCAATATCCATACCCTCCAGGTATACTATACAGCCTCGCCGTAAGGCAATGTCCCTTCGCTCACGCAAACATCCCAGAAACGTACTCGAATGTCTTCGCGCAACTCACCGCAATCGTTCACGGTCCACCCCCGGAACTGCCTGAGGAACGTTTCTCAGCCAACGCCAGGGATTGGGTCGATCGATGTCTGGAGAAGATTCCGGAACGCAGAGCTACCTATGCGGAGCTACTCGTGCGCGCCCCCGCTCGCATTAATCTCCGAGATGAAACGCTAACGATTGCTCATCGCAGGAACATCCATGGATGATCGAAGATCAGTCACGCGATGTCGATATGCCCGCATGGGTCGCATTCGCCATTACTCAGCGAGACGTCAAGAATACCCAAGGCGGTGACCAGTCGCTTCAGCGTCCGCAGGCGGAAGATCCGCCAGTAGACGTGGCATAGCGCACATACACGATTCCGCGATCTACGCACCGCCTGCACGCCATGATATCTACCCCGAAAATATGAGGCCACGACGCGAGCCCGGCGCTAGTCGTTACCCGGGTGTCGTCGCGCCGCGTAGGCGAGGAACGCCGACGCAACCCGCCGTGCCTGCGGTCGGTGGATAATCAGCGATGGCATTGACGACGACGACGACGACGACGGAGGGGGGCCATATGGATCGGCATATACACGCACCGATCTGGCCCCTCTCCTCACGAACGCATCGCCTTGGTTTCCATTCCGAGATCGAGCGCGATCAAGTACCTTTGGCCGATCTGTAGAGCGTTGCGAGTTCGACGCATGTGTTTTGGAATTGGTGGGTTTGGGGGTGGGTTCTGTTTCCGTCGGATGCTATCTGGCGCTTGCTGCCAGACCCGTCGAGGCAGTTGGAGATGGAGGCCGGTCCGGGGAGGAAATAATCATTAATCGCTGCTATGATCACTTCGTTTTCTCTACGCTATCTGCGCCACACGTGGACTCTCTCCTTGATTTCATTTGCGGCTTTGATGTCATGGCATCGGGCACAGGGGTAGTGAACAATATTTGTGCCGTTCCACGATATCTGTAATGTCTCGCTCTTCGTCACCGGTCTTGCAAGTATACACCATCCATGCATTACATCACATATTGTATAGTCTAAGATCGTCAAATAGCTCATCTTGAAATAGAGGATCTTGTCGCTACCGTGAAACCAGTCGAAAGCGTGTGTCCCTAGAACTCCGTCCTTTCGTGAAACTTCAGGGAGAAACATTTAACAGACGCTGGGTTTGCAAGCGCCCGGCAGCACAGCCACAGAACGGTGACTCGTTGGCAAGCAAACTGAGCGAAAGGGTGGCCGTCGTACAGCTCAGCGAAGGCCCTCATTCTTCATGTCGCCGCCGACGCCGAGAGAAGACGTTCCGTCGGAGCCCGCGCCCATCTCGAAAGGAGGGACGTACAACATCCAGGTGCGCAGCGATACGCAATCGTCGGCTGTCCCACGACGCGACTGACTCATCCTCGCCACACAACCCCCCAACCAACCAACCAACCAGACCGTCTCCGTGGGATGCAAGATCTACATACGCAGGCCAGGTCCGGATGGCCAGGAAGAAGAGCGGCTCGCTGAGATCCTCTCGATCCGCGAAAAACCGCAGAACCGCTACTCCCGGCGCAAGCCGCAGGAGCAGGAGGAGGCGCAGCCCGAGAAGCCCGAGGACAAGCTCGAGTACTTCGTCCACTGGGACCAGTTCAACAAGCGTCTCGACGAATGGGTGTCTGGCTCGCGGCTCATCCTGACCAGGGACCTGGAGTGGCCGCGGCCGAAGGCTCCTCCCGTCCCGAAGAAGGCGGCGCCGTCCAAGGTGCCCAAAGTACCGAGCAAGGCAAGCAAGGCGCCCAAAGCACCCGGAAAGACCCCTCGAGCTGCACCTCCTTCGCTCCTCAAGAAAGCCTCACTCAACGCTGCGTGGGCCGCTGCGCCCGCCACCCCCGCCACTCCCGCCACTCCGACGCCTGCGCCACATAGTCCTTCGCCAGCTCCGGGCACCCCTCTCAAACGGAAAGCTCCTCATGACGAAGACGAAGAACCAGAGGGCGATGACGAAGATGCCGAGGGCAGCATCGACGCGGATGGCGAGCCAGACGATGACGCCGACGCCGACGCCGACAGTCAGATGGACGTGGACGCAGAGGGCGAGGCGGAGGACGAGACGTTCGAGCTCAGCCTTACCGGCGCTCCGACGGAAGAGCCGCCTCCTCTGGCCGCGTTCAGCAAGGAGAAGGAAATCGAGAAGCTGCGCACGCAAGGATCCATGACCCAGAGCATCTCCGAGATCGCGCGAGTGAAGAACCTGAACAGGCTCCAGATCGGCAAGCACGAAGTCGAGGCCTGGTACTTCAGCCCGTACCCCCAGGAGTACGCGCATCTGCCGCTGCTGTACATTTGCGAGATGTGCCTGTCGTACTTCCCCTCGGAGTTCATGCTCGGCCGGCATCGCAAGCGATGCAACCTACTGCACCCGCCGGGAAATGAGATCTATCGACATGAGGACATTTCGTTCTTTGAGCTCGACGGCAAGCGGCAGCTGACGTATTGTCGCAATCTGAGCTTGCTCTCCAAATGTTTCCTTGATCAGTAGGCGTGCCCCGTTCTGAAGCTTGGAACGCGGTAGCTGACCTACCTCCTCAGTAAAACATTGTACTACGACGTCACACCCTTCCTGTATTATGTCATGGTGAGAGTCTGCAGCGTGCTTGTCGTCCCGGTGTATTCATAAACGCTCATCAGTGTCAACGCGACTCCACCGGCTGCCATATCATTGGCTACTTCTCCAAAGAAAAGGAATCGGCGGAGAACTACAACGTCGCGTGTATTCTCACCCTGCCTCAGCACCAACGACACAGTTACGGCAAGCTCCTCATCGAGTTCTCGTACGAGCTCAGCAAAAAGGAAGGCAAGCTCGGCAGCCCAGAGAAGCCACTTTCCGATTTGGGCCTGCTTAGCTACCGCTCGTATTGGGCCGAGACCATCGTCGAACTTCTTGTGAACAGCGTGAACGAGGAACTCAGTATCGATGACATCGCGCAGAGGACGTCCATCACGCATGCGGATATCATGAACACGTTTGTATCATTTCCTCCTCGAAATATCCTACATTTAACGATGACTCCACAGATGCACGACCTTGCAGCTGTTCAAGCATTACAAGGGTCAGCATGTCATCTCGCTATCGGATGCGGTGTTGGAGCGACATAAGAAAGCCCGGGAGAAGAAGCGGCGACGCATCAACCCGGACAAGCTGATATGGAGACCGCCGCAGTTCACGAGGGAGCAGCTACGCTTTGGGTTCTAGTTCGTGCGCTCCGTGTGTTATCGTCTGTCCTTGCTTGTGGAGTGTAGAACAGTGTATTCTAGATGTTTAAGTGTGTAATGATAGTGGTACATTAGCAGGATGAATCCGGGTATATTACCCTGCGTGGTGTCAACCCGTTCGGCAACGAGGCAATGTTCGAAGCTATTGCGAGGCACTTTTGGAAGCAATCTGCTGCGCTCGTCTCCGCAATCCCACTGAAACACCCTCGTCCTCCTCGTCCTTCTCTATCAGCGTGAAGGATTCACTGACGGATCCCGACTCCGAGCCACTCGCACCGAGCGAGTTCTGCCACGGCGTGTCGACAAGTCGCTTCCGCTCCACGGTAGGCGACGCGGGTCTCGACGCGGCGGGGGAGAACACGCCAACGCCGGACAGCTTCTCGCCCGAGTTGAAGAAGAGGGTGTTGGGATCAGTGGCGTTGTGTCCGTCGTGGTCGGTGGAGCCAGGGCGTGAGGCCGGCGGTGTACCGGTGTCGAGTGCGGTGGAGTTATTGGATTCGTCGGAGACGAGCAGGGTGGGCACGCTCGTTTCGTGCATCTCGGCTTTGTCACTGGTGGACGCCTTGGTGGTCTCAATGACGCCGAGGGTTCGCGCGATCACATATGAGGTGACGTCCTAAAGAAATGGCAGCATCATGCTGAGCGTATCCAGGGTTATATATGCATCGATACGTACAAGCATGGTCAAAATTGCGAACGGAGCGATGAGAACGAAGGCCAGGATGCGGAAAGCATGTGCAACGGAAGCGACCCAGGATTGAGGATCATAGTAGACAAGGGTATCAAGGTACCATCTCCAAATAATGTATGGTACCGTTAATATCGAGGTCTCGTTGGTAGACATTAGATCGTGCGGGCGTCAAGCAGGCCGAGTAACGTAACTGAAGAGCAGAGAATGTCGACGCGGTGTATGGGTGGAATGTATCAGATGGCTGTGCTGACGAAGGCATATGAAATTCCTCATGATTTGAACCCGAGTCGGTAGGATAGGTAGCTCAACTCAGCAAGCGGTACTTTGAGAGGTGTGGATGCACACTGTTGTCTCGACGCGCCGGTGTCTAAGAAACGACAGGGGCTGCCGAGGGGGATCGCTCATTGACCCTACTGAAGATTCCAGTCGAAAGCAGTTCTCTATTCAAGCCCATATACAACAAGATACGAAAGACACAACATGATCAACTAGCAGCGCATTATGCAACGCCCTTCGACGGCTGACCAGCCGAAGCCACATCTACATCGCAAAAGGTTGAGCACAGTCCACACGCGTGCAAAAGAAAAGACGGGCTGACCGGTCTTGATGTTGGTGGTGAGCTTGGTCTGCTCCTCCGACAGGGAGCTCTCCAAGTCAGAGGTGTCCTCGCCCTTGGCCTTCGCTTGAGCAATCTACGGACACGCGCCGCATTCAGTCCGACATTTCTTGACACAGAATGGTACATGCATATGTCTTCCTCACCTTGATGTTGATACCCTGGACCTCGCCAGTGAGCTTCAACACCTTGTTCTTGATCTTGCCGACCTGGAGCGCGTCGGCGTCGGCACCGCTGGTCGCGGCGATCTGGGGGTCAAACTGATCCGTCTCGGCCGACTCGGCGGCCTCACGCATGGTGTTAATCGCGTCCAAAGTGGCGGAGTCGACGGTGCTGAGGTCGACGCCGTCGAAGGGGTCTGCACGAATCAAAAGTTAGACGAGATGACTGGAAGCCGCAGAGAGCACATGCGGCACATACCAACGAAAACGGCGTTGGCCTCCGCCTGGGCGTTTCCGGCCACACCGTCAGAGATCTGGAAGTCGGCGTAGCTTTGCTCGACGAAAGCGGCACGGCGCGTAAGAGCAACCGAAGCGCGGTTGATTGGACGAGCGCCGGAGAGGATGGCGAGAGCCGAGGTGGCAAGAGCGAACAAGGTAAGGCGAACCATGGCAATCGAATGAAGGCGCAAGAGGGAGAGGAGGACAGAACAGTTGGCAATGAAGGAACTGTGCGACCAGACAGACTAGCTGTTTGCTGCAGGAAGCAGAGCAAAGTTGTGCTTGAAGAAGCTAGCCTGGAAGTGGGATGCAAAGGAAGGAAATGGTGGACTTGCACCGAGGGAAAAGGGTACGACCACAAAGACGAACTGAATGGTCTTGCGAAACGACTGCCTCCTTTATAAACATGCAGACACAGACATGTTGTTGCCGGTCGTCGGTCTGATACTCTAGGCCGATCAGGGATTGCAAGAACCACGAATAACAGCCAACCAGATACGCCATAGCAGCTCTAGCGAGGCTTATTCTGCCGTGATGATTCCAACATCATTTGAGAGAACGTTCTTTGCGGAGGTTATTGTAGAGCTCGTTCGCCTGAATTGCCACAACAACGGCGAGATGGACCACGAAGGGCTAAAGATAGCACTTCGCCTCGTGTTTATGGGAAAAGGTCCGCGCCGGCCCGGTCGTCAGAAGAGATACTGACTGACACTTCACGCAGGTTCAGGCCTCTCAGGAGGGGGCCGTCATGAAACGATCATGCAAGGCTCCATTGAAGTCGTTCGCCACCGGTAGTGCCTATGAATATATTGGTCACATAGGCCCCCTACATCCTTACACTTCTTACACGTACAGCCGTATTGCGACGGGCCCTGTCGTTCGAAGTTCAAGCGGATGTGCACACATACAACTGCTAAGCAGTGAAAGCGGGGATGGAGCGAACGATCACAGTCAAAGCTTCGCAAGTTACACTACACATATCCATGCTACATGCGATGCGAACCAAGTTCATAATGCACAATGAAAACAAGAATGCTCGGAAGATGGCGTTGGTCTCCAACCCAGATGCGTGATATGTAGTGAAGCAGACAAACATAGATAACAAAGGTCACGTCGGAGGCCATGGGGTTGGCCGGGTGTCTGTACCCCACGCTTCCCACGCGCGATGTTGCCAGCCTTGAACGATCAAGGTGGCGTTCCCATAGAAATCAGCGAAGGCGCCCTTCCACCCGGCGCGCTGTACAGAGTCCGTGATGGTAAAGACGGACCAGGTGGATGATGAGGTATCCCAGATAGCGTTGCGCACAAAGTGCGGGTCGACCGCGTGTAAGTGCATGGCCGGTTCGAAGGGGTCATAATATGTGCTGAGAAACATAGCTCGAGCGCGAGCAGCAGACATCCTAGTGAATGATGTGAGCCGATGCCTTTGTACAATAGAAGAACGAGGAGCTTACCGATACATGAGAACAACAAGGATGAACTGCACAAGAACAATGCTCCAGAATAACCAGGTCGGCAAGGATCGCCAGCCCACGTATGACCCCATAGAAGAAGACTGCGATATACGGCATCAATAGGAGCGGCGGCAGGTGAAGCAAATGCAGCATTACCAGTAGCTTCCCACTCAGGCTGCCGTATTTGCCCTTCAACTCTTCTTCAGCATCGCGAGTGACGTCCATGGTTTGTACCAGCTTCTGCGCCAGCTCCCTCCTTGCTGCCCGAGATCTCGACGACATCTCATCGAGCTTGGCAAGTGTAGAATCCCTAAGGCTGAGAGGCTCGAGTGATCTATATAAATCCTAGGTCAGCCAGCGCCGGGTAATCCAAGACATGTCACTACTCCTCACCTGTCAGCGTCGCTGAGCTCTGCTCGCAGATCCGCCACACCAGCACGGAGCCGAGCGAGCGCATCGTTATGTGACAGGGGGCCCTCGTCCTCGCTCTGGCTGACGACGGACTCCTCCTCGATCTCGCGCCCGAAGGCGTCCAACATCCGCACGCCGCTCTTATTCCGCGACGTCCGGGCGATCGACGTTTCAGGCTTAACATCCGCGGGCGGTGACGGCGGTTGCTCGCGACCATACGCGTCCAGCATGCGGACATTGACGGACCGCTTCGGACTCCATTGGTGCTGTTGTTCCTGCGCCGTCGACGGGAGGGGAGCACTCCTCATGCGGGGCGTATCGTCGCCCTCGTCCTTATGTTCTCGCTCCGGACTAGGAGTTAGCGATGCCCTGGCACTCATAATCCGGTCTATGTGCTTGAACTCCAGATGAGACACCTCGCTCGGTCCCTCGGCGGGGTCAATGACGGGTGACGAAGGCTCGGTGGACACTTCCGACTCCGCTGCCTCAGAGACAGACGCGCCACCCAAGACGCTACCCTCAGATCCCGAAGCCTCGACATCGAACCTGACCTTCATAATGCTCTTCCGATTGCCTGTATAGGGCGTGGCAAGCCAACCACCAGGAGGTGCCGGTGTCTGAGGCGGCAACGCATGTGCTCTCGACAGCGTCGAAGCAGGCGTAGCCAGCCCTGTAGCCACACTGTCTCCCGAGCTGTCCCCGGGAGAGGTCTGCGGCCGATTAAACGCAGGCGCCGATGCTTTGGCTGGTTCGTCCTGTCTCGCCGGGAGCGGCGTGGCGGCCCACGCCCCCGGTGGCCGCGGCGTCTTCATGGACGAGAAGTCGCCCGCATTGGCGAAGCCGTTGAACTTGAGCGGCGTACGCGGGGGTAGCTCCATAGTATCGTCCTCGTCCGATGGCGGATCTGGCAGATCGGGCATACCCTTTGGCGGCGACGGCGTCTCGAACTCGAGCCGCGGCGTGCTCGACGATGCCCTAGTTGGTGTGGCTAGCACCGACGAAGACGGCGTGCGGTCGGTGCCCCCTGGTGGCAGAGGTGGGGACGCGGGAGGGGTCTCGGGCTGCGGCGGTGCCGGGCTGGAGAGTGCTTTCTGTAGTCGGTCTTCATCGCGAACCTGCCGCTCGGGCGAAGACGGTGGGGTGGCTAAAGGTTCGACGGCGAGCGTAGCAGTGGGGCGTAGCCTCGGCGTGGCCTGCCTCGGCGAGCTGCCTGCATCGCTGCCCGCAGCAGGCGACGCGGCGAGGTCGACACCATCGAACAACGGCGAGATCTTGGGATTTACAGAGGGCGGCAGCCGTCCCACCGCGTCTGCAAGCTCGGTTGTCGTCCGCTTATGCCCTTTGCGGGGGCTGGTCTCCAGCCCTTTCGAGCCCTTGCCCGGTGATCGCACGGGTATATGACTAGACCTGTGCTGCCCAGTCGGCGTCACGGGTCTCCGGGTGCGCGATGGAGAAGGTGGTGGGCTGAGATCGTCTTCGGACGGGGGCTGCAACGCGACGGGAGGTACGGGGCTTTTGGCTCGCGGGAATTTCCATCCAAATCGTGCGCCGTCCAAGCCTACTCCGGCGTGCGAGTGCGAGTGCGAGTTCGTGATGATTTCCGGATGTTCCTGCTCCTCGCTCATATCCGCCGAAAGATCCTCCAACTGAGGCTGGGGTGTTTTCGATTTGACAGCTGGAATCGGAATAGGCACGGGCTTCTCCGCGGGCGTGCTCGGCTTTGCAGGCGATATCCGTCTCATCGAAGAGCTGAGGTTCTCTACGCCATCCGACGCTTCTGCCTTCCGCGCGGGCGACGGAGAGTTTATGTTCGACGAACTCTGCGCGTTCCGAAGTGGGACCTTGTTCGGCGTCGGTTGCCTCGCCTTCGCACCGACCCTGCTCGGGCTCGGACTGGCGTGCGCCTTCTCCTTCAGACTCTCCGCTCTCACTCGGATAGCATGCGCAGCGGGAGAATTCCTCGTCCCCGCGTACGACGTGCTCGACGTCACGCTCGCCGCCGGAGACTCCGGCCGCGGCGACCCCTGGTACGAGTGCCGTTTCGTCCAGTGCGGATGCGGATTGTTCCAGTTCCGCTCCCGCTCGTGTACGACGACCTCCTCTTCTTCGTCGACCCTGTCTTTCTCCAGGTCCGTGCTAGCCTGCGAGCCCGACAAGGACGAACGCGACGAACGCGAGCTGGTCGACGAGAATGACCCATGTTTGCGCAGGCTGTTATGCGTTGGGTGTGCGGGCGATGGGGGATGTCCGTGCGCATGAGATGGCGACGCCCTGTGCTGCGAGGGCGAATAGCCGGGAGAGAGCGAGGACGGGCGCGCAGGCGTGCTGAGCGTGCGCGTACGCTCGGCTGGCGGAGGGGTGAGCAGACTGCTGCGCTGGCGCTGGAGAGAGTGGGCAGGAGCATTCCAAAGCCGTTCGCGCTCACGGTTGCGCTCTTTCTGCTCCTCGGTTTCCATCTCTCGGACTGTCATTGAGCGGACGAGTTAAGTCTCAAACGATCGTGGGAAATGTAGTAAAGAGGTGACCTACATGACGCGTTGGACATGAGTGATCCCGTCCGAGACCTCGCAGGAGAGCCCTTGCTCCCCTCCCCGTCCGTGCTCACGCTCGTTATGCTCGTAGCGCTGTCTTTCCGTGTCCGCGGAAAACTGGTGTTATGCAGCGCCAACTGCGCAACGGTGAGTCGATGAGAGCCACTGCTCTGCCGACGCTGTTCGCCGGCGGGACTTGGAGAACTGTGATGGGCGGCATGCGAGGGAGTCGAAGGGCGTGCAGGCGTGCGCAAGGGGGAAGATTTGTTCCAGGCGCGCTCGCGCTCTTGATCACGCGCTTTTTGAAGCTCGCGTTCGCGTTCTTTGACTACAGTGATCGTTTTCATGAGGGCGGGTTTGCAAGATGAGGTAGAAAGACCAACGTTCTGCGTTCGATTGAGTGGATGCAGCATAGAATGAGGGGTCGGTCACGTCAGCGCTATGTCTCCTGGACAAGTCTTGCTTCGAAGTGGATTTCGTTGAGTGGTTGGTATCGTTGGGGTGCGAATGGTGCCTGAAGGGAGTTGTCAAACTCGCACGTTTAGGGGAGAGTGTGTTGCCGTTGGGGTTGCGCAGAGTGGAGAAAGAGGCTGTCGTGTCATGTATCAGTATCTGAGCTGGCGATAGTCATAGACTGATGACTAACGCGTCGCTCTTAGGGCTCGGGAGTGGGTATTGCTCTCGAAGCTATCCAAGACATTCATCGCGTCGTGCATATCAGAATCTTGATCCAACAAATCTACAATTGTATGAGTGTCTGATCCCCCTGCAATGTCGACAAGCTCTCTTACTGGATTGCGCATGTATCTGGGAAGGTAGTTGTATGGATTGTTGCTGTCTCAGAGGTGTGCTGGTAGCAGCGGGAGGGGAACCAGCGGAAGAATTGAGATGTTCTAGCACCGCTGCGCTGTCAGCACTCAAATCATCGTGGCTGGCTTCTAACGAATCAACATTAGACGATGGAGCGACGGGTAATAGCAGCAAAAGGCAGATCACCTTCGTTGTCGATGGAGTTCTGTCGTCGTTGGAGGAGGGATAATGTCGAGGGCCGTTCGCGCGAAATAGGTGGGAACGCAAATGAAGACCCTATGTGCCATAGATATCAGAGACCAGCTACGAGAGCGGGTACAATCGTCGTACGGTCCAGTTTTTCGATCTCGTCATCGCTAAGGCTTTTGCGTTTCGTTTTGCCCCTGAACGAGGCCCTTTCTGGTGTCGCGCTCTCCACCTCGCTCAAATCGATGCTGTTCCGCCGTGGTCGACCCTTCCCCTTCTGCGGGGTGTTGCTCGACTCCCGAAGCGCGTTCGAAAACAGATCCTTCAGACTGTCCTGCGCGAAGCTCGGGTGCGAGTGCACCGCGACGCGGCTCGCGTCGGGAGGATCGAAGTCGGAGTCGGGTTCCGACGGGGTGGTGGGCATGCGCGCGTAGGGCGGCCGCTGCTGCACGAGCGGCGTCTCGCTCGGGAGACGATGGAGGAGGGCGCGCAGCCGTGCCGCGGGGTTGTCGCTCGCAGTCGTGGTCGCGGTCGCCTGAGAAGACACAGATCGGTCGTGCGGCGGGAAGGCATCGCGGGTGGGTATCTTCGGGGTGCTCTCCGCGTCGTCGTCGTCGCCGTCGCCATGCCGTGGGACGGCGAGGGAGTGGGTGGTGAGTCGCGAGGGGCCGGCGACGGGGGTGTCGTCGCCGCCGCCCGTTGGGAGAGACGGGGTGCGATGTACGCGGAGGCGGGGCAGAGGGGTGAGGGTGTCCAGGCCGTTCATGGCCACGACCGAACCTCTGCCCGCGCTGGACGTCAGAGCGAGCAGGATAAACGTGACGATGTCACTCTTCGCGTTCGTGACTCGTCACGGCGCATTGTTTGTCGCGCGTCCCCCGCGTCGCGTCCTCCGCATCGCTGATGTCGACGTCGCGTTGTTCTGCATGTTCCCCAGACTTTCACTACCACTCGCTCCATAACTTCTAGCTGTTGCTTTGACAACTCAACAAGCCCCGACTCTCAGCCTCCTTGCAAGGGCTGGATCTGACATACTCTGCATTATGGAAGGGGAGGCTCAGTTCCGGACGTACGTATCTACATTGTCTCGATGTTCAAGACATGACACTTGATGTCTGACTTCGTTGCTGGATCAATGTTTCTGATTCAATCAGTAGTATTCTATGCTGTTATCCATGCGCTTGTCTCATGTCTCGTTCACAGAAGAAGGGATGACAAAAGCTTCTGTCAGCGTTCTCGCCTGAATGCTCTGAACGGTATTAAAAGCAACTCGAACACGACGTTGAACGCATCCAATCCTACTTGCATACAATTTCTCCATCCTCTGCCCATTCCCTACATGCAGTGGCGAACCGCTCCAAGTCCGCTTGTGTGCAATGTTCATCTCTAGATCTAAACGGCGATGTCTGCAACATCGTACTGATGATTCTGTCCGCCCATCTGCTTCCCCGCCCACCTATCTTCCGGCGTGCTGAAGCACCACATCCCCATCGAGAGCTGACACCGACCTGGTTGAAGCCAGCCTCCCTACATAGCCCAGACGTGCATATACCTCCCCAAGGTGGGATTCTCGCCGCATGCATCGCCAGTCGTGAACGCGACATTCTTCAACCTGCACAGCAAACGCGCGGGTGCACTCTAGAGGATCCGGCGAGCAGTTGACGCCGATGAGGTGTCACTCCGGAACATGGTGCGATGACGGCGCTGGGGCTATGTTGGATGTCAAATATACGGAGGTCGGGATTGAGATTAGGTCTGGGGTAAACCACGGATTTAGCGACGGTCCACCAGCTGAGATAGGAGCAGGGCCGCTTTGTAGTCCTTGATGTAAATTTGTTCGGATCGGCGAGCAGTGGGATGGGAGTACGTTAAACTATGATTGGACGAGAGAGCACTGGCGGGGGCTCAGGCGTCGAATGATGATACTTATACTCATCGCAGAAATCTGGCCGCCGAGCCGACTAGCCATCAGGAACCCTAGCTGAAGCCATTTGGCATTGCATGTAGACCCTAGGGCTGTTCCTTTGCAGGAACCGTGCCCGGTAACATACCTACCTACCTACCTACTCTCATGATCAGGAGCGATTCGGTTTGCTCCTGGGCGCGGTTCCCACGAGTCTGCCTCGGGCCAGGCGGCGGGGTGGCTGTGCCAGAGCTACTGGGCGCAGAGCCGACTCCAACCTCTGCAAGCTCCGGGACTCGGAACGTTGGCAGCACGTTGGACTTGCTTGAAACGTCGACAATTTTGCAATTTCTGCCATTGGAGAGGGAATGATTATTTACCTCGATATCTCAAACGCGCGGACCTTATCCCGTGAATCTCGGATATCAAGCACTCCCGGAGTTGTTCTATGACGCGAATACCAAGCTTGTATACGATCCCTTGCGAGTCAGTGGCTAGCTGGCTGGTATGCTGCCAGGCTCGTGTACTGCGCTTTTCATTGACGATATCGCTATCAAGCCAATTTCGGTCTTTGCCCGAGGTTTCTGCCGTCGTTTTCCATGGTACGGATGCCTTAGCGACCGCTTCTGACCGGTGTCTGTATACCACTACACCTTCCAAACTGGGCCAGCCAAGACACTCTACCTGCTTCTTTCTTGCCAAGACCATGAACACCTCAACAGCCGGGCACGGAGGTATAAAAGGTACAGCCAGTCCGCACGGAGGAGTCCTCTCATCATCCGTCTTTTGCTACCAGTTCTTTCCGGCTTCGGTGGTCTTGAAGGCCTTTTTCACTCTTTCTTCCCCCCTCCCTTCTTCAGTCCGCGGCGCTCGCAAACAGGAACTCAACCCCTTTACCGCTTGCCCAGTGTCCTTTGCAGCACAGCTAGCCTGTTTCTTCCAGCATATAGCCGTCAGCCACCATGGTTCGCCTCGCCAGCATTGCCTTCCTTGCCTCTGGCATTTCCTTCGTCGCGGCTGCGCCGATCATGCACCTGAGACCTCGCGCATTCCAGCTCCTCGAGTGAGGGAACGTCATACCGTGAACGACAACGCAGATGACTGAAGTATACGCCCTTCACAGTTACGCGGATTTTCAAATATCTGATGGCGTGGCGGGCAATGCACAAGCGGAAGCCGCTGCGGTCTTCCTCGGTACGACACCTGCTCACGTCTCTCGAGATGACCCGCTCACGACGATTGACCTAGACCCCTTTGCCAACGTCGACCTTGCCACCGTGGATGCCGACACGCTCGACGCCGTCCAGACCATGCGCGAAGCCGCTGAGTCTGCGGAGACCGACCAGTTCAACCCCGCGATCGATGCCGCCACCGGCGCAGACGCGGATGCGCTCCAGGTCGGAAAGATCAAGAACAAGGTCCTGAAGCTCACCGGCGAAGTCCAGGCGATCAACATCAAGATCGCGCAGGCGAAGGCGAAGGGCTCCGACACATCCGACCTCGAGAGCAGCCTCGCGGAGGAGCAGAAGAAGCTTGACACGAACATCGCCACCGACAAGGCCTCTGCGGGGGCGGCGTCCAAGGGCGTCACCGGCGGGCTGTCTACTGCCGCTGCGACTTCGGCCGCTGTATCCTCCAACGTTGCGGCGTCGACTTCGGCCGCTGCCTCGTCCACTTCCGCTGCCCCGGCAAGCTCTGCTACCGCTGCGTCCGCCGCCGCCGGATCCTTCCAGCTTCTCGAGTTTCGTTGCTTTACTTCCTTGTCCCTTACGTTGTGTGCTCACGATCACTTCAGCTATGCAGACTTCCAAATCTCCGATGGCACGGCCGGCAACGCGCAGGCTCAGGCGAACGCCGTCTTCGTTGACCCATTCAAGAACGTTGACCTCGCTACCGTCGACGACTCTGTAGCGGACGATATTGAGACCATGCGCCAAGCCGCTGAAGCTGCCGAGACGGACCAGTTCAACCCCGCCATCGATGCTGCGAGCGGTGACGAAGGTGCTTCCCAATTCGCTCATCCGGTGGGCAAATACTGACAAGGAATTCTGATAGCCACGGCTCTCCAGAACGGCAAGATCAAGAACAAAGTCCTGAAGCTCACCGCCGAGGTTCAGGGCCTGAACATCAAGCTCGCTAAGGCCCAGGCCGCTGGGGACGATACGTCCGACATCGAGTCTAAGATCACCGAGGAGCAGACGAAGCTCACCACAAACATCAAAACGGATGTTGCTGCGGCTGGTCAGGCATCCAAGGGTGTCGCATGAACTGGTCGTTCTGCTTGTCTGCCGTCCAGGCTTTGACTGCATCACTGTACATTAGCTCATGCTGCAAACCTGTTTTGAACGGGATACACGGGTGTGCACAAATTGAGATATATCTGGTGTCTATGTCCCGCCGTCACAAGCACTACATCTATTGAACTTCATGCGTTTTCAAATCATCGGACGGTGTCTCGGTAGGTTCCTGAGCAGCAGGTGAGAGCACTGCAATATTATAAGGAGGGATCATCGTACCGCAGTCGCCTGTATCTCAGCGATAAGCTTCGAGCTCAAGCAATGGAGGTGCGAGTTAGGGGATCCATCTTGATCATGAACCTCCACTGTGGTACTCGGTGTGGGTGATATTCAACCACGGGTTTACCCATAAGATGGGGTCTACCGACCATCAGGATGGATTGGATTCACCCACATCCTGGGGGACACATCTCAGGGTGTGGGTGAAGTCAAATGGATGATTTTCGCCCAGTACATGTCCGATTTAAACCACACGCAGTTCACGGGTTCTCACCCACTTGTATCACCCATTTTGTTGGTTATGTATACAGCCTGCATCCTAGCATTGTACATTGAACCCGCCAGTCGCACGGTTGGTCCAAATTGGGAATCGATCGATCGTGATCGCGCCAGCGCCGCCCGAGCGCTCGCCGTCACTGTTCGCCAGCGCACTCATCGTTACACGCACACGGGCACATTGCATGGCTAAGATGCTACCAGGAAGACTGGATTAAGGGCACAGAGGCTACAGACTTGGTGCTACATCGAAACTATTCACCCACGCTTGGAAATCAAGTTGACTGTCCCGCATTGTCTACGGCTCTGGTCGTCGCTGGCGCCGTTCGCTTGCGCCGCGGGGCAGCCCCAGATGGCTCTTCAGCGTTCTCGAGCCGTAAGGTAGCCGTGGACTGTGTCTTCTGATGCTTTGACGAAGCTGACCACGTGCTCGCGTATGTACGCGTCGAATTGCTCGTCCGTCGTCAGGTTCTGCAACGGCCGGACAAAGTAGCTGTCCCAGGCGGGCGCGGCGAGGTAGCGCATGCCGGCCTTAAGCCCCTGGCGGACGATGTAGCCTGAGAGGTCGAGCTCGTCCGCAAGGAGGTTGGGGTTGATGAGGGGCGGAGCGAACGGGTCAGACGAGTTGATCGTCACGGATCCGCGTGAGGACGGCGAGACGCAGCCGACGGGGAGGTTGAAAAGTAGTGGCCTGTCTCCTGCATCGGGTAGACACCGTTCTGCGCGTAGATATGGGGTTAGATCGCGGCCCTCTCGGAAAATCGGCATTCATGCGATCTTACCTGGAAGAGGTGGGCTGTGGTGGGTCTGCTTGCGGGGTCGGTATGGTTCTGTGGGACATGTCAGTTCTGTGATATATGCGTGAAGGCAGAGAGGAGGGAAATGCGCGAAGGCAGAATTGAGGAATATGATGGATCATCGAACTCGCCTTCTTGAAATAAGGAAGGACGACATCCCAGGACCAATCCTCCTCGCCGCTGAGGGCAGCCCACATATCGATGTCGGATTTCGTTCCACACGTGTATACCAAGCAATCTGGTATGCCACGTAAGTCCATGTATGCGCCAAGATAACCAACGGGACTCACTAACGGCGCTAGTGCCACCTAAACCAATACCTCGCGGGAATGGGAGGGTGCGATTTTCGAGGTGCACCTGAGGTGTCGTGTAGTTCCAATCCCAAGGCGCGCTCGGCGTGAGCGTCACGCATAACTGCGGCACATCGATGTTCAGGACATCCTCATTGCTGCGGTATGAGCACTTGAGTAGACTAATCCTGGAATATATGCAACGAGTTTCGCCAAACTCACGCTCCACCAGCTTCGAGCAGGAGCACCTTCACGCCTGGGCTCTCCGTGAGTCTGTCAGTGTTCCGAGAGCACGCAGCATGGCGAGGAAGCTGACAGACCACTCTGCCTCTGCATGACAATATATACGTCGACTTGTGCTAGACGTAACTGATATTCGCCAAGGTCGCCGTTATGCTTCTGCGTCATCGTGAGAGTCAGACGGGCCGTTGGGCGATGTTGAACTGCGGCTGTAGCAGACGAGGAAGGGCGCGGGCGCGACGGTTCGCGATCGGTCGTGCAAGATTCTCGCGTTCCTCGTGAGTTCTGGTCGATTCGCGCCCATTGCCGTCGAATGGGGCGCCGTGCTCCTGCAGAACGAGGGGGGGATGGGTCTTTGGGCGGTGCTGGTCGAAACAGCGTGCGGCGTGGCCGGCATGCCTCCTCGGGAATTGCGATCCCGCTGCTCGCCTGCGCGGTGCTGCTGGTGAGCGGGTGTCGGTCGAACGGGGCGCCATGCTCCTGCAGAACAAGGGGAGATGGGTCTTCGGCGGTGCTGGTCGAAACGGCGTGCCGCTTGGCCGGCATGCCTCCTCGAGCATTGCGAGCCCGTTGATCGCCTGCACAGCGTTGCTGGTGAGCAAGTGTCAGTCAAACGAGACGTCGCACTCCTGCAGAACGAGAGAGACCCGCCGTTGGCATGCCTCTCGGGGCATCGCCGACCCGTTTTGTGATGGGGCGGCAACATTGGCGAATGTGCCTCGGCCGATGGGGGAGCCGCGCTTGTGCAGCAGGAGGGCGACGTGTCTTCAGCGGTGGTCGTCGGAGTGGGGCATCCCGCCGCGCAGACTGGGAGAATCCAGACGCCGTGGTGGATGAATTTCTGTCGGAGTGGGATGCAAAGTGCCACATCACGCCTGAATTCAAGTATGAGTGCATTGGTCTTACAAAGGCGAGAGCAGAACTTTGAACGTACCGTAGACCACAGTGTAGCAGACGTACCCAAAGCCCGCACAGCGCTGTAGGGACACATAGATCGCTGGGGAGCTGGCATGTCAGGTCGTCCAGGGGTTCATCTTGCAGCGGTGGGCACACCCGCTATAGACGCACACCCCATCTCCCGACCCATACTCTCTGAGCTGCTCAGAGAGCGGCATGACTCTACCAAGGCCCGTGCCCTGGGCCATGGCGAGAGTGAGCCCATCGTTTGGCCATGGATGATGGCGGGAGTCAACAGTTCAACGAGAAGCTGTGCACGGGTTGCCGCTGCTGTGCGGCAAGCATTGGCACGACCCACTGGTACAGTGGGTGAAAATCACCCATGGACTTCGTCGACATTACTGTTCACTGGAACTGTGGGTGATTGTATACAGCAAACCACAAAGTGGGTGATCCAAGGTAATCACCCATACGGCCTCAATCAACCATATATCGACCAGACCGTGGGTGAATGGTTGATATCCCCCATCATGTGGGTGGTAGCAACCCATTCTGGGGCTCATAGTGCTCCGCCTTTTCTTCCACTCTACCTCGTCCAAAGTCGTGCTCACATAGCACTTGTGACCTCGACGGGATTCAGCATGACCATGATTTAAGCGTCCTATAAACGCCCAGCGATGGTTGCGCGTGTTTAGCAATTTATTCGTGTTTCCTAGGCTTCGAACTCGGTCCCATGTCCCTCAGCCGCACATCATGTATGTAGGGTTTTATATCATATGCCCGCGGTTCGGGACCCACCGTGAGCATGCCAAATGCTCTCCGAATGGTCCTGTCTGATTGTCAAAGAACCGGAACTGTTCTCCATATCATGCCTTCCAAGTTATCATCGACTGATCACTACCACCAAGCAACCGATGTAAGTTCCAGAAATTGCATTATCGACAGCAGCACCCATGTACAATATGATACAGACCTGCAAGACCCATAGCAGCACTAGAGATATACGGCAATGTGAAAGATATGTGATGAGATATATGCGGAGCAAAACGAATGGTGCAGGAAAATGAACGTCCATGGACTCGATGGTACCCATACCCTAGTATGGCAATGCGTGCGCCTCAAGCGCGATACACGATTATAGCCGTCCTTCCGCGCGCTCCTCGACGAGTTTCGCGACGGCCTCACCGACGACGGGTATTTGTGTTCCCTGGAAGCCTTCCGGATAGTTAACGGAGGGCGTGTTGGGGTACGTCATGTACCTATAACAAGTCTGTCAGCCTCATCTCCGGTATTGATAGCAGGTGGACCCACTTGTCTCTCCAGACAGCAAGGTGTTTCATGCCTAGAGCTCTCGTCGTCCATTCGTAATCATGCGAAAAACCCTCGGGGTAGAAAATCTCGATGACGGTTGATAACCGCGTGGGCGGCATGAGGATAAGGTGGGTTAGACCGTTCCCGTGCACACCAAGCATAACCTAGAGCCCAAAATTGGCGTCAGCGCATGTCCATCATGAGAAGCGCCAGGCGCCACCCACCGTGGTCTTGGCCACGACCTTCAACTGCTCCTCCCGCGTCATCCTCTCCGCCTGAATCACATTCAGCTCCCAACGCCTCGAATGCAAATCTCTACCCGTCGCCGGATTCTCCGCGTTTTTTCGCTTCACCAACTCCTCGAGCGCCTTCACCAATCCATCGTGATCCTTCTCGATCAAATGCCGCCTGCTCCCCTGTCTCGAGACGTACGTGATCACGACGTCCTGGCCCCACAATCGGCGGTGCTGTTCGGCGCGCTCCGTCTCGAGCTCGGCGAGGTCCATGCCATAATCCTTCACGCCCGTCACCTCGGCGTCTATCGTAAGCGGCGCGGCGAGGTCGATCACGCTCTGCTCGACGCCGCCGAAATGGAGTACTGCGCGCCGAACGGGCTCCCACCATCCCGAGACAAGCGCGCCGTTCTTCTTGACTTCTTCGAGCGCTTCGGAGGCTGTCCGTTGCGTGCGGCTTCCGCACTCGGCGCCTCGGAAGGCTGCGCTGCGGTCGGCGAGAAGGAGGACAGGGAAATGCCATACGCGATCTTCATCTGAAAGGTTTCGAAGTTTTGGATCAGCATACCGGCGCACACAGCCAGCCAGTTTCGTGCTTACGTACCTTGGGTGGCTTTTATCCGGTCCGCCCAGTCTGCCCGCGTCTCGACAGTGATGCTTGGGAAGGCCGCGCGGAAAAAGTACGAGTTAAAACCCGGCTTGTCCCTCCAACCTTCCGGCTCGGAATGAGCGAAGATAGTGCGGGTGATGGGTGGGAACGCTGTGGAGGGTGTATCCATGGTGGACAGCCGGCGCTACACAGACCGGAGAGCTCCGAGATCAGTGGAAAGGGTATAGATATCGCAGCAGAGCGCGCACCTTGCTGCCCTTGAACGTTCCTGTCCAGAACGACCACATTCCGAGGAGAAGTTCGGCGCAGAAGTGATAATAGTGGTCCAGGAATTGCGAGGGATCGTTGAAGAGTACCTTTCGTTTGTCGAGTTGTCGTGAGTGGAGTATATCACATTGAAGTCAACGCCTTGAACTTACGGTGTTGCCCTCGACGCTCCAGACACGGTTTCCAGCTGGACCCCCCCATCGTTCCTTCGCCTGTGCTGGTGTTACGAAATCCATGTCACGGTCCGTCGGCATGCGTTCTTGGATCGATTCCGGGGTGTTGGCGGCTGGTAAGCCCGTGGATGTCATGAGAGAGATGCCTATTCACGCCAATCATAATCAGCCAAGGTGACGGCGACTTCCCGAGCGACGGCGCACGTACCAGGGAACTCGGTCCTGCCCTTCTCGGACAAGATAAAGAGGGTGCCATTCGACATGTAGATGTTTTCAAAGATCGTCCAGCCGGGCGCGTGCTGCATGATCCGAGTCTCCGGTAATGGCACTTGCGACAGATCCAACGGTGGATGGGATTGGAAAGGGGCACGTCCCGTGTCACCGAATCTCGAGCCCGGCCTCCCGGGATGGGACAAATCTATCGCGGGGAGGACGTGCTTGCCGCCGACCTGGGCGTCCAATCCCGTGTCCGGGATCAGCGCGTCGCCGACGTTCTTCGCGGCGCCCTCGAGGTTGTACGCGGCGCCGGCGCCCTCGAGGTGGGTGCTGACAGTGACGACGCTGGTGGAGCTGTAGCCGGAGGGGTAGAGCTGGAAGAAGCCGGAGAATATGTGCATGGAGAACGCGCCGAGGGCGACGAGAAGGACATCGCGGGGCGACAGCGTCCGCCGCAAAGGAAGGAACAACGCCATCTCGGGAGGGTCTGCGGCCTCGGGGCAGGCCTCGTCTGGTTCTGTCGGAGACGCTTCAGCATTACTGCTATTTCGCCGCGACCACAACTGCATTCTCGATAATGATAATAGACGCAGGGCGAGATTAGCTCACCAGGAACTCAGATACAACACCGACGCTGCAATTATATAGGCACTGGCAACGTGCGCGCGGCAGCGATCGACCAGCGTCAGGTTCTTGAGACACGGAACGTCAGCTGCGTTCCGCCCAGGGCACGACAGAGACAGGGGTATCAAGGATGAAAGGGTGTATAGGCTGGGGACGGAAGGAGAGGACGGCCACGAAATCTGCGGTCAATTTGACGGGGGGGTGCATCCCACTGCCCAGGGATAGAACCCATGGTCCTCATTTCTATTCAATCGGCTATCACCATTTTGCTTCGCTGACACAGCCACCCACTGCGTGGAGAAAAGGGGAATTATGCCCGTAAGGCCGTATGTAAGTAGCGACATCGCGATGTCAAGCCAGTCATCGTGGCTCTACAAGTAGTGTAGAAGCAGGAGGTACGACGAGTTTGCCGACGTATTTCTTCACAAGAGGCTCCCAGCATTCCTGGGTCACCTCCATGTGTTCCCCCTCGCACGTCTCCAGATGGACACTCCCCCGCTCGTCCAGCGTCCTCAATCCAATCCAGTCCTGGACGTACAACGGTTGCAGGCGCATGGGAACAATCGTCGTGGGTGGTTCACTCCCCGGCCATCGTTGACCGATCGACGCGACATCTTCCTCAGATTCGTCCTTCTCGGAGGAAGTTATGTCCAAGGCCGAGCCCGCAGGCGCCACGTGCACCATTGACACGCCCGAAAGCGCTGATTGCCGCCCGTCGCCCATCTCCGGCGCCACCAGGGCCACGAGCTCTCCGTCCGCGTCAGGCGTCGGCATTTGTGCCAGCTCCTCCTCATCCTCGGTAGGTGCCTCGCTCCCGAACCACGAGCTCTCCTTCGGAACCACCGTCCGATCCTGACTGAACAGTATCAAAACCAGATTGTCGAGACTGGTCAGGTTCTCCTTATACGTCCCGTTGCGGGCCGCCGGATCCTTTACTTCATTGTTGATGTCGGCAAGGAAAGATCCTGCGGCAAGATACTCTGACATGCGCGTGGGGTCGCGGAAGTATTGGGCCTGCACCGTGAATAAGCGTCCGGCGATCATACGGAAGGAGAGAAAGGGATCGAAAAGACTTCGTTCGCCACGACTAACCTGAACAAGGTTATGTTGCGCCCATTTCGTGTAGACTCCTCTTCGTGCCATCCTTCCGGCCAGCTGGCATGTCCAGTCGCCTAGAGATAGAGAAGGTGGGAACCATTCGCGCTGGAAAACGGTACGAAGACTGACCTGGCCGGCATAATGGGAGGTCAGAGACTCCCATATGTTGTGATCCGAAAGTCAAGAGGTTGTGGATACGGGGCGAGTTGTAACGTTCAACATAGGCGCGAAGGAACTGCCCGCCTGCGATGTAAGCTCAGTATGCCCCGTAGGGAGAGGCGCGCGAGAGCTTACCCTGCGAGAATCCCAAGCCGTCAAAACCACCCTGCAGTTCTGGGATCTCAGCGAGCTCTTCAGCTACAAACGCCAGCTGCTCGTCCACGTTCCCGAACTATCTCTCAAGCGAAAGAAGCGTCAGTCACTAAGTCCTTAAGAAACCAACACCCGGAGATGAACCAAGACACGTCAAGAGCACTCACCCACCCAGCCTTTCTATCCGCTTCGAGATCCTTCTCAATATACACAGAATGAATAAATATGCCCGGATGCGTCTCTTTGATCAGCTCAATGAACTCGAGCATTCCCGGAGAAGAGTGCGAGTCGCCGAGACCGTGCCATAGCACGAGTGGACGCGGTCGCAGCACGGGCCCGGGAAACGCGAATGCTGTTGCGGCCAGCAAAGCCATCGCAAGGTACTTGACTGGAACGGTCATGATGAAATGAGGCGGACCAAGGCTGCTGGGCGCGCATCGGGCACAGGGTCGTCAACGACGTCGTCACTCGTTCAACCGAGGCAGGGGCGGGGTGGACCCCTGCACCGGACCCCTGACAAGCCGCGGGTTATTCATCTGCGGACAATCGCAGGGGCGTTTACGTTCAATATATGTAGAGTACATGTAGTTTTGCATGTATGTACCTTCACCTGCCATTCGAGGAATACGTTTTGGAGGTGAGATTATGGTTTGCGATATCATATGACATTGGATGTATGTCACACGAACGACTAAACGATGAGCTCCGGATATCACCAGCGAAACACACGTGGACAAGTACGATCTACGTAGTCACTTCGTAAAGACAACAATATGTATGCGATCCTCCTGATTGGTCAGATGGGCAGGTCGAAGGTCGATGCAATCCTAGCTCTTTCCGTATCCGTCAGCTGCAGTTCCTTCAGCAAGCCGGCCCGATCCTCTTCAGGTAGAATACGGAAGAAAAGCATGAACTCGTCGCGATCGTTGTCAGGGATGGGAATGCCATTTTCGTAAAGTGCATCGATTCGCTGGTTCATTTTCTGTCGGTAGAACCTGGCCACTTGGATGAGCCATGCACGATCTGGCTCGCGACCCTTGGGCAGAGCGCATGCGTGCCATCGCTGCAGGCTAAAAATCCACTCGTGCTTGTCTTTCCTGCATGCTTGATAGTCGTCTCCACGCCAGTTGCAGAAAAAGGGCGAGTGCCGCATGAGGATACCGTCGGCAGTATAGCTGCCAATGAGGTAAGCGATGACCCAGAGAACGGATTCCGCATCGTGGCGATAGAGATGTTCAACATAGCCCCGCCAAGCATCCTCAGTGAGGAGGTCGAGGGCCATGAAGGGTGTCGTTCCCGTACGCTCGCCATTTCTGCTTGGGCAGCCATATACACTACACAGGTCGTAGTCGTTGAGAACACCCTTGACGATATCCTTGTCGGTCTCATAGTACATCATATTCCCGATGCTGATATCACGGTGGTGAATCCCGCGGATCCATAGGAAGAAGTGACCTAACCCTTTCTTGAGAACGAGCAGAATACATGCGAGCAAAAAGGCACTCACAGTAGGTGATGTCCCATACCGCACGCCGGAGCCGGGGACCGGACAATACGGTGATGGGGTCTAGCCGACGCATCAAGAGGACACGCAGGACACGAGCAGTAGTTCTCTTCTTCGGGGTTTCGGGCTGATCCCGTTCGCTTTGGACTTTTCGTCGTTGTTGTGCTCGCTTCGCTCCAAGTCGCTTCCACAAATCACCTGTGCCATAGTCCTGCAACTCGGCATGGCTATAAACCTCCGCGATATGACCCTTCACGAAGGGATTCTCTTCTCCGATGCGTTTGGCCTCCTCGATAATCTCGAACTCGGGCGTGCTGCTGATGTTGTGGCGCTAGCAACACCCGGCGCTGGGCTCTGGGTGGTCTGTTTGCCCTTATGCTTGGGCGGATCAACGTTCCCAGATTCCGTGGGCGCTACGCTCTTGGTTCTCAGTTTGCCTTTTTGCTTGCGCGAATGCGCAGGCGCGGATGGAGGTTGACGGTGCGAGCGGGGCTCTGATCGACGCATAACGGAAGATACGGTGTCAGTTGCGGGAAAAAGGTAACAGTCCACTTACGAACAAGACAACAAGTTGACTGGGTCTTAAGGCACAAGGACAATAGAGGCTGTGGTTGAGCAAGGGTGGACTTCAACTCTGCCGGACCGCGGTGGTGGCACTCGCGCTAACCTATGGACGCGTCGAGACAACGTGATTTGGGCCAGTGGCAGTGGCACAAACCTTGGTTATGGCCACCACGGCAACGCCGACCCTCACCACCTCCGTCCTCGGGAAACGCACTCGCCCGAGTGCAGCAAAAGATCTTGTTATCCATCTTGCTGGCAGTGACCCTATCACCGATCATGAAACCGAGCAGTCGGATGATCACGACACTGACTGGCACCCGCAGGAGTCGGTAGGAGCCGATGCTGAGTCGGAAGAAGACGCTGGTCCCTCTACCTCGACTCAGGATCTCCTCGTGTATGGCCCGGCCTCGCCTAGAACCAGCAGGAAATATGCTTGCACTTACGAAGGGTGCACCAAAGCCTATACCAAACTCGCGCGTTTGGCCGAGCATGAGCGGATTCATACTGGGGAGGTACGCCTGTTGTTCCTCCCGACACTTTATCACTTCTTATACCTATCGTATGATTACAGCGCCCGTACATTTGCAAGACCTGCCACAAGTCATATACCCGCGAAACCCACCTCCAAGCGCACGCGCGTACCCATCTTCCAAACTCGAGCAAACCATTTTTCTGCAAGGAGGACGGATGCGCAAAACGCTTCTGGACGGCTCAACACCTAGCAAGGCATCTGGACTGGCACAACGGGGAGAAGCCGTTCAAGGTACGTAACCTGAACTCTACTTGGGCGTTCGACGAGGCTAACCTTGACCACAGTGCCCCGAACCAGAGTGCGGTCAAGCTTTCAGCAAGCAACACCAGCTTCGAAGCCACTTCGCCGGGACCCACGCCCCGGAAAGCACCAAGTCATTCATATGCGCGCACGCAGGGTGTACCAAGTCATTCGCGACCACACAGAAGCTCAGGGCTCACCAGAAAGTGCACGAAGGTTTGTGAACGATCAATATCCTTCAGGCCGTCGTGTGTGATGTTAACGCATGCGCCGTCTAGACAAGCGCTATACATGCGTTCACCCCTCTTGCCTTGCCACATCCACCGACGGGTCCCACACGACTGAGCCAACCTACTATCCGAGATGGACCGCTCTTCAACACCACGTCCGCACTGCACACCCCCCTACGTGCCCACACTCGTCCTGCAATGGAAAGACGTTCAAACACCAGCGCGGTCTCCGTGCCCATCTGAAGCTGCACGAGGAGCGCGAGGCTGAAGGACGACTTGATGCCTCAGTGGTCGCCGAAGAAGATGCAGGCACAGAGGATGACGAGCGGCCAGTGAAGAGGAGGAGGGGCGGGGAGTACGGGAGAGATTGGAAGTGCGAGGTACCGGGCTGCACCAAGGACTTCAAATCCGTACGTGCCCCTTCACAGCCTGCTATGTCCTCGTGGTTGACAGATGACGCACAGCAAAAAGCGCTCGACGTTCACAACAAGATCAACCATCTCGGTCGACGGGACTTCGTCTGCGCGGAGGCGTCTTGCGGACGAGCGTTCGGATACAAACATCTACTACAGCGACACACTGCCAAAGTCCATGCTTCCGCTACCCGCGGCGCCGAGACTGACGCGGACTCGGGAGAAGAGGACGAGACCGATCATGGAAACTCAGGACAACACATCATCGATATCGACGACATCACAGGTTTGGCATACTCTACCACGGCGCAGGAGAAACTCAAAGCAGCACGCGCCTTGCGATGTCCACACCCGCACGCCGATCTCGCGATCACGGGAGGGGATGAGGGCGCGGAGGCGGAGGCGGGTGATTGCGAGTACGTTTTCACGCGTGCGTATGATCTCCGGCGGCATCTCAAGGCGGTGCATGGCGTTGAAAAAGGGAAGGAAGAAGTGGATAGGTGGATGCGATATACGAAGGCCCGCCGAGCCCTTGCGTAGTGACTACTTTGATTTTATGTTCCTATTTTCTCCGGCTTTCTGTCCTTCCACCGTGGAGCTAGTGGTTCATGGTGGATTCATAGTCCAACAATACTTTAACATACATTACGACTGAAGTGGTACATTCGATATCCGCCAGTCCTGAGCACAAGAACTATTACAAGCACAAACCTAAGCACTACAAGCGACTATGGAGAGCGCGAGATGACAGCGGGGAGCGCGTCCTGCAGGCGACCCGCTCTATTAGATTGAGCGTACATTGAGGAAAGGGGGGGAGGGTATCGCGATCAAATTTGGATCTTCAGTAACGATATACTTGAGGGGCACCGATCGAGGTCCCGCCGATGCCCTGGGCTCCCATGCCCCCGCCGGAGCCGTATCCGTACGTGTCGATAGTGTTGCTCCGCGCCCGACGGTGCCCATGGCGGCTATGCGATCTGTGCCGGTGCCGGTTCCTGCCCGGCGTCTGAACGACGATCGTCGAGGCTGCGCTCTGCGGCACGCCGTACATGCCATTCCCGTACGGTGATGACGAAAGGCCGTATGAGCCCCCTCCGTACTGCGTACCGGCCATGCCCCCGCCGTAGGCCATGCCTTGGCTGGGGAACCCGACGGTGTTGGTGGCTTGGATCGGGACGGGCTGTGCGCCGTAGCCACCATAAGGCGAGGCGCCGCCGTAGGTAGAACCGGCCATTTGGGTGGGCATCGCTCCGCCGTAGGTGGAGCCCGCTATAGGAGTTCCAGCGTACACGCTGCCCGGGGCTGCCGGTGCCATCTGGATGATCGGAGGGCGCGAGCCCGATACAGACGAATGGCGCCTCCGGTGTCTTGACCGGCGGGGATAATAGGGCTCATCGTAGGCGTACATGTTGTCTGGACTATAATCTCCGTAGTCCACGGCGCTCTGCATTGCGAGATGAGTCAGTGTGAAACGAGACATCTCGTTCCATGCTGAATGCATACCTGGGAAAATATAACGGACGCGGTGGCCGCGGCGGCTTCGGACGCGAGTTGGAGGACATATCTGTCGTACCGGCGCTCGGAGTACTGCAAGATGCGATTCACTGGGCGCCGGGGAGAAATGTGAGCGTTTCTACTTTGCGCGCCAAGATAATCGTGGCTGACCTTCGGCAACCGCGATGCCGACGAGAGCTTCCCTCTGCCTTTCGTCATCGGCGCTCAAAGGTTGGTACAAGTTGGCGTTATGGATCCACGTCCGGTACGCTTCATAAGCCGCGGCGTGACCAATCTCTTCCGGTGCTAGCATGTTGATTTGACTCTGAAAAGAATGCGCAGAGGTCAGATGAGCGAACCGAGGTCCGGTCGGCCGGAGCCACTCACCAAGCCGCCGTACGTGCGGCGATGCCAGTGACGCGCTTCGTTCAGGCCGACACCGAGCCCTGCGCTCCCTGGATCCGAATAGCTTCGCACTCTGTTCCAAGCGTTGTTGTAAATAGATCTGGACCAAACCGGGTGGGATCAGCTCCGCTTCGAGGGTAAGAAGAAGACTAACGGGTCGGGGCTCGGTGCATGAGCTTGGTAGAAATCCAATCCGCCCCCTACGCGTCGTTGAGATCCATGTGAAACGGCGAAAGAAACGCCAATCGACACTTACATGTTGGTTGTGGCTGAAAGGTCGGGGCTGGTGGCGGGCGAAATTGATACTGGATGAGGAGAGTTCAGTGGCGCGACGATCATCCAGGTGCTGCAACGTACCTGGGATGTTCCCCATCCGGGGGCGTTTTGGTAGTAGCTGTAAGACATGATGGACGCGACGGGGAGGGATTGAGAGAACGAGATTACGCGTTGAGGGACGCAGTGGCTCTGTTATACTTTTCCGGAGCTTCAAATGACGACCCAATCCGGCCTCGGACTCGGCTTCGGTCCCTGCCTCGCGTGAGAAGACGTGTCACTCCACCGAGTCCACCAGGGGTCCACCACTAAAAGCGTCTGCGCGTGACGTCAGCCGTGGCCGACGCCGCGCGCCGGGCGTCGGGGGCGGTAATCCTATTCCGACATGGCTCGGGAGCCCCCAAGACCCCCGCCCCGGTCCCCTCGACGTCGTCCCCTGCGCTCGACACGCTGCTACGCATTCCAGCACAAGTGGGGTCAGAAAGCTATAGATTTGCATTGGGGTCGGTCACACGTTGATAGCAGGAACTCAAATGATGCGCGTTTACCTCGTGTTGGCATATCTTGAGACGACGGACGACCGTGTGGCCAGCTCAGCGGTGCCGCTTTGCCTGTTTGGCCGTTTCGAAAGATAGGATCCAAGGTTCAGGGGGGCGTCGCGCTGTTGCGTGAGTTTGGAGTCCGCACCGTATACTCAGGATACCCCGCCAGATCCCCGATCTCGTACTCGCCGCGACTTCTTGGCAAGATTATCCCCCACCCCGATATCGTCAAACGGAGCACCGGACTACGCGTGTACTTCCTTTAGGTCAAATGGCGAACTCGTTGAGAAATACTCGGCCACGGTCGCGACCATACGGTTGCGGTCAAGGCCACGACCCGTGTTTCGCGAAGCACATGCCGGCGCATGCAAACGTTCAACACGCCTGCGCAAGCCAATGGCCAATACTATGATCTGCTTTCACCAGGGTGCGTCGCCAAGCAGAGATATACAAGCCGGATATAGCACTTTAAGAAGCTTCTGAGGCCGATCTTCTAGCACTCCAGCCTCGTGTCGGTGCTTTCTTGCTCCTACCTTCACGGCATGGCGCTATTCATACACTTCAATCCACTGAATCTGCAAGGTCCGCATGATCGATAGGTGCGCTCTTTATGCGTCCATTGCAAGATATTGCACTGCTGGCGTGGTGTTGGCACTTCATCAATGGGATCACTGGCCATTCATACCTTCTTTGCTCATCTCGCCCGATCGCTTGGAAACTCCGGCTAAAGGTTCATATCGGTCTCTGCCGCAGCTGGTAAATGCCAATAAGCTACCGGCACGCTCGACGCGTAGTACAAGGTTGGCATCCGTTCGATTCTCTAATCAAGAGGGTCACTGTTAAAGTTTAGGGACAAAATCCCGATCGCTACGGGGCGACCGCATAGGGACTGAGCGCATGGTATTCGCCTTGACTGAATGCTAATTGTATGGCACAGGACTGCTTGCTCAGCGATCATCACCATGATGTCGTAATCGTGGGCGCTTATAGACACCAAGGTGGATAGAGCCGCGGTTGCGGCGCATCAGCAGGAACTCCAACGGGGCACCGCAAGAAGCGAACTCTCCACCGTCCGCCGGCGTCAGGGAGAGATTCGGGCACAGGAACATCTTCTAGCGTGGCGAGTCAAAAGCCTTCTGTTCGATGTCTGATCGAACCCGTACTCGTTTTCCATCCGGCTTTCCGTGTTTGTCGCTCGGGCGCTCATGCGAAGTTATCGTTGCATGGTACATCGAACTCACCAGCACCGAAGCCGCCACTATCGTTGTGCTGTATGTGCTGACCAACACGCCAATATGATAGCCGCTACAGTTCCTGTTCGGATTCGGAGCTGTGAAATATGCATCCGGATTGCGACGGAAACGTGGGTGTGGTAGCCGTCCGCGTACGACACCGGTAGTATACAAATTACGTTTATAGCTTTTACCCCGTGATAAGAGCTGCTCGATAGCATGGCCTCGAGTATTTTCAGCATATGCACTCCTAGCACGCTTGCTGTCAAATGCGCCGTGTGCAGCACATGATGATATCACGAGTTTCCCTGCGCTCCGTAGTTGACATAGATAGGATCTGGTGTGCAACGACGATGACATTCACCTGCATATACGGGGCATGTGGGGGTGCTTGTTCTGAACCGCCGTCGGCAGTGGCAGTCAACGTTTGGGGGTGGGCGTTAACGTGCTCAGGATATTGCCATTCGGCAGGAGAGTAAACCCAACATGATGAAGACGGATGCCATGAGGTGCCCAAATAAAAGGGTATATATTCGGAGCCGTCGCTATCAAGGTTTCGCCTTCGCGTTGGACAACACAGTTCGCGCCAACCTAACGTACTCCATGGCATCTTCAGAGCCAACATCTTCGCCATCCGTCTTTTCCCAGTGTGTTATACCGCCCTCGATAAGCGTCAACGATTCCTCGTCCGAGTGCTCGTCCACCCAACGGACGTACTCGGCCTCCGCCCAGCCATGCAACGTATGCGGCAGCGGAATGGGCGACCGTACTAGTATGTGATGTAAGACGACGAGTGGCGGCAATCCCTTCGTCTGCTCCGGAGAAGCCAACGAAGCGTTATCGAGAAAGAGTAAGGGTCTAGAGTCGGTGCGTCAGGTTCCACGCGGAAGCTCAGAAAGGATATATGCGCACCTCATTGCCCTCAGCATACGGTAATCGTCTCCGATGTCCCCCAGATTGCCGCCTCGCTTGCCCGCACCCTGATCGCCCATGAACGCACTCAGCCCGAACTCCAGCTCCGTCATATCACTCGTAAGCTGCAGCTTGCCACCTTCGCTCAACGGCTTCGCGATGGAGACATGGAGCACGAAGGTCCGTATTACGTCCTTGATTATCGTGATGATCCTGGGATATACAGAGGGACAATGATGCGACAATGAAGGGTCAGTGCCGTTGGCTTCATGTGGACGGAGATGAAGGGAGTGCGTATGAGGGTGTGGTGAGGAAACGGGCAAGAATAACCCACCATGTGCGGCTCGCGTTCCCCACGTTGAATTTGGATAGGATCTCCACCTTGATAAAGGATAGTTTATCGACGAGGTCTTTCATGTATGGGCTTGTGCCGCCCATCCCCGCCAGGGGATCTGACTGCCCAAAGTCGATACGATGTAGTCTGGCGATGATAGCGGCTAGCTCCCGACGGATCGCAGACAGCAACGGGTCCACTATGCGTTCATACGCCGACTGTACTTTCTGAAGTCACATTCAGCATCTCGCTCGGTACGCAAAGAAGAGCACATACTTGAATACCGGGAACGAGGATCTTAAACACCGTATCGGAATACTCACTCTGAAGTTGTTCCAGACGAGCAGAACAATGGTACAAGCAAGTCGCCACCTGAGCGTTGACCGTTTGTTGAGGGGTAGCAGATGGACCGATGAGCGTTGTCGCCGAACGGTCCCTCACGACCTGCATAATCCGTCAATGCGGTCACGATGTACGGGTCGAATGACCCACCAGAGAGTCCGCTCTGTTCAGCATGATGTCCAGACTCGATGAGACATTCCGGGCGATGGTCTTCACGAGGAGTGGGTCGAATTTCGCAGAATCTAACTCATTGGCGATAGCTCTCGCGACGTTGATGCCCTCGTTCATGCTGGGTGGGTTACGCGCCCCTCCGGAGAACGCCTGACCTACGGCCTCGTTCAACCGGTTCGTTGATCTTGATGTGTACAACGCCTCAAAACTTGACAAGGCGCGCATAACCAGGACGGTCTCAGGACTCTGCTGGTTATGTGTATAAACTGTGTCTGTATGCACGGCGATCTTGGCAAAGAAGTCGTGGAAGAGCCGCAGAAGTCTAGGATAACCGGAAGTCAGTGTCTGTTGCAAGAACATGGACGCTGAAGGTTCCACTCAGAATTTAATCGACAACAGGTAAGGCGAGTACATACCTTTCGTTGCTTCTCGAGCCTGTTTCTCGAGCGCATGCGAAAGCGCAGTCCAGAAGATCGAGCTAGGCTTATTCTCTAAAACTTTCATGGCTTCATCGAGGAATACGACGCCGGATACAGGATCTTTCCTTAGCTTGAGGACTTTCTCCAGAGTATATACCTGACGACGACATTGAAGTCTACGCCGTGCACGAAGGCTGCAGTGGAACCACATCCTCACCTTGATACAACACCCAGCCATTTCTTCGATCATCAACTCCAACCTTTGCCAAAGCGCGGCTGTCCACTGTGGTGCGGTAAGGTTCGTCGGTTCTGTCCTGAGCCGTGACTTGTAGAGGACGCCTTGGTGCGCAGGCGCAGGCTCTGTTACATCGGTTAAGGTCAAGACATTAGTACTCCTACGTGTTATATAGATAACATGCCTTTCGCCAACACTTCTTTCGCAATTCGGCTTAGGTCAAAAGCAGTTTTGATGCGTTCCTCGACGGCCTCTGATAAGTCCACCACGAGATTATTGACCAAATCCGGTAGCACCCGTAGATTGAAGGCCGTCTGCAAGGAGGAAGCCAAGAGAGCTTGATTCTGTAGATGACAGTAGCGTTAATATGATCGGAATGGACTAAAGGATCATGGCGTACTGTAGTCGCAAGACCGGTCAAGACCATCGTCTCCATCTCCGTGGTTATCTTAACCTTTGCTTGTTCGATGAAAGGGATATACGCTGCGATTGCATTCACCGAACGGAGCGGTATCTCCTCCGCTGGAGCTGCACTGTCCGTTGCGTGCGGTTCAGGCTTCGCGTCGATTAAGGCCACTGCGTCATATCTCAGCTCGTTCTCACCGCGTAATACCGTATGCACCCACTGAGCTCTGCGACACTGAGCGCAGCTTTTGCAATCGTTCGTTCCTTCTCACTTTCGTCTTCCAGTTCCGTGGCAGATAGAGAGGCCAGAGATCCTCGTCTATCGAGCGATGGACGACCGTCTGCCTGTGTGTCCGTATCACCGTTCGTTCCAGTACCGGAGTTGTTCATTTCAGCCATCTGGGCCTGGAGCCGTCGAGCAAGGATGACGAATCGGGACGTCCGCCTTAGGATCTCCGACGCCTCCTGCAGCTTGCTCAACCGAGCTACGCTTCTTTGCAGCGTCTGATACGGGTTGGTGATCTTGGTGCGAAGCCTAGCAGCCAATGGTTAATTGGGGAATAGTCAGGTTAGCAATGGCGAGGCGCACTTGTCTAGAGACAAATCCAGATCGTCGAGACCACCACGAACCGTCTTCATCGACCCTTGAAGCTGGCTCATCCCTGCGGCTTGTGTGAGGAGTTCCTCGTGGTGTGCAGTGACCTGAGGATATGCTCAGCCTGTCGCGTTGCCCACCGATGAGCCTCACGCATACCACAGACTTGAGTTGCTTGGAAACATCGTCAATTCCGTGGTCAAGCTTCGAGATCACCACAGACAGATCTTCCTTGGGAGGTTGGAATGTGGTCCTCCGGGGAGTCTTGGGCTCAGACCTGTCTGCAGAAGGCAAGGTATACGGTTCGCCAGCCAGGACGGCATTCGCATAGTCGGATGCATCGAAATCCGGGCTGGTGAAGATAGAGTAATCTGGGACGTGAGTTCAGGCGGATCGACGCGTGACGACACGTTGGACGAACCGGCCATCGAACGCTCTTCCAAGAGCAGATTCGGAGGCAAGCCGCGATGAATGCGGGATGAAGTGACGGGAAAGACTACGTTCAGGAGTCGTATACTAACAACAGCGAGCAGCAACCACAGCAGCGTGACGCAGTGGTAGCGTGCAGGGCTCATAACCCTGAAGTCCCTCGATCGAAACGAGGCGCTGCTAGACTAGTCTTTTTGCTTTTTTTGCTTGTTCTGCCTCATGATCGCAACGTCATCACAAGTCATGTTGTGCTTGGCGTTCAGCTCTTCGTGCTGCGGCCGGTGCGACAACGGAAAGTTGTTCTCGCGTTATCCCCTCAGCCCTGTTATCGTAGGCTAAGGACTCTTCGGGCGTCCGCCTCTTCGACGTCCACAGCATGATGTCACTGGCGGGCAGCACTGTCAACTTGGTTGGCACACCGACCAACACGGTCAAGTACAAAAAAGATGCATTGCAAATCTGAATATGAGGCCTCCTTATCTCAGTCTCCTCACCACTCTCCTGCATTTTGCGTCCCGAGGAAGCCATGGCACACGTCGCGAACGAGGAGTATAGCAGCAAGCCGCAGAACTACACCATGGCACGTATAATTAACAATACCATCGTACCACCCCGTTCCGACGATTCCGACTCCATAGATACAAGCCTTCGAATGGTACTGTGATGGCGGCGGAAAGCATTGGAAGCTGCTAGAGTCGAAGGCGCAAGAACTCTCAGACATGGGGATATCCGCGCAATGGATACCTCGTGAGTTACATTAAGGACCAACCCATGTTACACGCTCTCACGGCGTATATATGCAGCACCTACGAAAGCCTCCGGACAGGTCTGTAACAGTCAACGTGTTGATGAATGTTCGACCGTTATTGACCTACCACACTCTACAGGAATCCGTTGGATACGATATATACGACGTGTGGGACCTTGGAGAGTTCAAGCAAAAGTCCGAAGAAGGAACCCGAACGAAGTATGGAACGAGAGACGAGCTTCAGTCGCTCATCCGCAAAGCACGCGAGCACGGAATCGTCACGTATGTCTAGAGAACCCTGGTGTCCTTGGTAAAGATAGTGTTATGACTGATAGTCTTCCTTGAATAGGTACATCGATGCCGTCCTGAACCACAAATTTGGAGCGGACACGTAGGCTTCTTGAGTTCCAGTTGATAATACTATCGACACTTACGCGACTAACGTAGGGCGGAAGAGTTCATGGCTACGGCTGTAGACTGGAATGATCGCGAGAAGGTTCGCTCCGTGTCCTCGCTTTGCGTGACGCTTTCTGACGTTTGTTTACAGGAGGTAGCACCGATGGAAAACATCAAGGTATTAAATGGGTTATTCTGTGTTGCTGATTCATTGGTTTGACTCGTCTGTTATAGGGTTGGACCGGTTTCCAGTTTCCCGGGCGTGGGGATAAGGTAGGCATGGCTGTAGCTGCACGTTATCTACTATTCTGATGCTTCTCTACAGTATAGCCCCCTCAAATGGAACTTCAATCATTTTACGGTATGATAAATCGTGCAGCAACGCTATTATACTCAATGAATGACCACAGGGAGTGGACTACGATGATGCCACCGGCAAGAAAGCTATTTTCAAAATACACGGAGATGGCAAGGATTGGTAGGGATCGTCTGTGAAATTATTGATGTATGTCAATGTTTACGCTCTTTCAGGTCGCACAAGGTGGATACGGAAAATAAGAACTATGATTACCTCAGTCAGTGGATCACATTCTGCGTTACTGTGACGTTAACACACATCCTTAGTGGGCGCCGACATTGACCACCATCATCCTGAAGTGGTAGATGATCTTCTGAAGTGGGGTAAGAAGAAGAACATGGCACTGCTAATTCATGACGCTGAGCTCAGAATAGGACAGTGGATGATCGATGATGTCGGCGCGGCTGGCTTCAGGTTCGATGCTATCAAGGTTTCGTCTTTTTTCTTAGGACATCGTACTCTGTGTTGACTATCATTCTAGCACATTGACCGTGATTTCATCGCCAAATTTGTCAAACACGTCCGCGAGGCAACAGGAAAACCCAAACTCTTCGGTGTCGGAGAGTTCTGGAAAGACTCTCTGGAGTCGATTGAGACATACCTCAACGATCTCGGAACACAGTTTAGCGTATTCGATGCCCCTTTGCATTACAACTTCAAGGAGGCAGGCGAAGCAGGCGGCAACTTTGACCTGCGCAAGATTTGGGATGACACCGTGGTGCAGCGTAGGCCGATCGATGCCGTGTGAGCACGTTCAGCGCTATTGAGGAGATATCTGACTTACATGCCGCTTGAAGGACCCTCGTGGACAACCATGAGTGAGTCTCGCCTTTTTCTCATGCATACCTCGCTAATGCACGCGTTTTGTAGTACGGTATGCCAGTGACCAGGGATATCATAGCACACGGCAATCTGACTTGATGAGTAGCAAGTCGGTCAGGCCTTGGAATCGTGGGTCCCTGCCTGGTTCAAGCCTCTTGCTTACTCCATGATACTTCTTCGTGGGGATGGATATCCGTGAGTCCTCAGCTCTGCGCATATTTGTGACAAGCCATTGATTGTCACGCACATAAGTTGTGTCTTCTATGGCGATCTATACGGTTGCGCAGGCGAGAACCCTCAGCCGTCGGTTAATCAGCTGGCGGACCTGGTTAGGGCTCGCAAGCTGTTTGCGTACGGAGAAACGCGCGACTACTGGGACCATCCTAACTGTGTCGCGTGCGTCTGCAACCCGTAGTTCAGTTGATCCCCGTGCTGACGTCCTGTTAGCTGGGTCAGAACTGGTGACGAGGACCATGACGGCTGCGCCGTGGTGCTTTGCAACGGTGATGAAGGGTACGCTACTGACTAATGTGTCCGGTCTTGGCTTCCGTGTTGCTAATATGGCGATGGGCCTACGCAGAGTCAAGCGCGTCGAGATCGGCAAAGTGAGCGGCGCAGTCTTTTACGCATCCTGTTCCCAGGGACTGACTGTTGAGCTTAGGAACATACTGGCGAAAAATGGACGGATCTTCTTGGTTGGCATCAGGGTGAAGTTGAGGTCAGCGAGGACGGTTGGGTTGAGATTAGGTACGTCGATGACCCCCAAGATCTACGGCCACGAATAGTAACGTCGCTTCCAGGTGCTCTGCTAGAAGTATTAGTGTCTGGACCAAGACCGACGCCAGAGGCCGAGATCAGTTTAGGAAGAAATGAGCAGCGAAGCCTCCGACTATGGGATCCCCCAGGCTGGAAGAGTCGATACACTTACATACTTATGCACCAAGAGTGGACCGGCTAGACTTGTTCATGCGTTATAGAACTTATTCTCCTTCAATCATATACCATACGATTTCCCAACGGTCCATACTGCACACTTCACCGCGTGCGTTCGTGGCAGTAAGTCGATTCAGACACGGAGCGACGGTCCGGTTCAGCTACTCATATCAGTAGCTCTGGGGAACGGTCCTTCCCGGGTCTTTGCATGTCGAATCCGTCCTCTGGGTTAAGTAAGGACGATGTTCGGGTGCTCGATGCACCTCCATGAAATCACGTACGCGCTGTAACCTGCGCTCTGTCGTATGCCCCAATGTTGCTATGCCTATTGGGCAAGGCTGTCGTGAATGTGGCGCGAGCTTCGGGCGAAATAATGCCATCGGGAGTCCGGATCGCGTTCATGCTTCCTCATGTCTGGACCCGCGATCTTGTGTATGTAACGCTCTGTGGTTGAACTCGTACTCTGCATCATGTCCATGCTAAGGGCTCGATTCGGACCAAGCTCGAGGTCCCTGTCTCGACTACCATGTCTGCGAAGTAGGACGACTCGCATGCGAACTCGAGGTTACACCTCAGGACTCGACCCCGCTTCTTCTTCGTCGACATCCTCCAATGCGTTGTATGGCTACATTGCGTTAGCATCGGCTGCAAGTGGCTTGACCGGCTACTGGCTCGCGTCGCGGTCTGGCGCTCCCGAGGCCAAGAAGACCACACCAGTCCCTCAACTCGACGCGCCGGCGCCCCAGTATGGCTCGCCGGAAGATTTCAAGAAAGCCATCGAGGAGTTGAAGTCATCACTGTCTCAAGACGCTGTATCGACCGATCCCGACGTTCTACGCGAACACGGCTACTCCGAGAATGACTACCACCCCAGTCAGCACTTTAAATACCCTCTCGGTAAGAGACGAGACACTAAACGCGAAGCCCAGGTACGCCTCACAGCGTCGTCATATTTCCCTCTTCCACCGAGGACGTCGTCAGAGTGGTCAAAATAGCAAACAAGTATCGCATGCCCGTGATCCCGTATTCAGGCGCGACCAGTCTTGAAGGCCATTTCCGCGGGGTGCGTGATAGGCTTCACGATTCACCCCAACAGTGACGCCAACTTGATGCCTACAGTACGCAAAAGGAGGCATTTGTGTTGATGTATCCGGCATGGATGCAGTCCTCGAGATTCACGGTGGAGTCACCACTAGGTGTTGCCTTAATCACCTGAGCTCATATCTTCATTTACAGAGGCGGACTCAGATTTAGTTTGCCAGCCTGGTGCGAGATGGGTTGATATCAATCAAATGCTCAAGGAGAAAGGCAGGCTGCTCCTCCATTCGTTTCGTCCTACATAGCTGACGCCCTGTTGCTTGCAGGAATACCTCTATTCTTCCCTGTACGTGCCCGATGAAGGGGGTAAGCGAATGACAGAACTTACATGGGTTTTCTAAGCTCGACCCAGCACCCGGAGCGACAATCGGTGGTATGTTCAGCACAGGCTGCTCGGGAAGTTAGTCGCTGTCAGGTCCTACTCGTTTGACGGCGCTGATTTTTGTACCCAGCCAACGCGGTCCGATATGGCACGGCGAAAGCTGAATGGTTCCTGAATGCTGTTGGTATACCTTGCACTCTGATCCTAGCTACAGCCCCCTTGACGTATTCCTTGTAGACCATTGTACTGCCGTCCGGTGAAGTTATCAAGACACGACGGCGAGCACGCAAGTCGTCAGCCGGCTTCGATGTGACCAAACTCTTCATCGGGGCGGAGGGGACGCTTGGCATAGTTACGGAGTGTAAGCCACTGTTATTTATCGTAGGTGACGAAGTCCTGTGCTCACCTTGCGCGTCTCTGGCAGTGACTATCCGTCTTGCACCGCTACTGCCCACAACAGTGGCCGTTGCACAATTCCCCGATGTTCGAAAGGCAACGGAGGCTGTGGGAGATATTCTAAACAGTGGCGTTGGTATTCGTGAGTTCTCTAGTTCTTGAACGATTCGACCATACTCTGAGGTTATTTCTACAGAATGTGTTGAGTTGTGCGATGATGACTGTGCGCTCCTCATGTCCGATTTTCATAAATCACATTCTGACTTTGCTCTCAGTCATGCGCGCCACCAACATCTATGGCTCATCCACCCGCAAATGGCCAGAGAAGGACTCGCTTTTCTTCAAGTTTCAAGGCGCGACACGGACTTCGCTTGAGGAGTCGGCCCGTATCGCCAAAGAGATCGTTGAAAAGCACGGTGGAACGGGCTTCCAGCTCGCTGCCGATGACCAAGAAGCAGCTGACCTATGGCAGGACCGGAAGAACGCTCTGTACTCGAGTTTAGCCCTTGTACCGGGAGGCAGGGGATGGAGCACGGACGTCTGGTGGGCATGAAGTGCTTTTGCCGAACTAGAGCTGCCCTAACGTATTTGGATACTTGATCAGTGTTCCGGTCTCGCGTTTACCGGACTTGGTATATGCAACCAAGAAGGACGTGCAAGATTCGGGGATTGTATGCACTATCGTTGGGCATGTAGGAGATGGTATGTCATGTCTACTGGATGGTTTCGCGCAGTTGATTAAGTGTCACTCAAAGGTAACTTCCATACCTTGCTCTTGTTCAAAAATGAACAAGAGCTGGAAATTGTCCGCGGCCTCGTGCATAGGATGGTCGAGCGTGCAATAGCGCTCGATGGAACATGTACGCTCTTCCACGTCTCGGGCTAGGCTAGATGAGGTATTCTGATCCTCGTGCGTTCACAGGTACAGGTGAACACGGTGTAGGTATCGGAAAGAAGGAGTATCTGTACGATGAGCTGGGAGCGGGCACTATCGAGCTTATGAAGAAGATCAAACGGACGATTGATCCGCTTGGACTATTCAACCCCGGAAAGGTATGTAGCAAACCTTCAACATCTCTGCTGCGACCCTGACAATAGCGCCAGCTTTATCCTGACAAACCTGAAACGGAGCCTCATCCAGTGGAGACCATCACTGCTAGACCGCAATGATTGCGGGCGTATTGAACCCACATCTTCGGCCATTTTCGGTGCACTATTTACATGGAGCTGTGCTGCATCTATCCTTTGACATGCAATCGATCCGTCGTGGCATTCATTAGGCAGATACTCGAACTCCGTATCCGACGGACTTCTCAAGAGGTGTCGTCTTATTTGAGTTGTACGTATTACGTTGATCCCAATTCCGGGAGTTCGAGTTATCTATAGGCCGCACTTTCTCGTGGCGGATTACCCGCCCGCTCCTACATATACAGGTTCTGCCCGCGTGAGCACGGTCGTCTATCACAAAACACCAAGACATGCCCACCGACTCGAGCCGCATCTACGTCTCGGATCACAGTGCAGCACCTATCCGAACCCACAGCTGGCGCACCGTTGCCAACTCGGCAGCCTACCTCGTACCCTATCTCAAACCCAATCTTCGCATCCTCGACGTCGGATGCGGACCCGGGACCATAACAGTCGACTTTGCCCGTCATGTTCCGCAGGGACATGTCATCGGTCTCGAATATTTTCCCGATCCTTTAGATGGCGCGCGTGCGCTCGCCGTGCAGGAGGGGGTGAAGAACGTCGAGTTCACGACAGGGGACGTGCACGCACTGCAATACCCAGACGATTCGTTCGACATCGTTCATGCTCATCAGGTCCTCCAGCACATCCGCGATCCCGTGCAGGCACTGCGCGAGATGAAGAGAGTGACGAGACCTGGAGGGCTGGTCGCCGTTCGTGAGTCGGCCCGGTTCTTCTGGTACCCGCTTGTGCCCGCCTTCGGCGAGTGGAAGAATCTGTACGATCGTATCGCGAAGGCGAGGGGCGGGAATCCGGACCCTGGAAATCAGGTTCACGTCTGGGCCAGGGAGGCAGGCTTCGACCGAAGCAGCATCAAATGCTCAGTGGGAGCCTGGTGCTTTAGCACGCCGGAGGAGAGGGACTGGTTCGGAAATATGTGGGCGGACAGGACCGTTGGCACGACTTATGCGGACATCGCAGTTGGGGACGGGTATTGCACGCAGGAAGAGTTGGAGCGATTTGCAGCGGCATTCAGAGAATGGATCCAGAACGAGGATGGATGGTTCAGTATTGTGCACGGGGAAATAGTATGCAAGAAGGAATAGTTTGTAATAGCACACCTCGTTGTGATCAATGAGTGTACGCATATCGTTTAGCTATCTACTCGTTTCGGACTTCGCCGATAAGTAGTGTCTCGCTCTCGCCTTCGTGCCACGATGAGCACGAACGAGCTTACACGACTCTATGATGAGCTACCTGTCGAAGCTACACACCCTCTGCACTCGTCGTCAGAAAAGTCTCTTAGTGTCCTCAAGGAGTTACTGAGCGTTACGGGTCGCATGTTTGATTCCATCGGGTCGCACCACGAGGTACAATACAGCGATCCCAAGTTCGTCTCGCTCCTCCGGCAACAAACAAACATCGCGCAAGCCATCCGCCAAGTATGTTGGATTTCTCTGATGTCATGAACGCTGCACCTCATCATTTTGCGGGGGCAGCAAAGTCTGAACTGAGCGTGCGCGACACTGCCAGAGCGCTCCGGGAACGAGCCGGGGTGAGCACCCGCTTCGGGGAGGACATACCTGCCACCCGTGATGCTATTCCTGGCTGGGTAGTGTCTCGTGTCGAAGCATGGGGCAGATCTGCGGGAATGGAGGCTTTCCGGGACGAGGACCAGGGTAGACGGATCGCCCTCGCCCTTGCGGGCAAAGTGATCGTCATCGACATTGAGTTCGCTGTAAGCGCCGAGGCAGAAGACACGACGATACGGGTGGTCAGCGTGAAGAACTCATATGCGGTTCCCAGCGGCGAGAGCGCCAATCCGACCGGGAACACAGGAGGCTCTACGTCCCTCGATGGGTTCTTAGCAGTCGTTCTCCAGAAATTCATCGACCTCGTGGAGAAGCCATTGGACGACCAAAATCCGATAGCAGCTGCCCAAGTCGGGTCCCGCCTTTCGCAACACCTCGGGTACCTCATGCGCCTGGACGCACTCGCCGTTCAGGAAGGCGATGCTGGATTAAGGTGGTTCACCTCAATTGACAATTTGGCATCGACGGCGGAAAGGTTTGCCACCGTGGAGGCTCGTGAACTTGGCAGGTGAAGCACCCATACGCGCCTTGTCGTCCGGACGCCCGCTGAATCACGCGCAATTCTAGTTCGTTATCGCTTGCCCAAGCGCCTCTGGACATATTCCTCGCCCGTGCTCGTCCGCTACCTTTACCTTACCTCCTTGCTCCATCGCTCTCGTTCCTGGTCCATCTCTCTCCTGCCGCCTACCTGACTCTACTGCGGAAGTCCCCCGCTGGGCCTGTTTCCTCCCGTGGCGACCTTCCACAACTAGATGTCCCCTTTGCGCACCTACGTGACTACGTCCGCTCACACGCAGCAGGGGTGACACTCGCTACCTTGCGTGTCGCGTCCGGGTCGCCGCCGTCCTCGCGCGTGAACGATGTCATCTCTACTTTGCCTCCCGGTCGGCCAACGTTTGCGCTTGTCGCTGGTCCCTCCGGCAGCAGCCCCGACCACGCCTTCCCCCTGCCTAATGCGCAAATACCCGGCGCTGGGGTAAGGTGGATCCTCGACTTCACTGCGGACGGAAAGGACCAAGGCGGCATAGTGATGAGCCAATCTCGTTTACGGGAGATCGAACGCGTAGTGAACCCTTCAAGCCACGATGTGAACATAGACGCTCATGAGATGATGAACGTCGGCGGGGGCAGCTGGCTCGATCTGCTGGTGGGTCATGCAGTCCAGCTTCTCCGCTCGTCATAAGCAGCCCTGAACTTTCCGATAGTTAGATCCCGGCAGCACGAAACTGCCCCCTGAAAGATACATCGCAGTATATGTGCGTGCGCTCATAAATTCATCTATGCTATCCACTGACATTTTGGCGCATACATAGACTTCGCCGTCGTCGAAACACCCGCCGTTACAACTCAGGCTGACGTCGCCTGAAGAGCCCGGCTTTGTACTCCAACATGTCCCTGTGAGCAATCTGCAACAAGCCTGGGCTGTACTCGAAGTATGTGATCACTGTTGTGTTCGCTCGCCCAGCGCTCAGCTTCGTGCCTCCTAGATCGTTCGAGAGCAGTGCTGGTTGAACGAAACACTGCGGATATGCACCTGGTTTCCAGAAGGCTACGGAGCACCGCCCGAGTCGCCGATCCCTGATATCGACGAAAGCTACGAGGCCACGCAAGCAGAGCTCGAGGCCGTGCTGAACGGTCCGCCCTTTGCGTTTGCATGTACGAAAGAGTGACCTTCGCTGACAACATACGCAGGGACGATCACCCCGCGCAAGATTCCGGTCAACGTCGTCATCTCCTCGCCAACCACAGACCTGTCGGTCCTCGGGCCGTCTACTTCGCCGTTTCCGACGAGGATCACGATGGTCGCGCCGGACCCGTCGCCGATGCATGCTCCGGGCCTCGGATCGGGCATGCTCGAGATTTCGGTCATGTTGGACGCGCGGGCGGCGCGCGGCGTGAGAGTCGAGATAGGGAGCGGCATGGGCGTGGGCATGGGCACAGGCATGGACCAAGATGTCCTAGAGGAGGTTTGTAGACGGGGTGGGATCATGGGGTTGGCGGGGAGAGCGTGGGCTGCTGCAAAGATGGGGTAGCGTGTTTGTATGCACCATCGCTGGCTCGCGGTACAAAATCCCATCGGAGTTGCTCGCCTTGGGACGTTGTGTTTTCGTGCTAACTCGCGAGGGCGCGCCGGCTTATAGGACACCTTGAACGACGAGCTTCGGAGCCCGTTCCGGCCGATGCAAGAGACTACTACTGAGGAGCACAAAACACCACAAACGCCAGGCTAGAAGAAACACAAAGTGCGTTATGTAGTATCATCGCTGATCGCGGAGCTCCTTTGACATGATCCGAGCGCTTCTTGAACGCCGAAAAATATCAAGAGAGGTCCATCGCCGAAGGCCTTGCGTCAAACTGCTTGTGCGTGTAAGGATGAGTGCGCTGGCAAACAGTGACGGCGAGCGCGGCGCTGGCGCGAACACGATTGATCGATTCCCAATTGTTAGGATGCAGGCTGTATACATAACCAACAAAATGGATGATACAAGTGGGTGAGGGCCCGTGAACTGCGTGTGGTTTAAATCAGACATGTACTGGGCGAAAATCATCCATCTGACTTCACCCACACCCTGCGATGTGTTCCCCAGGATGTGGGGGAAGGTAATCCATCCTGGTGGTCGGTAGGCCCCATCTTATGGGTAAACCCGTGGTTGATTTTCACCCACACCGGTGCTTCAGCGTACTACGACTGCATATCTACAGGTTTGGGATAAAAACGGAGCTTTACGACATCGGCTGGATAGACAAGGTCAGATATGCTTCCTGCAGGGCACAGGACGTCACGCGGTTTTGTGTCGCTCTGAAACCGGAGCAATACATGCCAATTCGACACCAACCTACGCAATGAGAGCGAGAAAGCAAGTACTTAACATCATACAATGTATGTACATGCATGCAATGAGACTGAAATTGCGCCGAGGGCCGATAAATCCGACCGAATCACAGAGGCATTTGACTCACTCACTCAGTCGATCTCCTTCCCCGTACTCGACTCTCAGCTGTCTTCTGCCCAACATGTTCGCAGCGAGAGCCCGGCCCGCGCAGAGGGTATTTGCATCGCGCCTGCTGTCGACTACCACGCGCAGAACGCAACCCTCGTCCCCGCGTCCTCCTCGGCCTATCGACGACTCCACGTCCGCACTCGATTACAAGCGCACACAACGCCATGCGCCCCCGCCCCTGCCCCAGATGGACACGCCTCGGACGCGGACCGCGGAGGAGGCGGTCACAAATATTCTCTACAATACGCCGCCGCCGAGCATGCAGCCTTACAAAAAGTGAGTTCAGTACGACCCGTTCGTTCACGGTGCGCGACGAGGCTGATCGACTTTCCAGACACATCCTGAATTGTCTCGTGCAGAATGAGCCAGGCGTGCTCTCGCGCGTGTCCGGCATCCTCGCCGCGCGGGGGTTCAACATCGATTCGCTGGTCGTCTGCCGGACCGAAATCCGCGACCTCTCCCGGATGTGCATCGTTCTCAACGGACAGGATGGCGTCGTTGAGCAGGCCCGCAGGCAGCTTGAAGACCTCGTGTGTTCCTGATATCTTCGTAGGTATTGTTGGTCGCTCTCTGACCCCAGACCACAGGTCCCGGTGTGGGCAGTACTCGACTACACCGAAACACGCTGCATCGAGCGCGAACTTCTTCTCGTGAAGGTATCCATCCTCGGCCCCGAGTATCTCGAAGCGCAGCTACTCGGTGGTCCCTCTCACGACCCACGCGCCTTCACTCCCGCCGACTCGGCTGCCCCTGCGGCACCCATCGCCACCGACGGCGACGTGAAGTTCGAGCGCGAGAAGGTGCTCGCAAGCCACTTTGAGCACCGCGCCGCGCCCTCGACTGCCGAGCCCATCGCGCTCACCCCGAGCGAGGCTCTGCGCGTCAAGCACCAGCACCTGCAGTCGATAGCGACCCTCGCGAAGCAGTTCGGTGCCAAGATCGTGGACGTGTCGGATAACAGCGTGATCGTTGAGATGAGCGCAAAGACGAGCCGCGTAGACGCCTTCCTCCAGCTGGTCGAGCCCTTCGGTGTGCTTGAGAGTGCGCGAACTGGTATGTGGTCCTATATTGTGCCGGTGCGGTACCTAACGTGCATATATGCGCGTAGGTGTCATGGTGCTCCCTCGCACGCCCCTTCGCAAAACTCCAGGAGAAGACGACGACACGTTGGACGAAGTCGCCGCCGTGGACGTTAGCCAGCTTCCTCCCGGTTGATCTAGAATTACTTATCGGCGCCAATCTACCCTCTTGCATACTGACGCTCACACTATCCGACGACGACCACTCGCAGAGTCAAAAGTATGGCAGAAATGTACAGTAATCGATACATAATTACGGGAAGAGCGATAGAGAGAAGGCAGGCCAGCACGGGAGGTTACGCATATACTCATGTGGAAGAGTAAAGGGAGACCGGATCGACACGAAAGGAGACCAAACCGAAAACCGAGACGTTACAGATGAAAGAGCCAGTTACACCCAAAAAAACTCCGAATGTAAATAAGGGGATAATTGTGGATGTCCGGGGCAGGGCATACGTGCACAAGGCACATGTCCGGCCCAGAGAGTACAGGGTTGCCCAAAGTCCGTGGATTGGGGATCAAAAAATAAAAGGCATATCGTAGGTTGCGCTTGAAGACTTGACTGGAAACTTGCGATGACGAGGAATATGATAGACGCCATTACGCGCTTATGTTATACTTGCTTGCGAAGGGACCTCTTGTGTTTGCGTGTATCGAATGAGCATCGTCCTTGGTCCGAGGCGGTCAAGCGCCTTTGATAGATAACGGTCGTCCGCGGCCAGGGCCATACGTCTCGAGCGCCTCCCGGATCTTTTGTATCCAGGTGGTAGCCAGCACGGCGTTGCCCGCGGTATATAGCTGCGACTTCTCCGTCTGCATCAGAAATACGCGCATGTAAGCATCCGTCCTGCGAGATCATATACGAGCACTGACCGTCAACAGCTCGAAACTTCTGTCGCCTCGAGGCTCGATGCCAGTAACAAGCGTCATCCTGACCTCCTTTGTCTTCGGCGTCTCCTTCCCCTCCTTATCCCGGACCCTGAACCCGCCGCCCTCGCGCTTTCCCTTCTCCTTCTCGCCTCCCTTGTGGCCCTTGGGCGTTTCCGGCGACCGCTCCTTCATCACCGGCACGAGGCTCATCTCTACCTTCACGGAGAGCACCCCACCTTCCTTCCGTTTCGCGAGCACCAGCCGCCTATTGGTTAACACCAGCTGTCTGACCTTACTGTGCCGTCCTGCCACGCTCGCAGGGAGCAGCAGCCGGCTGGCGCGCCGCCTGAGCGAACCAGCCTCGACTCCGCCTGTGTAGAGCACGCGCTCGCCCGCAAACAGCAGCGCGTTCAGGCCCGTCTCGAGCTCGTGAGGGAGCTCCCCAGCGGGACAATGTCCTTCGGATGAACCCGAGCCGGATGTCGAGATCGCGCGCGGGCTCGGGCTGTGGCCCTGTACGGGTGTCTGTGCACGACTCCGCCCGCGGTCGAAACCCATGCTCTGTAACGCCGCACCGAGGCGCTCGATCGGACTTCCCCCACCACTCCCGCCGGATGACGAGCTCTGGCTAGTAGCGGATCCGGCAGAGATGTAGCCGACCGCCGCAGCTGCGGCCACGTCTTCCTGTTTGCCTGCTGGGACCGGAACCGGGACGCCTGCGTGCTCGCGCTCGGCAGCTAGTTCAGTCGCGTCCGTAGCATCCGTTGCGTCCGTCGCAGCACTCGACGTGCTGGAGCTACGCTCTCGCATGGCAGGGCTAACGTCCAAGTGTCCGCCGACTGGCACAGCCGGCGCTGGCGCGTGCGCGAGAGCGTAGTCGTAACGCGGTGCTTCGCCCAGAGGGCCCTGTTCTTCCGCCCCACCAGCCGGCGCCGTGGTTGCAGGAAAGGTATACGCCCCTAGTCCCCCGCCCGCGTACCCGTATCCGACCTCACCGACCCCTTGCTCGCTCTTCCTCTCGCCTGTCTGGTACCCCGTCTGCGCATCCGGCGCCCATTCCATCTCGTCCTGCGGCCTCCGCATATCCTCCTCTGTCTCACTATCCTCGCCCTCTGCCTCACCGGTCTCTGCGCCGTGACTCTGAACGCTCCCCCGCCTGCTCAGGCCCGGTACATCATCCCACCCAACATCCCACCTGCCCGAGTCGATTTCTAAATCATCGAAATCCCCATTCCCTGGGCTCGGCAGCGCCTTCTTCACGAGCCCTGCCTCCAGCGGCGGCGCCGGATCCGTCCACAGCGTTTTCCAGTTCACCTCCTTGAAGAACGGATGGCTCCTGAGCGCCTCCATCGAGTTCTCGCTCTCTGGTGGCCCCGCACCTAATCGCGCAGCCGGATCTTTCAGCAGCAGCCGCGTGACGAGGTCCTTCGCGTCCTCGTCAAACCCGTCCGGGAACGTGTACTCAAGCGCCTTGATCTTCTGCCAGGTCAGGTACTCGGACAGCCCGGTGAAAGTGAACCGGCCCGCAATCATCTGGTAGATGATGCAACCGAGCGCCCATAAATCCGAGCTGCACGGACGACGTCAGCGATATCTGACTCGTAACGAGACGCGGCCGGGAGGCAAGGCTCACCTTTTGCTCGTTTCGCTGCTTTCGAGTAGCTCCGGTGACACATACTGCGCCGTGCCCACAAAGGTCTTTGATCTCACCGCTGAGAAAAAAAAGGGGGATTAAGATCCGCCGCGGTCACATGGGGGAGGGGACAATTGGCGCCCCATCAAAAACCGCTCACCTGCCGAATCAACGATCTTGCCGGTGCCAAAATCGGTGATCTTTATTCGAAAGTCCTTGTCGAGCAGGAGGTTTTCCGGCTTGAGGTCGCGGTGGATAACGCCGCGATTATGCATATACTCGAGCGCATCGACGAGCTGCGCCGCGTAATACCGCGCACACGTGGTAGAGAGTGATCCCATCCGGGATATCCGGGACTGCAGCTCCCCGTTAGGTGCATAGTCCAACACGAAATCTGTTCCGAAAATAGCAAGATGAGCAAGCTATGTCCGAGAACGCGGCGAATAGAGTGCGGCCACCGCCACCCACATAATGACCACTCGTCGTGGAAAGCATAGTGCAGGCGCACGATGCCTGGATGGCCCGAGCCAAGGCGGACAAGCGAGTCTTTTTCGGCTAGGGCGGTCTGGAGCTTGTTGTTGCGCTTGAGATGGGCCTTGTCCAAGACCTTGATGGCATATTCTTGGCCCGTTGCGCGGGATTTGCCGTACATGACCTGTGATGCGGGCGTGAGTTGCGTACGTAAGAGGGACCAGAGAAGGGCATGAGTATCGCCGGATTGGGATATGCACGGAGGCGATGGATTGGGACCGTGCGGGTGAGGTCATCGACGGACGGCGCGTAGGTGCCCGAGCAAGGGCCACGTAACGGATCCGGATGGGCGGAGCGAGTCCGGGGGCGGGGGATGGGAGGTGAGACTCACGGTTGAATAGGAGCCCTCGCCGAGGATGTCGCCGAACTCGAAGTCGGCGGCGCTCGGTCGTGCGCTAGCAGAGTTGTTGCGCGAGCCTCTCACTCGAGACTGCGCCCGAGTTCGTGGGGGCGAGGTGCCGACCATGGATGCAGCGGCATCGTTAAGCCCGTTACGCAGAAAGGGCGGTGGACGCGACCCGGTAGGTGTTGTCGGTGGGCTACGCGAGCGAGGTGATGAGAATGTCCTGATCGGACGCTGAGGCGGGGTGAGAGGGTGCAAGGACGACGTTGAAGAGGACGAGGAGGAGGAAGAGATGACAGATGCGTTGCGGCTGAGGTCTGCGAGCGTGGGTGGCGGGAACTGAGGCTGCCGCGCGGGGTCCGGCGACGGCGACGACACTTGAAGGGTGAGCATCGAGGCTGAAGAAGGCGTCGGTGTCGGGAAGGGCGGGGGGGCGGGAGGAGGTCGTGGCCGTTCGTGTTGAAGTCGTGGTCAGGGCTTCAATGGCCCGCCTCAACTGGGCGGTGCGAAAACCCCCCGTCGGAGTGCGCGGTTTAGGCTTTTCGCACATCCCTTTCACCCCGGATTCTTTGTTCCGGACGACCTCCAGAGTACCCACCTCTCCGCCGTCCACTACACCTTCATATTTTTGCTTTGTAGATTTATCGCGCGCGATGAGCACGACGGCCCGCGGCATATATATCGTTGATTTTTGGCGAAATGAGCGACGTAATGGAACTTCCCACGGTTTGGCTGTGTCCAGACCCGCGCTCCTCCAGATGGACACCGCCCGAAGTTCATTCCGGCTCAGGCACAGCTTGCTCCCGCCCGATAGGCGCCGTCCCTTCCCTGCGTTCATACTCCACTTCCCATGGCTATCGGGCTGGCAGTGCGATAGTTCAATCTATACATCGCAGCGATCGCAGCGCGCGCGCTGTGCACCTGGATATATATCGTGCTGGTGCTGGAGTATTCCAGCCGGCGACCTCAATGTCGGCCGACGCATGTGTACTTGGATCTCCTTTGCGGCATCTTCCTGTTCTGCGACAATAGCCAGGGTCGAGCTTCGCGGCTTCCGTCTCTCCTGTCGGACGATGCTGTCGACTCAACAACAAGGCGTGGAGCCCAGGCTCGCCGCCCGTAGGTCTCATCCATCCATATTCCGAGTAGGGAGGACACCCGTGCCGAGTCACCGTTGGTTCCATCGTTGAAACGTTCGTGGCTCTAGGCTTACCCTATGAATCAACAGCGCTCAACGTAGCCTGCAAGGGGGGAGGCGGCACTTTAAGCCTCTCCCGCGCCAGATCCCGGTTCGGACTTCCCCCGCTGGCATGGCCATCATTACAAGAACCGTGTTCCGTCCACCACACAGGCATCTTCCCGCCATATCTACTCAAGTGTACCCAGCGCATCTCAGGGCCGAACCGTGTCAGTATTCTCGGAGCGTCTTCGATGCAGATATAGCTCGTCTTTGCAACAACGCCAAGGGACCTGCCCACTCCGGCGAGAAGAGCGTGGATCTCCATATGGTCCCGAGCCCGAGCCTGAGCGTCTGCGTCCCCGGACTCCACTGCCTCAAAGGGAAGCGAAATCGCCCCGGTGAAGACGTCAAAGATACGGCCTGTTATCCTTGCAGGGGAGGCTATCTACATCTTCATATAGCCTTCGTGGACGTACTCGGAGACTCGCTGTTCTTATCGCAGCGATATGCAGCAATGTGGGATCTGGTCTAGAATTGACGGACGCAATGACTAAGCTCTCAATGGCGGCTGTTCTCGGGACACCGGGCTCTCACGGATGGCGGTCCCAAGAAGATACATACGGATATACTTGGAAGCAGTCTTGAATCCAAACGCCTCGGTTAGTTGAGGGGGGGGGGCGGTATCCTGCGCGCACTCTTTCCCGTCTGGCATCCCGCCTCCCTCGAATTCAGCATCTCACGGCGCCTCTAAGATCGTGCAGAAAGTGGGTTTCTAGTTTAAATTGTAAGCTGAGGCAGATAAATACAAGCAATGGATGAAGCAGTGAACGTGATGCACCCGACTCAGAGGGGCTAACTTGTGCCATGCGATTGTAACTGGCCGTGAACACATGAATTGGAATGGCTGATTATATCTTGGGCCATTGACTCACCCCTCGTTTGCTGTACTCTACACCAAGCTACGTCCTGAAGCGCCTGACGTTTTCGCGCCTGACATGCGAAGCAAGGTGGAGTAGCCTCCATTTGCTCTTCATTCGAAGCTTCGACGCTCGCCGATCATCGGACAAATGAATCCTCTGCGACTCGACACGACCGTCATGAAGTTCATGAACAAGGTCGAGCGGCTGATAAGATCATGTGGAGCCCCTATCATACGCGACGACTTGTCCGTGTGTTTTCATGTGCCCAAAGATTGATTCTGAATATTTCCTTGGTTCTCTTGCGTCTCTGATGGCGACAAGGAGATCAAGGTTCCCAGCGTTCCTCGACCAACTTGCGCATATGACGCAGAAAGAGTGCGAAATCATGTGTTGAACAGCTCGTGCCACGGGTGCTGACGGCGACCGCGCAGTCGAACAAACAGGGCACGGATGTAACATCATCGGCGGTCGCAGATGAACGGATACGTGAGCAAGGAAACAAAGCACGTTGGCGTTGGCGTCCATCATATCGTGCCAAACAGAGCAACACAATTTGATTGCCACGCGACTTTGCCACTTCGTACGCGTCCTCTCGCGCGCAACAGTCAGCAGCAGACTAAACGTTAGCGGTGGACGGCAGTCTGACCATGAGAGCCTTCTGCACGATATCTCGTTTTCATGCTGGTTGCGAAACGGGGCCCGAGGCTGCAGTCTCTGAGAAGATATGCTCGATGCCCGCGGACCTTCTGCCGACGAAGAGTACCTCGACACCCATCGTCTTCTCCGTCCATGGCATTGCGTAGCCTACGGTGCCTTTCACTCGCGCTTGGCCTGTATCGATGAACAAAACACTTCGGAAAATGGTGGAAAACGGTCCCGGATGTCCCAATCGGGCAATCGCGCGCCCTCCTGATCCGCGCGTGACCGGTGTCTCCTCACCGGTTCGGACGTGCATGGTCGCTGCTACTCTCCGCGGTTCCGAACGTCGGGGAGAGCGCCGTTGCTACGCTCGGCGCGTTCTCTCGTGCGTCACGACTCTGCGCTTTTCGCCCACCATCAGCATCCCGTGGCGTCCCCGAGCGAGTTGGGGTGCCTTCGCTGTTCGGTTTCACATCGCCCGACGTCGAGGGACAGAAAGGGGTTCAGACCCATAACGAGAACCCGCCGGACGGAAACCAGACGCGATGGCCTGCTCGGGGCAAAAGCGACTCTTCCGACCGCGCGACGACGCGACGCGTCCTCAGAGTCAGCTTCCGCTCCCCGAACGAGTCCTCCCGACTCCCGGGCATCGACGAAGCATAAAAGGTGGCACGGCCTGCCGGGGTTATTCCAGAGGTCCTTGGCTCTCTTCCCCTCCCTAGCACACCGCGAAACCGCAACTCCCAGTCGTTTCACCATGATATCGCATCACCTTCTCGTTGCCATCGCCCTCATCCCTGTCGTGTTGGCGCGCCCCGCCCCGGCAGGCCTCACTGATGCAGTAACGCAGGCGCCTTCAGGCTCAAAGACCGTCATTGCTCAGATGTTTGAGTGGACTTGGGACAGCATCGCTGCCGAGTGCACGGCTTACCTGGGCCCGACAGGCTACGGTTATGTTCAGAGTAAGCTATAACAATCTATCACCGCATGTTTGTCCGCTCACTGGCCACGAAGCCTCGCCTCCGCAGGAGCACATTACTGGTACGAGGCTCCGGTTTCATTGCTTTAGGAGTGTGGACTTATTCAATTCTGTAGGCGATCAATGGTGGACGGACTACCAGCCAGTGAGTTGCCCGTTTGGAATTCTGGCGTCTCCCGTGCTGACGTGTGACAGGTCTCGTACACGCTGACTTCAAAGCGCGGCACGCGCGATGAATTCGCGGCGATGGTGACGACTTGCAACGCAGCAGGTACGTGGGCACAAGGTTCCGCCGTGAATTCATCTCATTGCCAAGGGCGTAGGCGTCAAAATCATCGCCGACACCATCTGGAACCACATGGCCGGCATAGATTCGGGATCCGGTTCTGCGGGCTCCAGCTTCACGCACTACGACTATCCCGCGGTTCCCTACACGGACGACGGCGACTTCCATCACTGTGGTCTCGAGCCCGGCGACGACATCGTCAACTACGATAACGCTGTCGGTTTCTCGCTCGCTTCCAAGTTGAATTCACGCTGAACCTTGCTTCGCCACAGGTGGAAGTTCAAACGTGCGAGCTTGACAATCTCGCAGATTTGGCTACGGAGACGGACCACGTTCGCCAAACCCTCGCCGCCTATGGCAACGACTTGCTCTCGCTCGGCGTCTCGGGTCTGAGGTTGGACGCGTCTAAGCGTGAGTTGGTCTCACAGATGGTAAAATGATACGTACTGACTTCCATATCCAGACATCAGTAAGTTGCGATCCTTCTACTATGCACTTCAAAGTTGACGTTCAGAAGACGTGTCGGACATCGCGGCGATTCTCGCCATGCTCGACTCAACACCCTACATCACCCAGGAGGTTTGTGGGCTTTCCCCTACAGAAGATGCACGTGCTAACGCGGACTCTGTTTGCAGGTCATCTACGGAGAGGGTGAACCGATCACGCCCAACCAGTACACTGGCAACGGCGACGTCCAAGAGTGAGTCAAGTAGTGCAGCGGCCATGAGGTCTGGTACTGACTGCCATCACCACAGGTTCCGTTACACTACTGCGTAAGTCTCTTAATGCGACTTTTGCAACTGTTTGTGTCTAACATGACCCACAGCTTGCAGGACGCATTCGGTGGAAGCGGAATTTCGAGCCTCGAGGATCTCGACAACCGAGGTAAGTTGCCTACCGATCGCGAGTCCATGTATGCTAATGGCGCTCATAGGCTGGGTTCCCGGTTCGGGAGCGAATGTCTTCGTTGCCAATCACGATACTGAGCGGGTAAGGGCAAAGTGTTCATTTACGACTCCATTCACGAGTACTTAATGACTCTTCGGTAGAATGGAAACTCATTGAACTACAACTCGCCCGACAATGAATATTGGCTCGCAATGGTATTCTCGCTGGCGCACAGCTACGGAACGCCGACGATTCTCTCCAGCTATTCCTACAGCACCACGGACGACGGCGCGCCAAACGGAGGTGAGCTTCCCGCGGACGAGTACGTGTTTCGGGCTGTTGCTGATGATCCTTGCCAGGCGTGGGTACCTGCTCCGGGACCGCCGGCACCAATGGATGGTTATGCCAAGTACGTACCCTCCAATCGTCCCGTACAATACCGTCCTGATGATGTTCCCTTTCTTCAGCACCGATGGGTGTGTAACTCGCTGTCACGCCGTCCGGCAAATTCTGACGTTCACGCAGGTTGGCGGTATGGTCGGCTTCCATAACAACGTCGGCGACGCCGCCGTCACCGATTGGGTGTCGCCGTCCTCTGATCAGATTGCGTTCGGCCGTGGTACGTTTGAACCTTCTCGTTTTCGAGATGCTGTTCTCACCACTTTGTAGGATCCTCCGGTTTCGTGGCCATCAACAACGAGGACTCTGCCTGGTCGACCACCTTCCAAACTTCTCGTGAGTTGAAACAAACCTCGATGACCATTGCGGATTCTGAGCAGACCGTCTTTGTAGTGGCTGCCGGAACTTACTGCGACGTGATTGCGGGACCTGACTCGACCGCCGGATCGTGCACCAACTCAACGTACGTGTATCTTCCGTCTCTCTGGTCTATATATCTAATGAATGTATGTGCGATTTTGTAGCATCACCGTCGCAAGCGATGGCACGTTCACGGCAACCGTTGGCGCCCAAAATGCCGTTGCCATCCATACCGGCGCTACTGCTTAAGATATTGCTTATCCATCTATTACATGGCGCCTTCATTGCAGATGGAGTCCATGGGAAAACATGTTGAGGATGTAATGCTCGTGTTGTATACGCTACGGATGTTGTATAGCCTGTCTTATACCCACCCCTGCTTCTTTTATATTATCTCACCAGACGTGCGCCGATGTTGCGTCTTCCGTTCCGTTCCCTAAAGGTGGTTCAACGTTATAACTAATAGGTCTGTCTTTTTTTGCCAACGCCTTTCATGGCAAGCACACATTCCCACGCATCTGTGACGAACGTTCTGGTCCCTGAAGACGACCGTGAAGAGTTTATGCTCTTCTTTCACGTTCTACCCAAAGAGGATCGGGATGGCTTACTGAAAGAGCTGCAGCTAACGGATACGGACAGAGCTAGGATTACATCGAGCTTCGACTTGCGAATCTAATCGATCGTGTACAGATGCTGTTCCTACGAAGTGACTGATTGGATATTTGAGGTCCAATACTATGGCTTGCTCGCTGTATTCCATCATATTCGTCCCTGTGTATACAATCAATCACGCCCCATGCCGTTTCCTCAGATGAAATTGAATGCATCTGGATGCATGATCGTTGTTGGCGTAATCCCCGCGCAGGGGTCTGCTCTGCCATGCGACGCACTCAGGTCTCGTTCCTCCGCCGCTCATGGAGGTCCCAAGCGCGCGACCAAATTGTGCGTTCCTTTGCCATCCCGCACTACTTCCGCGAACACCCGCGTTGAATTACTCGTGCTCGTGGCTTTCGCATAGCGCCTTGTTGAACGACTCAGTGAGGTTGGCGATTCCGTTTCTCCAGCCCTCAAGTCGCAACCCAGAGCTTGCTGGTTCACGATCCACCGCGGGCCTTCAACCAATATTATGAGGTAGGTGAAGCACTTCATCACTCCTTATCTGCGCACTCTCCACATCTCCTTCGACAAATAGCTTGCCAGTGACGCCTTGGGCTCGCTTCAGATTTCCGCGCGAGCTGAAACGCCGCAGGACGACAAGTGCCAGTACACAACCAGCAACGAGTGTCGCAGGGTAACGGGGTTGCTTCTCTCTGTTCAACCTGGAAGATATCTGAGATCGATACCGAAGAACCGCTCAGATTCACCGTGTAACACGGTGAATCTGTGTTCACCCAGGAGGCGCCAAAATCGAGAAAAGACCAGGCGTGGGGCTTCTGGGAAACGCTCCAGATGCTCCTGGAGTGATCACTAACCAACCGCCCGTTCGCACAGATACTAGGTTATATCTGTATTATTCTCGTCGTCGACCTTCTGGTCGAGTGGATGCGCCCATGGCTATTTATGCGAACAGCGAGCTTTGCAAGCAAGGGTCGGAATATCTGAAAATTCGCGAGCTGCGTCTGAGTAACTGAGGCCTGAATGAACTGACCTGCAGGATCACTAGTCCTCTCCGGCGGTTTCAAGGAGGGAAAATTGCTGGACCTGCAGGATGACTCGTCGCAAGGGATGGCTGGAGATATCGATGACTAAGACTACGCATCGGACAGCCATCTTGAGGACGTAGACGAAGGGCGAGAAGAATCGGATCCGAAGGAGCCGACCCTAGAGGATAGAAACAGTAAATTGGACGAACGTTGTGGGGCGAACGTTATTACTACCTGAGATGTACTCACGTTCGGTTGATCAACGACGCGAAGCCGGTGAGAAGTAGGTTGGCACCTGAATGGACGTCGCTTGTTGAGAAGGTGGACAAAGCATCCTAGGTCACCGGTGGAGAACAACGAATCATCAATATATGCCGAGGGGTCCGGCCGTCAGTCAAAAGGATGGGTCATTCGTATGCCTGATATCGCTCTGGACACGTACGCATGATTCAGATGTAGCTCCAGGGCTTCAAGGATACTCATATGATTGCTGGCAGGTGGCAGGCATACATATTTTACCCGTATACCGGGAACATCACCATTAGCCTCCGAGCACTCTGGTAGGACGAGAGACTTCGCGGCCGAGCAACACACTATCCGTCCGTGTCAGCCAGCACCGACTTCGCTCAAGTCGATGTATAGGCTCACCGGGAAGGTACATGGTCGCGTTCTTTACATCGGCGCAGTCATAAGTGGATGGCTCTACACCGCAGCTGGGGACAAGAAGTTGCAAGAGCGGGCACTGATAGTCATAAAGGCCAGACTATCAGAAGATAACATCGTCGAAAAGTTGTTCTCCAAGTTTACGTCGACGTAGGTGCCCATGATCGGATGTTGGACGGTGTCGCTGAGTGCGGAAATGACAGGTACGATGTCGTCAAGGACTTCGAAGTCCAATCCTTCTGGCAGCACTGCAGATCGCTCGCGGTCTCTTAAGCTTTCAACGAGAAACTGCGGGAGTTCGGGGAAGGCAGCCTACGCCACGCATTGCCGGTAGTCCAGTCCGTCTTCAGCATCATGAGTGCAGCGGTAGATATCAGTTCGACGGGCTTTCCTGAGTTTACATACGTATTGCCTGGAACAAAGGATTGTGTTATTGATGTATTTCTCGTTGGACAAAAATCAAACCTTGCCCAAGGTCAACGATAATGAGTAGGGCCCGATACGAATGGGTCAACTCCCGGCAGCCTCGGCGGGGTAGTGCGGTGGGACGAATAGGAGGAGGGGGACGAATAGGAGGAGGCCGGGAAGTTCGTCATTGGATGGTATGACAGTATATGGCGACCAACGGCGGCGCTCTCGCGGCTGAACGGGGTAAAGCGGAGTGCAAGCCGGCATCCGACGCAAACTGAATCATGTGCCGGCCTCTACCCCAGGTCTATATAACCTCCCACTCAGCGCCCGCCCAACAAATATCTACTAAAATCACCCGATACCCAACTCGGAAAACGACTGATATCCAAATGACGAAACCCATCCGCATCCAACGCACTTTATCCAGGAGCACCACTAGGGGAAGCTCCGTCCCCGCGCTCTCGCCCCGCACTAGCTTCGTCGTGCATTCACACTCGCCTGCGCTAAAGATCCCTGGCCGTAACTTCCGTCTACCATTACTGCGCCTCATGTCGTCTTCTGCATCTGCTGTCAAGCCGTCTGAGCCTGCGCCGAGGTTCACGAACATCATCACGTCGCGTCCTGAACCCTCTGTCGGCCTGATCACCCTAAACCGGCCAAAGGCGCTCAATGCGCTAAGCACACCTTTGTTCAAGGAGCTGAACGAGGCTGTGAGAGAGCTGGACGAGGATCCCGAAGTGGGCGCGATAGTTATTACGGGCAGCGAGAAAGCGTTCGCTGCCGGCGCTGACATAAAGGAGATGAAGGACAAAGAATGCGAGTGAAATCTGGATTCCATTCCATTTGCCTTCGTACTGACCTGCCTCTTTAGTTTCGGATGTCTACAAAAACAACTTTTTAGAGAGTTGGACACTGTTGACCAAAATACGGAAACCGATTATCGCAGCCGTCAGCGGATACGCAGTACGTCCCAACTTCCCCTCTCCAAATGATATCCTGCTGATCCATGACCTTTCTAGCTCGGAGGTGGCTGCGAACTCGCGCTGATGTGCGACATCATCCTCGCCTCATCCACCGCGACCTTCGGCCAGCCCGAAATCAACCTGGGCGTCATCCCAGGCGGCGGCGGAACGCAGCGCCTCGCCCGTACCATCGGCAAGTCGAAGACCATGGAACTCGTCCTTACCGGTCGTAACTTCAGCGCAGCCGAGGCCGAGCGGTGGGGTCTCGTAAGCCGCGTGGTGGAGGGCGAAGGCAAGGTCGTGGAGGAGGCTGTGAAAATGGCGAGCACCATTGCTAGCAAGGGGCGGGTGGCGGTTATTGCTGGCAAGGAAGCAGTGAACGCAGGTACGTGGCGCGTCCGATTCGCTTCCGTGTATGCCTGACTGACATCTTGTTTACAGCGTACGAACTGAATATGTCGGAAGGCTTAAGGTTCGAGCGGAGGTTGTTCCACGGCCTCTTCGCCACGCACGACCAGAAAGAAGGTGAGACAACGCTTTTTCACTCGTCGTACTCGCTCTAATCACTGCATGCATAGGCATGGCTGCCTTTGCGGAGAAACGGAAGCCAAAATTCAATCACTCTTAATGGTATGAGTAGAAGTCGGACAGCAGTATTTATTAGATGTAGTTGTACCCATCGCATAGCTATCGTAGCATAATGAAGGAGTGATTGGAAGGAACACTTGCATGATTTACTGCCAGTGGAGCTGGGGAATTGTCATCACGAGTGGTCCAGGTCCTGTTGGCCCAGGCCATCGGGCTTAACTTCATTGAATCTTGCAGATGGCGTGGTCAGTGTAGCGCGCCCCCTTCCCCGCGTCATGCATGTCATTGTCTCGTCGACGTCATCGTTGCTCGACGCCAACTCGATTGAAACACGACGCGTATAAAGTGGCATAATGGATGGCCTTGGGTAACAACTCTCTTCACGAACTTGGAGTCTCTCCTTTCCGCTACATACTCTTCGGAATATACATACAACCATGATGTCCTCGAGGCTATCTATACGTTCTGCGGTTCGCATCGGATCTCGTCGAACGCCTGTCCACGCAAGGTTTCAGTCAACGACCGCCTCATCTGGAACCGCCGGCTCTCATGTCGCTGCGGGTGTCGCCGGCGGAGGCGTCGTACTTCTTGGTGGTAAGTCTCCACATTCTGAGCGCGTCAGAGCATCCATCGAATCGGGCGTGATTCGTAGGTTACACGTACTACCACTTTTCGAGCCTCAAAACGGCCGTGCAGACGGCCCAGTCTGCGCAAGACTACATCCGCGATACCTCGAACCGCGTAGCGAGCACCGTGTCGGAGCACGCCAAGAACCCGTCGAAAGCGCTCCAGAAGCTGCGCCAGGTTGCGCATTCGTACGTCGCGCTCATACCCGGCGCGGCGGCATACGTCGACAGCACGTTCGACGTCTTTGACCAAGTGGCCGAGACCCACGGAGACGAAGCAGACCGCATTGCGTCGGAGGCGTATGCCGAGATCGAGAAGGTCATCAAGGAGAAGGGCGGACCGACGAACGTGGACGCGGCGGCGGCATGGAAGATCGTGGACGTGCTGAGGCGGAAGATGGCGGAGCTTGGAGAGCTCGCGAAGAGCGCCGGACAGAGCGCAATCGGGCCGATACTGGACAAGCACCCTGAACTGCGTGACAAGATCGGGGGAGGGTACGAACAATTGAGGGCATTGGCAGAATCGCAAGGTGGCGAAGCGAAGAAAATCCTTGATGACACCACTAAGCAGGTACAACTTGCGCCTGCTCACCCTGAGCAGATTATGCTGAATGATGTTCGTCAGCTTCAAGAGATATTTTCCAAAGGCTTCTCGACGGACGCGGTGAACCAAGCTCGTGAGCTCCTCCAGTCGAAGTCGCAAGAGGTCCGCAAGATTGCAGAGCCCGCGACGCAGGAGGCGTGGAAAAAGGCCGTCGAGCAGGCCAAACCTTACCTTGACAAGGCGCCAGAAATCCGCGACCTTCTCAACGAAAATGCGAACAAGTTCACCGGGGCTGGCATCGCGTATCTGCAGGGTCATGGAATGGGCGAGTTGTGGGACCGAGTGAAGGATGCCGCAAACGGTGACAAGCACAAGCAGGAGGAGCTGAAAAATTTCATCCTGGATAAGGCGAAGGAGGCGGCGGAGAAAGGGGAGCAGAGCGTCGGGGGAGGCGTAGAAGGCATCCTTGACCTAGTGAAATTGGTACCTGGTGGCCAAGAGGTCAGTATACTATCGTCAGTCAATGGTATTGTATACTGACCGCTCCATTTCCGCAGCTGCTCGAGAAGAGCCCTAACATCAAGGTCCTGGCTGAGATAACACAATCTCGCAGCGAACAGGCGCAGAAGCTTGCACAGGAAACTTATCGCGACATCTTGAAGGTTTTGGACGATAAGGCGAAGAAGGCAAAAGACCTTGGGGAAGGAGCGAAGAAAGAAGCAAAGGAAAAAGCATAAAATACACCTGCAACTTGGACATTGACCATGACGCTCGACAACATTGTGTATCATAGCGCAGCCTGTATAGCGATGTAGCATATTGTATCCCGCAAGTAATACCACTCCTGCTCATTCTCACGTCGGACGATTGTAAACAATTGAGAAGACGTGCTTGATTACGAGATGCATGCAAACGATCCTATGCTGATGAAGATAGCTATACAAATGGGTGATTATACGGACTGAAAGTGTAGGTTAAATACGGGTGGTTGCATTGAAAACATGACAGCGACAGTGGCAATGCAGGACGTGAAGGCTGGCCGATGCAGCGGACAGAAAGCTTGCTAACCCATTCTTCCATGACATACGCGAGAAGGCGGGATCGGTTGTGTGTGCGTTTGGGTCGAGTTCTTGTGTGGTTCGCCGGCCGGCGGCGGGTCCTATCGTGATGATTCAGGCGCGCATTGTCTTGCGACGTTCCCTGCGGGGGTTGAGGCCCACTGCGCTTGAAACTTGCTCGTTCGTAACTTTGTCATATGCTGCAACGACGTCAGGGAATGGCAAGTATGGTTTGAGGGTGAACGTTACTGACCGACGTCTTCATATGACCAGTGGGCGGGAATGGGCGAGAAGGAGTAGCCCTCCTCGAGGAGGCTGCGCGTGACACGCGCGTTCTGCTGCTCGTCATGCGAGTAGAAGGCGGAGGAGACGGCGCCGATGCGATTCTCATGCGCATCGTCGGCGAGTTTGAGCGCGAGCTCGTGCAGGCCCTTGGCATTCGACCGGTACTCGGACGCGGACGGTACAACCTGAATGCGCGAAAGCGGGCTCTGCGATTTGGCAGTGATCACTGCGCGGGTATGGTTGAGCCTGTTAGACCTGTTAGTAAAAGTGCACATGCGAGTGGCAAAGGAAGTGGCGTACCCGTCGAGCTTGCGAGCGAAGTTGGCACGGGAGCCGGAAGGGATGACGTCCGCGTTGCAGTCGACGACATGCTTCGCCTCGACAAGATGCTGATCGCCGGACTTCAGGTGCTTGTTGATGATAGCGAGCATTATGACTAAGTGTTGATTAGGCAGACGTAGTAGGGATCGCCGCAGGCAGAGTACAATACACAGCGGGCGGAGGGATTATAGGATAGCACACAAGACAAGAACAGGACGCAAAACAGTAAATGTTTGTATGCGCGCTCCGTGGAGAGAAAGGGTATCAAAGGAAAGGAACTTATAAATCTGAAGGGGAGGGGGAGGAGGGGATTATGGTCCTTCATCCAAACAGGGGCGTCCCCTTATACTTGCGCGATCACCAACACGGCATGAGGTAAAAAGAACGGGCGCGCAATGTGACGGAACCCGGACGGGGAGAACGCGGCCGAGGTGCTGGTTCACACAAAAACGACGCAGTGAGGCAAACGGCCAGACCCGGATATAGCGACCGGAGGGTATGAGCGCTCTGAAGTAATTGTTACAGCACCAGTTTTCCAAGCATGGTCTACAATACGGGAGCAGGAGAGCGCAAAGCCCGGCACAATAGACAAGCAAGGGTCAGAGCGCGCGTCCGGATCGGGAAGGCTCCTTGTGCCCTGTTTAGGCGGGCCTTTTGTCCAGATCGCAGCATTAGCAGAGATCGCGCTCCCAGAACTCCGGGCTTCTTCCAGTGTTTCATGAGAGTCATTCAGCGAGTCACCAATTGTCTTCGTGGGTAGAGTTGAGGTCAGAGACAAAAGGTTGGGTGCTTATGTAATCGAATGGAAGTAGTTTCAGAGAACGCGGAGGGTTGTGGTTAGGGGCTTGACAAACGCTGACCTGCACAGTAAGTTGCTCGCAGAGTAGATAAGAGCTACTACTGAGCCTCAGGACTGCCTCGTGCAGGCAACAGACTTCCAACTGCCTGAGGTCTGGACACGGGCCACGACTTCATCTCCTCTAGATAATAGGAGCAGGCTATCCTAGCTGGCCATCGACGCCGAACGCACGGCAAGGGCGGAATGCATGTACTGGCTTGCTATAGACATACTCTGAGATTGCTATCCATGGAGCGCCAGACTCGAGGTTGGGGCATTGCCATTAGCAGCCCTTATCAAACCGCAGGGTCGAAGCGACTACTGCTTGTAGCCAGAGTTCACTCACAAAGCAGCAGAAGCGTGCTGAGCGCCACCGGTGTTCGCACTGGAGATCCAACGGTCAGCTGATGGGAGGTTGGGAAGAACTGACAGAAAGATAAAGACTAAACGCTTGCAGTGGTTAGCGGCGGTTTGTCACAGCACGAGGCAGGGATGTTGCGATGGTTGATGCGTCTTTTCATTGGCTTCAGGCTTCTTCGAGCTTTTTAACCCCAGGCAGTCCAAAGACGGGCACACTGCGACGCTTCTCGCGTAGAACATTCGTGAACGTTGGCGCGGGCGGATAGTGGCGTGAACAGCCCTTGATGGCGTACATACACTTGCGAACCTGTCCGCGCGAAGAGGGTTAAGTCCAGAAGATCAATACAACGAAGCTCGCCGATGGCTAATCTTGGCGCTTGACAGACTACGGTGCTGTCATGTCTTGAATAATAACCACAAGCAAATATATGGCAACCGTTATGCTAGAGTACACGGGCAGTTGATCGAGTTGTATGCAGAGAGGCTGTAGGAATGTGCTGCACGAAGAAGTAGTCTGAGAGAGAACGTTCTATGATCCATCTGAAACCGAAATGAGTTGGCGGGCTATATCAAAGACAGAAGAGAAGCACGTACACACATATAACCTCATGGAGCAAAGCGTCACCGAACACGACCATACTTGGCGCGGATGACACGATCGTACGACTCCTGCATGGGATTGCGGTACGAGAGCACGTTGACGTGCTGGGACAGGTATGGCTGTGGCAGCAGCGGACGCGTCGCCTCCAGGACGCCAGCCGGTGGTAGAGGCGGGAGGTGACATATGTAATGCGTCTGCGCATGCTGCTGGGCTTGCACGGATCGCTTGACTGCACCACTGCGGGAAGCAATCGCGGCAAGCGAACTGGCGGACGAGGAGGACATCGTGGACATGGTGCGGGTGCGGTCGTGCGGCGCCCAATTCATTGAGGAGACGGCGGAGGTCGGCGTTTGCGTGAGGACGGGCATCGTAGCGACAGAGCGCGCGGAGGAGATAGACGTGCGCCGGTTCTGCGTCGACGTGTGCGATGGTGAGGGCAGCTCGGGCGAGGCAGTCGTCTCCGTGCGCGTGCTCGCGGGGGAGGGCGGCGATGCGGAAAGCGTGTGCAGCTGCGCGCGAGGGGTATCGGCAGTCATAAGGGGTGCGAGGGGGGCCGGCTTGCTGCTGACCGTGAGCAAGCTGTCGCGCCCCTGCGAGTGCGCGCGGATGAGAGGGTGCGGTCGGAGCGGCGCGTCGAGACGCGTGACAGAGTGCGTGGAGGGCGGGCGCGTCACCGAACGGCGAAAACGGGCGTCGTCGTGATGCGTCGGCGAGGTGGCTGCTGAGCGCGTCCCATACCCGTTGGCCCCCAGTTGGCGGGCCAGGGGAGGGCGAGTGTCAATCGGGGTAGATGGGGAAGGGGGAGAGCTGGTCGACGGCGTTTCCGGCGTGCGAGGTGTGGCTGCCGTGACGCGCGTCTGCGGTGGAGGGGCTGGTGTCTGGGGAGCGGCTTGAGGGGTCGTCACTTGTTGAGACGAGCCGCTCGTTATTATGGCCCCGTTCGTCGGTGGCTTCGCGTGCTGCGCTGGCGGAACCTGGAATTGCTGTTGATGTTGTGGTGGTCTTGGCTGTGGCGGAGGGGCCACTTCCTCCTCCTCTTCGTCATCGGATTCAGTCTGTTTCGGAGTAGCGGCGCCGCTGGGGGCTTCGCTGGATATCCATTCGTCCTCGTCTTCATCATCCGTAGACGGGCTCGCAATCGTAAATCCGGCCTTATGCCGCGAGCTCGTCGTTACACCCTTTCTATGACCCGCGTGCGCGCCCGCCGACTTCTTCGGATGCGCGGGGGCTATTTGGTCCTTGGACTGCACGCGCACCGCGCTGTTCGTCCTCCCCAAGCCAGAACCCGTGCGCGTAAGGACCTGTCCGGGCATCGTTAGTCGACATAAATCGATATTGAGCCAGAATAGCAACGTTTGCTCACCTCGCCGTGCTTCTTGGCCTGGCCAACGGCCTTTGGTGGTGCGGGCTCTTTCTGGGTGAAGTGGAGGTTGAGCCCAGCCTTGGACGATCCTGCCGAGGCATTGCGGGCGTGACGCAATCCTCTCTGAGCGCGTGTGGGCATCGTAGTGAACAGTCAAATAAGCAGTAAGGGTGAAAAAACGAGGCGAAAGGGAAGGCAGAGAGGAGGGATGCCGGGGGGTGATAGAACGTCCCGGATATGGAAGTCAGTCGGTAGATTATGTAACGGTGTGGCGGGCCGTTTCTGTTTACCGCGCCCCTTTCCGGAAAAGTTTATTCTGTTCCGCTCCCTTCTGGCAAAGCTAACGTAGTACGCGTATTCGTAAGGACGCGGAGATCAATCGCCCAGCATGGAGAGAGTGCAATTTCAACAAGAGCAGGTAAGCATGCAGATGTAATGGCGGAAACAAAGACTAATGTCGTGTGCAGATGCTCGCCGAGCTGAAGGACCTCGTCCACAAAGGTCTCTTCACTAAAGTGGGGTTTGTCCAAAACGCCTCACTATGGGTGTATGCTCAACTCTTGATACGCCTCAGAAAGAAATCAAGCAGATCATAAAAAAGCGGACCGCGTTCGAGACGGCGTTGGTCCGGCGCGTCGCCAAAAAGGCCGACTTTCTGCGCTATGCGGCATACGAGATGCAGCTAGAGGCCTTGCGTAAGAAGCGAGCGGAGCGGATTAGTGCGTAGAATGCCTTTGTGTTAGATGTCTGAGAGATGTTGATTTCGCGCAGAGGCTCCTGAGGGTCCATCGACGATCTCGGACTACGCCCTCGTCCGTCGGCAGTTCCACATATATGAACGTGCGCTGCGGAAGTTCAAAGACGATGTCGGGCTATGGATACAGTACATCCACCTTGCTAAGCAGGAGGGCGCTCGCGCGCTCGTTGGACGCATAACGGCTCGGTGCGTGCTGACATTTATTACTCGCCTCTCCGAATAAACTTGCTCATCTTTCCCACCAGAGCGCTGCAGCTTCACCCTTCAACGCCCGCACTGTACATTCTCGCTGCTGGCCACGAACTGGAACATCGCTCGCCTTCGGCGGCGCGCACGTTGCTCCAGCGCGGCCTACGCCTGAACGCGGACAGCGTTCAGTTATGGCGGGAGTACGTCAAGATGGAGCTTGGGTTCGTGGAGAGTATGCGGAGGCGGTGGGAAATTTTAGGCATCAGCGCAGGCGCCGCGCAGGGAAAGGGAAAGGAGAAAGAAAGCGCGGAAGAAGCGGAAGATAGGATGGACGTGGATCAGGACGCAGATGCACAGGCCGAGGCGGACAGGGCGAGGGAGGAAATCATGAACGGCGCTATCGTCCAATCGGTCATCTCTTCCGCCGTCAAAGGTGCATACAATCGTTCTGTCGAGCGTATAGGCGCATATATGCTGACCCTGTACAATTTATAGTTCTGCCCACCGTAGAACTCTTCACCGCACTGCACACCCTCTTGGCCACCTACCCTTCGCCACCCCACTTGCGGCGCTCCCTCATGGAGTACCTGCACACCCTCCTCCGCTCGTCGCCCGTTGCGTCTCATCCAGAAGCGATAAGCCTGCACGCGACACGATTCCTGAACGACGCACTAGAAGGCGAAGAGCTCGTACAAGCTTTAAAAGACGCTAACGAAGCGTTCGCGGCGGCCGTCCGCGGACACTCACGGGCATCGGGGTCGAAAAAGAGCAAGAAAGACGCAGAAGAGGAAGAGTACGGCGCCGCTCGCGCGTACGCGCGGTTTGTGGAAGAATGGTGCACAAAGCCGCAACTGGATGACAACCTGGTACGCGACATCTCGCCTCTCGTTCACGTTGTGTGTTGGCTATTTTTACCCTGTCGCGTTGCGCGGATCGAAGGGTCGAACAATGTTCAGGGTCGGATCTTTGGCCGCTCTGTACTTGGCTTCTCGTTATCGCGGTCTCTATCGGTGTGGGGCTTCTCGCGGTTCCGCCTCGGTATCTTAACCACCGCTTTGCTCCGTCTACTTCCTGCGATTTACCGCGGATTCGCCCTATTCGGATTGCGCGGCTTTGTTTCGTTTGGCTCACTTCCGGATTTTCACGTTCCTGGTCATGATATCCCGTGACGGTGAATACTGACATTATCGCGTTGGATTGCGTGTGTGCGCGCGTCTACGTATATTGATCTACAGCAACTCTATCTGATCGGGTCGCTGCGCTTGGTCGCCAAGGAGGTGGCCGCGGCACCGCTCTTGGCGGCGCATCTGCGGTTGCTGCGAGCGCAGAGCCATCTGGAGATGGGAGAGACGGAGAAGGTGTTGAAGATCGCGAAAAGGTATACGAGGAGATGTGCGAGCGCCGAAGTCTGGTTGGAGAGGCTGGAGGTCGAGCGAGAGTTCAGCACGCGCGAAGAGGCAGACAAGGCGTGGGAGGAGGCAAGGAGGACTTGCGCGGGTGACTTGGCGATCTGGACTTGGGGCCTTGAAAGGCTTGACCGCGACGGTGCCGCGGAGGAGGATGATGCAAGAGGATCAGGAACGCGGACCGAGGCCAGGCGGGAGCTGCTCGAGGTATGGGATTCATTACGTTTTTAATGGATGTTGAACCGTTTCTGATCTGAGCTCGGTCCTTCGTTCATTCTTTTTTTTTTGCCTTTGCGTGGCGCGCGCTGCTTCTGTTCCGCTTGGTGATCAGCGGCTGCTGGGCGAGAGCATGGCGATGCTCGCGGCGGACGGTTCGACTTCCCAGGCGCTGGACGTGCACCGGGCGCTGCTGATCCGGTACGTGACGGTGCTGTATGGGGGCCATATGGCTCCGGGCCCGGACGTGCCTGGGGAGGATGCGACGCGCCGGGGGGAACGGGTGATCGAGATTGGGAGGCGGTATTTGCCTAACGGGGACGTGTGGCGGGCGGTGTTTGAATCGGAGACGGAGGCGGGGGTGCTGCGGCGGGTGTACGAGCGGTGGCGGCGGCTGGAGGGCGAGGAGGTGGCGGCGGCCGTGGCCTGGGCGGCGTGGCTCGTGCGGCACGACGGCGGGGGGGCGGCGCGGGACGTGGTGGTGGCGGCTCGGGGCGGGCTGGGAGCGGGCGGGCGGGCGGAGCTGGAGGCGCGGTGGACGGCGGTTCTGGATGGCAGCAGCTAATCTGGGCCGGGTGGTGGGACTGGGGCACAGACTGGCCGGGCTGCGCGGTTCCACGTCGGCGGGGCGTAGATAGTTTGTAGGCCGTGTGGACTGGATGATGAGTGTATGGGACGTGTGATGGAGATAAGCGTGGGTGGGAGCACGCGGCGTGGTGCGCGTGCTGGTCGCTGCCCAAGAAGCACGGCAACATGTGCACACCATGGCTGTTCCCTATTCCAGCCCGCCCGTCCTCGCTCCTCTCCTCCCGCCCTCGTCTCCGCTGGTTGTGCTGGTCATCGGCGTCCTATAAGCTACCTGCAAGTCAACGTCGTCCAGCCTCCAGCCCGCCCTAAACTGACACCCGTCTTGTCTTAGCACCACCATCTCCCCCCGTCATCGTCGCCGTCGTCGGCCGCGACGCCCCAGGCAGCGCACAGCTCGCCAGAGCGTCTCCGCCATCGTCCAAGACACGACGTCCGTGGTCCGCCCGCTTATCGGGCCCAGCGCCGTCTCTCATCACTGAGTGCACCGAGCGATGTTCCAGCCGCTCGCCATCCAGCGTCTGCCCACCAACACGCAGCTTAAGGCCCTCTCTGACGACCGACATGCGAGCGCAAGCCCGTCCATGACCGCCCCGCGTACCCTTCTCGACATGCCAAGCGCTCGGTCGGCCTACGCACCACCACCACCGCCATCGTCCTCCTCCCGCCCGTCCCCGCTCTTCGTCAACACCCACCTCCCCCGCCTCGCCTCTCCCTCTCCCTCTCCCTCCCCCTCCTCGGCCACACGCCCGACCTATTTCTCGCACCCGGTTCCGACTTCTTCGTATCCTTCTTCTGCCACGACCCCCCTTGTTGTTTCTTCCCAACCGCATCAGCAGCAGCAGCAACAGACCCGCAACTCGTGGGCCTCTTCCGTTATCGACGACGTCCTCACGACCGGAGACCGCCTTGGCGAGCATATCGAGCTCCAGGGCGAGCAGCTTCGTCTCGTCCCGCACGCCCCTCGTGCGCGCTCCCCGGACTACGTCGAGCCTGCCGCCGAGTTTGAGGTCGTCAAGCGCCTCGGTACCGGTTCCTATGCTGTTGTCTACCTCGTCCGCGAGGTGCTTTCCCGTGGCACGGTCTCCGAGGATGATCATTGCAACGTCGGGCGCCTCGAGCTCGACGACGCTTCCTCCCGCCACTCGGTCGAGTACGGCCGCGAGTACGCCATCAAGGTGCTCTCCAAAGCCAACTTGGACCAGGACGCCCTGGAAGCCCAGATGACAGAGGTGAGCGTCCTTGACCGTCGTCCGAGCGTCGTTATATGCGTCTTTTTTCGCCTTGTCTCACGCATATATCCGCCCTTTTTTTCTCCGACAGGTTACCATCCACCAGTCGTTGCCCAGCCACCCGAACATCGTCACGCTCCACCGTACTTACGAAACGTCCTCATATCTGTTGCTCCTGCTCGAATTTGTCCCCGGCGAGGACCTGTTCTACTTCCTGGAGCAGGCCCGCGACCACGCCCACACGGCCATCGCGGAAGGCGCGAGCCCCTCGTCGCGCACGCCACCGACGCCTGGTTTGCTATCGTCCATGCATCCGGACCAGCTTCTGTCCCGGACCCGCCTCCGCCTCGTCTCATCCATGTTCGCGCAGATGTGCGAGGCCGTGGGCACCTGCCACGACGCGGGCGTGTTCCACCGCGACATCAAGCCCGAGAACTTCATCGTAACCGACGGCTGGACGGCGGTCGACGGCCGCCAGGAGCGCAAGGTCATCGTCAAGCTGTCGGACTTTGGACTCTCGACGACGGACGTCGACTCGGCCGATATGGACTGCGGAAGTGCGCCTTACATGAGTTACGGTGAGAATAGTCTCCGGGCAGTGGCTTAGAACGATTCGAAGCTTATGCGTGCCCGATAGAATGCCGGAATAATATTGCCCCTACTTACAAACCCCGGGCGGCCGATGTTTGGTCGCTTGGTATCGTCTTGATCAACATGTCAGTGTGCCACTTCATCCTCTTTCGTGTTCCTTTGCTCATGCCTCTTGCAGGCTGTACCACTATAATCCCTGGACCGACACCACGGCCGGCGGCTGCTCTTCCTTCGAGCTCTTCCGCCAGCAGCCCGTCAACTTCTTCATGCAGCGTTTCGCGGGCATGACGCTCCCCGTCGCCGAGTTTCTCGCGCACAAGGTCTTCTGCATCCCCACCGATCCCCGTGCGGATCCTCCCCGCGTCTCGGCGTGGGAGTTCTGCGACTGGGTGAAGGACCTGCCTGCGCTCTTCCTCGCGACGCCCCCGTCGCCCCACCACCGCGTGCGCTCGCTCTCGTCCACCGCGGGTCACCCGATCGTCAGCACCGCGCCCAACTCGCGCCCGCAGTCCCGGCAGGCGAGCGAGACACGGCCGGTGCGCCGCCTCTCCGGCACGCCCACCTTCACGCCGGTGCAGCTCGCCAGCGACGACGGCATCCTCGAGGTGTTGCGAACGTCGGAGCTGTCGCCCGTCATCGACGAGGAGCGCGACGCGGAGATGGAGGCGGACCTCGCCCAGGCCGCGGACGAGAACGAAGACGAGGACGAGGACGGAACGGGCTCCCGCAGCCAGTCGAACATCAAGCGGCGCAAGCGCGGTGCCCGCAAGAGCAAGCCGCCGCCGGCTGCGGACGTGCAAGACGCGATTGCGGCCGAGCTCGCGTTCGCGTCCCAGCAGCTCGCGCGCGAGCTCTCCCGGCGCACGCAGCTGCCCGAGGCCGCCGAAGTCCCGCTTCCGCCGATGCCGCCCAGCGTCGCGGCGAGCGTCGCGCCGCTCGCGAAGAAGCCGTCCAAGTGGAAGCTGTCTTTCGGGAAGACGAGTTCGTCGGGTGTGCGCGAGGGCCGCGGCGCGGAGCCGGCCTCGCTCGACGTCGATGCTGCATCCGACCGCGTGAGCACGCACAGCGGCAAGAACCAGGGTACGCTCGCGAGCAATGTCACGAGCCTTATCATGGGTCTCGACGCAAGCGCTGCCTCTGCCGCCTCATCGGCCACCGCCGTCGAAAAGGAGCGCGGCCGCGCCAGGAAGGGCAACCGCTCACCCGTCAGCCTCTACGCTACCGGAACGTTCGAGCCGATGTCGAAGAAGCCGACCGAGAACCAGCGAGGCGCGTTCGAGCCCCTCAACAAGCAGCGCGGCGTGTCACCCACGAGCACGCGCAGCGGCCGGCAGGTGGCGTCGAGCGCGAGCTCGATCGCGTCGTCCAACTGGCGCAGCTCGATGTCGAGCGCGGCCTCGTCCACCAGCGCGTTCACCCGGTACAGCAACGGCAGCCGCCAGAGCGTATCGACCGTCGCAACCAGCCTCTCCTCCGGCAGCTGGCGCAACGGAAGCAAGCCCTCGCTCGCGCCGTCTGGCCGGGGTCGCTCGCCACTCGGACAGGAGGTCGTCAACATGCCCCCGCGGAACGTCAAGAGTGCGTGTTACTTCCATTTCCTCTTCAGGTTCTTGCTTCTTCCCCTTCTTCTCTTATTTTCTCGCGGGCCCCATCTCTTCCTTTCATCTTGCTTATCTGATCGCCTTGCTAACTATCTTTTTACCCACACAGTCATGGACGGCGTTCCCTGGGCGCTGCACCAGCTCCCGCGCGGCATGCACCACAAGCCCGAAGGCGACATCTTTGGCTCGCCACCGGTCCCGCGCAAGCAACGAACGCGCAAGGGGCCGAACTCGCCGCTTAACCCGATCAGCGAACGCACCGAGCGCAACGCGGCCTCGACCGGTGGTCCCAAGTCGCCCGTGAGCCATCGCCAGGACGCGGCGACGAGCACGACGGATCTCGACAGCGGCGGCGAGAACGACGACGTCGCGGACGGTACTCCGAAGAAGGTGCAGAAGGGCCAGATCAACGCGCTCGCGAAAATGCTCTCTGCCCTCCGTCGGTGATAGCGCTTTCGGCACCGGCCCCGCTCGTCACCACCCTCTCCTCCGGCCTGCACCCCGATCTCCGACCTCACCGAACCCTTGACGACACAAACCAACCCCCAATCCCCCGCCCCCATGTTCATCTGCATGATAGACAGGCTCTTACAGGCCTCCGGCTCCCGGTCATTCTAGGGTGTCAACGCGATACGCGCGGCAAGCGCTGGAGCCCCCCGTTCTGCGTTTTCGGCACGCGTCCGCGCACGTGTGCCGCGTGTACTTGTTTCCGTAAAGTAGCGTACGTCCGTGCAACTTGTTCTATCAGTGCCATAAACACCACCAGGCTCCCCGGCGAATCATACGAATCTCGCCAACCGACCAAGCTCTCCTTCTCGGACGTAATCGCGCTCCGTTGTATGCACGCGCTTGAAAGCGTTGTAATAGTTCCGACCTCTTTCTCTCTCTCTCTCTTCCATCCACCCCGCTCCTCCTGCTTCTTCCAACCTCTCTCCTGCATTCTTTGGCATCGATGTTCGGCACCCACCCAAAATCGCGGTTCAGCTGACTCAACAACACAAACACATACGCTCATTATTTCATCATTTCCTCGTTTCTTCCCCTTCTCGCTCAGAGAGTTCGTGCAATTGTGCTTCATAGTTTACAATACAATCGGATCGTTTGATGGATCATTGATATATAGAGATGCATTTACATTGGTGTTATGAGAGTGAGAGGAAAAGTCCCGACTTGCGAGATCAACCGCGAGATGGGTCGGTGTTCTCCCGCGAGATACGGTGGAATTACACTGCACGCCAAATTCAAGAACCGTCCCCCCTCCACGTTTGGAACGCGACGTTCTGCTCAATCGTGGGACCGCGTGGGGCGTCTTGGGGAACGTCATGTCGGCGACCGTGGCCCGACGGGACCGCGATATCCATCGGCGCGTGGGGTGTTTCGGTTCGGGTGGTGCTGGTAGGCGAAACCGAGCGCGAGGGTCCCGTGTCCATGTCCACGTCGCTGCTGTCGGACGAGGAGGACTCTGATAGGGCGGTGCTGCTACTGCTCCCAGCCGTCGGATCGCCCGAGATGATGTAGATGCCACTGCTGTGGGTGCGCACGAGGTTGACGTAGTAATCCTGGAGGATATCGCGCGTGCACTGACGAAAGGGGAAGGGAAAATGCCACACGTTAGCAAGTTATGTTTGGCCATATCGGTGGTTCTGTCATTTCGCGGGACCGAAAGGAAACAGCAAAACGAAAGAAAACGAAAAGGGACCAGTTCGGAGGGGAAAGGACTAAGGAAGGCGTGGCTAACCAGGAGGTGCCAGCGCGTGGCTTGCAAGAATTCACGCTCGAGCAGGTTGAGCTCGGCAACAGAGATACCACCGACTTTGGCGTAGTGCGAGTTGGTGCAGAAGGCATCGCAGAAGCATTTGCTGGAGATGGCGATGGACGTGATCACGAAGCGGTGGCAAGTAAGTGACGACAGGGTGAATAACGGGTTGCGGGCGGCGATCTGATCGATGTAGCGCAGGACGAGCAACAGGCACGCACGCTTGTGATATTTTGGAATCAGATATATGCTACAGATGGAACCGTGTATGGAACTCACTTCAACATTAGTGAACTTGACGATACGCCGTAAATAGTCGAGAATGGAGATGTTCGGCGGTGATCTCGAGTGAAATCGCGTGAGGCTCTCCCTGAAACCACGTTGGTGACGCTCCGATAATTGATGCACAGCAGCACGCACGGAGACAGCGGGATCTGGTCATTGTGCTTCATCAAACGCTCGAACATGTCGGCTGGAGGGGATGAGAGCCAATCCTATGCGTTGTAAAAGTCATACATACCGATGAGAAGGACGAGGTGATCTACGTCCACATCTTCGAACGGAGCGGGCAGCTCGACCCTGCCCAGTGACGGTTCCATCCAGCCATCGCACGCGTCGTGGTCAGATACGAGGAAGAGCTCGACGGTGCAGGACCCGCCGCTGATGAAGGTTTCCGCAAATCTGACGGAGATTCAATCGGGGATCCAACGAGGGATGGCAGCGGCGCGACGAGCCTGGGACCGCGTCTGGCCGACAGCTATACAGTTCTTGGCCACCGCCCTCCACCACTCCGCACTTTTGGTCTATCGTTCAGTGACTCGCCATGGCCCCCAAACTCGTGAATATTCAGCGCATCCTGTATCGGGGACTCTGTTCTGATTCACCGCGGACTGCTAGGATCCCAATGAGGTGAAAATCATCTACCTCCGGGCCACTGGTGGCGAAGTCGGTGCTTCATCTGCCCTTGCGCCCAAGATCGGTCCTTTGGGTCTGGTACGCTCATGTCAACCTCTGATGTCTCGTAGCGGACAACTGAACAGTGTTCTCCGAATAGTCCCCGAAGAAGGTCGGTGAAGATATCGCAAAGGCGACCTCTGCATGGAAGGGCCTGCGCGTTACTGTCCAGCTCACCATCCAAAACCGTCAAGCCGCAGTCTCCGTTGTCCCCTCTGCCTCCTCGCTCGTCATCAAGGCTCTCAAGGGTACGTTGAAAATCATGCATCTAATCGCTCAGTAACAAAGCTATAACTCCGCATTCGACAGAGCCCCCGCGTGACCGTAAGAAGGAGAAGAACATCAAGCACGGCGGCAACATTCCTCTTGACGAGATCATCTCGATCGCACGGACGATGAGGTCAAAATCTCTCGCCCGGACCCTTGCGAACGGCTGCAAGGAGATTCTGGGCACCGCACAGAGTGTGGGCTGCACCGTCGACGGCCAACCGCCACACGACATCATTGACGGCATCAACTCGGGGGAGATCGAGATCCCCGACGAGTAGACGATTTTTGCTCGATTGTGTGTACACATGTTTTACTGCTTATTGCATGACTTTCGCGGCGATCTCTGTGTGCTCCTCCGTGTGCAGCATCAGGCTTTGGGCATTCATGCATCGTGCCGGCGGATGTTGGAACATATTCGGGACATCTTCTGTCGGCTGGCGCATGTGGTTTTGTTGGGGAAACCAAGCAACACTTCCGAGGACACTTGACCACCATTGGCTGCGCATCAGTTCCCCAATTCTCAGAGCTCTCGGGACTGAGATGGGTACTGAATTGATGTTCGTTCGCACATGCGCGAATTTGGAGACGATGCTTGATGCACTCCTTCGTCCATGTGAAGGGCATTCTGACCTGCGCCAAAAGAAGCAGTCGTCAAAGTCAATCCCACTCGGCATTCTCTTCATGTTCACAGAATTGTCATGCAGCAAGTCGGAGGCTCGGCGAAGTCTTACGTTTAACCTATAACCTTTGGTCCTTCCGATGGGAATCGACCATGCGGTCGACTCCCACTTCGCCCCCGTGGCCATCATTCTCTGAATAGCCGCCACGTACGAACGGCACTTCGTGAGGACTGCACTGACTGGTTCCACACACTTCATTCTACCGTTTACTCCCGGCCAGTGCTATATGCTGATATGAAATGAGGGGAATAATATGCATGCCGCATATGCATCTGTTTAATGACAAGTAGGAAAAGGCATCTGCTCAGAATGCATAACGAAGGTGACCTGACTCCACGGCCGGCGATGATGGAACACAAAACCTCCGATTACCATGGTCAAGACCGCGATCTAGTATTTCCGATGGCTGCTGGTGGCATCTGCGATGTCCGCCGCGAGGCGCTGTGCGATATTTCGCGTTGAGACTGCTGCGCCGTATGGTCAATGTTGGAGAGTCGTTGATACGGGCGATAGTATCGTCCTGGACATGACTTCCAGTGTCCTCGCCACTCTCTCGTGGCAAGTCAGGATATAACCCGGTATAGGCCGAAGCATGGGGAGGATCGCAAAATGAAGATCAGCTCCAAGTGCTACAGTGCATCCAATGCAATCGCTTACCGGAGAATCAGGGAGATTTTTATGTCAAGAAAGCAAATGCACCGGAGTAAGCGTATGGCGCCGACGGGCCAACTCAGGAAGCGGGTGCTTGTAGCTCCGCTGTGAAGCCAAGCTCTTCGGATGAGAGCATATGGAGTAGACAGGTGAAGACTTACAGACCGCATGCCTTGAGGGAGGAGAGAGGTCGTGGTTCGCAATATTGACATTCGCATATACAAGGATAAGTCCGGGATCCTGTGAAGGTGTGCTGGCGTGTCCAATATCGCCTTTTTACACTTGTGCTCAGGTCTCGCTCGAGGACGTATTTTACTCTCCAGCTAACATTGTGGGATTCTGAATGGTTCGCCCGTCAACGTGGGTGTTCTGACTTCAGCCGAGAATCAATGTACACGTGCCTTCCACGTCTCCGTCATCGAGGCGGCAGACTTGGAATAACGCGTACACGTCGCAAGCGACAACGACCTCCGGATTTTCAGAACTCTCCAACATGTGGCTCACGGATGCTCAAAGTCAGCTTCACAACGTCTGAGAGGCTTGCGAGGGCAATATACTCAGTCTCGTCCCTGCAGAAATCGGCGTGGCGCTGACCACCTTCGGCGTGCTGTTCATGTTCTTGGGGGTTGTTTTGTTCTTCGACGGCGCGCTTTTGGCCTTGGGAAACGTACGCTTGATATGCTCCTGATGTCCTTCTGCACTGAATCTGATATCCTCCGTGCTAGGTTCTGTTCCTCTCGGGGTTGACCCTCATCATCGGTTTCACCAAGACGTTCTACTTTTTCGCGCGCAAGAACAAGATGCGAGGGACGGCATGCTTCATTGGGGGGATCCTTCTCGTCTTCTTGAAGTGGCCCTTTGTTGGAATGGTCGTGGAAACATTTGGCTTCCTAAACTTATTCGGGTGCGTTTACTGGTGTATTCATGTTCGAATTGGAATCACTACTGACGTCGCGACGCCCTTTCAGCGACTTCTTCCCTGTAATCCTTACTTTCCTACGCCAGCTACCATTTATTGGGCATTTCCTCACCCTGCCATACGTACGGGACGTGAGTGGCCGAGCTTGAATTCGATGCCAAGATTTCTGTACTCAGACGTTCATCAGGTGGCGGATCGGTTAGCCGGATCGCGCACATCAATAGTATGACATTGTACGCGATGACTATATCCATTCAGAAGCTTCAGAGGGCGGTGAGACAGCGCGAGCCAGCGGAGACGCTTAGCGGACTTGCGCACTGGGCCACCTCGCTCTGCTTTCGATGGAGCCTGTTCACTGGGCGAACAACGATGGCTTCAAGCCCTTTAACAATCTGCCTTTCACGGGAATCTGCTACGCCCGCAGTGTTGGACGTATATGCGGCTTCCACGTGGTCTTCCAATTGCTATCCAGCATACCCCCGCATTGGGTATCGGAAGCCAACAACGACCTTCTGTTCGCATTTCTGCATAGCTTGTCGCCTGCGTTCCAGGGACCAGGGAAAATCTACATAGTGCAGGCAAAGCAGTGCAATGGTGGTTCTTATGAGAAAGGACGATATACAGCAGTGTGTTCGCTTGCGGTTCTTCGGGAAGCGCCCGACACTCTGCGGAGCTTCGTGCGTTGGACGAAGATCTGTTTGACCGATGTGATCTTTCATATCTTTGACCTCCTTACTACGAGAGGCAGGGGAGAATCTCAGAGCGGCACGACAGCTTCCTCCAGATTCCGCTTTCGTTCGTGGTAATCCCAGCGATCTAAACCGCCAAAATCCACCTTCATCCCCATCACCGCCATGTTCACCTGAAGCTCGCAGATATGAGAGACTCTGGCTCTCCAGCTGTCTCCGCTGTTGATTGGAGATTGGAGTACGTTGTTATATCGTATGCAACCGCGCCAAAGAGGAAGCACTCACGTCGCTGTGCCATATGTGGAATCGGTGCTTGTCTGGCTAACCACCCGTGCCGTTTGATCCGCATTAGATCTTGCGTCGTAGATCCAGACCGGCTTGCCAGTGTAAATCTCCTGCCATCCGTCGTGGTCGATCAGCCGGTGAGAAGGCTTGGCACGAGACGTGCCTGCGGGCAGGGGTGGCGCGGGCCGCACGCCCACCTCGTTCACGAGGCGAAGCGCGGCGAGATTGGACATATTTTCCAGCGCGTCCCGGGGCGAGTCCAGGACGGCGAAGATGGGGGCTGGAGAATCCTCGGATTCTTCATCGTCGCTGCCGTCTTCTCCCTCCTCCATCACGACTTCTTCTTGCGTTGACCCACTCGCATTGTCAATAGGGTTCTCGACGACCATCTGGACGTCTTCCTGAGCGTCTTGCGCATCCTCTCTATTAGTAGCGCCAGCAAACTCTTGCTCGCCTTCCCTGAGCTTCGCCAAGAACGATTGCCAAGCGTCGTCGTCCGTGAAATCCGTTCGCACTAGGATTCCCAGCCCGGCGGTATGGATCGCGATCTCGTCAAACGGATCCTCATCCGTTTGCCATGCAGGCAGAGTCTTTATCTGCTGCGCGACGGGAGATCCAGCAGTACTTGGGAACGTCGATGTATTCTAAGAGCAGGGTCGATGAGAACGTCGATCTCTCCAGCATATCGCGGGGCACGCTGCGTGCAGACAAACACTTCTATGCAGCAGCTCGGCTTTCGCCTCCGGGGGCAAACCCCAAAACTCCTGTGCCACTCGCAAGATCGTTTTGCGCCTGCCTTCCCCTTCGGCTTTGACAGCCGCATACCGACCCTACGCACGAAATCACGGTTCAACATGCAGGGTAATGGGGCTAGGGATCGTTCGTGATCACCGATAGAAGCACAGGTAAGGGTCCTGAAAGCGCTGTTTCGGCGGCCATGCTTGCCCGGCTGGATTGTTGCTCGATTGGGTTGTCCCTGCGTGTTGATGCTGAGTGGAGCGTAACGTTTGACGATACGAGCCGTAGCTATCGGGGGCTTCTATTGTCTGGTCGCGAGCCAGCTGTCCGCGCACGAGAAGAGTGATTGATAGGCACAAACGGGCTTCCGGACCGGACTGACGCGTATGTTTCGACCTGAAATCGTACGAAACCAAGCTCAGTGATGGTGAGTATGATACGGTACGTGCTCCGAATGACCTGAAGTAGAATCGAAGGTAGGTGCAAATTTTGGATGAACCTACTTACCGGGCCGGTGATGGCCAGGGTCGGGCATCTCGTGATCTTACCCCAGGTCTTACCCCACTTCCTTACCCCGCCCGGACGCCCGGGGAACCCCTGAATATCAATAGGGTAATCAGAATTTGCGACCGCCTACCCAATTATGTCCGACCTTTAAAGGCCCCATGAGACTGCCTGTCGCCTTCCTTGACCGTCCCCACCATGCCCCCTCCGCCAGGAATAACCGGTGAGTATCGATTTCCGTTCGGTTCGACGAAACCGTGCTCATGGGTCATCAGGTTCTCAGCTGCCTCGCAGGCAGTGGGTATTCGCGTTCGCGCTTATCACCTCCCTCTTCTTCACCTGTGAGTAGTACCAGATAAACCTGTCCGACGTCGTGCTGATGCCGATCTGTCTATAAGGGGGATTTGCATACGGTGTAAGCTCATATAAATCAATCCAGCTGCTATATCTGAGGACTCACCTGGTACTGCAGCTCCTTGATGTGCTCAATTCGCACTTCCAAACCGTCTTCGGTATCACGAAGTTGCAGAGTACCCTGTTGCAATTGGCATATTTCGTGAGTACTTGATGCGTCCCCCTTGGAAACATGCGTCTAATCCTGGATAACGTTTGGTAGGGTGCTTACTTCGTATGGGCACCATTTGCCGGTGTATATGTGCGTACTCTCTCATGAGTCTCACTGAACTTCAATTAATCGACGGTATCCGTAGATGAGGCGGAATGGCTACAAGAAAGGGATTCACATCGGCCTCGGCCTTTACTCCCTGGGGGCGATCTTCTTCTGGCCATCGGCCAAATTCGAGAAGTACGGCGGCTTCGTCGCGTGCACGTTCGTAATGGGCTGCGGCCTCTCCACGTTGGAAGTGGCCGCCAACTCCTACATCGCCGTCCTTGGTACTGAAAAGTACGCTGCGGCGCGCCTCAACTTCAGCCAGGGCTTCCAGGGTGTAGCGTCCTTTGCTGGCCCGCTCATCGCGTCTCGATGGTTCTTCACCGGAAAGAACGCGACCAGTCTCGACACCGTCCAATGGTACGCGTTTCTCACAGAACGATGTCGGATATTCTCTTGACGACGTTCTTTCAGGGTGTACCTCGCTGTGTCCGCATTTGGTGTCTTACTGAACATCTTGTTCTAGTGCGTTTCGCGTGGTTTCATGCCTTGCACGCCTAATGCCTATAATGTTCCGCAGCTTCTGCCCCCTGCCCGAGATCACCGAAGATGCCTTAACCAATGAAATCAAAGAGCTAGGGTTGAAGGAGGACATTGGGCCGTTTTGGAAGCAATATCGATGCGTATTCGGTTTCGTTGCGCAAACCTGCTACGTGTGCGTGACCGCTTGGAATGAGCGCGGTATTCCTACTCTGACCTATGATCCTCAGTGGCGCTCAAGTTGCGGTCGCCTCCTTCGTCGTCAACTTCCTCACAGAGCAAGGAATCGGCATCGCCCACCCAGAGGCCTCCCGCCTCTTCTCCTATTGCCAAATGACGTTCACGGCGGGACGCTTCGTTGGAGTCATCCTCCTCAACTTCATTGACCCTGCGCTGTTGCTCTCGATATACGGCCTCCTTTGCAGTGGATTCTGCCTCGGCGTGAGCCAGGCGACCGGACGCGCGGGCGTGGGCTGCCTATTCGCACTATTCTTCTTCGAATCCATCTGCTATCCTGTAGGTGGACTGACAGAGCCTGCGATGTCAAGATCACTGACATCGTGACTAGTGTATCTTCACGCTGGGCACCAAGAACTTGGGCGTGCACGTCAAAAAAGGCTCCGGATTGATCGTCATGGGCGTAGGTGGCGGAGCGTGGTACCCACCAGCCCAGGGCGCGTTGGCAGACAAAGCCTCCACACGGCGCTCGTACCTCGTTCCCGTCTCGGGCTACCTCACCATGTCGATCTACGCCATCGGTCTCGTCATCGACCAGACGACGAAGGGCGGCTTCCGCTTCCGGAATGTGCACGACTCGGAACGGCTCAAGAAGTCGTCCCCGGAGGTGGACGAGTCCGGGCTTTACGCGCATCAGCAAGCGCGGACTGCGGTGGAGAGCGCGTCGGAGAACGAGAAGGGAAGCAGCGAGTTTGTGGAGGATGCAAAGCGGTAGAGAGCGTCGAGACCTGTTCATTGCTTGCTTACGTTGCAACGACCTACGAGTATTGTACGATTAGACTGCATGATCAACGAAGTAAAGCCGAATCCTTATAAAGTTTTGCCTGCTTATTCACTCTTCATTATTCGTGCTTGATTTCATAGATTTGATCATTTACCTCGCAAAATGTGCATCGGGATGAAGCTCACCGATGTTGGAAGAGATATCACGCTAGCGAAATCACAGAGTAGAGGCGCTAGCATAGCAATGTTAATGATACAGACTGAACAGATCGTCAATATCGTATTACTGGGCATGAACAAGGTTTACCGCTCACTGAGCATGTGTTCTATCACTCTATGCAAATATAAGGAGATGAGGTATGATTAGATTTTCCACTTCCATGTGAGACAGCCTCCAATCCTCAAACACGATGATGACCCTTAGCCTGCGCATGCCATACGCGGCCGACGAACATGATGGCCACGCCAACAAGAGTGACGACGCCGGAGAACACCGCCGGCTTCCACCAGGTCAGCGTCGTCGTTCCAAGAAGGGCTCTGTTAATCCCGTGTGAGGCCACCGCAAACGAAGAATGGCGAGTCAGCTGCCATGTACGTACCCATCAATCGGAGTACCCGTCAGCGCCGCGAGCGCGATAATGCTCCACGCAAAGCCCATGCGGACGCCCACTTCACCAATATGGGAGCTAAACAGCCGTGGTCAGCGAAGTGAGAAGGAAATCCAAAGAGGGCATAGAACGTACCTGAGACTGGCGATGACGCCGGGCATGATGCTTACGTATGCGCCACTGAAGAAACCATAAAGGATGGAGAAGACGATAGAAGCGCCTTCGCTGGTGCACGCGAGCCATACGAAGTTGAGCACGCCCGCGCAGAAGGCAGCGCCGATGAGCATGTTCATCACGCCGAATTTATCCGCCAAGAGATTGGGCAGAGTCTGTTCATAACGTACCGCGTCAGAAACGAGGGGAACGCAACTGAAAAATGGCAAAGGCCGACTCACACGTCCGAATATGGAAGTGGCATTGAGTATCGACAGGAGGTAGAACGACAGGTTCTCGTTGACCCCGTGGCTCTGCGCAAACACCTGAATGTAAAACAAGGGGAAGACTAGGGCCAGAAGCGGTAAGTCAGAAGTGACGCAGTTTGAGTACGGCAGAGAACGTACACAATCCCCACATAATCAGGAATCCACCACCGATAGTGGCCCAGTAGGCATCATGCGTGAGGATGGACTTCATATCAGGGGCCGGGAACTGCATGTGAGCGGGACGCTTCGATCGCCCGGGGATCCGCGGCTTGATGAGCAGATTCACGAGGACGAGACAGCCCAGGATGATGTACGCCGCTATCAAATGGCGGTACGGTCAGTAAACCCTGTAGACAGCCGCCACCAACGATGGACCCCGCATGCGACTCACAGGCCCTAACGCCTTTTGCGTACCCGACGGAGTTGAAGAGGTGATTGAGCATAACTACGCAGATCCTGTCAGTCGATTGACGCGCCGACGCGATGCCGAAGCTAGCTTACTTGGGAAGACGACACCGCCGACGCTAGATCCGGTCGTGACCACACCTGTAGCAAATGCTCTCCGCTTTTGGAACCATTCTGAGAGGAAGGTAGGGGGTCAATGGGGTATGCCATACATTACGATCTTAGACGCACGAGGGACGACGCTCAGGGCGGGCAGGAATAGAATCCCAAGGCCGATTCCTCCGCAGACACCCTGCGCAAGGAACACCTGCCAGTACTCCGTGCAGAGTGATGTCATGAATAAACTGCGGTTGGTGGTCAGGACAGAGAAGTCACAACACGGAGAAGTGATACGCACGCAACGATGTAGAACACGGAGCCCACGAAAATCAGGAGCCGGCAATGCCCCTCGTCGAATAATTTTCCAGTGAACAAGCCCATGGTGAACATCAACCACAGCTGGAACGAGCCGATCCATGAAACAGCACTGTCCGACCGTCCCAATTTTTCAACATAGTAAGCCTACGAAAGTAGTCGTGAGCTCCTTCGTAACTGGATTTACGACTGAATATATACCTGATACACGCCGAACGCGTTCACATAACCCTGCAGACCGGAGTTTCAGCATGCAAGGGTCGCGCACGGATCATGGTCATCACCAACAAATGTTGAGAAAAGCGCGAACCAGCCACCAGCCACGACCGACCAAGCCTCCCAACCGCCGTCCGGAACGTTGAAGGCCGGCGGGGCGGGTGCAGCCTTCTCAGCGTCCGCCTGTACTGCCTCCTCCTTGTCCGCACCCGCCTTCTCGAGCGAGCCGGAGCCACCTTCGACAGTAACAGCGTCGACGTCGACGGACCGCACGTCGCTGTGAGAGTTGTTATGACTCGCTTCCTGCTGCATGGCGGGATCCAAGACTCGAAGGAAGTGGGAAACGCGAGTGCTAGGCGCAAGAAATCTTATAACTCTGGCACAGGCTCCCTGGCCGTCCGGGCCCCGATGGGTGAGGATGGGTTACTGAGACCTTAGTCATATTGATCCAGGGGTCGGTGGCGCGACACGAAAATAGCACTAAGAGCCTATGTGGGTTAGGCTGCTGTGCGGGTTTCCCCATAGAAGTTCAGTCGCAGTGCACGCGAAAGGCATGCTACACGCTCGAACCAATCTAGGAGTGCAACCGTAGGGCTGTAGGAGAACGAGTAGGGCATTGGTGTAGGCAGAAATATAATCCATGTGGGTAACGCTCGGAATAAAGGCATGGTTTCTTGGCGAGCTCAGTAATACTTCGTAGTGTTGGCAGTTCCGATCACCGGATCCGATTGCACCGGCATGATTAGCCACGACTCCGCTTATCAGATAAGATGCCAGTCTTGAAAGCAGGCTTGCGCGTCGCCGGCTCTGACCAATTGCAAACCACAGTCCACTGACAACATCGCTGGAGTACTTTAGTGGTTACTTGACTCAGACTCGCGCTTTGCAACGGGACCCAATAACTCATGCGATACATAATGCTCAACGTACGACCCTCTCATGGTTGCTAATTGCCGACGTGCCGTTCTCGTTGACAGCTACTCATCGGCCCAGAAACCCTTTCATCGCCCACATGGAGTCAAGTTTCTCCAGCTGGTTAGGCCGAAGGACGTTGTCCGGTTAACACGGGATAGGTAGAATCGAGGCGAAATACGTACTAGCTGAGCAAACCCTTCTTCGCGAACGACGCGCCCCACCAGTTCCTCGAGGTCACCGCGCGATAGCTTCTCGAGAGACGGATCTTCCTCCAGAGCTGCCAGTAATCGATCACGAGGAACTTCCTCGGCTGACGCTGCGGCCGTTTGGGTTCCACCCCTCAACAAGTCCAAGGGATCGCTGCCACTCGGCGGCGAAGGCCGTGGCGGGGAAGACGTCGGGGGGTGGAAGCGCAAAGACGTCCTCGCCACGGGGTCCCGTAACGGCAGCCGAGGCTCTGGAGTGGAAATGGCATCGCTGGAAGAGGACGGCGCTTGGTGATGGAGGCGTGAATGTCTCGCAATCAGCGGAGCCGACTGGACTCGGCCTCCATGGTTCGACTCTGGCGCTAACGTGCCTTGCTGTTCGGGAGAGGTCACCTGCGATGCGAACAGTTCCGGGAAACTCTGAGACTGGGGTATAGGTGGGCTGCTCGAAGGGAAGTCCACTCCTTGAGAGTTCTGGGAGGCGATGGTCCTGAGCAGAGGTGCGCCGTGGTTGATAGAGGCCGGTCTGTTGGGTTGACACGGGCAGACATATCGTATGTTGTCAATGAACTGAGCTGCCTCGGTAGGTGAGGCAAATGTGATCCGAAATCGGCGGTATGTCTGCGCGCATATGATCGCGCAATTTGCGTAAATTAGCAAATCCAGAGCACGAAAAACGCATAGACTCGATAGTTTCCCCAGGTCGCGTGAGCACTCACCGGGCTCGGATGCAGATGCAAATATCGGATGCCGACGAGAGCGTCCTGATAGACGGCTCTCAGGGGCAATCCTTGCGACTGCTGAGGAAATGCACGAGCACTTCCCATTGTCGAGAAGCTTAACAGGTCCAGGTCCTCCTGGAAAGAAGAAAGAAGAATCCAACCAGACATCGTTTGAGCGCATATATGCGGGCGTCTTGATCACCCACTCACAAGCACGATTTCTTGCGGATCTCCCTGCGGGCTCATGTCCCACGCGATCCTAAGCCGTACAGACTCTATCGTATTGTTCTCGGCACCGACCGTCCTCTGTAGAGTGAGCTGAAGCAGGGGTTTGAAGAACTGTTCCCATTCAGATGTGCCCTCGCGCTCGGATGCGCCGGTTGCGCTCGAGTTTGGAGCCTCGCTCGACGGATAAGATCTGGAATACCTAGCGAGAACGTATCTTGTCGTGCTGATTGTTGAACGAGACATGGAGCGACAGTGCAACAGAGCCATCCACGCAGCTTAAAGTTATATACTACACAATGCTTACAGTCACCTGATCGCGAAGATCGCGCCCAGAACGGATTCAATATTACTATAACTGACGAACGCGTCCGTAAGCTTATGTACGCGCAATATCAAGAATACGAACCAGTGCTCGATGCTCAAACTCCGGTGAACTTCACGAAATCTTCTTCGCTCCAGCCATAGTACTCTTGCAACCTCTTCGCAAAGTCCCTGAGCATGATACGATGAATAGTGGGATCCGGATGAGCTGTGCGGCGCTTTCAGCTCGGAATTTATAACAATAGAGAATATGACTCACGTTTATGGAAGGTGATAGGCTACGGAATAGGAACACATGTTAGCTTGAAGATGCAATAATCACGTTCTAGCGCTTACCGTCGCTGTTGGGTCAGGAGGATCGAAGCGCACGGAGGATCCTGCCGTACTGGGGTCGTAGGTGAAGCCCATATCCGTCATCAACTGCATGACTATAGTCATTAGCCAAGCAAAAGCAATCAAAGCAACGCGCGGACCTTGACAAAGTTTTCCCACTTCATGCCAGCTTGGCCTTGTCTATCATCCTCTGCCGTACGCAGTAGCTGGTGCATATACGTCGTAGTTTTCTTGCCAAGCTTGGAGAAAAAGCTGCTCTTGGCCTCCTTGTTCGGAGTCTCATCGATTTTGTCTTTCGCCTTCCTGAAGCGATCGAAGATACTCTTCTTCTCCGGTACAGGGGGGAGCGTGGCTGGATCACGGCGCGTCTTGACTTTCTCCTTCTTCTCGTCTAGACCCTGCTCCTTGACATAGGCCCGGGAAGATTGTGCAGTTTGTGTCTGATATAGCGGAAGTGTCACGGTCGAGGCACCGGCTAAGGTGGTTGTGGAGCCCAAGCTGTGGATGGAAGGCGCATTCGTAGCTACTGTAGGCGCCGAAGAAGAAGTTAACCCTTGCCCGCTCTTCTTCTTCTTCTTCTTTGTGGGCGTTGACTCCTGGGGAGAGATAAGACCTGGCTGTGGAGAGATGGATGCCTGAGGGGAGGGCGTCCTCGGAGGAGGCGTGGCTGGACGATTGGCCTGGGCCTGTGCACTCTCGCCGTTCTGCGCAACATCGGTCGCAGGGACGGCGGTCGACTTCTTCTTCTTGGGCTTCTTCTTCTTCTTCTTTTTCTTAGCGGCGATCTGATCCTCGTCCTCGACTTCCTCAACCGTGGCCTTTCTGCTCGCATGCGCCGACGCTATCCGCGAAAGTTCAATTAGAACGCCAGCCACGGAGTGCTGGAAAGCTTACGGATCGATTCCAGAGGGGGTATTTCATCAGATCCTCTCCTTGCGTGTTGACGATTCGCAGTTTGCTTGGGCCTAGGGACCGTGGCCGGGCCCGTCCCTGTAAATCCCGTTCGGGGCTGCGTGCGCGAGGTCGTTGTGACGCTCGGTTTCGTCGAAAACATTCGACCTAGAAGAAGTACATTGTTCAATCCGAGGAAGTCCCAGACTGAACTTGCGCACCTCTCAAAGAACCTAAGAGTTTCAAGAAGGGATTGTCAACTCGCTCTTTCGCAAGCTTATCAAACTCTCCGGACGGCTCTGCCTTGGGGTCCAAGAATTCCGGCATTTCCATAGCAGTGTTCATGGCCTCCCTCATCATGTGCCGGATCTCCTCTTCATCATCGGAATCATATTGGCTTTCGTCGTCGTCATCTTCCCAGTCGTCGTCGTCATCGTAATAATCATCGGGATCGTCATCCTCGTCGCTGGACTCCTCATCGGCAGATTCGGAAACGGAAAGTAATGAGGGCATCGAAGAATCAGAATCGTCGTCTTGACCGCTCGTGAGCGCAAGGCGTTTCTTCGTCCCGTTTCCGCCCCTCCGAACAACTGACACCATGTTCGGTGGTTCGTCGTCGTCGGAATCTGATCCGGCGGTGTGACGTTTAATAGATGTGGTCGGCACCTTCTCGCTCTTCGCCTTCGACTTGGACTTATAGAACGCATTCCACTGTGGACTGCGGACCAATGCGCCATGAAGTCGCCACAGCTCTTCCACCTTGTCCCCTGCCCTTGCAACGTAATTCTAGGAGGCCAACGTGAGTCATCGCATAGGATACGCCGGTGTAATTGCTCACGTTATCAATTTGCGTCCACAGAATATCCAGATTGCCCTTGGTTGTCGTCTTTTCTAGAGGATACACCAAATCCTCGAGGTTCTTGTACTCCCGAGACGCCCGTAGGGACAACAACTGAGCATCCTCCCATTGCGAGTATACTTCGGGCATTTGCCGAGGTTCTTCCATCCATGCCTTGGAATCACCTCCGAGTAATGGTCCTTCGAGCATTTCTAGAACGTCGACCATGACCTAAGAGAGTATTAGCTGGAAATGCTCCGGATAACGACGCTACATGTACCGAGAGATCGCCTACGGCGTCCCATAGAGCTTGCGGGAACCTCTTGGCTTCCTTAGGCGACTCCGACGCAGCTTCGCCCAATATCTGGAGCAAGATCCGACGCGGCATACTCGAATTTGGTAAACAAAGCTCAAGAATAATTGAATCGAGGAACGATTTGTAGGCGCCTTTCAGTCCCCCCCAGTCGAAGCTGACATCTTGCTCTTCAGAATTACCATGGTCGACTTTATTGAAGTACTGCTGGTAATGCGCTGGTGATGAATGTAATGAGAAAGCGGGGCAGTAGCAGTTATTTCGCCATATATGTATATACTCACGCGTGGTGGTGACGAGGAAGCGAAAATTCTCTTGGCCTGCCTGCACGAGCGCAGACACGACGTCGTACAGAACGAGATAGCGAGCTCGCAACTCCGGATCTTTCTTCAAATGGTTTCTTGCCACAGTGTTGCTGGCAAGGCCGAGCTCGTGGAGCTCCAGCAGGAGATCACGAACGATTTTCCAGATAGACGCGAACATGTATGCATTATGTACGCTACAAGAATAAACAGAATGCAAGTGCGCGAGTGAAGCAAATGACTCACCTGATCATAACTGTCTCTGCTATGCGAGCGGGCTCGGGAACGATATGGGTGCCCGTCTGCATTCTCCGCGCTTTGAGCTCAGCGTCGATGTAGTATCGAAACATCGATGGGTCCTTCAATTTGCTGATATCGTCGAGGTACGCTGTAAGGCGTTCTAGCTCTGCAACACGAAACATTTGCACGGGTTCTCGCCATTGTATTCTGATTCTGCCGTTTTCAAGCACCGCTCGAGATCGAAGGGCGGGGCTATAGCAGTCTTTGCCTTTTCAACCAGGTCCTCTGTCATTCAAGCGAGAGCATGAACTCTTAGGACGCGTATCGTGACTCCTAGAAACATACCCGCGAGTAGCTCCAGTTTCTCTCGACCACTCATCCTGTTCATGAGAACTAACTCCCCAGTACCCATCGATCCGTATTTTCCATTCCGAAGGACCAGAGCGCGACTGGTGGTGGGCTTTCGTCCGTCTTTGTCGCGCGTCCCGGCCCAAAAACCCTTGCCCTTGGATACGGCTTTCGGCCCAGTGGTGACTAGCTCGCGCGATGGCTGCGCAGCAGCCTTTGAACCCGACATGGGCGGCATATCCAGCCCCAATTGATCGTAGCCCTTGAGGTGGATGCAGCGAGCAAGAGATAAAATCTGCGAGCGCTTGGTCGATCGGGCGAGCTGTACTCAGACGCCAATGCCGTATGGGCCGGCTATACTTAGCACGCGCCTCCATTTCAGACGCTTCAACCGGAAGTGACCACTGTTCAGAGTGTCAATTCAACAAACAATGTTCCGTGTCTATCATCTCCTTCGCAATACGTGACGCGCTAGCAGTAGCAGTTGGCAACCCTGTTTGCACCATCATCGGAGGAAGTGTGAAGAGGCTGTGCGATATCTCTGGGCATATGTTCCGACAATTGATGCGGCCAGCATCCATAGGGGTGTCGCCATCAAATGCAGGGTATCACACACTCAGAGCCCGGGCAGTTAAGTTTCAGCGTTCGGACGGATTTCGCATGGGGGCTTGCTCTCGACGTTCACCTCTTTGACTGGGGCTTGTGGTCGTTGTCAGCTCGGGTCCGACTTTTTTGTTCTCTCTATCAGTCTGCGGGTCAGCCAACTTTTCACGTTCATTAACGGCTCTGTGACGATTCGTGTGCCTCGATGGTCGCATTTAACATCACCGGTACGTGATCAACTGTCCAGAAGGAGGAAACGGCCATTAATCGCGTCCTTCGGCACCAGGCGAAGACTATTCGCCCCTGATCACATATTCGCCGGCGAATGCATGGAACGACTCGCCGAGCACGAACAGTTTGGTTTCGGTAAGTAGCCTTTGCGGCAGCCATTTCCGACTTTAATAACAACGCTTCTTTCAGTCCTCCTCGGCCCAGAGCCTTCATGCAACGACTGCGCAGGGCGCGACTGCTACGATTTCATTCACGGGCACGGGGATATGGCTCATGGGCAGCAAGGGACCAAACTATGGCGGATTTACCATTTCGGTTGATGGACAGAATGCACAAACAGGAACTGCGCAGCAGGGCACGGCTGCAGCAGGTCAACTGCTCGTCGGCGTATCTGGCCTTTCCCTGGGCTCGCACCAGGCTGTCTTGACGAGCACGGGCCCGGCGTTGGACTTGGACTCGTTTATTTTTGAAACACAAGTCGACGGGTATGTTGAGATCGCTGTTCTAACTCGGAGCCACTCGAATGATGAGCTTCTGATATGTAGAACAACGGTCTCAAACTCGACAGTCGACGACGCTGATAGTTCCATCTCGTATGGTCCATCCGCGAGCGACTGGAGCACGAACACGGGCAACGGCTTCCTGTCAAACACCCTCCAGTGAGTCATTCCATTCTCCTGACGAGCTGAATGTTGAAAAACCAATGGAATAGCTTCACGCAAACCGGAGGCGCAACCGCTACGTACCAGTTCCAAGGCAATGCGGTTGCATTATTCGGCACCGTTTCGCCGGATCATGCCAACTACACAATAAGCATAGATGGGCAGAGTCAGAGCTATGACGGTGGCAGCAACACGGTGGCCGAGTTACGCTCGCAGGTGAGCAAACACTCTGTTCTTGACATCTGTTATGTATCTCTGACTGGGTTTGGTCACTCAGTCCCTCTTGGTAAGTTTCACGATTTGATTGTCACGATCCTCTTACCGACGATCCATCAGTACTTCGCAGGAAACCTAGGCTCGCAGCAGCACACGCTGGTTCTCACCGCCAACCCTGATCAGGCTGGTCAGCAGAACACTGGGAAATTCATGGACCTCGACGCGATCACCGTATGGACCGGCACAGGCACTGATAGCACCGCCAGTCCCACTCCCAGCTCCAGCAACAACGGGAGCAGCGCTGGGGACAGCGGTCACGGCGGCAGCAGTGCAAACGACACTAGTGGCTCGCAAACCGCGTGGGTTCTGCGCGTTTGTCACGTTTTGCACCACTCACTTAAGATAACAGCCATGGCCATTCGTCGAAAGGCAACATGGGCCTCATCATCGGTGCCAGTGTTGGTGGTGCCATCTTCGTCCTTCTCGTCCTCCTGGGTCTATTCTTCTTCCTCCGGCGTCGCAAGGCTAGCAAGAAGCTTCCCTTGCCCCCGATGACCCCGGCGCTTCCCCTGCAAGGCGGACCAGGAATGGCCGAAGCCGGTTTCGGACGCGTTACCAACCCGGGCTCCCCTTACGCGAACAACGAGAAGTTGGCGCCCTTTGTCCGTCCTAACCCAGTGCCCACTTTCAGTGCTCCGGTGCCAAACGCGCCCGCGCCGCCGGTCAAGGACTTCAGTTCACATTACGAGATTCTCAACAAGTCCTTGACGGACCTGTCCGCCGCCAGCCACGGGCGTAGCCTGTCGCTAGAGAGCATGGAGTCCCGGGCCTCGGAGAATTCCCGATTCGGCCTGCTTCACAAAGCAAGTCTTTCGAAGCTGAAACGCGCTGCCACTGCACAGGTAGGTGACGCACGAGAATGCAGATCATCGCTGCGTCTGATTACCCTATCGGATAGGCTCAGGAGCCGCCGATTCCGAGAATAGGTTCTCCACCCGTTCGCTCAAAGAGGACTGCAAAAGGTGCCAATGAGCCATATGGGATGGGAAGATCCCTGACCTCGGTAAGGAGCCAGCGCATTGGTATTCAACGCCGACCTTGACAGTACTTTGGGTCATCGTAGGGGGCACCTAGCCGACCATCAACCCGACCTCCAAGCCTTGCGCTCTCTACAGTCAGTGGGAAACCTAGCGCGGCGAATCTGATGCCGCCTCGCCCGAGTCGCCCGTCGAGCCCACACTTATCGGCTATCGATCAACCGGTGGACCCTCGCGGTCCTGCACGTCCGTCTCGACCTTCCAGCCTTGAGTTGATGCCTATGGAATGGACGTCTGAATTTGCGAAGTAAAAGGGCATTGTTGATTCTTGTATACTGGGCTTGTGCTTGATTGACATCATTCCTCCGCGTCTGGTAGCAGTAGCGTCGTGTGATATTTATACACAAGCATCACAGATCTATCATTACAAAGACTGATGAATCAATGGTCCCGGCGAGTGAGGAACAAATCGAGGGCCACTTGGAACTCAGCCGAGCAACAAGAGACAACGGAGGCAGTGCCCAGCAACCACGTCTTGCACTGCGACCGCCTAGAGCGTTCCTTTTGAACCCTCTTCCTCTCCTCCACTCATTCCTTGGGTCGAGCTGGTGCTCATTGCTGTTTACTAGTCTCTTTCTGTGGTCTCTCCCGCGCCGTTGAAGCCAGTCTTCCTTCCAGTCTCTTCAGTTCGCCCTCTATTCGCCAAGCAAAGCAGAGCTTTGTGGCCCGTCGACTAGCTATCATCTGCATATCGAAGACCACGCACACTCATACGACATGGGGAACCTGATCTGGCACCAGTATGCGCACTACGTTGCGATCACTTCGAGTGTCTGTGAGTCTGTTCGCGCCACTCCGGTTCGCCAGTTCGATGTTTAACCAAATTTATGCCCGTATTAGACGCCGTTTGGTCGGCTTACTGGGGCCTGTTCTACCGCAAGTTCTTCTGGGACTTTGTTGCAGGCACGCTGCGTGACCCTGGAGGATACCAGTGAGTGTTCAGCAATGATCGTCTGTCTGTTTACTGAAGAATCGCAGACCGGCACCTTCTGCCCTTCCTTTTGTGGCTGTCATTGTCAAGCTTCCGGTCGTTCAGATCCTCGCTATGATCGTTGGTATCTTCGGAATACTGTTGGAGTATCCCTTGCCGCTGTTCAAATCGAGCCCGCTGGGTCGCAATCTTGTCGTCCGAGTCGTTGTGCTCCTGGTACAGACATTCTTCTGTATCCTCTACTATCAGGTGAGCGGTTCGCATTTTGCCACTCTGGTGTATTCTGACGAGGGCTACAGGGTGTCAATGCAGCACTGTACGGCTTTATCGCGGCCATGTGCTACGTCCGTGCTATCATGCTTGGTGAAACGATGGAGGAGGCGAAATCCAATAGAGGAAAAGGCGGACGGGCCTGAGATCTCCACCCGTTCAGGGAGAGACTTTTCGCGGTGCAGATGTAACAGGTTACACCTGCTGTACCGATATACCTTTTCGCTCGCTATGTCTTTGCCTTTTCCCCGCATGTACAACTAGACCGCTACGGTATCCTCGCCTGTTGTCTGCGTTTTTCCAGTAATTCAGCAGCCTCTCTGCCCCCATCTTGGACACGGACTTAGCCTCCTGTATTACTCGCTTCTCACATGCTGCGGCCCAATTCCATACCGAGAGTTCAAAGACCGCGTGTGGCTCTTATCGGTGGAACCCACGAACCCTTGACTTTGTCCCGAGCTGACTTCCGATGGCGTTACGAACATGGCTCGGCGTGGAGGCCATCCTTGTGGACGACGTTCCAGAGGCGCTGTACTTCGAGTGTAGGCCTATCGATCACCATGACCACCTCTCCTGCGGAGATCGTCTCTAGAATACCTGCCAACTACTTGAAAGCTCACGCCTCTGGAGATTTGTTCTTCTACGATTCCGATGTCCACACACACCGCGAAGACGCCGGTATAGAGGTGCCATCCGCCGTTCGCTGGCTTGCTCCGACATTGCCTGTTGACTATCTATCACCCTCCCTGCTGTGTAGTTTGAAATCAGGTTATGCCCTGCTCTACAGAAGAAGCCGAAGGAGCCCTCTGTGCACTTCGATCCCAAGGTGGATGGGTCCGGCAAGAAGCCCGATCCGTTTGCACCTCCATATATACCAAACCTCTACGTCGGCGAGCTACGCGATGAAGAAGAGGGGCAGGAATACGTTGTACTTGTTCGTACCATCTTCGTTTCAGTTTCGAGAACTCCATTCATGTCTTTAACATAGCTGAACAAGTTCTGCGTCGTTCCTGAACACTTCCTACTAGTCACCAAAGGTGAGGTTTAACAATCATCCATCCATAACTCCAGCTGATGATTCTGCAGATCATCAATCACAGACTGCTCCTTTGCTACCACCCGATCTTGTCCAAACGTACCTCCTGTTAGAGGCATCAAGGAGGGCCGGGAAACCTGTGTTTGCATTCTATAATTGTAGGTGGCGAATTGCATCGCACATTTCCTGGTCTGATCAGATCGTCGTAGGCGGTGATGTGAGCGGTGCGAGTCAACATCATAAGCACCTGCAGTTCATGCCGAGCGATTTCAATGGGCCGCCCATTGGTGCGTTCGATCAGGCCACCCTTCCATGGACGCAACTCATCCTGTGTTCCAGAGCAACTTGCCGGGGAGGCGAAAGTAGAATCTCCAGGTACCGTCGGATCATACATCGCCGCCGTTCGTGCAACTGATCCCTGCCCTAGGACGACCATTCTCTCTGTCCCAGCTACCTTACGCCAACCACATCAGGAGATTACCGCCCGCTCTTTCCTCCATGCCCCCACAAGAGATGGAGCAGACGTTATCCGAAGCATTCTTCACCCTCCTCGACCTCGTGATCTCGACCGTCCGCCATGACCCCTCGTACCCTGCCGGGAGCCCCTCGTACAACGTTATCCTGACGTCGGAGCACATGTACCTCTTCCCTCGCAAATTCGAGGATTATCGACTGCCTGAAACCGGCGAGAAGATCAGCGTCAACGCGCTCGGGTTTGCCGGGATGATGCTGGTGAAGAGCGATGGCGAGCTCGAGGCGGTCAAGAAAGTGGGAATCTTGAATATCCTCAAGGCTGTCGGTGTTACAAGCGTGCACGACGTGCAAGTGGAAGGAACCGCGGCCGAAACAGAACATCTGAACCAATCGTAGAGGTGGTGATGATGCATGAGCTCTATCGAGCACTATATATAGACGACCTTTGTATGAAATACAGACATGTATCATGTTCTCGTCCGCTCGCATCAAGCCTCGGGTTCGCAAAAGTGAACTGCCGACGTGTAGACACAGCGACGGGCACGACTGGAGTGAATCCCAACGAAGTCGCATATATGTACTTAAACGAGGAGATACAGATATAACGGTATTTAATATCCCAATATCCCGAGAGATGGAGAACCGATCCGGACAGCTGGTACCACAGTGACATAGATATCCGCTATTAACAGGGCCATATAGTCAATGCTCCGCTCCGTCCTCCTCGAGCTGCAGCTCCAGCCAGCGGGCCACAACCCTCGCATTCGGGTTCGCCGTGTTCGCCTGTAGCACGTCAAGCACCTTCTGGCCCACGAGCGCCGCGCACTGCTCAGCGCGGCCGAATCCGCCAAGGCAACCTTGCCTGTAGTCTTCCTCGCTGAGCCCTACCATGGACGCGATGGTCGGCGCAGGCTGCGCGGGCTTCTCCCTTTCCTTCTCCAGGGCAGGAGGGGGCGGGAAGACATAGGCCGCGAGGAGGACCTGGAGCGAGATGAGCGTAGGCGGGTCCTCGGTGAGAAACTCGAGGTCGTCGAGGTCCTCCATCGTGAGCGAGGCACGGGTCTGCACCGACTCGAGGAGGAGGATGAGGCCTGTGAGAGCGTCGAACGCGTCGTCGACGGCTTCGCGGGCGACCTTGGTAGCGGACCTCTCAGCATCTGGCTTAGGGAACGCGTTGAGCAGCGTGAAGAGCGTCTTCGCGTCTGACGCCGCAGGGGTCTGCTTCGGGAACTGAGGCGAGGGAGGCGAGGGAGGCCGGGAAGGGGGTAGTTTAAGGCCGAACCTGCCGCTTAGGGGTGGGGTGGGAGGAGGGGTCGTCACCGACATGGACAAAGCACGTCCTTTCTTAAATCCAGAGGGGCTATTGGTTGGCGTCGTCGACCGGGAAAGAGAGAGAGGAATGGGCCGGTGAGTCAGAGCGACCATGCCACGCCAGATCAGGGAGATGAGGAAGGGTGCGAGGTTGCCTTGTGCGGAGATCGGGGTAGTGTAGCGGCTCAGGGTCTTGGCATAGAGGGGGACGATGGCCTGCAGCGTAACCATCGACTGATGCAGTTGCGACCCCTTCGGCTTCGTGCCCAGCCCGTTGGAGGCTGAGGTCGAAGTAGCCGGAACCCACTTCTCGAGGCTTTCGATGAGAGGCGCCAGCTCGTCCTTCATGGCCTGGATCATGGGGTTGAGGATCTTCCCAAGTACGGAGGCCAGACCCTCCCGGATGCCTTTCAATCCGTCACCTCGGAAGTCGCCGGGTATGTCGACCCCGAGGCCGAGGTCGTCGAACGTGTCCAGGAGCTCGCCTGCGAACGAGGCATAGCCGAGTGCATGCTGTTGTATCGGTGGCGGGTTCGGTGCCTGGACAGTCGGCAGCAGCGTCTGCTGGAAAGAGGGCGATGATATCAAAGGCATGACGTGGGACGACAGCATGGTGAGCATAACGGAGAGAGGCCTGTGCAGCGAGCGGATGATTGCCCGGCGGAGCTGCGCGTTACCGGTAGCGCCATCGAGCTCACTGGAGGATAGACGAGTCAGACTATGCTAGCAGTGAAATCAGGAATCGACGTACTGCGCAATGCTGTTTCCGAGTGCTTTGCCCCTTCCTGCAGGCAGGGGCCGGCGTCCATTGACCACGTCGGTGGCTCCTGCGGCCGCGGGAGGCTGTGTGAGGGCCTTGGAAACGGCCTCGCTGAACTTGAGGCTGAGCATCTCCAGCGTGGAGCCTTCCTGTACGGCGGGCGGGGAGGTTCGTGCAGGCGGAGGAGCCGGGGAACTCTTGCGGGAGAAGTTCGAGAGGGATAGCTTGGTGAGAGGTCGGGAGCGGGCCTCTGTTGACTCGGAACGAGACATAGGAGCTGCCGTAGTCGGAGGTGCGGGGGATGACGGCCTGCTAAGGGGCTTAAAGAGGTAGGACGCCTTAAGGGCCATTGCAATTGTTTCAGGGTCGATATATAGAGCTTTGGTGTTGGATATTCCGGTGAGTGGGGGTGGTCTAGTCGTCTATCGCGCGTCTTCTATGGTGTCACGGAACCTGTTCGTCCCGAGGTTGTCGCAGTGCAATTATCCCATTAGATGTTGAGGTGTTCGCCAGAGGATTGTTGTGGTCTCCACGGGCCCTAAGGGGGGCGGTCGGTGTCCACGAGGAAAGCAAGTGGCCCAAGAACGACGTCAAGTGTTGGACCGCTGGCACGGAGGTCAGTGTGCAGCCAACGGGTACGAGAAACGCAGCGGACGGACCAATGCAGTGGTTCGTCGGGCATGAAAGACAAGGGAGGTGGAGAGGTTCAAAGCAGGTCGCGGCGCGAGGTTGATATGATCCGCCTGCGACAGAAAAATTCCAGTGGAGGTTTCTGTGTAGCCCGCGGTTCCCACGACTTCACGTCCTCTTCCAATCGGCGCTCACGGATTGAAATATTGATTGCTCGGTCATCGGATGGATCCTATGGGGCCCCCTTTGTTTCCACCGCCGCCCTTCCGCTGGCTGAACCACCCTTGTACGGCCGTGTGCAATACGTGCAATACAGCGCGAAATACATAACATGCGTTCACTCCGCGTTCTTTGCGCCTTGAAACGTTGCACCGTCGTGTGTTTCGCCGCGCGCGTCTTGGGTCGCGATGTCCTGATGCGCTCGCTTCGACGGGTGCCCGGTTGGATCTTCTCCGGAATCTCTCTCCGCGGAGGCATCTTTCCTTGGCTGATCACGGCATCACAGGGCAGGCGGGGGAACTGCTTCATCCCAGCACACGTCCTGCCAACCATCTCTCGGTCGCGGCTTCATATCGCAAGGATGAATCACTTGCTTGAGAAACGGGTTCCCGCTGTTCACTGGCCCTGGGTTGCCGAACACGATGCGTACAGGTCTTACCAGATGAATCCCATGTCACCTCGCGACGTGCGACGCACACGGTCTACTGTGGCGTCTCCACTTCGCGCGACGGGTCCACTTGGCCGCAAACGCGGCCCGAGTCCTCCTAAGTCCGTCTTCTTAGAGAACGGCAGAAGCGTCGGGGCCTGCGATTGGGATCGGCGTTGCCTTCCCAGGCGATGCGACACAGGTTTCAGCGCGGTCGACGCATGTAACGCTTCTAACTCAATGGGCTTTCCAAAGGCCTCCAGGTTCCGTTCATTGCCGAGATCACAAAGATACCCCTCCTCGTGTTACCCAAGTTCAGAATGCGGAGTCCGTAGGCGGCCAGATAACGTTCGGATCATCCTGACTTGAGCTCGAATCAGAATCCATACAGCAGCAGCTGACGCCTCCAGCACGCTGCAGTGGTTGGGTAAATCTAGGTCAAATTGGCGAAGAGCGCCTAGCTCTTGGGTCTAGCTTGCGTTCTCGTACCGGACTCATAACATGTACAGCAAAGCTCTCGGCTCTGGACTCTGGACAAGGAGTGCGCGGGCAAGGAAAGACGCGTCGCAAGCTGAACATATTGGAAGTCAGTCGACTTTGTCGGCCATGGACGCATCTAGAGGCACCCTACTGCATTCCTAGCCTGGTTTCTCCCTCCCTTGTACTGACCCGCAAGTAGCTCCTACGTATCTGTGAGGTGACGTTTGTACCTGGTCACCATGCCGTCCAACGATCTCTCCATGTTCTTGTTTGCGGTTTGCTATCATGCGCTGTCGTCGGACAACAAGAAGATGACGGGCGAACTTGTTTCGCGACGAGTGGGGAACAATGTCCTGGACGGTTAAGGTTGACTGCTTGGCATAGTCTTGAGCTGGTTCCCGAATGAATGTCAGCATAGCGTTTACAGGTGTATCTTATAGGTGATTCATCGTACCTTATCTTCCTCTATCTCCCAAAAAATCCTCGAACAGTATCTTGCGATGCTCATCTCACCAATCTCCTCCAGCTGAGATCGGGCCATCTCGATATTCCGGCTGGCCTCAGCCAAGTGTTGCTGATCGCGATCGAGAAAGCTCAGGTAAATTCGACACCATGCAATTTCATAGCGATCCCCGATGTTTGACGCAAGCTCAAGCGCCCGATGGATACTCCCCCTAGCATCATCGTATTGCTTGTCGATCCGTTGGATGTTCCCGAGGCTTTGCAAAGTTTGCAATGTACCAAGGCGGTATCCGATTTGGGAGAAGGTCTCGAGAGCATGAGTGAACTGCCTGATCGCTGGCTCGTACTCCTTGCCCGCGACATGGACGTCGCCAAGGCCTTGCTTGCACTGCGCTACCCCGAGCTGATCGCCGATCTCAGTAAACGTTTCGAGCGCCCGAGTGAGCTCTTCAATGGCCGGGCCAAGTTCATTGCGCATGCAATGGATGCTGCCTATGCTTTTCCGGCATTGTGCTGCTCCCAGTCGGTCTCCGATCTCCGAGAAAACCACAAGGGAGCGAGTGAGTTTCTCTCTCGCTGGGTCGTGTTCGCAGCGCACGCGATGAGCCTCGCCTAGACTTTGCTGGCACTGCGATTCACCTAGCCGGTGCCCGATTTCTGCGAAGATCTTAAGAGCCCGAGTGAGTTTCTCCATCGCTTGGTCGTACTCGCGGCGGTTTAAGAGGATGTTCCCCAAGCTACGCTGGCATTGAGCTTCTCCGAGCCTATGTCCAATTTCGGAGAATATCTCAAGGGCTTGATTAAGCCTTGTGATCGCCTGGTCATGCTCGTCGCGCATGCCATGGACATTGCCCAGGCTTTGTTGGCATTGCGCAACCCCGAGCCGATCTCCCATACTAGAGAACGACTCGAGAGCCCGATCGAGCGTCTCGATCGCCTTGGTATATTCGTGGCGCATGCGATAGATTTCGCCCAAGCTTTTCTGGCATTGCGCCGCCCCGATACCACGTCCGATCTTCGAAAACAGTTCGAAAGCCCGACCAAACTTCTCGATGGCCTGATCGTACTCATCGCGCATGCAGTGGATGTCGCCCAAGCTTTGCTGGCATTGCGCTATCCCGAGCTTGTCCCCAACCTCGGAGAACATTTCGAGGGCCCGATTAAGCTTCTCGATCGCCTGGATGTACTCGTTGCACATGCGAAGTATGTCTCCTAGGCTTTGCTCGCACCTGGCCATTGCCGATTGATCACCGGCGCGGGTGGACTCTTGTAGTGCAGCCTCAAGGTCGTTGTGGGCGAGCATATATTTGCCCATTCGCATCAACAATTTCGCCCGGGAAGCCAACGCGTCGGCATATGGAGCACGCACATCATACTCTGGCCAACGTGCGAGTAATACGTCGATGAGCTCGGTAGAGCACCGAGACCAGTCCTGGAAACGAGTGAACGTGAAGGCGGCCTGGGCAATGCCTGGGGGGACATTCTCCGAGCCGAGTTCCTGCCGAAACAAGTGAATGATGTTGCCAAGCTCCGGCACGAGTGTTTGGTAGGCCTGCTTGAACCCGTCGTGCCCAGGTTCCTTGTCAGCGTGTTCATCAACCAGCTGGATGTAGTACCGCACGAGTCCTTGGCGCTGGGCCACCGTGAGGGCACGGTGCTTCATGACGTGCTGACGGACAGGAGAGAGCACTTGGATGCTTCCATCGTGAGCGCTGAAAGCTAGGGCCGACGAAAACAACACCGATAAAGCTGTATCTACGTCATCCAAACCAAGGTCCATCGCAATGAGCTGTTCGATCCCCCCCTTGATACCGTCCGGCAGCTGACAAATCACGGCTAGGAGTTCCATAGCTTCCGGGACATGTTTCATTGCTGTGGAGTTCAAGGATAACGATATGGATACGTCCAAGCTCGTGAGGCGGTTTGCGGATTCGTGCTCTGCACTGAGCAAAGCGGTGGACTGCTTCTGCCACCGTCGGAGCAGACTGGAGCAGGGTAATGTCCCCTTGAGGCTCGCCAGGAGATTGATGGCCAGGGGCAAGCCACCGCAATGCTCGAGCAGTGCACCAAGATCCCGATGCTCTTCATTCGAGGTGTCGGGGTTCACCAATAGGAAAAGTTCCTTGGCGGATGCCAACGACAAGGGTTGAAGGAACACGGTCGTCCACGAGATCTCTCCCTTTGCGGGCGGAGCATCACCTCGCATGGTCACCACCAACTGTACGTTCGGTGACGTGACTAACGCGCGTAGCACGTCAGTCAGATCCGCCCGAGCTCCCCCCGTGTCCCAAGGGCTCTCGAAGTTGTCCAACACAAGGACGACCGGTCCCGCAGCTCTGAGGCAGGACACGAGTCTGGCCATAAGGTCCCCATCTTGTGTAGGGGGCTTGCCTTCCAGTACCTGGAGGATGGCAAGGACGAGAGCTGCAGCTCCTAGGATACTGTCGCAACGGATGAAACAGCAGCGATGATTCGAAGACTTGATGAGTTCGCTGTCCAAAACAGACAGTGCGACGGACGTCTTGCCAATCCCTCCCGTGCCAAGAAGGGCTACGTGTTGTTGGCTAGTGCCCATGAGCTTCCGGGCTACGTCGTCTACGACATCATCTCTTCCCAAGAAATGAGCTGGAGGGCGGGGAACGACCGAGGATACTTGGCAGCTGAGGTTCGTCGTCGCCTGAGAACGACGGAGGATTAGTGCGTGGCAGACAAGGAGAGCTATGTCTAACCTGAGGCGCATCTGTGTTCTTGCCAGCACTACGAATCGTTTCTTCGAGCTTGTTAAACCCTGCGCGCATGTCCAGCACGATATCGTTAGTGATTGCGAACTGGTAATGTAATAGAAATTAGTAAGACTCCGTAATACTGCGAAGCAAAACAATCGTACGTGAAATTGTCGAAGGGAGCTAGTGAGTCTGTCTTTGTATACCGAAATCTTCTCTCCTACGGTATCGCGCCTCAGAAGCGCCTTAGGCAGGTATCTGAAGGTGGAGGTCTGGTCGAGCTTGAGTTCTCCGAGGCCGGTTCTAACGTCCAGCAGTGTGCTGTCAAGGAGCCGAACATGATGAACCTGCAGTGTTCTAACGCCATATCACGCACCGAGCTACATCTTGGAGGCGGTTCTTCAATCGCGGAGGCACATCTTCCTCAGACTTTCCCTTTAAGATCTCCACGATGACGAACATCAATCTGAAGATATCGCGAGCGAGCTCCTTGCAGTCCTTCGTATTCTTGCGTACTTTCTGTGTATTTCCGTTGAGGAGAGGCATCCAGTCGCAGAGATTAGGTCCGGCATACCTCAACCATCTCAAGAATCTGTTTCGCAAGCTTGACTGCAGCGTGGAGGGGTTCGCAGACGAATACACCGTCCGTCAGATTCTCCAGAACGGTCAAGAACGTCTTCCCGTCCTCGAGCGCGCGGTCAATCCTCTCCTCGTTGTACTCATCACGCTTGGCCATGATGGGCGGACTACGGAGGGGAAAGTGAGAGACGAGGACTGAGTGGGCCAGGAATCATGGGCCTGCGAGTCTAATAACAGTAAGTGCATGGTGACGAAGCCAAGAAAAGACAGAGAATTACGTGGTTCTGGTGCAAGATCATGATGTGCGCCCATTGCAGAGCCTGGTTGCGGCCACATCGGGACCCTGGCTAGTCGCGGTCGATTTGAGGAGTTGTAGAGCACAACAAATCAGGACGTCTAGAAACCACACTACCATCTCAATTCAGGTAAATTTTGGTGCCGCGCTCATGATTTTCGAAAACGGCTGTAAGGCACGGACGTATCAACGGTCAGTGATTTGATGTACGTATGAATTAACGAGTTTATGATTATACATGGAAATTAATATATTATACAGTTTGATTGTTTGGCTGCGTATTATGCAGCATGGTACATTGCAGGTCCAGCAACGACGTGCTCGTTGAGCATCGTCAGATTAAACGGTGTCACGTACAAATCTTCATCGACGATCAAGACAAACACCGTAGCGTTCATCGTCGGCGCCGAGTTGCCGCCAAAGATGTTACCGCCGGGTTGATTGGTATAACCGCTCGTGCCGCTGATGTTGTACAGCGGGGTGTAGGTTGTGTTCAGCTGCGATATCCACGCAGCGTACTTGGCCTCGCCGGCGGTCGAATTGGTGATATAGGACGAGTTGTAGCCAACCTTCTTTCCTGGCTCTTCCCATACGAGATGGAGGACGTCGCCGGGCTTGGTCAGCGGGTCGGTGCGGTTGTGCGTAATGGCGGGCAATGTCGATTTACCCGCTTCGGTAGTGTTCACGAGTGGTGCACGGCTCGGATTGTTCTGGAGGGAGATATGATAAGCAACGTGCCGGGACGGGATGGGGACTATCGTACGGTGATGTTCAAACCCGGGAAATTTTGCCAATCAATGTGCGGGTTATCGGAAGGGCAGCTGACCAAATATGGCGCGAGCAGCGTCCATTGCATGGACTGCGTTATGGAATGTTGGAAATACGTCTGGACGGCAAGGTCGAGGGTCAGGGAGCGAAAGGGACGCGCGGAAAACACGATACTCACCGGCATCGGGAACAGACCCTCAAACTGGCGGAACACCATCTGCTGACGGGCCTCCGTCGCGATGGATTGCGTCAGAAGCGCTGCAGCCGGTCGCGAGTTTAGGTGCGAGAGAAAGCCGTAGGTGCCCGCTTCGCCCCAGCGCGTGAGGTCAATGGAGAAGTCGATGAACTCGCGCACGGTCTCGAAAGGGTATGTGTAGTTGCACGGCTTCGCGCCCTTGCCCTGGAGCATGTTCTGGATGAGGGTGGCGTGCCCGACCTCCTGATCGGCCATGTATTCCAGGAGGAAGCGATCTTCGGCGTTGAGTCCGGCTTCTTCGAATTCCTCCACGGAGAACTTCGCGAGGGCATGATGGAACAGGTCCAATTCGATCCATTCTTGGTTAAGTCCCAAGTTCTACGAGGATCCAGTCAGAAAGGGCAAGACGAGCGCATATAATCCACTGACCAGCGACTGGAAGTCGAAATCGCTCATGTAGACATACTCTGGCGGCGTCGAGTTCGTCCCCAGCCCGCCGGAGGGCGTGTAGGGGGCCGCCAATACAGAGCGAGCCAAAGCGATTGCAGCGAACGCACTCGAGAGATGCATTTTGGAGTGGTGGGTCTCCGGCTTGCAGAGGCGAGGAGGACAAGTGGATTGAATACGCTACACACAACCGCACACCATTTATACGCTGGCTCGGCTTCGATATTCTCCTGACCACCCTGGAGAAGAGGCGGATCATGACGCAGCACGGAGGGATCAAGTCCAATAAGAGCAGCCAGCGCTGCCTAGGAGGGCCGCCGATCGCCAGTAGCCCATATGGCATCGTCCTGGTCCAGGTTCTTCATAATTTTCGGATTCAATGGGACGTTGCCGAAGCCGTCGCGAATGTGGTGTTTCGCCTCGCTGCTAATCCGGTTTCGGCTCGCGAATGCCGTAACGGATGTATTTACCGGGGCGCACGTGTGACGTCGGAGAGGTCGCGAACCGTCGAGGGGCAGATGTCCACCCGATTCATGACAAGCAATGACGAGCGTCCTCGCAGAGCATCGTGGTGCTGGCACAGCTTAACGCCAGGAGCCTGGAATGAATTCAAGTGGACATGTTGATTGTTTCGAAGGAGGCTCAACAGAGATCATGCATCATGCATCTTACATATGATGAACGTAGAGAAGCCGGCGCTACACCGAACGCGCGAGGAGGGATTGATAAGTGCGGCAAGGTGGGCAGTCAACGGCACTTGCTAAGGGGTGTGGCTGTACATACTTACGAAGCGCAAAAGAAGCGCTCGCGGCGGCGGCTCGTCTAAGTACGGCCAAAACTGGACAGACTCAAGGAAGGTTCCTTTCATTGTCAACGAACGTTATTATACGACTGTTCAATCTTCTTGATGTGCATTCATATACACTACGCTGCACTACTTCTTTCCCCTTGCTTTTTCAATCGTAACTACTGCACCATTACAGGTAACGAAAATACGCCAAGAAAACCCCAAAATCATTTCAGACCCGTGTAGAAAGTATAGTATGCGCGTCGATAAAAGTTACAAATAGATAGGAAATCGGTAGGGATCGTCAAGTTGGCCTTGCTTAATAGTTTAGTCCTCGCCGCCGAGCTGGTCAGCTGCAAGTACGTCAGCCCTCAGAAACACTAGCGAAGGAGACGGCAGCGACTCACCGGTGAGAGCATCGTAGGTGGGGCAAAGGTTGCTCCAAGATTGGGGAACGGCGACCTTCGACGAGACGTCGCCCGTGTCCTCCGCGAAGACGACAGCGAAACCGGTCTCGAGATGCCAGTCGATGTGGCAGTGGAGGAACCAGGGACCGTAGTTATCGGTGGTGAATCGGATCTACGGGCTCGAGGGTAAGGGAAACGGGAAATACAGGATGGAACGCCGTGCTTACCGTGACGTTATCGCCCGTCTGTCCCGTGCTGACGACGTCGCGACGAGGCGGGTTGATCCAGTTGTAGTCGGATTGGCCCGAGGCGCGGACAACGTCAAAGGTGTGCTGGAAAGGGTGAGTGTTCATTCAAGACGGAGGGGAGATTGTAAGACGTACACCGTGCAAATGGAAGGGGTGAGGTCCGCCCGCGGCGGGAGCAGTCGTGCCGGCGGGGAGCGTAAGCTGGATGGTACTGTTCTTCGGGAGCGTGTAGACGCTGCCGGCGGGGAGCAAGTCCGTGGCTGATTGCGCGCCGGAGAGGATCTGGAGGAGGACCGGAACGGTGGGCGAGATGTAGGTCACGCCGTTGATGTTAAAATTGAAGTCGCCGTTGAGGTTAAAGTCGAGCGCGAGGTTGATGTTCACGTCCGCGCAGTCGACACAGCGCTGCGAGGCCGGGATCGGTGCGCCTGGGTTCTCCCGCGGGACGAGAGAGGTCTCGACGAGCGGCGCAGTCGAGTTGGCCTGCGTCGTCGTGGGCTCAACGGCGGGCGCGCCGACGTAGCGCAGGATGGCGGAGTTGATGCCGTTCGCGAAGCCTTGTGCGGCGCCGTTGTTCGGGTTTGCGCGAATCCAGTAGTTGCCGATATTCTTGTTGGCGTTCAGGATGATGGAGTAGCGTTGACCGGCGAAGATTTGGATTTGGTCGACCTGGAGGGGCTGATGGTTGACGCCGTCGACTTCGATGATCTGGCGTGAACATTGAGTCATCGTTAGGCGATACTTCTTCAGAACATATACGCACGGTGAAGTTGTGACCATCGATCTGGAAGGTGAAGTTGGGGTCACAGCTGATGGAAACCAGACGGAACCTGTAGCGCAATCCCTTGGTGACGCTGATCACGGCGAGGTTAGACGAGGGTCCCCCGGCATAGCGACCCCTGGATGAAAGAAAGTCAGCTGTAGGCACTAAGCGAGGCAACCCAACTCACAGTCCGTTAATCAATGTCGAATCCGCGACACCAACCGCGATAGTCGGGGCTACAGCATGGTACCAGTCCGCGAGCGTGATGACGGTGGATTCGTTGTCAACATCGTAAAGGGACTTGTACGGATCGAGGGGGTCGTAGACTATTTGCCGGTAGCGTCAGGTTCAGGATGACTGCAATGATTAAACCTGAGCCACTGACCAACAAGTGCACCGCGAAGACCGTCACAGTACTGGGTAGACAAGTGGGAGTGGTACCAGAAAGTGCCAGCCTGGTTGGGGACGGTGAAGTCGTACAAGAACGAGTTGCCGCTAGCAATCGGGCACTGGTTAACGAAGGCCGGGCCGTCGGCCCAGTTGGTACCCTTTTGGAAGAGACCGTGCCAGTGCTGCAAGATGATCGTGAATAGATATCCTTTGAATTTTGAAGCAGCAAACTTACGATAGTGGTGGACTTCAGCATCGTAGTGTCATTGAGCTTGTTGTTGACGTTGAGCTTGAAATGGGCGCCCTACCGAAGGACACGATTTAGAGCTTGTGACAAACATAACGAAATCAATCATCTCACCTTGGTACCGGTGATAAGTGGGCCAGGGAATGTGCCGACTCCATTCGTTCCGGCGAGAACAGTCCTGCGGAAGTTATAAGTCGATGCGCGAGGCGTTCCATAAAGATCTTACGATCGGTTGAAGCCGTCCGGCGCAAGCTCGCGGTTAACGATGTCGATAGTGGCAACAGGGCCGATGGCGGCCAAAGCCCCAAGGGCCGTGGACAAAGTCACAAAGGCAGCGAGAGGCTGGAAGCGGGCCATGGTGAATAAAGAGGTCGACGTTCCGCGAAGTGAAGAACTGGAAGTCGGATGGGAGGAAACCCGAACGGATGTCTCTGAGCGGGTTGGAGACTCCGAGCCCATCGAGCACTCCTTATATGCCTCCATCTCTTGCCTATGTCCTGGTATGAGAAGTCACTAGGCCTTCAGCCAGGTACCGTCGGACGCTTCATGACCTTGGCGGTCCCGTCCCCCGCAGTTAGGAGGCACTTCGACGCGAACGAACGATGATCGTAATGTGCGTGCGTGAGAGCGGCAATAATGCGCGATAATGTGTCCTGCTTGGCGTCGTCGGCCTGACCGACATGCCTCTGGTCGTGTTCGGCAGCCGCGCTTCACCAAAAAGGAACGAGCGATATTCACATCCGGACGTCGGGACCGCGCAGACGGAAGAAATCTCCGAGAAGTTCGTAATGAGCGATCAACTGGTGCCACGACCTTCGGACGCAACACATCAATGGCGGAAACCCGATGAAGATTATGTGGCTGCCCCGGACCCTGTCATTGTGAGAGTTGCAAGAGATAGCCCCAGATCCAGCGATGTGGGTGCATGACAGGAAAGGAAAGAGGCGGGTTTGTGCCGCATATGGTGGTGGCGAAAGGAACAGGCGACTTGTGCTTGATTATGGAACAAATGGTCAATGATAGTGTCGCAGCAAGCAGTCGTACGCGCTTTCAGGAACTCAGAAGTTACGACCTCCACAAGGGCGCTTATATTCTGATATAATTTTGTTAGAGCTGCTGGGTACGAGTGCGCAAGGGCGACTCTACCTGCGAGTCGTTCCCCAGCGGGCGCCTGAAAGCCGAAGGGATCACTGACACTCTCACGCGCGCTGGCGCACGGGTGTCTCAATAGGCAGAAAACCGACCTGAGCGATGCTCTCAGATCGCGTGAAGTCCAGGTTCACCACAAGTTCTCAGAGTCTGCCTTCACTGCCGGTCGGACGACGTTCAACCGTGATGGTGTCGGAGTAACTTTAAGATTAATCGATTGTGCCTGTTCAGTAAAAAGTAAACGGGATGATTTGCGATTGCAGTAGGTGGTTGGACTGAGATCAGCAGAGATCGTAGTGGGTGATGGGTGTGAAAGCAAAGCAGGACTCGTGGGAGAAATCTGGGTGAAGCGCCGATATCGGAATAGTTACAGGCCCGCTGCCATCCTCCTCTAGCTCACGCGTCACGGCGGCTGTCATGAACGCTCTTTCGACAAGCTGAACTTCACGTATATTTCGCTTGAGAATGCATCTGCTAACATGGAGTCAGTTGAATGACGTGATCCCCCTCAATGTTCTATACTGTGAACGGGTATGCTCGTCTGGTATTTCTGGACTCGTGTTTGACCATGACCTTACCAAGCACAGCGTTTTGCCGCTGAAGCAAGCGCCGGGAAGCATCGGGAACGAACAGGAACAGGAGGAAAGTGGTCCATCGGGTATCTATACAGGGACATCTTCGGGGGGCACAATCGGTATCTGCTGATGATGCTGACCTGTACTGTCCCTTGCCGTCCCCGCACACGCGTCGGGTTCTAACCCTAAATGGGCACCGGATCTTCGGAGGGCGACGCCCTGTTCCCATACTGTACTCCCACCGACATCTGGAGCTCTTCGTTGGCCAATGCAAGGGTTCATACTTGGGCATGGACGCAACTTCAGGGCCCTGAGATTCTCAGAGATTCTCAGGAAAGGCGCCCGGCTCAGCGATCGACAGGATCTGTCTAGCCGTGGGTTGTGAGCAACGCAGAAACGTCGGTGTCATTCTCGTCTTGGAGCTTCTACCAATGTTCTCACAGATCTACCCAGGATCTACCAAGCAGCGATGTCTGTTATCACGAATACGTCCAACCGGATATATGATGTCCCTAGAGATTAAGAGGCGTACGCTTCGGAACGATTTGTGAGTTATGTAGTGATATTTTCGAAACGAGTATGACGAAGCTCCATCTACCTAAGTTACTGTATCATCTCGACAAAACGCTCACAGGCATCATCTCCCGGGGCCGATCCGATGCGAGGTATTATCATTGCTATCCAATCCGCATCAAACGTCCCATCGAACCCCTGAGCTTTTCCTCATGCAGGCGCATGGGACGAAACGGAGGGTTGTGTCAGGTCATGAACACCGCGAAGTCGCATCCGGTGGTCGGAATCGCCATGATGTGCTTCTCGCAAATCTACTGCGGCTTCCGATCATGACGATAATCCGCCGTTGTCGCCCTGGGACGAGTACCCACGCCGTATTGCATCTTTTTTGCGCCGAAGCCCATCGCTGTCCCTGGCGTGAATATGCGCAAATCATACGCCCTTGACCATGCGGAATACCTCAGACAATCGCGCGGGCATCGCACTTGATGTTGGACATCGCAGTGTGGTGCTATCTCGTGCTGGTCCTGCACGGTCATATAAACCGAACATACTTCACGCTAGCTTATCGTGCGCACTACTCTATCGTTCTATCTCGTGCACACAACCAGACGGACTCGCCGTTGCCGACGCCGAATATATCATGAAGTGCTTCGTCTCGCTCCTCGCCTTGGCCTCTGTGGCCTTCGCCATTCCCGTACGTTATGCGTGTTCCTTGCTCGACCTTTCTTCCACACTTGTATCGACCTCACGAACTTGCAGAACCCTACCGCGACCGAAATTTCGACGGTTGAAAGTGTGACGGGTACCATCACGGACACCGCCATCCCAGCAACCTTCACCGCAATCAAGAAGTACTTCACGCTCACCGATCACTCGCCGTGGATGGTTGAGAAAACCACCGTCGTTACCTGGACCGTGACGGCGCTGCCGACCTCCACTGGCGCTTGATTTCACCTTTGACGGATGTGCGTCGTTTCAGTTCAAGAGTAGTAGCTTTGCGATTGACGAACTCCGACGCAGTATGGATATGGCGGAGTCTTATATAAATACAAACATATTGATTGCTCCGTTGAATGTTGTACTCAGTGACTCGATGCCTACTCTTGTTGCATCGCGCTCGTATCAACTGCCACACCGCCTGCCTCTGCCCGCCCACGCATCTCCAGCTCTCTACTCAGCGCAGTCCCTGGATCAAATCACTGTCGATGTTCTGTCAACTCCATCAGTGACCTGTTGCACTGTTAGCCTTCACGTATCCGCGACTCGCTCGCGTAGGCACTTGAAGTATGCTCCATCGACCGACATCTGACCTCTGTCTTCGTTCTCTGTGGTGCTCGCCCGCCTCCCCGGCTCTAGTCAAGCGGCCCTGGAGTGCATTAGGCTATCCCGTATTTGTGGGCACATACCACGTTGCTTTTGAACTACCATACATTATTGTCTCTCATCCTCAGGCATGGCGGGAAATTCGGGCACTGGTCGGTTGCAGCTTCCCGGAACGCGTTCAGGGTGCGCTACCCGTGAGATTTATTGCGGTTTCAAACAAAACAGCGGGGCGTCGATCCCTTTACGAACAAACCCGCGTGATAACGCATTATTCCACGCAAAGGGTTGCGACAAGTAAGCTAATCTATCTCCGCATCCCATACTTTGACTAGGCCGTCATCGCCTCCGGAGATGACGCGCTTTCCGTCGGGAGAGAACACGATGGACTGGACGCGACCTTCATGCCTTCCCAGTCGCGGAACTACAGCCTTTCCCGTGCGCGCATCCCATATCCAGATCGTACGGTCGTCCGAGCCCGTGACGATGTACCTTCCGTCCGGGGAAAATGCCACGGAGCCCACCGTGCCTTCGTGCCCCTGCAAGGGGCCCAGGACCGCCTTCACCGCCCGAGCGTTCCAGACCCGTGCCGTGCCATCTCCAGACCCGGACGCGACACGTTCGCCATCGTTGGAATAGGAGACGGCGCGGACGTGGTGATGGTGGGCCTGCAACGACTCTTTGACGACTTTCCCCGTGTCCACGTCCCAGATACGGACAGATTTGTCGTCGGATCCGGAGACGACGCCTTTTCCGGTGGGCGAAAACGCGACGGCCCGAACCCAATCAGTGTGGGCTCGCCAAGGTTCGCCGACGGCCCGGCCCGTGCGGGCGTCCCAGAGTCGGAGCGTGCGGTCGTGCGAGCCAGAGACAATGTGCTTGCCGTCGGGCGAGAAGGCAACGCAGGACACCGGCCCCTTATGCCCCAGAAGCGGTGTCCCGGACTGTTCGCCTGTCCGCATGTCCCAGAGCCGGACTGTCTCGTCGCGTGAGCATAAGGCGACGCGCTCTCCGTCGCGAGAGACCGAGACGCCTGTAACGGCACCGCTGTGCCCTTCGAAAGACTTCGACTCTTGTGTTTCCTCCCCCGTGACCGCGTCCGAGTTCTGTATGTATATGGTGTACTGCGCGGAAGCCCAGGCGATATATGACCCTTCTGGAGAGAGGGAAACGAAGAGTAGCAATTCAATACAACCGGGAGAAGTTCTCATCAGTAACCCTGCAAGATCGTGTCATTGATGAGACCACTTGAGTAGAGTGAAGTCATGTACGATCTGTGAGATTGCACCTGATGTCCGATACTGCTTGTGCAACTTCTGTCCTCCAGTCTTCGATAGCAGCGGCCAACGAGGCTATCAGTTTGCGTGCGATGATCCTGGCGCTGCCCGGGCTCGTGCGGGCCTTCTCGCCGAGAGCCATGACTAACGCATTAAGCTGGACCTTTTGTGGCTGGAGACGAAATTTGCCGCTCTGTTGTAGCAACTGTAGTTTCTCGTGGAGTCCCTCTTTGGTGTTTAAAGCCGCACAAGAAAGCGGATCGATGAAAATCATCAATCAGATAATATTCTGAGAGTGCGTGCGTGCTCGGGTACCGACCCGTTGTATCCGACATGAGCTCCTGAGCGATCTGAACTACGACACCGAATTCTTTATCTGAGAGTTTCTCGTCATTTGTCAGTTGGCCCACGACATCGGATACGGAAGGGCGGTCGGTGGGATCGGCTTGCCAGCAGGCCTGTATCACCGATCGCATATCGTTGTCCAGACCGCGAGCATTCTTTGGGAGCACTGGACGGGTGCCGTCCATGACCTTGGTGATCACCGCAAATATACTCTGGACGTCGTAGAAAGGGACTCTGCCGTCGAATATCTGGAAATAGTGTCATCTTTACCAAGGCTCCATCACCCCGTCAGGGCTCAGTCCGAATTGGACTCCATACCTCCCATGCGGTCATCCCAGACCCGTAAGTATCGGCCTTCATGGTCAGAACCTTGATCTCCACCTTGGGATCCAATAACTCCGGAGCCATGTAGCGCCACGTACCCCAGTTCGCAGACTCTCCTGTGGATGACACGAGCGAGCTCGTGCCCAGGATGGTAGCAGCGAGACCAAAGTCGCTCAGCAGAGCACGACCTTTTGCGTCCACGAGAACGTTGCGCTGGACCGCCCTCAGTCTGCGTTTGATTCGATCGATGATTATGAACCAACACTTTTCATGTCACCGTGTATGAGACCGTTCGCACGCATGTACTCCAGCCCATGAGCAATGTCCAGGATCTGTCGTTCTCGGGTTATGAGGGCACAGCAGTGGAACGATATGCATGGGGGGTGCATACCAGTTCTCGACGACTGGAATCCGGGAACCGCTCAAGATAAGACATGACATCACCATTTTCCATCCACTGTGAGACGATGCACGCCTGGATTCCAGAGGAGACGTCGAGAAAGGGAACAATGTTGGGATGAACAAGTCGCTTCCATATCACGGCCTCCTTGCAGAAGACCTGGATGCCTCCCTCGTTAGAGCGGGACGACGTGCGATCACGGACCCATCGTACCTTTACATATTTAGCTCAATCCCCTGCGTGCAGCCGAATGATCTTGAGCGCCACAGAGGCATCGCCATGAGTGCCTCGCCAAACGTCGGAGAATCCACCAGCGGAGTACGGCGCCTCGTCGTCCGACCTCACGATTCCCGATAATCGATATGCGGTTGGCAGCAGGCCACTTTCTCCGCAAAGACGGCTGAGCTTGCGCAAGGATGAGCGATAATCCTTGTCTATACCATCCGAAGCGTTGAGATGCTGGAAACCGTGTTGTCAGACCTCATTTAGACTTTGAATCCGACGCCGTAGAACTGCTGGCTACGTACCTGGTCCAACGGGTCTATCTGCGCCTGCAGGGCTGGATTTTCAATAGGGTGTTCCGCGCGATCCATGGATATTCCAACGCTGCGCTATCCGTCCGGGAGTCGCTTGACCGGTGTAGGGGTGGAGAGGGCAAAAGGGCCACACAATGGATGGTGTCCTACTGCTGTCGAATTTCGATGACGCCGTTGCACTCGTGAGTTGTGCTATGTAATCCCGAAGAAGGCGCTGATGCTGTCAGCATACATCCTTGTCACGAAAAGCAGTAAGAGTTTTCTGCCGGATGCTCTGAGAGGTTATGTAGAATCGAGCGGCGACAACCACGCGGGGAGTCGACAGACGTGCATTATGTAGGCTGTGTTTGTTGAATGTTGTACTCAATGACTCGATGCCTACTCTTGTTGCATCGCGAGGGAATGTTGAGTCGCAGGTGTCCAGGTGTCTCTTGAATGCCGACCTTCACAGCCACTGGATCAGCGCCATGTCACTGGCGGCGAAGGCGCAGCTTCGTCAATGCATGAGCGCCGGGCCGTAATTTAAGCGCTTTACTGCAGTTCCCTGCCGCCTTGCATGCTTCCGACCTGCGTTTGTGAGCCTCGCCCTTGTTAAATTGGCTGCTGCACGCAATTTTTGTCAATGATTACCGGCATACATTGTGCGGCTACGTTTGGGCTACGTCCTGGTGGTCAACACACGGATTTTACGACGCCAAGCTCGAGGGTCGCCATCGTACTCTCACGCGATGGCTTTTGACGTTGCGAATCTGTCAATCATCCAATACGACTGGTCCGGCGAGTTTTCGAGCGCAAAGCGGTCCATGGATGCGCTGCGAGCGCGCGCTACTTTATAGCTTTCGACATCTCGCGACGTCTTCGCCATATTTAACGATCGCGATCTGGGCGTGCTTAGCAAACGGTGATGTCCTCCTTCCCCAGCAACGTGCCAGGTCTAGGAACGGAACAGAGCCATCGTCCGAGTTGGACAGCTCTTCCTCCTGCTTACCTGGTGTCTGCTGATGGGTCTCCTGAGAAGCTGGGCGCATTGGAAACCTCGACCCCTGCACTACCGGCGCAGGTTGAACAGACCGCGTTCGACGACAAACCACGAAGAAGTTGCGACATTCCGGATTGGTGCTTGAATCCGAAGTTTTTGGGCTTTGTTTCGATACTTTTCCTGTACGATCATATCCATGCAATCTCTCCACGGTTCTGATAGTCTTCATATTCCAGTGCGTTGATAGTGTGCCTTGGTGTCTTCCTCATACCCCGGAAGCCTGCCCTCAGCTTCAATCCACCGCCGATCACTCTCATAACCGATGCCGTCGTCCCTTCTCCCCGTTTCTCCGCGCCCTCTTCGTCGAGCCGAGCCTCTTTCTCGTTCCTCGCCGACGTCAACCTCCACATCGACGTTCACAAGAATTACATCCCGACTAAGATCATGAAAGGCGCTAACCTCACCATGACCGACCTGGAGACGAAGGCAAAGGTCGGTACAGCGAAGATGGCAAGCGTGAAGATCAAGCCGCATGGGCATGCAGATCTGCAGGTGCCCATGAACTTCACGTACGTAGCGAAGAAGAACGGCGACGATCCAACTTGTGAGCCATCATTACCGCCTCGAGCCACGGTTCCACCAATATGTACCGTATTACAGGGACAAAGTGGCACGACGCTTGTCAAGGATCCGCGAATGTTACTCGACCAGGTTAGTGCCCACATACCTGCGCCATTGCCTCTGCTTATTTTCTCCCACCACAGCTCTTGACATCCAGCTGCACGCCAGTATGAAGATATCGCTGCACCACGGCCCTATTAAAGTCAGCGCAACACTCAGGGGTGTCTTTTGCCCCTTAGAGCTTCCATCCGGGTTCTAACTCTGTTGCATCGTCTACGGCTCTTTGCGAAGGCCATATATTATCCGTGGTATCATACCCCACCTCCGTGACATATCGCACAAATGCCCTTACATCCTGGTGTACCAGTATTACAACATACGATATCATGAATTAGTAGCCAAACAGGAACTAACACAAAATAAAGATGAAGTCGTATATGGCCATACATGTATGCACGTCCGTGGAATATTGAGGTAGATGTGCATCTCGATGACGGAAAAGTGGTGTGAAAATGTATAGGAAAACACGACCATAAATAAATACAACAGTAGGACAGATCACGCATACAGTAGTGGAAGCACGGCTGCGTCGTATATGGGAGGGGAAAACGAGCGGTGGTGGTAGCAGGGTGGGCGTAGCGAGCGTATGGATGCAACGAGGCGGCGGCCATAGGCGAATACACGAGTCCAAATAGATATTATGCAAGAAGCCGAAAGGAATGTCGAAAGAGGTTCGTCCCGGGGTCGTGTACGTGAAAGGGTATGAAAGCGGCATACGTCAAGACAGAATAGATCTGCCGCTCGATGACCCATCCTGAGGCATTAAGGCGACCCGCGCGGTTGCGGAGGAGTTGAGCGTGCCCGAATTGGACGTCGGAAGCTTCGAGGGCCCATCTTTGCTGACCGTGCGCTCGGCCCGTTCGCTAGGTTCTGAGTCCATCCGCGATGAGGCATCGTAACGGATCTTGCCGGCAGCTGCGGCCATGCGACTTTCGATGAAAGCCCTGTCCTCATCGTCGTCCGAGCCCTCGCCGTCTTCGAGCTGGTCGTGCTCGTCGTCGTCCAGGTCCCGTCCGACGAAATCGGACATCGGGCTAACGCCGCGAGAATCCACATGTCGCGAGCGACGACGCTGGGGAGCGAGGCGTGAAGGGTATTCGTCGGGGTGCGACCGGTATAGCCGGTCACTATCGGGGTGAAGGTGGTGCCAGTGAGTGCCTCCGTCGTCTTCCCACGGTCGAAGAGGGCCCGGGCGTGCACGTGTGTCCGGGAGGGGCGAAGACATTGTCGCCGCGAGGGGAACGGCGAGCGTGGACGGGCCCGGTACGGGCAGGCCGTCTCTACCGTTAAAGAACGGCGATGCGGGATGCGAGTGGGAGAGGCCGTCGAGGTGGTGTGGCGCGAACGCAGCGTCGGGATTGAGGCGATGGTCGTTGGGCGATTTGCGCGGATGAGAAGGGCCAGCGACGGAGCCCAGATCGGGATGATCCGCTGTGGTCGGATGCGGCGGCGAAGGGCGGGGATGCTCGTACAGGTCCTGGAAGGAGGCGGGGGTATGGCTGTTGATGAACGCCGTCTGTTGGAAGCGGGCGAGCGCCTGGGATGTAGCAGCGAGGTGGTGCATCAGGTCGTTGGTAGCCTCGACCTGCGGCGAGGCACAAATATGCACACGATCAGAGCCCGGCCGTCGACTGTTGCACCTCGCGAGGGCACAAACGGATGGGGCTCACCGTTTGAGGGGAAAACGAGAGGCCCGAGCCCCCCGTTGCAAGGGCCTGCTGCCGGACGGCATCGAGCTCCTGCCTCAGGCGGATGTTCTCGGCGTCGACCTTGCGGACGCGGTCCTCGAGGTCGGCGATGTAGGCGGCCTTGCGTGCGCGGTAGGCGCGCTGGGTGACGAGGGAGCGCGAGACGGGGATGGTGAGGTCCTTCTTGCGGCCCCGAGTCATGCTGGGCGGTGTGGATAGAGGGAGAGCAGCCTCGCCCGATTTTGATAATGCTCAAATTGTCGTTGAGTAAGCACTCCGAGGCACTCCGTCGCCGGAATGTTGGCACGTGTTGCGCAGATCCCGTCAAATTCACCATCACACACCTTGTCTTCAACCACCGCCGTGCTCTATCTTGCCGGACCATGCTACATACCGCATACGATCTAGCTGGCTGTCTTTCGAAAGTCGCTGTCAATACCAGGCATGGTGCCGAAAAGATACCAACGATCGGTTGATATCTCGAGGGAACCTCGGAAATCGTGCCCATGGAATAAGCGCTACCGTTTTCACCAGGTCGTCGTTCCCAGAGCATGACCTCCCATCATGGAGCGAGTTGTTTCCGCAGGAGTTCTTCTCCATGGCAAGGCTCCATTGTGATGGTCGACCTTATGGTACAGGACGGATACCAGTCACCACCTCTTGGGATCATCCCGAACAACGCACCACAAACAGAGCTCGCGTTGTTCCTAATTATAAAGCTGGTCACTTCGACGTCGATACGCGCGCCAATCTTTGCATATGTCTCACATTGTTGCATTGCTGTCGGCTGCCTATGTTGCTTCTCCGATCGCGGTGAGTGGCTGTACCGGTACCGCACGAAAAACCGTCATTGTCAAAGCTGGACATTGACGGCAACACGTGCTTCAGCATTGGCCCGCCGCAGTACGGTGCCCCGGCCTCCCCGGTTTCATGGCCGCCGTGCAACGTCTCTTCTTCTTGAGCGTTAGCCAATCGCACGGCCTGCATTCTGCGAAGGCGCAAGAGACACCGGAACTAATGAAAGTCCATCCATCCGATGCTGGGCAGGCTACCGTCCACGACGTCAGAAAACTCGCTGCCCATGTCAACCGGCGGCCTCTACGCCAAGAGATGCCCTTCATGACCCTGACCGCTCTCCAATATAAAATGGCTATACGAGTCTCAGCAAAAATCAGCCCTACGGAACTCCAATCTTCACTCCTCTACTCGACATGAGATTTTTCACCACCCTTGCTTCCGTCCTCGTGAGCGCAGCCGCTTTTCGGGCCGTTTCCGCCCATGACGACCACGACATGACGGCTGAAGAGCTCGTTGAATACCGCCGAAACTTTGCGGTTAGCACGCGCGAACTCCACACGCGATGCGGCTCCCAAATCGCCGCCCGTCGCGCAAAGCGTCATGCGGAGCGCCGTCGTGCTGCCGGAGCGCTCGGCAAGCGCGCCATCCTTCCGCGCGATGACGGCCTGGTTGGCAACAACGCGTCTTGCCAGCTCACGCCCGAGGTGACACAGGTACAGTGACCAATTGTAGTCTCATGATTCGTGATACCGATCCCAAAGTTCCGCAGGGCCCGTATCATATCCTCGGCGAGCTAGTCCGTCAGAACATCACGCAGGGCCAGGGCGGAGTGCCTCTCCAAGTTGAGGCCGACTTCGTGGACTACGAGACCTGCGAACCGGTCATTGCTTGGATTGACGCCTGGCACGCCAACGCAACCGGCTATTAGTAAGACACCCTTGTCTCTAATCTGGTACTGCATGGATACTGACGTTTGAGCTTAGCTCCGGATACATCGCAGAGACCGGATCTGCGCTCTCAGGCGGCGGAGGGTTCTCAGGAGCAGGAGGCTCGGGCCCTGGCGGCGACAACTCGTCCATGTCTATCACCGGCAGCATGTCCATGATGCCAACCGCTACCGGCGGCAATGCTTCGACCACCACATCAGCCTCGTATGACTACACATCCGGAGCCGATTCCACCTCTGCCGGTTCCATGTTGGATACGGATGTTGAGTGAGTGCCGCCGGCTCCGATGGACGCGTTCCCCGCTGATACGATTTCATTAGCGACGAGGAGAACTTCTTGCGCGGCGCGTTCTACACGGACCCGAACGGCCACTTGACGATGTACAGCATCGGTAGGTCACCCTGTCCCGCGGGTTGCTTCCGTAGCCCGTTCTCACGAGTGATCCGTGATCACAGTTCCGGGATGGTATAGTGGCCGCGCGCCCCACTTCCATATCAAGGTAAGTTTCTTACTGCAGATAGCAGGGGCACTGTCATAGGCTGTATGGTATGGTAACGCGCGTCTCTGCGAAGGTTTATCCCGAGGGTTATCTCGCCGACAACGGATCGTTCTTCGCGAATGGCAGCGCCGTGCACACTGGCCAGTTCTTCTTCGACATGGATTTCTACGCGGAGGTCGCAGCGCTGTCGCCGTACAGCTCGAACTCGATTTCGTGGGAGAACGCGACGAAGAACGCGGACGACCAGTGGTACCCTTACCAGTCAGCAGAGGACTATAACGCCGACATGGAAATAACGTACATCGGCGAGACGCTCCAGGAGGGTGTTATCGGCGAGATCGTCGTCGGATTAAACATGTGAGCACCGCCCCACGATTCTCTCTACTTCATTGAGCTGATAACGTGTTCATAAGGTCCTGGCAAAGCCCTCAGCTTTCTACCCAATGGTGGGTCAACAACAGCACCGATAGCGACTAAGGCTACGAATATCTTCCGATCACGACTGTACATGACATACAACACGAACATATTTTGGCTATCATCCAAGACCCGTTCCTATCTTTAGTCTGACGTCTTTCCTTGCCTGCGATTCATCCATAAGGCGCCGAATACCCGAAGGATGCTTCACAACCAATATTTGTTTTCTTCTACTCGCGTCTGATACCCCACACGCGCTGAAATAGCAAATTCGCGGCTGTGTCGAATCCAGGTGTTTGCACAACGCATGCTACGCCCCGTCCGTGGTCTTGTTTGGCAGAGTCGGCTTCTACCTCAACCTCTGCAGGCACTGCCAATGACTCGAAATTGTCAGGGTTGATCGTCTGTGAGTGTTCGAGCTCGGCCTGAGCTTGGGCTCGGTTGACGCCAGGGGCGTACGCTCCAGCATCTTCCCGACGGTCGACCACAAGCATACCACGCGTTATTTCGCCGAATCTATGAACTCCCTCAGCGGCCTACTCATGGCGTGTAGGTTCAACACATGAGCTTACCTCTCGACCTCGAACTTGCGTTCAGTCGCCCTCCAACCTTCTTGCAATTGCGGAATACCGCCGACGGTTTCGTTTTCGACAGGAGGATTCTCGATCGCGCACCACACCGCCACGGGGTCGTGCAACTCAATGGCATCCTTGCCAAACTCGAGCATCACCTCTCGGGCACGTTCAAGCCAGCTGCTGGTGAAGTGCGTCAAGGGAGGCTTGCCCCCAGGGATAGAAGGGGTCCCTGTGTTCCGGAACGCGGGGTCGACCTTCTCGATATAGTCCGCAAAGCGCATCTCGTGCGGCGTGGTGATGTCGAGCGGGAGAAGAACAAAACGCTCTAAGGGGAAGCCCTTGGCGTTGTCGGCCGGCATCAGCAATTCTTTCACCGCGAATGGATCAGCGAAAAAATTGACTGTTCGAAGAAGCGCTGAATCAGTGACGTGTGAGGTAGTATATAATAGCAAATGAGCGCACACTCTGCGACTGGGGAGGTATTTCCGGGAACGTCCAAGGCACCGCCCATGGTAATGACCCGTCCTATGCGTTCCCTCACGATTGTGGCGTTGGTGCGCAGTGCTAGCGCAAGGTTTGTGAGGGGGCCAAGGGCCACGTAAGAGACACTCCTGCTGGACCGAGCTTGCAAGATGTCGAGGACCACCTCCGAACCGGGTTTCGCGGACAAGTTGAGATATGGGTGCACACCTGAAGCATCTGGTGCCACAACGTTCAGTTCAGGATGCCGTCCTTGGATGTTTCCGAGGCCATCCCTGAGAGGGCGTGGATGAGCGCCGAAATAGTATCGCACGGAAAACGACCAACCTTCCATGGAAATATTGAGCGCTGTGCAGAGCGCCTTCCAGGGGCAAATCTGTACCCCGTGCCAAGACAGGCTTCCTATTCGGGTCGAAGTTGGGATAACGTTCGCGCTCCTCGGGAAATGACTCCAGATGGCGCTCGAGGGCTTGGTAAATCTTGAAGATATTGAGACTGCGATAGCAACGGGTTATCCAAGTCTTGACTAGTCGCAAATAAACGACATACTACGACGAATCAACATCCGTGTTGCCTAATTGTAGATGATGAGTCAATGATTTAGGTCTGCAAGCATCGCGCGCACCGAAAGACACGATGATGGCCAGAATCTCGAGTTCAGGAGATGCTAGGGCAAGTAGTCTATTTTCGTGACACAATCCGTATGTCAAGAACAGTAATCTGCTTGTGTTGGTAGCTCCTACATCGCGAGAGCGTCATCGATACCAGGGTCGGTGTCAACTGGCGTCCGTATCTGACGCGTCAGCGAGATTCAGAATATCTCAGTTTCAAACAAACTAATGACGGGGGTTCTGCGAGTTGATTCGCCTGTGCTCATCACCAATCGGACCAGATATTGACGAGCAAATGATGAGCAGAGTCACGGAACCGATAACTTGAACTAGCTGAACGGTCTTTGGGCCCTACGCCGCCGCCCAATCACATGACAGGTGCGCTTCGTTGTCGGTTCTCGCGGTTAGCTTGGTGCGGCGAGCCGTATACAGCGTATCCGCGATGCGACTTCATCGTCCCGCGGGCGGAGAACAGCCGTTCTACTGGGAACAGTCGTGAATTATAAATTACTAGGTTATCGATCTGTCAGTTTCTTGGTCATTATGAACAATCATTTCTGAAAGAATGCTATCTAGCCTGATTTGAGATGGTCACGAACAGAAGCGAGGATACTACGCAGAGCATCCCGGGAATACTTAGCGAACCAAGGATTTCGTCGAATATAACGGTGTATTCCAGACCGGTCCCACTTGAAGGTCATGCTGACGATTTCCTACGGCAAAGCATCTCCATCGAGTCATTGACCCATGGTTAACACACCGGCGTACTTCCAACAGCGTTGCGCAGATATTCTCTGGTCTTGCACAGACGATGTTCGCGGGAGATCAATGTGCAATAATCACGGTGAGGATAGGCATTGACAGAGGTATGGTACACGATAATAGTGAATAGTACGTGCTGGGAATGATTCAGAAAGGATCCGACTGGTGAATCATCAGCGCTCACAACCCGTCGCTTTTCAGCCAGTCATGCGCTCTGCTGAGTCCCTTGGGAACTCCACGCGGACCGTTCAGCAGCGATGGGTCAAGAACCTGGAGGAACATCGAGGTGCGTCAGCGGATGATCATAGCAATTAACGAGACAACATAAAACTCGTGTGTTGAAAGATCAGACATCCAAAGGAAGGTCTATTATAACCCGCATCACGCCAACCCTCGCTTCCCGCCCAGCGCACCCGGAGGCGGCCCACACGCGCCAACGTTAGATGGGTTCAACGCGGCGCGGGGGAATATAGACGTTCCGCATTGAGGGAGTACTCCGAGGAGGGCGCTAGAGTGGAAACTGCGAATAGAACGGAAAATTCATCATGAAACACGACGAGGGCACTGTGCTAAATGATATGGAAGTACCATCTCACCTCTTGCAGCAGATACGACTAGTCACGTCAACATGTCTACTAAAAAGCGAGTTAGAATATGGATTGAGGTGACGTGACAGTTATGAAGGCGAGAGCATCAGACGAAATGGCACTGGCAAGTACACTGTGCGCTCCGTAAAGCGCTAGTCCGTTGCGAACGGACTGCTCTATTCCTCGGCATGGTCGTATAGGACGGGGAAGAGAATGAAAGTCATCTCTTGCGAGAGAAGGAAGAGAACTAATGCCGGGGAAACACAGACCCACCAATGTAAAAAGGCAACATCCAGAGGAACAAGCGGTGCAATATGCTGCGACACGATCGCGTCTGCATGGAACACGCGTTAGCAAAAGCAGCAACAAGCAAGGATGTACAAGGTGTCAGAGATCTTGGTGATAATTGATGGTCTCATAGGGCGAACCCTCTGAAGTAGCAAATATTTCTGATACATCATTCAAAGAAACGAGGGGGGTGTAAAGAACGAAGCGAAGGCACTCACCAGCTGCGTGACCGCGTCGTGAGGAGAAGACGTTTGGGCGCGACATTCTTATACGCATGGAGCGTGGGTAACAGCTGTGTAGTTCTCACGCCCGGGTCTCTCTGCAACCCTCCCCTCCATCTCCAAAATCACTCAAGTCTTGTCGGCGGCAAACGTCCAACATCATGTCTGAGAGCTTGCGTTTCCTCGGGTCCCTGTCGGGCCACAAAGGATGGGTTACCGCCATCGCGACCTCTTCGGAGAACCCGGACATGATCTTGACGGCCTCTCGCGGTGAGTCCTCATCAGTCCGCTTTCGCATTACCACAATATCTCATTCGTGCTGTCGGTAGACAAGACCATCATCGTTTGGCAACTCACACGCGATGAGGACTCCTACGGTTACCCGAAGCGCATATTGAAGGGCCACAACCACTTCGTTTCCGACGTCGTCATTTCCTCCGATGGCCAGTTCGCACTGTCCTCGTCATGGGACCACACGCTTCGCCTGTGGGACCTCAACACCGGCGCTACCACCCGCCGATTCGTCGGCCACACCTCCGATGTACTTTCCGTTTCGTTCAGCGCGGACAACAGGCAAATCGTCTCCGGCTCGCGCGACAAGACAATCAAGCTCTGGAACACGCTCGGCGAGTGCAAGTACGACATCAAGGAGGATGGTCACACCGAGTGGTATGAGCTCTGCAGCTACTATGAAGTACGCGATACTGAGTAGCCTGGCCTGTGAAGGGTGTCCTGCGTTCGCTTCAGTCCGAACGTAATGAACCCCGTCATTGTCTCTTGTGGCTGGGACAAGGTCGTCAAGGTTTGGGAACTGCAGAAGTTCAAGCTCAAAACCAACCACTACGGCCACACCGGATATATCAACACGATCTCCGTCTCCCCTGACGGCTCGCTGGCGGCGTCAGGAGGCAAGGACGGTATCACCATGCTCTGGGATCTGAATGAGGGCAAGCACTTGTACTCGCTCGAAGCTGGCGACGTCGTCAATGCCCTTGTCTTCTCGCCTAACCGCTATTGGCTCTGCGCGGCCACTGCGGCCTGCGTCAAGATTTTCGACCTTGAGAGCAAGTGAGTCGCTGCAGTTCGCTATCGCACGCCGCCGTGTTTATCAAACCCAACTCTCACCAGGTCCATTGTCGATGAACTAACGCCCGAGATCGACACCTCGAGCAAAAACGTTCGCAAGCCTGAATGCGTCTCGATCGCCTGGTCCGCGGACGGCCAGACTCTCTTCGGTGGCTTCACCGACGACCAGGTCCGCGTGTGGACCGTATCAGCATGAGAAGTTCAGACTTGTCGTAGAATGGGAGGGGGGGGGGGGGGCGTGCGGGAGTGCTCATTGTATGACTCAGGGGTTCTTATGATATTGTGTCATGCTGTATCCATGAAAATTCTGCCAGTCCCCGCATCAGAGGCGTCCACTCATGGACTGATTTGCCAAACAGAGGAAAGCTGGTTGTGCTTGTTCCGTCACATGATATAGATGATGAGTTGTCAATATTTATGGCTACTACTCCTTGAGCTTCTCGACGAGCTGGGGTACAACCTCGAAAAGGTCGGCAACGAGCCCGACGTCGGCCACCTGGAATATGGGAGCATCCGGGTCCTGTACACGGCGCAGTGAGGAGGCGGCATCTTTAGTGATTGTGAAGCTCCTTTACCTTGTTCACCGCAACGATCATCTTGGAATCCTTCATGCCGGCGAGATGTTGGATTGCACCGGATATACCGAAGGCCATGTACAGCTCCGGTGCGACGACTTTTCCGGTTTGTCCAACTTGAAGCGAGTTGTCCGCATAACCCGCGTCAACAGCCGCACGCGATGCGCCGACAGCAGCGCCCAAGAGATCCGCAAGGGGGTACAGCGTCGACTCGAACGTCTCCGCGTTCTTGAGCGCACGTCCGCCGGATACGACGCGGGACGCGGCACCCAGCTCTGGCCGGTCGGATTTGGTGAGCGAGGTGCTGACGTGCTGGATCGGAGGGTCGGATACCTCGACGGCGTCGAGGGGCTTGACCTCCGCCTCCGAGCCGCCCTCCTTCGCGGCGGCGAAGGCGGTCGAGCGGACGGTGAAAAACTTGATCGGGATGGAGGACGGCGCCTTGACGGTCGCGACCGCGTTTCCTGCGTAGATGGGCCGCGTAAAGGTCGTGCTATTAGACGAGGCGTCGTGCTCGAGCGAGGTGATGTCGGAGACGGCCGGGATGTCGAGCTTGGCCGCTACGCGGGGGAGTATCGATTTCGCGGAAGACGAGTGGGCAGATACTACATGCGTGAAGGGGGATGACGATAGCAACTGTAGGAGGAGGGGAGTGACCACCTCCGGGAGAGGGGTCGAGTATTGTGGGGAGCCCGCATGCAGAATGGATGTGATTCCGTCCAGTCTGCATCTCTGGGATCAGTTTCAGCGTAGAGGTGCCGGATAGATTAGCGCTCTCACTTCTTCGCCGAATCTACAGCACCTTTGACGTCTTCCGGAGATCCGACGATGAGCCCGGTCACTTCTCCGCCAAGTTGCTTTGCGGCGGTGAGCGCAGACAGAGAACCCGAATCAAGCGTGCCTGCCCGATGTTCTAGGAAGACTAGCGCATGAGGGGACGATGCAGTAGCATAACCCCGAGACACTCTTGTATACAGATTCCTGGGTGCCAGTCGTGCCCGGAACATAGTTGCGAGGAGACGCCGAGATAGGATGCGTTGCAACGAGAACAGGCTCTGTGCTGATACGATGATTCGGTACTCGGTACTCAGTGGTGGTGGTGGTAGGTAGGTAGGTAGGTAGATTGCCGACGAGGTCCCGGTAGCGGAACAGCCGGTTGCTGCGCTGCACGTACGCCACTCGTGCAGTCGACAGCGTGCCAAGCAGCTCGACGGTTTTCGTGAGCTGATTAGGCCGACCGCACCGTCTCACCACCGGCACCAAAAAATCCTAGGTACATGTGTACATACAGTGCTATGTAATGTATGCTAGGCAAGCCGTCTTCAGCTTACTGGTGGAAGTCCGGCTCCTCGTCAGTGCGTTAAAAACCCCGTCCACCCCGCAAAACCGCTTGGGAAAAAAGCGGGGTGGGGGGAAAAGCATCGTCGAAGGAAACACGGACCTACCACGGCAGTCAAGCGCAATGGGCAGGGTAAGGCGTTTCTAATGCACTGTCTAAATATGTGTATAGGCCGGAAGTACCGCGTAGTTGTCCCACTCTGAGTGTTTTCACGATAGTCGGTGTAGCAAGAGTTGTACACCGGCGACGAACGAGGCGACGGGCGAATCATGAAATCGTCCGTAGTGGCCATATACGGTAGTGAACACAGCGAGTCCGCCGAAGCAGAGTGAAAAGAAAAGTGTAGCAAAGTATAATAGTTATTCCTCCGCTTTGGCAATGGAGTCAACCTCATCGTCACTCGACCCCTCGCCTTCCCGAAGCCCGAAGTCGCCGTGTAAGGTCCCCACGGTAGGGGGAGGCGGGACTGAGTGCGTGATATGCGCAGGGTAAAAGGGTGGAGCGGCATCGAATATACGC